GCTCGAGTCGGTATTTGGTTACATCACTGTGTTGCCTGGTGCGCTGAGTGCCTACCGCTACTTTGCTCTGCAGAACGATGCCGATGGCCATGGCCCGTTGAACCAGTATTTCAAGGGTGAGACGCTACATGGTCAAGACGCGGATGTTTTCACGGCCAACATGTACCTGGCTGAGGATCGTATTCTCTGCTGGGAGCTCGTGGCGAAGCGCGAGGAGAGATGGGTCTTGAAGTTCGTCAAGAGCGCTGTCGGAGAGACGGACGTTCCAGACACTATTCCCGAGTTCATCTCGCAGCGACGACGATGGCTTAACGGTGCTTTCTTCGCGGCTGTGTATTCGATTGTCAATGCCAAGCAGATCTGGAGCACCGATCATACCATTGCGCGGAAGATCTTGCTTCATATTGAATTCGTGTATCAGTTTTTGAATCTTCTCTTCACTTATTTTGGATTGGTGGGTTGTTTCCATTCTTGATGATATGGTCTTGAACTAATTCTCCTTCTCAGGCAAACTTTTATCTTGCTTTTTACTTCATTGCTGGTTCTTTGACGGATCAGAAGCTTGATCCTTTCGGTCATAATATCGGCCTCTATGTCTTCACTGTCCTGCGCTATTGCTGTGTCTTGGTTATGTGTTTGCAGTTCATCATCTCGATGGGTAACCGTCCTCAAGGGTATGTCTCTAGCCTTTCTTTTCTTTTCACCTCCACCATACTAACTTGTTTTCAGTGCCAAAAAGCTTTATCTCTCTGGTATGATCGTGTACAGCATTATCATGGTTTATACGATCTTCTGCGCGCTTTACCTCGTGGTGAAGGAGTTGATGGCGCGCGCCGGTCTCGATGGCGACTCTTCGTTTAAGATCAGCAACACCTTGATGATGAACATCGTCTTGTCCATGCTGTCCACAGTGGGGCTGTACTTCTACACCTCGTTCCTGTACCTGGACCCATGGCACATGTTCACTTCCTCGGCCCAGTATTTCCTGCTGCTTCCCAGCTACATCTGCACACTGCAAGTGTACGCCTTCTGCAACACCCACGACGTGACATGGGGTACAAAGGGCGACAACGTTCTGAACACCGACCTGGGTGCTGCAAACGTGATCAACGGCTCCACAGTCGTCATTGAAATGCCCTCTGAACAACTTGACATCGACAGCGGCTACGACGCCGCCCTCCGCAACCTCCGCGACCGTCTCGAGGTCCCCAAACCCCCCATCTCCGACTCCCAACTGCAAGAAGACTACTACCGCGCCGTGCGCACATACATGGTCTCCGTGTGGATGGTCGCCAACGTCATCTTGGGAATGGCCGTCTCAGAAGTCTATGGCATCGACTCGGGCGGCACGAACATCTACTTGGCCATTATTCTCTGGTCTGTGGCTATTCTTGCTGCTATCCGCGCCACGGGTTCAACCATCTACGCGATTTTGAATCTCGTCCACAAGATCGTGGAGGGAAAGACCAAGTTCGATGCGGGGAATATGACCAACTTCGCCCCCAGCTCGTATGGCGGGAGTAGTTTGGGCGTGTCTTCCGATTCGGGCGTTACCTCTTCCCGCGCACCGAACTACGGCGGCGAGTCTACTATGAAAGATCGCTTTGCTGAGGCCAGGTGGGCTGTTGGGAGGCAGGTTGGGAAGGCTATGTTTTGGAGAAGGTAGTTTTGTTCCGCTTTGGGGTTGGAGTAGTTGCTTTGATGGATTGATTTATGGGAGTTTTTATTCGTTTTTGATTGCTTGAGTTTTTTTCCTTTTCTGATGGAAATATTGATACGATTTCTGACTGGCTGTCTCTGATAATGGGGAGGCTATGTTGATGCTGCTTGACGATGTATTTATGTGTTGTTTCTTTCAATTTACAACCCCACTTGGAGATGGTATGACTTGACTTGACATTTTGTGAAGAATCTTTTATAGACAGTCAGATCTATAGGCCCACTAACATGAAGCTGAAGCCCGTACTAGTGCAACAGCCAAGCGACAATAGAAGAGGAATAATGAGAATTGCAGAAGTACAAGTGTGAGATATGATATCAGCCATCAACCAAGTCCATGGTGGTCTCTCGCATGTAATGACTAAAAAGCAGGCCTCTGTTGTAGTTCGATTCGTCACAGACGTCTGCCCTTAGCTGGCACCCCGTCTCGTCCTAAGCTCTCAACGCCCCCGACATCGGCCATATTTCAACTGGCGAGATTGCGCGAAGCTCTTCCCATCGGCCCCGTATTTATTGCCGAACCAGATGTAATCAAATTCCGCATACTCCAAGGAGCCTTTAATAATGCCTCTGCCTCCCTATGACTCGTGCGGCGGGAGCGGAGTTGGAACCTCTTTGAATGGTGGCGCCGATATCGGGGCCCATACTACTTGACTCCCGTCCGCTTGCAAGATATATAGATCAGCACAATCACCAGCCTCAACACATCAGAAACCAATATTTTCTACGAGATAACCTCTTAAGCAGGTTACTCGGATCAATTTCCACACCTACATATTTTCGTTTATATCTCCTCGAGGGATTCCCACCATGGCTAGCAAAACAGAGTCAGCAACGTACACTCATGGCCACCACGCCTCAGTCCTGCGCTCGCACAGCTGGCGCACGGCAAAGAACTCAGTTGGTTTCCTGCTACCACACCTCAAGCCAGACATGAAGATCCTGGACATTGGCTGCGGGCCCGGCACGATCACCGTCGATTTGGCATCCTACGTGCCCCAGGGCCACATCACCGGCCTCGAGCGGGCCGGCTCAGTCCTGACACAGGCCCGCCAAAACGCGCAAGAAAAGGGTGTCTCCAACATCGATTTTGTCGAAGGCGACGCCAACGAGCTGTCCTACGAGGATAATACCTTCGACGTAGTATTTTGCCACCAGGTTCTACAGCATGTCGGCGATCCTGTCGGCATGCTGAAAGAAATGACCCGTGTCGCAAAGCCCGGTGGCATCGTTGCTGCGCGGGAAGCTGATTATGGTGTTTTTGTGTGGTATCCTGAGCTCCCGGGGCTGAAGGAGTGGCAGACTTTGTATGACGCCGCGGCGCGACGGAATGGCGGCGAGCCGAATGCTGGTCGGATGCTGCACGTCTGGGCGCGGAAGGCTGGACTCCGCGGTGTGAATTGCAGCTGCACCATGTGGTGCTATGCCACGAAGGAGGATGTGGGGTGGTGGAGTGAGTCTTGGTTTGAGCGGTGTCTGTCGTCGTCGTATGCGACGACGGCGACGGAGCATGGGCTCGCTACGAAGGAGGATTTGCAACGCATTGCCAACACCTGGAAGGAGTGGGGGCAGCATGAGGATGCGTGGATTTCGGTTCCGAGTGCGGAGATCCTATGCTATAAAAAGTGAAGAGTGGTGTGATGGTTGCACATGTCTATTCTGCCTGTGCTGGTGTCATTTGTCTGATGCATTTCAATGGACTCCGTAGCTTTACTTCATATGCAGCTCAATTCCCATACTATATGTAGAGTCATTTCAATGAATAAATGCGCCTCAAAGAGTCACCACTGATAAGCCTGCTGTAGGATAGAACAAATACTTAGACACAGGAAACCAAACAAACAGAAGGGAGTATTCAATGCATTGCCAGCATATACCTCAAACCAATAAAGCTTTGGAAAGGAACAGAAACTAAAATTTAATTGTCAGTTGCCTTGCTACCTTGTTTGCTATGCTGCTTGCCCATTATTACACTTCTAGACAAAGAGGATGTGGACCCTTTCCAAAATGAGAAGTGGTAGCAAACAAATGCCAGCCCTCTTGCTTTCTATATAGTCTGCCTCCTCCCCACTTCTCTCTCTCCTCGCCCTCCTCATCTCTCCTTAACCTTTGTCCCTCTCCTTTTACATTTATATCCTTAATCCCAGCAGAGGGAAGTGCTATAAAGACCTGGGGCTGGTGGCGTAAGTGCCAGCGAGCGGCAGTTGCCGAAGGCATGACGAATGTCTAGGCTAGCAACTATAACATATCTACCGCAAAGTTCAACGTGCTGCCGCTTTCAGGTGTGCGAATTGTGGCGCACCTACACTACCTGCTACTTTCTAGGGCAGGAAATGGCACATCGTCGCCTACTACGACTGGATCGGTTACTTGTGACGTTCTTGCGGCGACAGCCTCGTCGCTACTCTGGCTACCCGACTGGCAGCCTCTCTCCCAGTCGCCCTTGTGCTCTACAAGATGGAGACCCAAATATGGGCCATGCAAGGTGAGTCACTTGTTTCCATTTTCTTCGTGGATCGTCTCTCTAGCGGATCTAAAACTTGCGTCTGCGTGCGCGGATGGAGAGCTGTTTAATGATGTTTACACTGGTTTACAGGCTTCCTTATATTTCTGCGAGATCAGCGTGACCAGAACAAAACGACAACTGAGCACTGGTTGCTCAGCTGTTGACTGCATTCCTCGTCTTTTTCGGCTTCCTTGTTGGTGTCTTGATAGGACTCATTGCTTCGATCATGATCTTCCAACTCATGCCATTGAAACGCTCGATGCCGAACAGAGAAAGGTGGTGCACAATTTTCTAGAACTAGGCCGAAATTGTATGACTCGGCAGGTCGGTGGGACAGTCCACACCGAGCTGAAGCTAACTGAGCGTGGACGCGCCTCGCACGAGTCGGCTCCGGGGAATGGCCGTCAAGGTTTACATCTACCACATCATCGCGGCCCTCTGTGCCAACACTACCCTCAGTCCCCTGCTCAGCGAGACCTGCTGAGGACCGTCTCAGAGCCGAACCCCGGAGAGAAGGCCCTATGACCGTCCTGCATCTCTGTGGGAACAAGTGGTGCATGAATCCCGACCACCTCGCTATTGGATCCAAAAGACTTAACGATGAGCAGACAAGCTGCCACCACGGCCTTGACGGAGAGCCACACATTCTCGCACCTATCATTGATCTGTCTTCTTACACCCCATACTTGTCATCCAAGAAGGACAATGTTCTTCAACGGGATTTCTATGCCCAATGGTCCGCGTTTCCTGACAAAGACACGATCGCCAATCCGAAATGGTGTTCACCTGCCCGGTTACGGCGGCGGGTTTCATGATCGCCGGCCGCGATTACCAAACGTCCCTGGACGACGACGACGACGCCGCGCACGGACAGAAGTCGGAAATTCCCACGGGCGTCGCTCTCTCGTGGGTTTTCCATATCAAACAACAAAGAAATACTCGATTCTTTGTTTTTGCCTCGCATCTCTTCTTATGAAGTTTTCGTTTCCAACTTCTTCTCTTCCACCAACTCTTCTGACAGGAAGACGAATCCCAAACGCTCATGAACGTTGAAGAGAAGGCGAATCGCCGCAAGAAGCGCGCTTCGAACATACCTGTGCAGGAGACCTCAGAGTCGGTCGCCGCTACGGCTCACTAAATGCCTCCCGAAGAACCAGTAAGGTTATTTGTCTTCCCTTATTTACCGTCGAACAAAAACTAACGACTAATTTCTACCTTAGGTCGTGTCTAGCGTCCGAGTATGGGAGCCAGCTGCTTTTTGGCAAAAGCCGACCTCAATGGCCAATACCCATTTCTACACCTACTTCCTCCAACGACGCAACGACTCCTTATTTCCAACTTACGGCTCTCACCATAGACATGGCCTGTCCGATGGGAGACGACGCTGCAGCGACATTCATCGAAACCCTCAACGAGCTACGGCTGAAATGCGCTAGGTTCGTCCGCGAAGAGCAGAAGCTCAACGTGAACACCGAGACCCCCGATTTGTTCGGACTTAGACTCATACGGTACCGTCCAGGTGATCCTGGGCAACAAAGGCTTGCAAAGCCTTAATATGGAAATTGATGACTCGGCCCTCATTTTCTTCCTCAGCGCGGTCTGCCACGAACACCCTGAAGTCAAACACACTGAACATCTCAGGGGCCATTACAGCGGCAGTTGTACTGGATATCGACCCTAGCCTTCTGTCTCCCAGAGCAAACAACTCACAGAAGAAATTCGGACCAGGGCTTTACAAAGGGACAGGTTCGGCATACCCTGGATGATGTGCGGTACGGTGGCACCATCGTGGAAACAACTTCTACTACACATCCTCAGTCGGCAAAGACTGCTCAAACCGTTTCCAGATATACAAAAGCCTCATGTTCAACCAAAGACTTTGAACAAAAAATGGCAGTCATTCGAAAAATGCCATAAGACCCGGCACGTATTCCTGCCGCGTCAATCTATGGATTTATGACATACGACGATGATGTCTACGTCTTCCGCAAAGAACTTCGCGATAGTGCCTTCATACTCCTACTGATTTATATGGATGATAACCACGCGACGGCTCCTATAGAGGAAGTTATTCATGACTTTTCCAATACGCTATATTTTAAGCTAAGAGAACGGCCTTTTAAACCTCGCCGAAAGCACTACTATGACGGATGCCTCTCCCATTTCTACACTAATGATCAACACATACAAATCCGCCCCCTCCACTGATCCCGCGTCTACCGACGATACTCCCAATCCCGCTCCCGATTGAGATGGCTATGCGAGTGGTGGAAAACTAGGATATGCGACGGACGTTAAAAAACTACAATGGTTATCACTCAAAACCCGGGGTTTTACATTTGCTGTCAATAAGCTGCAAAGACAGACGTCTGCCCCCCGGGAGGTCGATTACTAGGCCGTCAAACGATTGATCAGATATATTCATAGAACTCCAGATTTAGGAATTACATTTAGAACAAAGCCCACTATGGATCTCTAAGGCTTTGTGGACGTCTCCTTCGCTGATATAGAGGATATCAAACCAACGGAATCTTACGTTTTCTTCTGATCAGGCCATCCTCGGCAACAGGGTTATTAGCTGAGCCTTCGTTGAACTGGCACAGCAGTCGAGTAATCGGCTCTCGTGACTACTTGTACCGGAGAGACTATACACGGGGGAAATTGCATCGCCGACAGTCTCATAGCTGTCGATCGTCACCCTTCCGACAATCCGCAGCCAAGCTCCTGCTTCTGCTTGATACGGGCAAGGTTCAGAGACTAGATGGATGTGAGTCGGTCAAAGCACACACAAGTTGTGCGCTTTAAGCATCTAATAGAAGTTGTCGTGTACGATACTAGAGGTCCCTCTGACGTGTTGCTTCTGTTTCTTCCATCATACTCAACCCAGAAACTTCCGATGCAAAGGTTGTATAGAAGTCCGCAAGCCATGTATACAGTTCAAAATCGATAGACCAATAAAATGATATTGTTTCCTAATAGACATTTTGGAGATTCTGAGAGCGACAAGGATATCTATGTCCTTGTGGAGGTTAAGCCATACCCAATCAGGTCCTCGGGTGAGGCTATTCTGCGACCGATTCGTAACATGATAATTTGGATCACAACACCGTGAAAAAAAAAATACGTAAAGATCCATTATAGTAAGGTATAAATACTGCAATACAATGTAAGTTCCTTCGATCCCCTTTAAAAGATTGAAGCATTTCGAGGAGTCATAGTCTGGATTTCCTCTTCGGGACAAGCGGATGCAAACCAGACAAACAGCTTATCAGATAAATATTGCACTCGCATTGTGCCCTCCTCCCATGCTCCTCGTTCTTCATGCAATGCCAGAGGTTCCTCACAAGATTCAATTGTAGGAAACCAGACGGCGCATTGTCCGCTCCTATCGCCGCCATGTCTACAATCACCGAGTCCGCGCGCAAATCCATGCCTTCCGCATTGACCTTTGAGCGACACGCCAATTGTTCTGTACGACTTCTTATACCCCACACTGAAAGAGACATGCGTTTCTGACTTGATTTCTGTCGCATGACACGAACTAGACAACCAAAGCCCGCGCCAGCACCCTCCACCTGCCGCATGGCTCCGTTCCGCTGCCTATCTTTATGCCCGTCGCGACACAGGCATCCCTCAAGGGCCTAACATATGAGCAGCTCCGGCAAACGGGATGTATGCTCTGTTTGAATAACACATATCATCTCGGCTTGAAGCCAGGCCAGGAGGTCTTGGATGCAGTTGGTGGGGCGCATAAGCTGCAGGGCTGGGACCGGAATCTCTTGACCGACAGCGGAGGGTGGGATATCCTCAACATTCCCGAGGGAAAATCGTGAAATAAGAACTAATTGGGCCCGTGTCTTAGATTTCAAATGGTCTCTCTTCTCAAGCTGGCTACGGTCACAGAGGAAGGGGTGCGGTTTCTTAGTCCGCATGACGGCTCGCCAATGTACGTGTCCCTCATTCCCCATGTATTGGATTATATTTCTAACCATATTGCAGGCTTCTCACTCCGGAGCACTCGATTTCTCTTCAAAATTCTATTGGTTCTGATATTATTATGCAGCTAGACGATGTGATTGCCACTACGTCCCCTGACCATGCTCGCATCAAGGAAGCTATGGAACGATCTGTGCGGTGGTTGGACCGATGTATCGAGGCGCACAAGTATCCTGAACGACAGAACCTTTTTTGCATTATTCAAGGTGGTCTGGATCTTGAGCTCCGAAAACAGTGCTGTGCTGAGATGGTTGCACGAGATACCCCCGGTATTGCTATTGGTGGTCTCTCGGGTGGCGAGGCGAAAGAGGAGTTCTGCAAGGTGTATGTGGGCATACCTACCATCTCAGAGGCATGCGGCTAACTCGAGGAAAGTGTGGACACATGTACAGGACTGCTTCCGGAAGATAAGCCCCGCTATGTAATGGGTGTAGTAAGTTCTTCGTCTTCGTTCCCTCAATTGCCTTGACTGATGGTATGCTAGGGGTACCCCGAGGATATAATTGTGGCCGTGGCATTGGGAGCAGATATGTTCGACTGTGTGTGGCCGACACGAACTGCGGTAAGATCCTCTCTTTTTTGTCTTCGGAGAAATTACTCAACTCGCAACAGCGTTTTGGTCAAGCCATTGTTTCGTCCGGTACATTGAATATCCGCAATAAGGAGTTCGCCCAAGATTTTGGTCCCATTGATAAGGATTGCACCTGTGCTTGCTGTCGCCCAACTGAGCAGGGCGGCCTTGGAATCACGCGTGCATACATGTACCACGTGGCTGCGAAAGAAACGGTTGGCGCTCATCTGTAAGATCAGCGTTTCGTGTTCTGATTGAGATCAATTGCTAACTTCCCTGCAGACTTACAATCCATAACGTCCACTTTCTATTGTCTTTGATGAATTCTGTACACCAAGCCATCCGAGATGACCGATATCCGGACTTTGTGCGCCAGTTTTTCTCCAATCAGTATAGTGGTGACAAGTCCAAGTATCCTGAATGGGCTGTGGGTGCCCTCCGCGGTGTTGGGCTAGATCTACTAGCAGATTAGAATTGGCTAACCGCATCAATTTGCGGATGGAGTTATAGTTGCAGCGTTATAACGCAAAAAGGAGAATGCGGCCACGGGTTTGGAGTTATATCCTATTGGGCATGTAAATATTCAGCGGAGTTGAGCTGATTGAAGGTGATTTCATTTATCTTGTTAAGCAGATACGATCAGGAGTTGAAAAGAGCAAATAGTATTAATCCATTCTCGACATGGTTGACTAACAGGCGTAAGAGAGCATAGCAGAGCTCAATGTCTTCAGCCTGTTTTGCCTTGCGCAAACTGGCCAGTAAACCGCCGAATCTGCTTTCCCCATATGTACACAGGGATACCCAGTAACCCGAGCGCCGCCGTCAAAGCCCCAAAAATCCCAAATGCCCCATCATATCCATTATTCTGCACAAACGACGTCGTGCCATAGCTCGTCCCAAAGGAGATGAATCCACGGAAAGCACAGATAATGACCAACACAGGACCCGCTCTTGCAGGGTAACTGTCTAGCAGATACGTGATGGCAACGATATTCGCACCGACAAATGCGAAGTAATACGCCGCTACCGCCCACGCATACACGAACCAGTGATAATTCTCCGGATGAGAGGCTCCCTGGCCGTACAGCACGGCAGTGAAAGTTCCCACAATTATAGGCAGAATCAAAGGAAGGATCCGGGTCTCCGGCTCGTGCAGCCCTCCATTGCGATGAGCGCGCCATCGGATCAGAGCATCAGAGCCTGAGCCCAGTAAGGGCAGTGCTACCAGTGCCACGACTATTTGTCCACAATTGGCATAGCTGGCGCTTCTTGAGGGCCAGTTGTATGGCGGGTCGGTGAGAATTGTGCTGTATGTGGTTCCTATAGCGATATTTACACCGATGGTGAGTCCATTCAGACACAGCGCCCAGAACACATTCGGGAATAACAGAAGTTGAAAAGTTTGCTGGTGTTAAAATGATGTAGTTAGTTCCTTGGACTTTCTCGTTGTGGAATGCTCATACCTTAAGGACATCAACAGCTTTATGCCACTCCGGCTCTCCAATCCACAGCCGCATATCAGACCTCCATGTTCGCGGAGGGTAGTTGACATAGTCAAGAGGAGGCTTGTTCTTGCAGATAACGAGTTTTGGCTTAACTGGATCTTCTGTCCCCTCAACAGAACTCTCTGATACCGTCTCTTGGTAATCTGAGAGATTGCGGTCGTATTTGGTCTCTGGCAGGAGAAATAACGCCACAAAAAACTGAACTCCTGCTAGGCCAGCAGCGAGTGCGTACCACCCTTCTGGTGTAATGGCCCCAGCAATGGGACCCGCAAATAGAACCCAGACGGTAGTCAAGCTGACTTGGATAGCCTGTTGGACCATGAGGTACTTGCTTCTTTCGTGAAGGAAAAAGATTTCCTGTCCAGACTGTCAGTCATCTAGGCGTTTATTGTTAAGATGGCTGTACCTGTGTGATCATCGGCACCAGAGCTTCACTTTGTCCAGCACTTAGTCCCAGGACCATTCGCGCAGCAAGATGCCATTCGTATGTTTTGGCCACAGCACAGAGAACTGCACCTATAATTAGGATTATGGTAAATCCCAGTAGGACTGATCGACGGCCGACGGCAATGGCAAGTGGCATTCCAATCAGGTTCCCGAATCCCCTGTTGCACCAAAGGTCAATAGGTTGTTCTGGCTCACAATCTGATTTGACCTTTCTGTCATGGAACTCACATGAAGAGAGTCGGGTATGTCATCAGATGGGAGATACCCGCGTAGTCTACTCCCGCCGCTGCATATTCGGGGATATAGAATGTCAGGAGGCCTCCAAATCCGGAGACCAGCGAGAGACTCAACGTTGAAACTATTCAGAATGAAACTCATCAGCTTCAATCAAAAGATACTTAATAGACAAAGCGTACAAGTAGATATGACGACTAGCACAACCGTCTTCTGCCAAATTGGCATGTTCAAGGGGTCTATACTGTATGTCAGCAAGAGCCTCGCGGTGGTTATTTGTTGCATACCTCGAGGATCGGCTGTGGGAGTCGGAATATACACAATTGAGTCCTCAGTAAGCTTCACCGTTCCCATAACATTGGCCACTGAGCCCGGTGCCTGCTCGGTAGACTGGGCTGAAACAACACTTTCAATGTGCTGCTCCGAACCCTTTTCCACGTCCGCCATATTGACAAGAATATCCAGATAGAAATAGATGTGAAGTCTGGAGAAGAAGAGACGAAATCGGGCAAATTATGCCCTTGCGAACAGGAGTCAGTTCAAGAAGCTTGAACGGAAAGAGTATCCTTAGGAGACGATCACAGCGGTCCCGCTCAGTTTATAGCTTCTACCCCAGCGACAGGAGACAGTAGTACACAATTCGGGCATGCTATCCTCGGCCCCACGGGGTGATTTATTTCCCCTCACAGAAACAGGAGGAAGCTGACAAGCCTTAGGGGTGAAACCTGGGGCGAGCTGTTTTAGTGCATCTAGCCAGTCACGACCACAGCAATCTTGACTGCCATCCTGACAGCGGTGATCATGGACAGACCCAGCTAACTTTCCCCGCTTCCCCGGACTGTGTTCGTAGTGGGAATGTGGAGCTTGGTTGGTTTCGATTGGACGTGGATAAAGTTTGGCTGCCGAGTGGGGGACGATGGGGGAGCACCATCCGGAAGATGTGGACTTAGAACAACAATTGAAGCTAAGAGCTGCTCAACCTCTAAGTGCTGGAGTAAGGTTTTTTGCGTAGAGGAAAATGGAAGGAAGTTCGGTAGTTGTTTACGGTAGTGGAATTACGGCGCATTTCTAAATTGATCGAATGAGACCAACCATACGTGCATTAGGATCTAGAGTGATGTGGATTTACATAACCACAAAATACAGAAAATTTCAAATCACACACTCAATATTCGTACTATATAGTTGCATAATTCTGTGTGGTCCTTCTAATAAGCCTTCACACCAGCCAGTTTCAACACCGTATCTGTCAACTCTGGTTTCTCAAAAGGCTCGGCACGGTCCTTAGGACACACCTCCCCGTTACGCATTGGCTTTTCACTTGTAGGGCGAATATTGCTGCAAATATAATGTCAGCCCCGACTCGAAAGCTACAAGGAGTATAGTGCTTACCAGTGCGGCCAGTGGGTAGTCCCCACGAAGTTCTCAAAGCACTGCTTCTTCAACTCCAATGCTTCAGGGGTCGCAAACCGCCGCGGTGTCATGCAGATATACTGAACATGGCGGATCTGGTCGCCCTCAGGCAGGCGCGCGTAGTGCATTGTCCGAGAATCCCACAGCACGAAGTCGCCCGGTTCCATGTCGACTTTGATTAGCTCACAGCCGCGCTCTTCAAACCACTTCACGTCTTTCTCGCTGAATAGAAACAGGTCCATGAATTTCATTTCTGGAGGTGGGGCGTCTTCGTGGTCGTACGACTCGCGCTTATGGGCAAAGAACTCATCGAACAGCTTCGCGGAGCCTTTCATCAGCATGAGGCCGCCATCTTTTGGTCCATTTGGTGCGTAATTGAGGAGGCCTTGCACAGCTTGCATTCTAAAATTTGTGAGAAGAAATTTGGGTCGTATCAATCCAGAAGCTTACCCTTTCCGATCAGGGTTCTGATCACAGTGAGGCCAGGGACTCCAGCCCAAATCCTTGCGCCGAGGCAGCGAGATGTTCATCCCGTCAAATGAGCTGATGAGCTCCTTGGTCTCCCACAGGCTTTCAAATATTTGAATAACAGCAGGCTCGGTGCGTGCCTCCCATGCCATCTTCTCGTGGGGCGAACCATAGGCAAAGTACATGCTGAACAATTGATTAGCTTGAGAAAGCAGACCAGAAACTAAGTAAGACTTACCCTCCCTTGAAGCTGACGGGCAAATGGTCAGCAGTCCATGTGCTCTCGTCATTCTCGTCAAATCCAAGCTCGAAGTTCTTCAGCCACTGGATTTGCTTGTCGCGGTAGTACTGCGCGCGCTCGGGACTGATCACATTTTTAATCAGGACGCAGCCATTCTTGTGGAACTCGTCGCGCCAGTCTCCGTAGGTTCGGGGCGTGAAGGTAACCAGATCCGGGAGGTTAAAATTTGGGACTTGGTCATTGTTATCGGCCGGAGTGGCCTCGACTTTGGTGGAAGACATGATTGTAGACTTATGTATGAAAGAATAGCTCACAGACTTGGATTGATATTTGAGTGCTCAATTCGAGGCGAGAAAATAAATATATTTATCAACAAATGCAAAGCAGCGGGTGTCCACTATCTGCGGTCAGTCAACTGCTTGCTCCAGGTTGTGAAGTTTATGGGTGATCCGGTCCCCCACCCCCACTCGGCAGGGCCGTTAACTATTCGTATTTGTATGTGATAGTCACCTAGAGTAGTGTGTGTATTGTTAGGGTCGTTCCCCACCTCCCCAGATTCAATTCCTGCGGGGGAGTATAGTCGAGACTATATCTCGGCAAGCGGGGGGACGCATTTTGTGGGGGAGATAGTCATCTGTTCGCGATGTGGGGAGAAAATGTGACGCGGCATAAACGACAATTATTTTTTGGCAAAACAGGTATAATTGATGGTAAATCCATTTTACAGCCAGTCGTTTTCAGTAAACAGTCAGTCAAAGACGTATAGATCTATCAGTGTGCTGCAATCTACATTTTCTAGACCATTCGAACATCATGCCGCCGCCCCTTCAGTCCGCATACAAGCGCATCGCTCAACCCACCATTGGCGAAAATGGATACCAAGAACGTCAGAGCGGCAAGACCGAGGTGCTTCCTAGCGGATGGAACGGATTCAACGCGAAAGCCCTGAAGAGTGATATCCGTGTCGACCACGACGTCGAGATCGTGGTCCGAGATGGAGTTCGCCTGTATGCAGACGTGTATCGGCCGACTGACACGAGCGAGAAAATCCCGGCTGTGTTGAGCTGGTCGTTCTATGGGAAGAAGTACAGCGCCCTAGACATGCTTCCCATGACTGTCTGGCACTGCTGCGTCAAGCCGTCTGACCTCAGTGGACTGGAAAAGTTCGAAGGACTCGATCCACAGACGTGGTGTCCGCGAGGTTACGCGATTGTTAGCGTTGACACTCGCGGCTCGGGACACAGTGACGGGCAAATTTGTGTGATGGGGACACAAGACGCGGAGGATGGATATGATGTGGTGGAGGCAATTGCCCGAATGGACTGGTGCAATGGCAGCGTTGGGATGGCGGGCAACTCTGCACTGGCCATCTCGCAGTGGTTCATCGCTGCCCAGCAGCCTCCATCTTTGAAAGCAATTGCGCCATGGGAAGGTTCTGGCGATATCTATCGAGAACAATTCTGTCGCGGTGGCTGGTTCTCCATGAGTAATTTCGATCTCATCGCCAAGGCAATCGTGCGCGGGCCAGAGAGTTCGGGACTCGAAGATTTTGAAGAGATGTACCGGCGATCTCCCGTGTCGAATGCATTTTGGGAAGACAAACGCGCCGATATCTCTCGAGTACAGTGCCCCGTTTACATCCGCGGATCCGATGTCAGTTCCATCCACACCATGGGATCCATCAGAGGATGGTTGCAGGTTCCACATGAGGACAAATGGATTCAGTGGGGAAGTAAGCAGGAGTGGTACGAGCTGTATAGCATTCCAGAATCCACGGAGGAGTTGACTTTGTTCTTTGATCGATATCTCAAAGACAAGGACAATGGTTGGGAGAAGACACCCAAGGTCCGGTGGTCGGCCCTGCAGTTTGGAGACCGCGAGGCAATCGATGATATCGTTCTGGAGGATTTCCCTGCTCCCACAACTGACTACCGGCAATTCTTCTTGGGTGATAGCAAGAATCTCTCTGCAAATCCCGTTCCGACCTACCAACAAATCTCATACGATTCTGAGGATCGCTTCAGCGTGGCCGAGTTCAGACATACATTCGAAAAGCCAGCCCGTTTGATTGGACTGCCTAAGGCAGTGCTGTATATGTCATGTGAAGACCGTGACGATTTTACGGTCTTCGTCATCTTGCGCAAACAGGACAAGAACGGCAAGGACTTGATGCACCTGAACTTCCCATTCAATGCTACTCCAGTCAAATCAATCGATGACATCCCGGAAGCAGAGCAAGCCAGCCTCAATCTGCACTTGGGGTCGGTGGGGATTCTCCGTGCCTCGCATCGTGAGATCGATCCAGCCAGAAGTATTCACTCTCAGTTCCCCTTCCACCCGCACGAGCGACAGGAGAAAGTAACTCCGGGTACGATTGTGAAGTTGGAGATTGGAATCTGGGCCATGGGTGTGGACTTTGACGCGGGTGAGACCATCAGTGTTAGGGTAAGCGATTATCTGTTTTTCCTGAAAATCAATCCTCACTGACTCTGTTGTTCTAGATCGGTGGGCAGTACCCCAGCATCGCCGAGTACAAGACCTTCTCGAAGCCCCGGCCCGAGCACGAGCTAAACCGGGGCAAGCATTTCATCCACTGCAGCGAGGAGTACCCGAGCTCAGTAATATTGCCGTTTATTTAGAAGACATAGTTAGTCTGAAGAGCAATAGTTAAACACTTAAATAGATGATTAGGGTTTAAACTTCACGTGACCGCGCGCGTCGATTTGATTTGGCTTCGCGTCTTTCTTTCCCGTCTCCAGAACAACTGCCCCTCCTCCTTCAACACCATCATCCACCATGACCCAGGAACACCTCAACACAAGCGCAGCGGCGCCAGCGCAAACACCCCCAAAAGCGCACGATCCTTCCCACGAGGAACATCAATATCTCAATCTCATCCGCACAATCCTCTCGCAAGGCGAACACCGTCCGGATCGCACGGGGACAGGAACGCGCAGTCTGTTCGCACCGCCGCAACTACGCTTTTCCCTTTCAAAGCCAAACCCAGACGGCGGATCCCCAATCCCAGTGCTGCCGCTCCTAACCACAAAACGCGTCTTCCTACGCGCCGTGCTCGCCGAGCTCCTCTGGTTCATCTCAGCAAACACCTCCTCGATTCCGCTCTCCGAAGCAGGGATCAAGATTTGGGACGGGAACGGCAGCCGCGAGTTTCTCGATAAGGTCGGACTCGGACACCGCGAAGAAGGCGATCTGGGCCCCGTGTACGGGTTCCAGTGGCGACACTTTGGGGCGGAGTACGTCGACGCGAAAACCGATTACGAGGGTCAGGGCGTTGATCAGCTCAAGGATGTCGTGCACAAGCTTATGCATTCGCCGTTTGATCGGCGCATTATCATGAGTGCTTGGAACCCTGCGGATCTGAAGAAGATGGCCCTTCCGCCGTGCCATATGTTCGCGCATTTCTATGTCTCGTTCCCGCCGGGGATGAAGCTCGATGAGAATACGGGTCGACCAAATGAGAAGGGAACGCTTTCGTGTCTTCTTTATCAGCGGTCGTGTGATATGGGTCTCGGTGTGCCTTTTAACATTGCTTCTTACGCGCTGCTTACGCATATCATTGCCCACGCTGCGGATCTGCATCCGGGGACCTTGATTCATACCATGGGTGATGCCCATGTGTATCTCGACCACATTGATGCCCTGAACGAGCAGCTTACGCGTGAGCCGACTGAGTTCCCCGAGCTGCGGATCAAGCGTGATGATCGTGGTAGCGCTGTTGTCGACGGCTGGAAAGAGGACGAGTTCGAGGTTATTGGGTATAAGCCGCACAAGACGATCAAGATGAAGATGAGCGTTTAAACGGGCTGTGCTATGAACTGTATGATACCAATCATTTTTGGAGGATATAAATGTCTTTGGAGATAGACAGAGCCAACAATGGCGTCATTCCTAATATGTGCAAATCAAATTCCTAAATCATGCTCTGGTATCAAGTCAAGTATATCCAGGTATATACGCAAAGATATGCAATAGAATCATGACTTCCCAAGAACCGTCCCCGCCCCCCTCAGCAGCACAATGGTATCCCCGGACTTGACCCTGCCACCACCAAGGGCATCCGAGAACTCCAAAAACTCCCCGGACTCAACATGAAAAATCCTCAGCCGAGCCTCCTCCCCTCCAGCGCGATTATTTAGATTCTCCACCTTGAGTCTGCGGGCCACATCATCCAGCACGCGCCCGACCTTCCATCGACTATCGAAATAGAAATCCCCCGCCGGCGGTTCCGACGCCTGCGTATCCGCCGTCCCGACAGTATGCAAATATACCCGCTTGTCAGCAGGGACGCCCGGGTCGCCCTTGGCGGAGCGTTTCATCTTGTTCACCTCCGCGGCGCGTGCAGCCGGTGAGTTGGGTTTTGGTTTCGGTTTGGGGATGATGTTGTTAATGTTGGTTGACGTCGCGGATTGTTGTTTCTCACGACCCCATGTGCGCACCTTCGCGAACATGGACTTGAGCGTTTCGTTCGCGTTGGCGCCACTCCCGCCCTGCCTCGCTCCGAGCGGCGTGATCTTCGCGCAGTCGTGCTCTTCGCGGAGTCGGTGCTTAAGGCAATACTGCCGATTACACTCCGGACAGCGTACACCGGGGTCTTTGAGGGTATTAACGAGCGTTTTGCAAGACACGTGCGCGCACTGGTCTGAGTTGTAGATATTCGGGCGCTCTGTCGCAGTGCGTTTTTCTTTATTGTTGTTATTGGCGGTTCCGTTGCGTCGTCGGGCCCACTCGCCCTCGCGCGGACATTTATGTGCGATTTCGCTGCGGTGATCGAGACAGAACGTGCTGTGGCATGATTCGCAGCGGAAGGGGAGGAAGTCCAGCTGGCCGCAGTATTCGAATTGGCAGTGGCGGCCGATGGACTCGAGGTCTGTGTCCGCCATTTGGGTGTAGGATTCTTGTTGTGAGGAGGATGGGGGCAGGTGCTGCCCTTTGGGTCTATTGAAGGACATGCTGGCGGCGAGTTAAAAGAGTGGCAAGGAAAGAGAGCGACAGGTATAGGTTGTTGAGCTGGAAACCGCTGGCAACATCTTGACTAATGCGGAGAAGATTCCAGGCGCTTATCTAATACTCGAGATAAGCAGATTATCAATCGCCGTAGCCGACCCGAACTACGAATGTTTCCTATTAACTATTTGCAAAACTATCGGATAATTTCACAGAGTAATATTATAGGTACTGCCAATCTGGGCTTACTTTTAGCGGCAACATCCAGTGTGGAATATAACTGATTTCGAGAAGTACTGTAAAGCTAATCCTCGAAATGTGTTATTAGAATACCTAGCTCCCTAGACCAAGCTTTTTATACTGACTGACAAACTCTTCAAACAGCTTGTTAAGACCCAAGATGTTCAACGGGTCCTTATCATCATCCTGATCCATAAAATTAAGCATGTTATGGATTTCGAACGTGATAGCCAGCATGACCCCCAGCTCCGATTCCATAAAAACTTGCTCCCCTGTATCCGAGTCACCAGTCGTTTCGTTCCACTGCTTTGCATATTCCTCGCAAAAATGTCTCTTCTCCTCTTCTGTGTAAGGTCGGCAGGTGGCAATTTTGTTCTCCTCATCAAACCACTTGAACATCTTTTGCAGAAAGTGCCCACCAATGTCGAACCCTCGGTAATTCTGAAAGACGAACTCAAAATCTATGAGGACAATTTTGCTTTCTCCTTGCTTGGGGCTGTTCTTCACCATCACATTCATGAGTTGAACATCGTGGATGCACCATCCCTTTTTTCCCCCAATGGATTCCAGCCTGTCTGTGACTCGTCTTAACCTGGACACAAAGTCATAATCAACCAGATCGTCCATACTGACGCCTCCTTCGTTGGCTAGCCTTTTTAGCTTCTCCATCTTATGATATCTTGCAAGCTCGCTGGTGACTGCATCGTAATATGGCTGAACCGGGTTCTTCTTCCGTTGTGTGGCCATGGCGTGAAAAACGGCATGTCCTCTTGCAACATCGGCTCGGATATTTGCGTCCTCCACATCTTCTGGCTCCAAATTGCGTGCATCCAAGAACTCGTCGATCCTTCCGAAAGCGCCATCCTGTGTCTGAAAGAAACCATAGACCTTGGCACCAAGACCTGATTGACCGTAGTCATAGCATAGTTGGGCCTCTTCGGGTTTATTGGGAACCAAGTGCTTGAACACCTCAATTTCTCCGTCCAGTTCGCCGTGGACCTTGAAGAACACCTTGAGAGGTTCTGAATGTGTGTTATCCTTTGGCTTTGGCCGTTCCACTATACAGTTCGTGTTTGCGTATCCAGTATTGTATTTCACAATGAGCGTTTCTGGATCCACATGTGGCCACTCGTTGATGAAAAACGTGCCCACAATATCTTTAATCATAGCCTTTGTTGGTGAGCCATCTTTCGGAATAGCCACAGGAACATTTATGCAGGGTACCATCTTATTGTGTCCGTGTAAAAGAATGATGATCCACAATGGTAGGTTATTAAACAACTAAGGCAGATAAATAGCAGACATAAGAAAATCCGTGGCAGAACGGGCTTACAATTGTTAATTGTTTTATATGCAAAAAAAGGGCATGCTTTGTTCTGGTCACCCGCTGTCGTTTGTGAGTCAAGATGACACTTTTAGCGAAAGAGGGGTCCTGAGGTGGGGGCCAACTAATCACTAGCACTTGAGATACTGCCTGGGAGCCAGACAGTATGGATGTTTCGCTCCGCATATTGTGGTTTCCTCTGTGCACTCAAACCCTCTCCCAACAAAAGTGGAAGGATACATAGGGAACACAGCTATAATTCTGTATCTGCTAAAAGCTAAGAATGGGTCAGGAGAGCAAACTCTTTCTGCTCCGAACAATAGAACAATAACCCAAACAGTAGAAATTTGTTTTACAGGCAAATAAGAGTAACTCCGTACATAAGGGGTATATGGGGGGAAAATAGACATGAACACAACCGAGAAACCAAGACACCATAAGGGGTATGACCGTAAAGCCAATCATCCTTGACGCCAAAGAAAGCAACTAAACAAGCCCAGAGAATTAGGAATGGTAGGGGTAGCTGCCACCGTAATTGGGGTTGGCAGAAGCCTGCTGTCCAGACATCGTGGTGGTTTGTGGCGCCTGCTCCTGTTGCGCCTGCTCCTGGTCAGGATTGGCCGGCGCGGCGAAGGGGATGGGGCTGCTAGAAGTGAACACGGGTAGGCCATGCTTGGTTTGGGTTGTGGACATTGTAGGCGAGAAGACGCGTTTGGAGTGCTGCTGCTGGGTAGGTTCCGAATTTTGGATGGTGTCCGGGGTAAGAGGAGGAGAGGAGTTGGCGGCGAATGCGGTTGAGAGCTGTGGAGCAGTCCACTGCGATGGATCTGCAGGTGCAGGTGCAGATATGTCTGACATGCCAGCGGTTGGAAGCACCGGAGAAGAAGCAAATGGCGTGCCAGATGACGAAACAGATTTGGTCTCCTGCTTCACTAGACTATCCAATGGGATCTCCACGGTGGGGGTAGGAAGAGGAGGCGGCGAGCTGCTGGGAGTAAGTGAAGAAGGCCCGGCAACAGGCTTGCTGCGGGGAGCTTTGGTGCCGCCACTGGACTTGCGCGGAGACCGCGGAGATTTGGGAGTCTTGGATGATGACGGTGCTTTGGACGTGGATTTGCGATCCTCTGCTGCTTTCTTCTCACGCGCAACCTGTTCCTCCGGCGAGGGCATCACCAGTTTGATCTTGTGTACACCTGCAGAAAGGCTATCGATATCATCAGGGGTATCCTCATCCGCGAGCCTGGAGGGACGGAAAACAGCAGGCACCTTGGGCACTGGAGGGGCTTTTCGGGGGCTGGCAGAGCGTCTTGGGGTGCCGGGACGAGAGCCGCCACTGGTCTTGCGAGGGCTGGCTGAAGTGGTCGATTTCTCGGTGGGAGCCGTGCCTTGCAATTCACCCATGTCAACAGCGGCTGCAGTCGTGCTCTTCCTGCGATTGGCATCCACGGAAGGAGACGTCTCTCCCGACGCATCAGGAAAGTCGTTAACATCGATGGTGGTTCTCCGGTTCTTTCTCATGGCTTGCTGTCTTGGAGTGGCTGGTCGAGGCGAGTAAGGGGTTGGCGACTTGGCTTTACGCAAACGAAGCTGCCGCTTATCCTCCAAAGGCGTAGGGGGTTCGGGAACTGGAGCGAACCTGTTGACGCCACCATCCAAAGCGACCTGGCGGTCCCGCCGTTGGCGAGATGCTTCTGCATTGAGCTCCTCCGGGCGATAGCTCATTGTCTGTCGGTGTTCTGGGATAAGAGCCTTGGACAACTCATGTGTCGCCGTCGCCCAGCCGACTTCCGGCAGAGGTGGAAGACTTGGGTCAGAGCCTGGATGAGAACCAGAGCCGGTGGACCTGCGATCCCGGTTGGGAGTAACCACTTTCGCAGAAAATGAACGAGTGGGCGCAAAGTATGTAGGGGCGGACTTCTCCTTGGGTGGCGGAGACATGAGAGCCTCCAATTCGGACAGGAACGCTGGGGACCACCATTCACTGTCATACTCGCCCGAAATCTGGTTCAGGGTGTCCTTTGGGGGTGTGGTAGAGATACCCAACCGACCGGTCATTTCAGATGCCAAACGGCTGTCCGTTGATTCCTGTGTGATTGCATCCCCCAGCCCAGCCAAATGACTGAGCACTCCGCTGGTCAGAGCTCGATCACTGTAGCCGCCTTCCAGAACACTGATGACGCGCCCATCAACGCCGAGCCCTTCTTCCTGCGACATGCGGACCACGTCGGCGGTGAACCTGGCGTAGAACTCGGTTGGAACATTGACCTTGTGGCGCTGCATCCCAGTGCTTTCCCACTCGCTTGCATCAAATCCAGCCGAGATGAAGATAGCAGCCTTGGGCGGAGGACCGCCAGGAGTTTCTGCGAGTCGTTTGGTGTGGTTTCGAAGAAAGGCGCGCGCCTTGTTGACCAAAGTCACGTATTTGGTCTGGTACAACTTCCAGAACTCCGCCTCAGTTTCCCAGGTTTCGAGGTGCACGTTCCAGATGGATTGGCCATGCGCTCCGTCGATGCAGACGCTCGCGTTGCGCACCTTGTCCGGTTCACCACCCTCACAAGGGTAAGAGTTGATATCGTGAAGGCTGTAGTATCCAATAGCGGTCTTTTTGAAAGGGGCGACGTTGCGAGGGGCCGTTGAAGCCTTGTAGTTGTGAGCCCATGTAATTTCCTGTGAGCCGTCTCCATGGTGAAGGTCGAAATCCAAGATGGCAGCATGAGTCAAACCGTGGTACATCGCCCCATATGAAATTCCGACGTGGACATTGTTGATCCAGCAAAAGCCCGAGGGGAAGTCGGCAGAACAGTGGTGTCCCGGAGGACGGATGCAAACGAAGGCACGGGAGGTCGGACCGGGCCCAAGAACAGCATCCACGCCATCGCAAACACCACCCAGGGCGCCTTGCAAAGCATTCAAGGACTCCGAGCATAGGTACAGATCTCCCGAGTGGAGCGTAGGGCGACTGCTGGGCTCCAAGCCATCGTTGCCCTGTGTCTCCGGGCGAACGAGTTCCTTGCCGGTCAGCGCAAGACGCGGTTCCGCCACATCGCACATGCTTTTCAGATCTGCCATCCATTGCGCACCATGGACATTCGTCACGGCCGGGTCAGAGAGGGTCAGAAACCTGGCTGTTTTGCGAATCTGGAAAGGTGTAGGCAAGCCATGGAGGTCTAGATCTGGGTGAGGCGCGAACCGCTCACCAGCATGTCTACCACCGAGACGAACATAGGCGGCAGATACACCCAAAACACAAGCGCGCATGCGCTCTGGTCTCTCTACAATAGACGCCAAGTCGGCCCGCTTTGCGCGTGGGCGCGAAAAGCGGTGGCCGTAGCAGGCGTCATGGACCACCACAACGGTCTTGGACCGCAGATCTACGGCCTGGTGTAAATCGACCTCTCTCTGGAAATGTTCGGCAGCAATCGACGCGGCGGTTGGGCCTGTATGCTCCGGCGCGAGTCTCTGAGGAAACATGGCGGGCGACGCGGTGGAGGTCGGGGACCCCGCAAAGTTGGCAGACGAGTGGCGCGGCGAGGCTAGGGGGAGGTAGGACCGTTGTTCTGAGCGGATCGCAACGAGGCGGCGGACGCACGCTTCTGCAGAGCGGGGGTAGACTTGCGCCGTTCGTCGCGCAGGGAGCTGGAGCTGGGGGTCCGTCGGGGGGTCTGGTGGTGGCTACTCGCAGCAGGCAGACGCAACGGCGGGCCATCGCGAGGAGATAACAGGGACGGCGACGCAGGTAGAGGGGTGGCAGCGGCATTGGCCAGAGTCAGGCGGTTCAAAGAATCGGACAGCGCATAATGGGATTGATCCAGGGTCGTCGCGGTGGATGGGGGTGGCGGATCGTCCTGGGACGAAGGCGGTTTGGGCTCCATGATGATGGTGGAGAGGGAGCATATAGACAATAAAGAAAGAGTCGTACAAAGAGGTGAATAAGAATAGTGCGGAAGGAGAGAAACAAAGAAGGACGATGGAACGGTTAAAGAATGGGGCAAGGGGCGAGTCGATCATCCAAACAAAACAGATCGGCACTACTAAGACATTATTGATCTACAGTGGTTCTAGTTTCAACGTTGCAAATAATCATCAAATGACTTACCGTTATTGCTGCAGGAAAAAAATGTGCGACGGATCTATAGTAGAGGGAGGGCATTATAAGGGGAGAGTATACATATCTGATTCACTCTCACAATAATATGTGTTCATCGCAGAAAATAAAGACATGAAAGAATCAAAACCATCCATCTTGAATAAACGCCAGAATCCAAAACACCAAAGCTCTAAAATAAAATCGTCCACCAGCGCATCGCATCACCAGCGCGCCCGCAGGCCCCGCCACTGATACCACTGGAACCATCGACGACCGAGCGACGATTTCTCATCCAGACTGTCTTGAGATCGGCGCCGGATCTTATCCTCTTCCCTGCGGCTCTTCTTCTCCGACTTGAACCCGCGCGTTGCGTGCGTCTCGCAGAAACAGTGCATGTGTACCGTCTCGACACTCACGCCCGGGCAGCTGTTGCGGCGGTGGGCGGCGCAAACGTTGTTGCCGGCGTCTTCCTCGCACTGGCACCATTCGTACAGGGTGAAGTATTGGTGGCACATTTTGATTTGATCGGTGATCTTTTTTGATCTCAATTGAATCCTCGAGGATCACGGACAGCTTCCGTGGGGTTCTTTTCTCGGCGGGGGAATTGGCGGAATCGCCGGCAGGGAACCGGATGCCACGGATATGGGCGGAAAGAGAAAAAAGGTTGGATGTTTCTCGACCAGATCGACTGGGAGGGTCAAATTGGGCGAAGAGGAAGCTGCTGCAAGCTTTGCCTTTTGTGGATGGTTCGGTCTGGAGGGTAGTAGTCCAGCTGGGTACGAGGTCAAGGTAGCAGCGAGGATAGATAGACAGCCTCAGTCCAGCTGAGAGTAAGAAGAGGAGGGAGGGTTGACCGTGGAGAAGAAGGTCAAGGAAGGAAGAGAAGGTGTAGGGTATAATACAGAGGAAGAAATCGCCTAAGCGCTTACAACTTGGCAGTGGCCGCCTAATATGTAAGAATGAGTGAATAATGGAATGGATCATTGACCCATTGAACGGTGGAGCTCTTGACGTCAAGGACCGGCTCAATGCGATCAATGGAGGTGTCGCCAAGGCAAAGGAAATCTTGGACCGGTTACATTTATTGTCTGGTCTACCGAGAGTAAACGTAAATGACCAATGGTACCTGCATTGGTCAGTCGTACCCTTGTTCCTGCACGGTACTTTGTCTCTGACCGATTTAGCCCTAACGACGACAGATCCAATCCCGACAAAGAACTCCTCAGAAAGCGCCAGGAGACAATGCAACAGCACAATGGGTATGTAACACGCATTTAAGAATAGATCAGTTTGAGACCCAACGCCAGATCAGATTAGCCTTGAAACGGGTTCGTGTGACGGACTAGGCGATCCGCCGCAGCCCGGGCGGCTTTCTTTTCCGAGATCGCCGACGGTTATTGGTCCACCGGCTGTCAGAGTAGCCGCCTGACAAACCACATGATCGGAAAATAAAATAAGAAAGCATACTGTAGCATTTTGGGGGAGGCAGTGCCGGCATTCCGGAGCTCACATGGCCCAGATCTGGAGTTTGGGGTTTGCGAGACGCAAACGGAACGAACATGTTCGGCAAGTCTCGGCCAAATCAGGTGACCTTGAATGCCTGTTTGTGCCTGAGGCATCAATTACTTTATCTGGAGCTAGTTTGACGGCTCCGGCCGGGGATATTGATTTGATGCTCTTCCAACCACCACGCCACACAATGTCCACCGAACAATCCCAGCCCGACATGTCCACCACGCCCGCCCGCGCCTCCGCTCTCCTCGCCAATCTCTCCGCCGTGAGATCCCTCATCACAACCGCAAACCCCAGCAAACCCGTCCGGCTCGTTGCCGTCTCCAAGCTTAAACCGGCCTCCGATATCCTAGCACTGCACCAACCCCCCGCAAGCCAGCTGCACTTTGGCGAGAACTACCTCCAAGAACTGCTCGAGAAGTCCCGCCTCCTACCGCCCAGCATCCGGTGGCACTTTATCGGCGGCCTGCAATCGAACAAATGCGTCACATTGGCGCGCGACGTGCGCGGTCTATGGGCTGTTGAGTCTGTCGACACGGAGAAGAAGGCCACGCTGTTGGATAAGGGGTGGGGAGAGCGGAAGACCCAGACAGGTGATGAGGCAGATGAAAACCAGAAGCTGCGCATCTACGTGCAGGTGAACACCTCCGGCGAGGAAAACAAAGCCGGCGTGGAGCCCGCCGAGGCAGCTGGACTGTGTCGCTTTATTAGGGAGAAGTGTCCGCGGCTCAAATTACAGGGCCTTATGACTATCGGCGCGATTGCGCGCTCGAAGGCTACGACGCCTGAGAATGAGAATGAGGATTTTGTCTGTTTACGGGAGACGAGGGATCGCATTGTCAAGGAATTGGGGATGGAGGGCGAGGATGAGGAGAAGTTGGAGTTGAGTATGGGTATGAGTTCGGATTTTGAGGGTGCCATTGCCCTGGGCAGTGATCAGGTTCGCGTGGGGACGACTATCTTCGGGGACCGGCCGCCCAAGTCGCAGGCGAAGGTTGTTTAGATATAGGACGGTTATGATGTTATGACTTGCATGTATGAGAAAAGCACAGAAAGTGTCAGTGTATATATATTGTACATCAATCGATGTATTACTAGTCATACAAAAAGCATATACGAGAAGTGAACTAACGACTGCTGGTATTTCTTCGAAACTCGTCAACTACCGAGGTAGTCAGGATATACATACAATGCTGTCAACACCTCATTCAATTCGAAGCGACCTCCGAAAAGCCCTGTGACAGCTTCAGTTCCATCTGTCTCGACAATGCCCGCGGGACGTCCTCTTGCGTCGCACGGATCGTAACCCGATACATCTATCAGAGTGAGTTAGTATGACACGACAAAAGCTAAGGACGGAAGGCTGAACATACCGACTTCTCGTAATTGGGTTCCAGCCGCAACAGGCAGCCCGTCTTCGCTTCCTCGGTCTGGAATACCGCGCACCCGACGATATTGGTCCGGTTCGGGTCCACATTGTCCAAAATCTTCCACGCGAATCCCTCAACGATCCGTCGAGTAAAGGACTCGCTGATGCGCTTGTTCTTCCCAGTCAGACCAAAAGTCTTCTGTGACTCGAGCGGCCCCCCGCCAATCTGGCGCCAGCGCTTGAAAAAGTCCTCCGCTGACAATGCGGAGGGCTCCATGAATCGGTGCATCAGAATCGGGAGCTGGAGCGTGTATGCTTGGAGAGCACCGGCCAGATAGGAAATGCGGATAGTCGGGGCATCTGCGAAAGCTCCGTGAGCTGTGGAGAATAGTGTCTGTTGTGTCTGGCCAGAGGCAGCGACGCTCGGTTCCGGGAGGCTCTTGGTGTCGATTTTCAGGCTGGGCGAAGCTGGGTTGTCGACCGTGGTGGTTAGAGACCCGATGCCATACGTCGACTTGTTGGTGATATAGAGCTTTAGAACACCCATGGGACCACGGTATTCGGACCGAGTGCCAACCTGGATCTGCGCGTCTTCGAAAAGAACACCCTCGTTGGCGAAGTAAAGCCGGTTGAATCCAATGTCCCAGTCCGGCGTGAGATGTGCAGCACTAGCCATGTTTGGCGGCGGTGCCGCCGGCGTGCTGTTGAGATCCAAGCCAGCCAGGTCTCCCGAAGCCCCTCCCGGAGAAGTGGCGCCGTTAGCACCTGTTCGCGTTCCGTTGACAATTGTCGAGAAAGTGCGCTTGAGACCAGTATTTTGCGCCATAAGAACTTCCTGCTTATCGGCATTGGCAGCTTTGCCGCCTACCACCCACGTCTTCCTCTCACTCGTCCCAGCCGTCTTCTGGTGCAGGCGCGAGAGAAGAATAGACGTACGTTCAGAGAAGGGCGGCATCTCGTCGCACACAGTCCGCAGCAAGTCGTCGGTGGGAAGTGTCGCCAGCGACAAATACTCAAATGCCCGCTGTTGTAATTCGGTGTCGGGAGAATGACTATACAGACGGAAAATTTGCAGGAGCTGAGGCTTGATCTCGGGGAACAGGTTGACAAACTTGACAAACGACGACAGGATCATGGCTCGGGTGTTGTCCGAACTGGTGAACATCTTCGCCTGCAGTGCCATGAACTGCTCTATTGGGCTCGACCCTGCACTGTCGGCAACGAGGTGACCAAATTCGCCAAGAACGTAACAGCCAATCTTCACCAAGCTCTCGTGGCACTCGGTCTTCAAATAACCCAGCAGGTTGTGCGCTGCATATGCCTGCAACTCCTCATTGTTGGTGACGATCTGGATCACTCGCTGCCACACCTCCTCGTTCACGTGCTCTCCAGCCAGCGACAAGAGTTTCAGGGTCATGTCAATATACCATTGCGCGTCGGTGGCGTATTTCTCCGTGAGGATGGCAATCTTCAGCACCATCTCTTCACGAATAGCGTAGTCGGCCGTTTGAAGATACCGAAGAAGCTCGTTGACGATCGGGCCGGCATTGGTGGTGTCACACATACTGTACAGCAGATCCAGACCCTTCCTCCGGACGCTGATATCTCGGTCTCGTAGTGAGCCGAGGATGATGTTCTGGTGCTTTTTGATGGGGTCAAGGGTTTCAGCGCGAGCAGCAAAATGGGTCATTGCGTCCAGTCCGAGGTATCGCACGTTGGTTTCGCGGGACTGGATGTATTTGCCCAGGCGAGTAGAGATTTGCATCATGAGGTTGTGTTCGGAGTCAAGGTGAATAAGGAGATTGATGGCTTCAAAGAGGACCGCATTCTGGGCGTTGTTCTGCTGCACGTTCTTAGGGGTTTCCATTGCGGATTGCATGATTTGCTGGAGAGATTCTCGAATGATCTCCCGGACGTGGCTGTCCTCTAGAGCGGGGTTAGACTCTGACTGAGTAGACTGGAGGTTGCAAACATACGCGATGGTGGATAGTACTGCAACAGGCGAAGTAACTTGACCTGTATCCATGGACAAGGCACCCGGTAATAGAGGTAATCCGGCGCAATGTCATTGTCCACCACAATCCGCTTCAGTCGTTGAGCAGCCTTGACATAGCATCCCTTGTATTCCTCCGGCAGATCCTGGGCGAGGGCCATGACCAAAGATGTCACGGACAGCGTGACACCCATGTCCGGGTCATCCATGATCGAGATGATGCGCTCAGCCCATTCGTTCCGCACGATGCCGGGGTATTTGCGATACAAACGCAGCAGCGTCAAAGCAGCCTTCTTCTTGACAAAGGCTTTCGAGGTTCTAGGAGGTGTTGTCAGCACGTGTTAACCAGCACTACGGCGATAAAAACTCACGGTGAAATCAAAAGTCGGTGGACCTCGGAGCCCAACGCCTCCCCAAGCTCCTTGCCGCCAACATTGGCGACCGCATGCAGCGCCAGACAATTGTTAAGCTCATGGTGGTCGAGCAAATCTTTCCGAATACTGTTGACAACCAGGTGTAGCAACTCGTGCTCCTCATGTAGGAAGAGAGTGACGGCTAGGTAGCCGATCTGTTTCTCGGAATATTTGGTAGACGAGATGAGATTGACGGCCTCGAGGTGTCCGAAATCGACGTCGTACCCCTGGATGTAGACATATAACAGTTTGCAGACGTATTTCTTTTTCTGGTAGCCGTTGAGGTGGCCTGACTTGAACTTCTGGCGGATGTTGGCCAGCTCCTTGTTCACCCGTTTTTCCTCGAGTTCACGAGCGCGTGCATTCCGCAGGTCGGCGATGAACTGGACCAGGCCTCGCATCGACGACATGATGGCGCGGTGGTGTCAGGACGGTTGATTCGGGGGTGGGGGAAGGGTTTAGACGAGCTGTCGAGCTGCCGAGCCACGCGCAGATCACCTCAGGGGTTTTGCGATCGGAAAGACGTCACGCAACCATGTCCCTGAGTCTGGGGGCTATGAAGGATTGGCCATCCGGGGGTTGCGTGGTGGTAGTGGGGGTCTTCAACGGGAAGAGCGGAGGTGGAGGGGGGAGATTTAGTTTGCAGAGCTCCGGGTGGGAGAGAGACAGGGGAGGAAGAGAAAGCGAAAGAGGATTGCAGAGGATCCTGGCGGCACGTCAGCAACACGCTGGGTGGGCCGGGCGCATTCGAGCAGGGGATGATCGCCGCACAGAACCAAAATAAATATGCTAGTAGTTACACAGGAGAAAAGAAGCCAAGCAAGCCAAGTTCCTCTCCCGAAATGCGTTAAACTATGAACAGTTCTTCGTCGATCGTGGCGGTGCGGGAAAAACGTTGATGCGCTGTATACAGTTAATTAGTGTTGCGGATGAAGGACTTGTACTCAAAGAAAGGAACTTCATCCGAATGGTATCTGAGCCTAAAGGTGCCACTGTCGAGGATTGCCAACTCATCTGTCTTTCTCAGTATTAGCTTCAGTCTGGCGAATAGTGATGGAATAATATAAGTGGTGTTGCAAAAGTCTGCAACCCTTCCCTTGCCGCCTAAGCGGTTATAGTGTTTCAGACTTTTGCAACACCACTCTACTAGGTCGGGCGATTCAACATCATCAAGTGACGTACCGAGTGGCGATCATTCAAAGTCCATGACCGAACGTCAAGGAATTTGCTCGGACCTTGTAGCAGATGTTCATCCTGGGACAAAGAGGTGCAGGGTATTGGACACAGAGAACGAGGCCAAGGAAGAGAATTTCCGTCATTTGTTTACAAAATGTTGCTGAAAAGGAGCTTGACATCAAATTCCTTTCTTGCATTGTAAAAGATGGAACGTAGAGATGAGGAGCTATTCAATTTTTCAGGCGAGTTCAAAGACAATCACCGGGAAGTTCGGAGAGAGTCATTATAGCGAGATGGCAATACGTCATCTCCCTGGTTTGAACTCCTAGGAACGCCAGTACGCAGCAGTGCGGTTAGCATTGGAGTAGGCGAAAGATCAGAAGCAGGATGAGAATTGAAAGGGCTGGTCAGTCGTGAGCAGAGGTGTGACCGGCTCAAGGGCGGCCCAGTGAGCAACTCACACCTTGATCTACTAGTCGATCGCAACCCGACGCGGCAGTGGTATCGTCACCAGTATTACGATTTAACTTGGGCTAAAGAGCCTACAATTGTGGGGCAAGATCTCATATGAGCCAAGAGAACATGCAGTCTAACTGGCCAATCGCAAGTTTGAATACACATATTACCTAGTCTGTAGTCCTTGTTTTTGTTATACTGTTGACGATATCGCAAACTTTCTTCTATTTTTGGCAAAATAGAGCGAGGTCACGGGTGACGGTATAGGTTCGTTTGTTCGTACCCAGATTTCGCGCAATTGTGGTTCGTACCGAGGGCACAAAAATAGAAAGAACGTAGTTGGCTGGATTTCCCAACCGGGTCTGCCAACGACTTACAATCATCATAGAGTCCCGGCTTCAAAAGATCCGAGCCAATTCGGTTGCTTTCTGACTCTTAACAATTTACGCGTTGTTCCACAGTCCATTGAAAGCATATATGCGCAAGAGGCGTGTTTCGCATAGCCCAGTTTTTTTGAATGGTACTGTTCCTAGTGTGATACATTTAAGTGAAGGTTACTCAAACCCAATCGTTTAAAGGTGGCAGGGACTTTAGTTTGATGATCCTGTCCACCCTGAGAGAAGTTTGCATGTTATCCCTGTGATCAGCCACACGACCATCGATATGCGGTATTTACGCGGAGTATTATGGGATCACGGAAAGGGAAACCTTCGGCTTGAAGGTTAGCTAACCTGGGTGTCACGACTACTTGCAGGATCCATAGTCAATCAACATGAACTACTTATGTAAAACATACCACACACAAACCATGGTAGTCCCCATCATCCGTTCAATCCGTGATGCGGCCTGTGCCGACTCATCCTGGAAAGATGACCCAGGCTGCGAGCCATGGTAAACAACGTTGGCGCCACTCAAACCCTGTTGACTGTTGCCCCATTTCAGGAAATGCGAGAACAGCATGATCTAGCCCACGATGAGGCTCAGCACATTATGGTCCCGCTGATAGGTCCCAGGAATCATCGTATTCGGACCTCAGTTTTGAATGACGTCTACTCTAACACCCACATCCGATTAGTCCAGGCTTACAAGCATTTGCTATACGAAGTAAAACAGTAACTGCTGCTCCTCCTCGGTATAAGTATGCCGTCACTGCTTCCTGCCAGTCCATTTCCAAACCCCAGGATCTAAGCTATTCACAATTTCCTCAAAGACGAGTTTCTTAAAGTCACTATACTATTAAGTCCTCTTCGGTCTCAATCATGAACATGAAGGGCTTCGTCACCCTCGCGGCTTTTGCTGCTGGCACTCATGCTCTCGTTGGCCGCGGCGGTAGTTGCTGCTTCCAGCTTAACAGCCCCTCCGGCCCTGTCGGCCAGCTAAGCGATGGACAAAACCGTATCGGTGACCAGACTCTGCCTCCTGCACAGTTTTGTATCAGCTCAGATGGCTCAATCACCGATGGCAGTGGCCGTGGCTGTATTCTAACCCGTGAGTGATATACTATATAGGCATTGAAGGAAACCTTGGAAGCTAACAAATGACCTAGCACCCACCACTCAGTTCCAGTGTGATGTGGGTGCTACTCCTACCTCGGGTTTCTCTATTAGCTCCACTGGCATGCTGGAGTTCAACGGAAGCCCTACCTTCATCGCCTGCCAGACTGGCCAGAACGGTGGCATGAACATCCATACCACCGAAAGCACCCCTCTCGGCCAGTGCATGAATGTCGAATTAACAGCCAACGCATGCTTCGCCCCTACCTCTACCAAAACCACCTCGTCCGCTAGCACTAGCTGTCCCTCCACCTTGTCGCAAGGCAACTTTGAGTTCCCACACCTAATCGTCCCTATCAATTCAGCGTCTCCCGGAACCGCAGCTGGCACTCAGTTCAACGGCGAGGTGACCTCAACTATCTCAAGCATCTTCAACTTCGACATCCCCTCGTCCGATTCCGGCAAAACCTGCAGCCTAGTCTTCTCGTTCCCCCAGCAGGCCGATCTCCAAACCTCGTCCTTCACCCTCAGCGGTGATGGCAAGGTCGATATTGCTAGACTATCCGGGGCTGCTTCTAGCTCAACTACCTTTAATAATGCACCCTCTGTCGCCCAGGACCTAGGTGATATCACTATCTCACCTGGTAACACATTTGTGGTCTCGACCTTCTCGTGCCCCGCTGGCCAGACTGTTGCCTTCGAGATGAAGAATGCTGGCAGCACTAATCTCAAGTTCTTCGAAGACTTCAACCCCCCTCCGTAAGTTCTTTGCTCTCGGTGTCTATGCATTTCTATTCAGCACCAGCTAACCTGCCTCCAGTCTTGGTCTATTCATCACCGTCTGCTAAAGACGCAGCATATGCCTGCCATCTTCCATGATGCACGCATATGCTGACCAGAAAAGCGATTCCATGTAAAAGTTTGTAAAATCTTGGTCTCATGTGTTACTTTTCAGGGGTTCGTTATGGTCTAATATTCCGAAAATGGGTGTCATATGTTCACGGGAAGAGCGGAAGGACCTGCCAAAACACGCGTCGATTAATATCAAGTCAATTAGTTGTTTCTTCTTGTCATAATCCATATGTTTCCATGCTTCATCTTGAATACGATTGCTTGATTCTTGAGGTTTGGGCAATTGGGCTCTGAAATAGTGTCAAGGTAGCCATTTCGGTGTCTGTTTTACCGTCACTTAGCGTTGTGATCATAGTCTGAGTTAACTTGTGCAAGGTCTTGGAGCAAACCTTAAGATGAGTCCCTATAACCGGGTGTATGCGCATATCGATACGGGAGGGAGAGTCAAGATATATATCTCCACATTTACACCTATAGTTCAACGAACCAGGTAGTAACATATAATTTAAGCAATTGCAATGGGATATCAATTCTCATAAAAAAAGCTCAGTACGGCAATATTTCCTGGTCAATTGGTAGCCATGGAAAGAATGCAATCATCACCCTTGACGCCACCCTCCCAATGAACAAAATAGCAAAACCCAATAGGAAAGAAATGAAGCATCACGTTCAACGCCGAAATTGCTCAAATCACCTAAGCGCGGGTGGTGAAATCCTGCTCAAGCGCTGACTCGATCGCGCTCGCCTTCTCACATGTGCAAGATGCTACCCACAAAAGTCAGAAACCACCTCTCGATCTGTCTGGTTGATTGAAAACTCACCAGAAGGCCGGCTGCCGCAGGCACACGTCTCGCCCTGCACGGGCTGGTTCTCGCTGGCGGACCGTTCACAGGTGCACTGGCCAGCGGGACGAGCTCCTAGATAGAGGGTTAGTTATACAGGCTCGCTTGGATGACAGCAGGAAAACATACGGCACGAGCACCGAGGACCAGCCACGTCATTCTCAGTAGAGGACTTGTTGCAGGTGCAGTGGAGGGCATTCTCCTTGCCACACGAGCACTTGGCCTGGGCGGCGCAGACGCAGCTCCCGTCCTGGGAGGTCTTGCAGCAGGTGGACGATGGGTGGACCATTTTGACGGATTGGTTGATTGATTTTGGGAGTGAATTTGAAGATTTCAAGGGTGGAATGATGGAATAATTGAGAAAGGAAGGAGAACAGGACAAGCAGTTGGATTTATACTGGCCAGGGCATGACCGTCTGCGTCACTGAGATCACTAATACCTGCACGCTGATTGGTTGATCGTGGTCAAGCACGTGACTTTTACGGACCATTACCTTTGGACGGACGCTGATTCGCCTTTGCGAACGTGGCCTGTTGTTTATCCTGGAATTTGAGAAAAAGATGAATAATGCAATGGTATTGGTAACTATAACAGGACTCGACCACAGACCCAGAGAACAACCGCCACAAACATGGTATTTTAACGACAGTGGACCACGAGAGTTAAAAGAGGTAAATGATAAATAACACACGGAAAAAGCGAAGAAGGCAGCCACGCTGAAGAAACAATTACGATTAAACACGACGCTTGGTATACCCATGCCAGATGCTGTCGCAGGGGTTGTATGTCATTGCTGGAGATAGTTGGTGTAGTTGAAAGACGACGGGTTGCTATACTTGCTCCTCAAGGAGTCAATGGTCTGCAACTGATCGTGGGTCGCAGGGACGGAATCAGAAGAGGCGAATGACCCGGGCAGACTCAGGTTCGAGGAGTTGCTCTGGGTGTAGGGAATACCGGCCATCGGGCCCGAAGCGGAGGAGGAAGAGGAGGGATCATAGGAGAACTGTCGATAGTCCGGGGCCGCAGAGACGGGAAATGTAGACAACTGTCTTGCTGTCGGCGCCACTTGCGGGTTCATGCCCAGATGTGCCTGGTAGCTTTGAGGCTGCGAACCTGATTTACCAGTCATGTTAGTTAGGGCTTGCAGCCTCGGGAACAAGGACAAAGGACTAACCTAGATTATTCATGTCGTATGGTACTTGTGCACCCTGTGAGTCTGTCGGTGAAACCGAACCCTCAAACTGGGGCGGATCGTATGCTGAGGGCATGGCCCCTGGATGTCTCGGCATGCCGTAGTCCATCGGCCGTCGGACATAGGGTATGGTTGGGTGGCTGGAAGCTTGAGCACCTGCAGCAGAGAAGCGGTTGTGTAGTTGATAACTGGAATGAAAAGGCGAGGGATGAGCGGCTGCGTCTGATAGACTGCTGGACCTCGTGGTTGGGTAGTCGGTACGGATCGTTCGATGCAAGTCAGACATGGACGCCGACGCAGATGGTCGGCTGAAAATCATGTTGGACTGGGACAGGTCCGTTCGAGAAGACATGTACGTGCCTGCCGTCGAGGCAGAGCTGAGTGGTGAAATAAGGTATTCGTCTTCATTTGGCCGCTGTACGGAGTCGGTGCGCAATGCCCGCAAACCACCAAAGTCTGGGTTCGGTGCGCCGTATGTCTGTGGGGACGCAACTGGCGTGCCGCCGGCCGAATTACTTTCGAAAGGCGTGCGAAGGACTTTCGTGGTGTCGAAGTCGTCGGGTAGCGCTCGGGATTTGAGCATTCTCTCGCGGTCGTTGGTAGTAAGACGCTTCAATTTGGCTCGTCTTGTAGGGAAGTGGTTCGTTAGGAAAGAGACAGAGACAGAGTTGAGGAAGGAAGTTACCTGTTTTGAAACCACACTTGGACCTGACGCGGCGTCAAGCCGGGAATCTCTCGCGACAGACGGTCTCGATGAGCAGCGTCTGGATGCGCTTGCCGAGTAAACTCGCTCATCAGGAAACGAGTCTGGTTATGGGTTAAGCTGTCATACTGGGTCAGCGTTTGAGTTTCGATCCAGAAGATTGAATGGCCTACCGGAACCGCTTCATCTTCTTCTTTTCCAGATATGACGCTTTGCGTACTCCATCGCCACCCCTTTCATCAGAAGGACTGACGGTAGATTCATGGTCATCCTCCTCCTCCTCCTCCTTTTCTTCTTCCTTCAAGTCCTCAAGCCCGTCCATCGTCCCGTCAAAATCACTGGTACCTGCCAGCTGTTGAGGAATCGCCAGGCGCTGCTCGTTGGCACGGGAAATTTCTATTTTAACTCGGCCCTCTTTCAGTCTCTGATGCTGCTGGGTGATCTCTCCCTCCCGGGGAATCGTAATGTCGGCCACGCTCAAGGCATTCTCAGCCCTAAAGCCTGAACCAGCAGGCTGCATCTCGCCGGTAGGGACCTTTGTCTCTTCTTTCCTAGACAGAGGATACCGCAGAGATATCGTCTTGCTTCCCGGGTTGTTACTGTCCCGAGAAGCCGTGGGAAGATGCGATGTGACCGCAGATAGATGGTTTGAGGTGATCGGCGAGGATAGAGAAGGAACCCATAGACAAGGTCCTCCGACTGACATCGTAGTGTTGATTTTCGCCCTTCTTTTCGCCAGGAGAGGGTATAGATTGACAACAACGAGTAGTAGGAATGAGATGCCGATCCGCCAGACGCAACGCGTCAAACGACGAGGACAGCAAAAGAGAGCAAAGGAGCACTAAAGTCCTTCCCCGAAATGAGACGCAGGTGGGTCTGATCTAAGGCACTGGGGCGCTTTCCCAGGAAAGCAGGGCGTTCTCTGCAATAATGAAACAAGCTTGAGAGGATAAAGGCTGAGGGCCGAATAAGACGCAGGCCGGGTTCTCCTGGGCGCCAAACGAAGCGTATCAGGGAAAAACCACCCACGATGTCAGGAGAGTCCAACAGCAGAAGGAAACGGGAAAAAGGTCTGGCCAGCGTCTCTAGAGCTGATGTTGTTTCGTTGCTGGCCGGCGCTGCTGATGATCGTTACGCAGGTCGGCAGTCGCTCGCTGAAAGAAGCATCCACCGCAACCAGATAAAGTGGTGCTTGGACTGGACTGGACCGGGTGATCCGAGATCCAGCGGGAAAGAGAGAAGATCGAGGCTCCCGTGCCGAAGAATAATAACCAACTCTGGCTCAAGCGAGGCACAGGGCGGAGGTTGTGGAAATAGTCGTCGGGTTGGGATATTAAACGGACGGCCGCAATAACCCCCAGGGTCCACCAGTGTGTTAGCCACCCAGGAATCACCAGTATACAGAATACCAAGTAATTTCTGTGTTGGATAGTGAACCGGCACTTTATGAGAATGTTGTTGATAGTAGTGATGCTGTACCCTCTCTAGGATTTGCTCCAGACGATCTTATCAACGATCGTAACGGTCACGGATGCATGGGCAAAAGTCAAAAAAACAAGGAATGGAGACCCGCGGTGGACGACCAACGGCTAATGCTCCCAGCTCTACGGACTGTGTTGAGAAGTGGGCCCAGGATTAAGAGGGGGAAGAACAAGACTAGAACGAGATCAAAAGACATCGTGCGCGCTAAAGACAAGCGGGACCCGATCTACACGAAGGAGGCAGGGCGCTCGATACGGAGTAGTCTAGAATCAAAGCCACGGGCAAGAGTGTGAGTGAGAGTATCAAATCATCCCCCCAGGATTGTCAGATGTAGCCTCGATCCTGTGTCCACATACGTCTTGATCGTCATGTACAATAGTAGGATTGAGCAGTCGGGCGTCGAATAAGGCACAGTGTACGTGCCACAGCCACTTCAAAGAGCGTAAACCCGAATCTCCACGACCAGGACTACAAAAAAAGACGCACCCACCTTGGGGTTGGATCTGTGGCGAGGTGGATGTGGCAGCTGAGCCCAGCCCCCCGTCATATCCGGTCTAAACATGATAGCTTGCATTCCTCCAGCTGTGCACAGATTGGACCTTCACCTAGCCGACTCCCGGTAGATAGGGTGTATACTGCGGTCGACGCCATGGGGCGTCCACTACCCGTTGTTCAGGACAAGAAAAATCTCCGACGTGGGACCCGACGTGCGCCCTGATCTGTATGGTGCATCCGCAGGAGTCATCGAGGCCCCGATGTTCGATTCCTGCATGGGCCACCAGCCAACCGTTGCAAGCAGAGACTGCCAGACCCTTGCTCACCGGCCGGGACTCATCCATGTGGAAGGCCTGCCGGCTGTGCCTAGTGGCCCTTTCTGGGCTCCATCAGCGTTAAGCCTAAGACGCCAGGCCCTCGGGCCCATCGATCAAGGAAGAAAGAAGGCGTGCAGCCACTCAGCGGCCTGCCCGCCACGGTCGATTGACCAGGTGGATGCCTTCGGAATGATGCGAGCCAACAGTCATGCGTGGAGGGCTGGCGGCTTAGCCGATGTGGATGACCAGACAAGAGTCAAGCCCCGCGATCATCCATGGTCAGTGTTGTCCACTCATGGGCAAGAGTGGGATGTGATCAGAGGCCATCCAAGCTGAGACGGGGCAACATCGTCCCACCGAATGCGTCATTTTGCCAGACCATGTCCAACAACAAAACATGAACAATGGTGTCGGAATGGACGGTCAACTCTGTAGAGCCTCCTGCAGTAGACCCTTCAGTAGTGCGAGGCCTAACTACAACTGTAGTCGGAAGGGCGCCAGCGCCCGTTTCAGGAAAGACCACCAGGCGGACCATGCGCGTAAACCCAGGGTATCAGAGATTGCTTTGACCCGACGTCAACGCCAACCACGGCGTCGACAAGGTCTTTCGGGGCCCGGATGGCCCTGTCCATGGATCGGTGGCCTGTCTCAAGGAGACCCCCACCGGAGGGGTTGAAGCTCCCCTGGAATCTCCACACTGAGGAACTATGAAACATCCCGAGTCACAGGAGGCGTCCTGCTGAAATGAAGGCTCCAGTGCAAAGGACTGTTGCGGGCGGCCGACGACAAGATGTCGTCGTTTCCAATTGCACACTAGGAACCGCAGATACGACGAGTCTGAAAGTTGAAGAAATTCTGGCGAGGTGAGGGTGGGAACCAAGGTGGGTCACGATGTTTGGCTGTGATGGAATGTTCTACCATTCGTGCGGGAAGGATAACACTGGGGCAAATTTTTTGGGCACAATTGAGTCCAGAGCCGGGAGTCCCACTTGTTGTTCATTATTCCATTGCATATCGTCTCCGATTGTTCAAAAGATGTAGTGAGGTTGGCATGCACACCAAAAATCAAAGATCGTCTACATAGCGTAGGATTCGGGCAACACCAAACCTTAACGAACCCAGGCAACAGCGGAAATGGGATTCAATATACTTGCCTCGGACGGACGCCTGCTAACTAGAAAATATACCAGCGTGGAGCAAACTGGAGACTTGCCCTGGTACAACTGGTCTCTCGCAGGAAACTCGGAAGAGTTAAACTCACAACAGACATTCCCGGCCGAAACTAACAGATATTCAGAAGATCGATTTCAGTACTCTGCCTTTTGCTCACACGGGAAGGATCCGTTGGGTCCATTACTATGTACTATCCTTGAATTCGTTCATTATTATTCTTCATTATTCCTTCCTTCCCTAGGCATTCTTGCGGGGGCTAAACTAGATCGATCTCACATCCCACAAAACGTGAGACTGGAAACAGACAGACAGACGCCTTCGAACTTTAATTTCGAAATCGCCAAGAACACAAGGCCCTTTCAAATCGCGCACTTTCTTGTGTTCGTATGCAGACGTCGTCATAGGCGAATCTGATCGCAACGGACTCCGGACCGTAGTGTGCCAGCGGGGCTGACGCAAGCCGATCTCTTGGCTTAGGAAATGTACATTGATCCGCATGAGAAATCGGCAAAATGGGCCGAGAGATAGCCAAAAAGGCCTGCAGATCGTGTCCATCATTTTGTTTTCTGACAACCAGCGTCTGTGGCGGATCAACCCGATCGCAGACGCGGGTTGATAGCGCAGACAGCGACGCCGTTATCATTCATTCCACGGTTACAGGAGAGATTGACTGCATACCAGTCATGTCTCCTTCCATCTCTTGTATAGCGTCGACTGGCTAGGGGTTCCACCGACCCATACTTCCCCGTTGGCCGCCGGCGCTACAATCGGGAGCTGTACCCCATGCGATCAGTGCGTTTTTTTGTTTCCCTTTTTTTTTGTTCCTTTTTTTTTTTTTTTTTTCCCTCGAACCCTCAAACCTGACTACTGCACACTATTGACGAACCCGCAGCAGCGTCAGCATGTAGTGTAGGTAGGGCACAGGGGTTGCTTACAATCGCTTACGCCGCCGGGAGGGGGGGCCAAAGACTACTGCAAGTTCGGTTGTCTAATTCTCCCCCAATAGTTTCTCCCAGAGACGCGGTAGAGGTGAGGATAGCTCGATCCTCTGTCGCTCTCGGCCGCTGAATCGGGCCCTAGTCGTGTTGGAGACTGAAACATGGCTGCGACGGGTCGGTGCCCCAGCCATGCCACTGTAATCACCGTCCAGAATCTTCGGCGGGATTTCTGTCTCTGGAGAGAAAATAACGAATAATAATAAATCCTACCCTACGGTAACATCTACGCCGCCCTGTCCATATGCAGGAACCCTCCGTTAGGCCGTATGAGGTATGCATTAGAGTTGCCGATCAGCTAATAAATCTTGAGCTCCACGTCGGTAGCTAATTCAACACCGTAGGGGCCGCACTAGTCCCATCGATACCATTTCTCCGGGTCTATCGAATGCTCCTCCAGCCCGGGGGGTGCGAAGGAGTCGGTTCGTTTCTCCTCGAACAGATTCACGATTTAGGTGACTGGATGTGTTCATGGTGACACATCTGTTGGTGATCGCAGACCGATCAATACAATTCAGAGAACTTGTCTTGAACGAGATCCTCCTGGGCGACAGATGAAGGACACAGATCCTCAGAATTGACGCAGCTGTCCCAAAACGGCTGTCACTGTTTGGTGTTACACTGTAGCGCCGTGATATCGATGCATGAAGGTGTTTCGGCATTCCGGCGAAATTGCAGGTCGGACCACATGCATTGAAGTCCATTGGGGGAATATTCCCGGGATTCCGGAACAAAACAGGCCAGGGCATGAATATGCCGCAATAGCAGCAAGACCGCAGTTCGATTGCTCATGTTGCCAGGCTCTCCTTGGGGCCATCATCCGAGGCGCCAGGAGCGATAGGGGTTTCCTCGTTCGTGTCCTCAGCCTCGGGGCCGCTCGCTTCCTGTTTCACATCACCGATGACATTTTTGTCCTCGACCAATTCTCCTGGTGCTTCTGTGCTCTGAGCCAGATCTTGATCTTGAGGAGGTTGGGATGAGCCTTGCACAGTGCTCTCAGTCGCCTGGGGAGTGGCTTCCGAGTCATTCGCGATGTCGTCACCAGGCTGGGCTGTGGTATCTGGTGCCGGAGGGCTCTCAAACAAAATCTTTAGGTTCTTGCCGTCCTCGATCTTCTCGAAGGCAGCGAGTTTGGTCTTCGCAGAGAGACGAAGGATTCGCCAGGCTTTGCTTGCCTTGGACTGTTCCGCACTGTCTTTCTCCTCTTTGGTCTGCGCCATGTCCATGTCCATTTCGTCATCCATAATGCTCATCATGAACGAATCCGCCGCGGGAACGGAGTATCGGTCTGATTCCTTGAGCCGCTCCAAATTGGCCAACGACTCGCCATCGGAAAGAAACTTGAGATCAAGAGCTCCCATGGGAGAAGGACGAAGACGCTTGTTAGCGTAGGCCTTGAGGGCATGCTCGCGAGAAGCAAGGTAGTCTTCCACCGAGACGGCGGGCCTTTCGATCAGTGGACAGCCCTCAGCCTTCCAGCGCACCCAATTCTTGTCCCTGGACAGCACGGTGTCCACCATACGATAGTAGAACTTGCCACCCGCCCCGTCCTGCAAATACTCCTCGATTCGCTTCCTCATCCGCATTGCCCATTTGGCATCGTCCTCATTCAGGATAAACCCGTAGAGGACTGACTTGTTCGGCAGATCCGAAAGCTGGCCTTTGGATTTGGGCGTAAGAGAAAGCATGAAGTCGATAAGGATGAGTGCCTGGACAAGAACGTGTCTTCTGAATGCAGTGTCGCTGATTTCGAGGTCAAATAGATCTCGACTCGTCAGATATTTCGGGTTGAAGCTGCTCGCAATCTCAACATCATCCGTGGAACGCTTCCGCTTGCTGGATCTCCGAGCCTCTTCAGAGACCCGGGCCGTACCCTGTTCGAGATCGGGTTTGATATTCTTGAAAGCAGATAATGTGGCTTCGAGCCCGGTCTTGAAGGACGTGAAACGTTCAGGATCGAACATTTTGGTCGGGGCTGAAAAATAGGACTGCAGACTCCAGAACAGCGGATACAGCGCGTTCAGATCAACAGTCTCGGACTTCTTGTCCTTGCTCGTAGACACAACAACCTTTGGGATTTGCGGAGGCTCTTCCGCTTCTTCTGCCTGCCCCTCTGCAGAAGCTTCCTTGGCCTCACTCATTGCTGTGTCTTCCTCGGTTGCGTCCGCGGCGGCCTCTTCCGTAATTTCGTCGAAGTTGGTCACATTTTCGGTATGGAACTCGCCCCGAAGATTGACGGAACTCTTATCTCCCAGCGGGAAGCTCTGAAAGAGGAAGATGAACACTCGACCGCAGAATACTGTATCTTCCGCACGGGACAACCTGCGCAGAAGCTCGTTGCATGATCTGAGAATAATCAGGCTCTTCTGTTTGAAATGTTTCTTTGCGCAAGTTAGTTAGAGCACCATAATCAAGGCAAAGTCCGTCACGCACCGCTGTGTTTCGTTCTCGTCGCGACTCTAGATAGTCAAACACCTTGCGACAGCCGTCAATGGTCTGGCTGTCGAGGAGTTCCTCAATAAGCCAGAAGATCAGACCTGGTTCGCATTGTTCTGAAAGAAGTTAGTGATGGCGCGTCGATCAGGGCTGCTGCACTGACCGTTGTCAGAGAAAATGGAGACGATATCGAGGAGATTCCAGATCTGAATGAAAGCAGGTTCGTCGATTGAGGTAGACGCCTGTGTAGCGATGCAACAGTTAGTCGGAGTAAAGTTGCAACAGTCCAGGGAAGCTTCTCACCAGAACGCGATAGAACCTCTCGCGAAAGGCGATTTCTACAGCAGCAAGCTGGGTCTGCTGGTTCAGCTGCTTGACAATATCCTCGTCCGGCCCGGAAACATGCCAGATCGCGTCGCCCAGGAGTGTTTCGGTCAGCGGAGGCTCGATGTGCTGGTCCGGCTTGACTTGCGCGGCGCGGTCCAGGAGACTGTCGACCAGTTTCCGGTAAACCTGCACAGCGTCCACATCCATGGCGCTGTCGGAGGATGAGGGAGAGGGAAGAGAGGTGGGGAGACGGAGGAAAGAAAGTGGATGAAAGAGAAGAAGGGAGACGGGGCATGCGGCTCGGCAAGCCAAGACTTCGAAAAAAGCTGGAGCTTCCATCGTTATTCACTTCGATCCTTCCGACTTGCGCGTCCCTTGTCTTTCGCTCTCGACCACACCCAGACCACTCACTCTGCCATGGCGCAGAGTCTGGATTCCCGACCGGCCGTCGTGGATTTCCGCGACGATAGCCCCTGGGTGAAGCTGGCCAAGGCGCACTGGTTGGACACCAAAGTCCGCAAGGCCAAACCCGATGTCATCCACAAGCAGCTGTGGCTGCCCTTACAAGAGGAGGGCTTCAACACGCGCTCACTGCTGATTCTGGAGAACTTGAATATTCTAGAGAAGTATGGCAGATCTCCCTTTCCCTCCGGCAATCCGTCCTCTGGGCTACATGGCTAACCGATCGCGTGCAAGATTCCTCTGGCCCACCTACACCGAAGACGCTTCCAATGACCATGTGCTCCTGATCGCGCTGATCGTCAGTGTCAAGAATCGCGAGCATCTGCCGATATGGGGTGAGTGGACGCGCCAATGGGTCCGGAAGTGATGGCGGTAGCTAACGGAAGACAGACATCTTTTCCGACCGCGCGGACGATTTTTCAAGCCTGTTCCATCGGATCCTGTCAATGAGCATTGATCAATCACTGCCCGCCCAATCTCGGCTCGCAATCATCTCGTTCATCATCGGCGCTTTCCAGTCCCTCGAAAATGTCCTGATCCGGAAAGAATGTGCGCCCCTCGTTTCCATCTCGATCTGGCACAATCTAGCCAGCGATGACGCCCGGGACCGTGTTATTTCCAAGGCGCCGATGTTGAAAAAGGCGTGGCGCGCGGCAGGCAAGCGATATGATGCGGGAGACGAAACAGCGCAATCGAAGATGCGGTTTGAGCGATCATGGCTGTATACGATGCTACTGGACTTTATGCAAAAACTGAATGGTCCCGAAAAGGACCAAAAGGATAACGTGTTATATTGCGAGCGATTCCTCGAGCTGCTGGTCGATCTCGAGAGCCAGCTTCCCACTCGGCGCTACGTCAATACGCTGGTGAAGGACCTCAATCTTCTCCCCGTTATTCGGCTGTCGGGTTTATACCGAGCCGCCGAGAACGCTTTGTTGCGCGATTTCTACAATCTTCTCCAGCACTTTGTTTACTTCGCCATCGATGATTACTCCGGCGAGGCCCTGTCTCCCCAAGCAGTGTATGACAGGCACTGCCAAGAGCTGGCGCATTTGCAGCGAACTTCGATGAAGTTTTTCAAGGACAAACTCATGATTCTGGCACTGTCTAACCTAGGATCTGTCGATCAGCGATCGGAACTGGAAGGGCAGCTATCGTCGTTGGAGGAGTCGGAGCTTGAGAGTCTCTGTTCACATCTTGGCTTCCGAACCAACTATCCCAAGTCGGCGAACGTCGATCCCCGCCGCCATTTGTTCCTCGAAGTTTTGTTGTCACTCTATGAACGAAAGCCCACCTTCCAGGAAGCTGCTTCACGACTGAGCATTGTTCCCACAGAAGAAAATCTTTACGACCTGGCCCTGCTGAGGAACGAGACATACGATGGATCACGCCCGCTTGCCATCCCGAAGTTGAATCTCCAATACCTAAGTCTTGGGGACTTCCTTTGGCGCTCGTTTCTTCTATATCGCTCAGAGGCATTTTTCCAGATCCGTAAGGACATGGAAGCCATTGTCAAGCGAATGCAGCCCCGTGCAAACCGGGATGGTAGCTTGGAATTCCAGGGGTTTTCTCGTATGGCAATCCCCATTTCCAAACCTGCCATTATTGAGGTTGCGCCGGCAAAAGTCGGCTCCACAAACCCAGCTTTTGTCCGCGCTGAAATCGCCATCGAGGTGGGTAGACTGGCCGATCATGTGCGCAAAGAATGGGATTCTCTGCGACCAGATGATGTCGTCTACCTAATGGCTGTGCAGACAGAGTCCCCTGCGCAACTCGGCCAGGAAACGGATGGCCCACGTATGACCCACCTTCGAACAGCGGAAATTGTGCAGGTGCTTGATGAACAAGGTCGTCCATTGCGGCAGACGCAGGCTGGCCAGAGCAATGGATACAATTCTAGACCGCGGCTGAGGAGGTTGCTGGTCAACCTGGATGCCTCTGCTTTTACCTCTGACAAGGATCGTCAGCAGCATGGCAAGCCAGATATCTATCCTTTGATCAACGTTGTTGCCCGGAGAAAGGGTCGGGAGAACAACTTCAAGTCGATTCTGGAAACCATGCAAAAGCTCATCGTCTGTGACATGACACTGCCCTCGTGGCTTCAGGACATCTTCCTGGGATATGGCGATCCTTCCAGTGCTCAATACACTCAGCTGCCAAACCGCCTAGATCGCATTGATTTCCGTGACACTCTGTTAGATTGGTCGCACTTGGTTGAGAGCTTCCCGGGCAAGATTATTGAACCGTCAGGCCAAGAGACTTCGAGTTTTGGTCCTCCTTACGTCCTCGAATACGTCGACAACCAACCAGCAGTGGATGATACTAGTCTGTCGAAAAAGCGACGACGAGGACAGGCCGAGCAGGCGCAACAGGAACCGAGCACCGTGCGCGTTTCTACATACAAGCCGCCTAATCCCGGTCCTTACCCGGTTGATGCCCCCAAAATTAACACAGTACGCTTCACGCCTGCGCAGGTGGAAGCAATCGCGTCTGGGACACAGCCTGGTCTTACTGTCATTGTGGGGCCACCCGGTACTGGCAAGACGGATGTTGCAACACAGATCATCAACAATATCTACCATAATTTCCCCACTGAACGCACTCTGCTTATTGCGCACAGCAATCAGGCACTCAACCAACTATTTCAGAAGATCATCGCTCTCGACATCGACGCGCGCCATCTACTGCGACTGGGTCATGGTGAGGAGGAGTTGGACACCGAAACCAGCTACAGCAAGTATGGTCGAGTCGAGTCCTTCCTCGACAATCGCAACTACTACCTCACGGAGGTGATGCGACTAGCAGCTTCGATTGGGGCAGAAGGCGCACATGGCAATTCCTGCGAGACGGCCGGCTACTTCAATACGGTCTATATCCAACCAGCTTGGGCTAAGTTCTGGGATCAAGCTGGTTCTGAGACTGTCTCGAATGAAGAGCTTGTCGCTTCGTTCCCATTCCAATCGTATTTCTCGACTGCTCCGCAACCTCTGTTTGACCTGGCTGCTTCGAAAGAGGCGACGCTCGATGTCGCTGCAGGTTGTCAACGGCACATTGCTCGCATCTTCTCCGAGCTCGAGGATATCCGTCCATTTGAGATCCTACGCCAACCCCGGGACAAAGCGAACTACCTTCTGATCAAGGAGGCACGGATCATTGCAATGACCTCCACCCACGCAGCCATGCGGCGCCAGGAGATCGCTGACCTTGGCTTCCACTACGACAATGTCGTCATGGAAGAGGCCGCACAAATCACCGAGGTCGAGAGCTTCATCCCCACCGCTCTTCAGAACATGAAGAACGGTGAACTCCCTTTGAAGCGCGTTGTTCTCTGCGGTGATCACTATCAGAACTCTCCCATTATCCAGAACCTCGCGTTCCGCCAGTACGCCCACTTTGAGCAGAGTCTCTTCCTGCGTCTGGCACGTCTAGGTGTTCCGACCATTACATTGGACAAGCAAGGGCGCGCCAGGCCCGACATCGCCGATCTCTTCCGCTGGCGATATAAGGAGCTGGGTGATCTCCCAGTGGTTGAAACTGCACCGGAGTTCTCGCTGGCCAACCCGGGCTTCCAGTTTGACTATCAGTTCATCAATGTTCCGGACTACCAGGGCAACGGTGAGCGAGAGCCGACACCTCACTTCATTCAGAACCTGGGCGAGGCCGAGTACACCGTCGCCTTGTATCAGTACATGCGTCTTTTGGGCTACCCGGCCGCGAAGATCTCGATCCTGTCTACTTACGCAGGCCAGACGGCTTTGATTCGCGATGTGCTGAACCATCGCTGCGCTAAGAATTCCTTGTTTGGCATGCCCAAGATCGTGACCACTGTTGACAGGTACCAGGGAGAGCAGAATGACTGTAAGTTTCTCGCCCTTCATTCTAATCTCTTGAACGAACTAACCATCTACAGACGTGCTCCTTTCCCTCACCCGCACCCGGACAGTCGGCTACCTGCGCGACGCCCGCCGTCTAACCGTCGCTCTCTCCCGAGCGCGACTGGGTCTCTACATCCTCGGCCGCCGCGAAGTCTTTGAATCCTGCTACGAGCTCAAACCCGCTTTTGACCGTCTCTTCCAGCGCCCAGATAAGCTGATGCTCGTCCCGAACGAGATGTTCCCAACCACGCGGACCCTGGACACGACCGTGGAGGGCACGCCGATGGAAAGCGTCGAGCATCTCGGGCAGTACGTGTTCGAGATGACGCAGGCAAAGGTCAAGGCCATGGGTGAAGGCCAAGTGACCATTGACGAGGCTATGCTTGATGGTGACGAAGAGGGTCTTGACGAGGATGAGGATCTTGTATGATAATTCTACGTCTGGGAATGTAAGCAGTGGCTACCTAGTAGGGTAGGGTGGTTGTGCAATCTTTTGAACTTACTTTGACAGTGTGCACAGCAATACTAATGAGTGATCTGGCTTTAAATACGAGTCCCTACTTTTGTTTACCTTTGGTCCTCGATTATCTAGTCAACTACATCGTCTGTGATAGCGAGGAATCTCGTATATCGGGTTACTTTATCTAGGTTAATCCTTGCAAGCTTTGAGAGAACTAGCTTTTCGGTATGGGCATGGTCATATGCTTTGAACTCAGAGCGTAACCTCTTCGCCACTCCTTGTACCCTTTTCTCATTAATCCTATCGAGCACTAGAGTTGGGTACAACTAAGCGAGAAAAAGTAGGAGAGATTGAAATCCTACTCTCACTCTTCATCATGATGGAGATAAGCTCTCATTCCTTAATTTATGTTGGTTATCTTGTCTTGAATGCCTAGGTTTACTATATGAAGCTCAAGTTCGATATTCTAGTACTCCTTCGTGCAAGATAGATACGTCTTAGTTGACTGTATATAATAGAAGATGTAGCAAGTTCTGTTGAATGAGCACAATAGATATAGCAAGCATAGCAAAGTTCATTCTCTCCTTGTACTTAGCATCTGCATTCTGTTTTGACTTCCTCACAAAGCTAGGTCACCGGCATTGGGATAGAAGTCTGCTCAGGCACGAGGCTCGTTCCAAGTTGATAGAGCCAGTTATGTGCGGTCATAGCTGTAAGCCCACTGTTATAATGGTCTCGAAGGTACCTGCATTCCCGAGTGAAAAAAACAACATCACAGTCCCGTAGATATATTGAGGTAGCGTACGCCACCTGATTCAACTGAATTTCTCCATATCTCTCTTGTTCAACCGGGCGCGAAAGGCGGACGCGGGGATCGTGGTGTGGTGTAGAACCGTCCCCAAGCCAGAGTATTCCTTCTACTAGTAGAGGGTGAAAGTGTCCCCGTACATGCTTATATCTTGGTTTAACCACGTCCATTATTCGTAAAAAGTCTCCCTTCGGTTGGACCTTCACTTCGGTGTATGCTGGACCATCAACAACCCATCCGTCTTTCTCCACAAACCCAATGCACGACCGAGGAGGTTGCTGAAATAACATTAGCTGCCAGCTTGCCTTGCTCCGTAGAAAGCGGCGGTCGCTCTGAGGATTGATCTGAGGTATCTCCGTCCCTCCTTCTACTGGGGGTGGGTTGAATTCACGCGCTTGTCTTGCATAAAACCATGGCCATATACATTCCTCCAATAAAGGGTTGCGAATGCCCTGTATCCCGCGCGGTAGGTTGTATCTAACGGGCTTGAAAAATAGAGCGGCTTGTAAGTCGGGGGAGTCCTGGATCAGATCGTGCCATTTATGGCAGACCCTTTGAGCCGACGTAAGCAAAGGGCGTATATCCGTTTTGAGCAGGATTAGTTGAAGAATTTCTAATATCAAGAAAACCTTGTGCGTCTCTGCTGAAGCCATGATTTAAAAAGGTGGATTTTGTCAACGTTTCTAGGGAAGGATGGTTATTAAAAGGAAATGTCAGAAGAGAAAGACGTCGGTTCGCTCTGCTATGGTTCGGGCAGGCTCTTACCCAACATGGCTTAGTCGCGCTAGGCTGCGTTGAATTTGCCGTCGGCTCGGAACGTAATCATGGTGCAAATACTTACTAGGCCAAACAGTCATCTGAAGTATGGACTCGTCATCTATAGAACGCGACTTCGGAGAGCTGATTGCCTGACCGGGTTAGCGCCCTGTCCGCGCTTGCCTTGAATTCCCGGCCTTTTTCAAAGGTCATACATAATGGTACACTCCATTTATTAGACAAATGTGTAGTCTATATCTTATCACCATTTTTACCCGTTTACTTCAGTCTCTGATTTTGGTATAGCTGAGACCAATATACATGAGAGTATCTCATGATATTCAAGGTGACAACAACAATGATGATATTATCCGTGGTGCCGTAGGCAGCATCCGTTTTCGGGGACCTTATCTTCGGTCCGCCAGCATGTTGTGAACAGGGAGAAGAGGTTAGTGAAAGGTTCCGGTTTGACACTGTGGTGGAGTGACTGTTCAATGTACCTTTCATTGCCACTGCTGCCTTTGGACCTCACATTCTTTACTATTTGCTCCTATTGTACTATTCGCCTGCTGCCTTTGAGACCTTACACTCGCTTCCTTTGCTTTGTCTCGTTTATTTCAACCCTTTTCTTCTCTCTTTCCTCTTCCTCTCTTTCCCTACCAACCTTTCTCCCCTCCAACTTTCTCCTCTTCTTCTCTGGGCTGGACCGAGATTCTTCATTTTCGACTATCCTTTGAGTTCAAGCGCTCTCCCCGACAGAAATCTGTGTCTGATGTGCCAAGTAAATCTGACCCTGTCTCTCTCATTCACGATCTGACTGTGAGCTGGACAGTTTGGGCTGCAGACAGTTTGAGGGGCTTTCTTAACAATCAAACCAGGGGAGATATAACCACTTTCTCATCAAGACTGATCAACGCGAGCCTGAAGCCTGTCACACTCGGAGCGGTAGCCGGGAATGATTGCCAGGGATACGAAACTAATGAGGCATGTGAAATCTCTTAGGGTCACAGAACTGTTCCTTATTGCTTCGGATTCGACATACCCGCATCGACCATCCAGACACTTGATGCCGGACATATACAGATACTCAATGATTCACGAAACTTGCGATCTCTTGTCTTGACTTGATCATGCTGCCTCGTGTCCGTCATAATCTAATAACCGAAAACTGGTCCCGCATGAGCAGAATGAGCATACCAACGTATTTGCCGTTTCCTTTGTATAACGTCGGTACCTGTCGCAAGAAAAGACCTTCGCAACGATTGACCAGATTCTTCCTTTGAACAATCGAAATATCCAGGTGCATCACCGACGACGGGAATTGAAATGGCCCGACGACCCGCAAGAGAGACCTTGTTACACAGAAACTATGGACATCTTTGGCTTCTATGCGACTGGCCCCATCACCTTCATAAATGGACGTCATTATGAAGCTATCAAAGTGATTGATCTTCTTCGAGAGGTCGAATCTTCACTGCGAGCCTACGCCTCTCAGTTCAACAGAGATTAGCGGTTTCCACTGATTCTCCCGTCCTCGGTCTATTCATTCGATATGAAATCGACCAATGAAATCTTCTACGCAGCTTTGGAAGCTCAAGTGAACTCTAGTGAAATAGAGCACGAGCAGGGGTCTCTTGCGCTTCCTGAACCGAAGACGTCTGTTAGAATATATGACAGACAGGCTGGAATGTTCCCCTTTCGTGTCAATCGCGAATGCAACATTGCTGAGGCTTCAGGGAGGGGCGTCTCCGGTAAATTCAGAATATGTCAGTTACATCGAACTGGTAGAGCACATCGTTGGGAAAAAATTGTCCACAGGACAAAATCATGATACTCTTCTTTTACAGTGGGGAACGGCGAGTCCTCACTGAGTTGATCCCCGGAAAGCTAGGCTATAGCAAATCCAAATCAAGAGCATTAACGCATCGCAAGGGAACGAAAGTTCCCTTGTTATTGTTTCAACTACTCGCCCGGGGGGAGATGTTAGCCTTTGATTTATTCAAGATCAACAGCGGATGTGTGCTGCGCTCAGTCGTGCCCAGAATTGTCTCGTGGACGTGGGACATGAGGGTTTGAGCAAGACTAACAAATCTGATGCAGGAAAAGGGTTTCAAGCCTGGATAAACTGGTTGGTCTACAAAGGGAACGGGGACGCCTCTGCAAGTGCTGGGAAAAAACCATTTGGTCAAGAAACATCTGGGGATAGACCTCGAAAATTGTCAATTTGAGCCTGCGCGGTTGTGAGTTTGTCAAAACGGTCCCTCAACTTGATCTTGATACTATGGAGGTGGTCTTTTTGTCGTGGGACCTGGATCGCAAGCCGGTTTCTCTGTTTCGAATATTTCACTATTTCGGTTTTACGGTTTTAAATTGGTAGATAAACAATTTCATGGCACTCATAGTTAATCCCATTCTCCTCACTAAGCCATCTTCATCCTCCATCCTCCATCTTGCAACGCCCACTCCAGCCGTCAATCTCTTTTTCATCACTCCTTCTATTCGCTTTCGACTCGACCATCTCTCCTCACCCTCACCTTGTTCCGACAGATTCTTCCGTTCTTCCTTTTGATCTTCAACCAACGCTCTCTCTCGGTGCGTACTGTCACCATGGAACACCGGACTCACATTGAGGGCACGCCTTCTCCCTCCCAGACATCCCACGGCAGCTTCAACTTTCTGGGTCTACCAGACAATGTGCGCCTGCGGGTTTACCTCCAGGCAGGACTTTTTCAGCATGGGCCCATTGACTTGAACCCTATGTCTGCCAAAGAGGGACCGGTTAATTTGTTGTCCGTGGCGTACGATTCCCCTTCTGATATATGCCGATGCTTCTATCCGTCCATGACAGACGGTCACTACTGTAGCATCAATAATCTCGCTCCCCAGAATCACCCCTGGAGATTCTACCCTCGCCTTCGCCGTTTCTGCACCTGCGAGCTCCCAACTCTGATCAGACATCAGTCCATACCTGTGCAACTTCTTCATACCTCGAGGGCTATTTCTCAGGAAGCAACCTTGTTGTTCTACTCCGAGAACGCGTTCCAGATCTCTCTCAATCTTCCAGGTGGTCTGTCGGCGCTCCGCCAGCTTCGTCCAAGCACCCTCGCATGCATGAAGTCCCTCCAGATTACCCTTCAAAATAGCAGTGATTGCCTTTACAACGCATGGGTCTGGGACCACTACTTCGTTTGCTCGCGGATCGGCCCTCCCCTCCGGTCCAAGATTCCACGAATTCTCAAGGACGAGTGGAGATACACTTGCAAGCACCTAAGCCGTCACATCGAAGACTCTCGCCTTCAGCTCTCGGTCATATGTGATGTGAACGGTAGAGGCATCGCCGAGCAGTTGCTGAAGCCTCTTATGAAACTACCGACTTTAGCCAGTTTCGCTATTCGTCTGCACCCCTCTTTCAACGAAAGGCTAGATCGTCTATTATATCCGCTGGGGCGCGACATTGCTATGCAATTGACGGGTCGCTCGCATTCAACCGAGACCATCCAGCCATTTCGGTATGGAGATCTGCCCCTTGAACTTCAAGAGCGGATCCTTCATCACACTGACCTTGTGTCACCCTATGACCTCGTCTGGACTCCGACAAATGGGTTTAGGTGGGATCACCTCAACAGAAACCACAACCATTGCTCAACTTGCCTGTCTGTGCGCGATCGCTGTTGTTGGCAATTTAGTGACGAAAAGTACATCTTGGCCCGTCAATGTTCATGCTGGCGCTTTCCTCTCTCTATGTTCCTTGCTAACCGAGATATGCATGACATGGCGATGCGGATCTTCTATTCAATGAATCACTTCAAGCTGCTTCCCTATTCGGCATGCACAGATGCTCCGTACTCATTGCGCCTGCACAAGCCCTTGTCACCCTTTATTGATTTTCTCCCCGTGAATGCTCTGAAGCATTTGCGCTCCGTGCAATTTGTCTTCGACTGGCAATGCGTGCGGATCTGGGAACAAGAAGGCACTTACAAGCTGTGGCAAGAAACCGTCGAGAAAGTGAAGCTCAGCATTCCTGCACGTCTCCATGTCACGGTCGATATGTCTCACAGTTGGGTGATCGGAAGGCATTACTGGCTCGACGACCGGTGGGAGTTCAACCCGTGGTTGGAAAGGGCCAGGTTCCAGACACATTGCCTCAAACTCATCAATCCGCTCATCTATCTCCGTCTTAAAAGTTTCCAAGTCTATCTTCCTTGCAATCCTGGGGAAGATCCGTGGGGTTCTGGTGATGAGTATGATGAGTATGATGAGGATGATGAAGATGATGAATTCCGGCCCTCGGCACAGGATCTGGAGCAGATGGTGATGGGAAATGGGTATCATAACCATTCTGATGCCAAGTACGGATGGAGCAATATTTTAACAGGATGTGCAATGGCCGAGGACTTTGACGACTGGCAGAGGAATTGCCATATCCTTTTTCGCCCTCACGATCTTGAGTTATGATTGATTGTTCCTTTTATGGTTCTGTCGGAGGGTCTTTTCTTTTCGTCATGAGATTTCCCTATCATACATGATTATTGCTCCTTGCTGATTTCCTCCACAATGTTCTGCGGGTCTCTCCATGCCAGGGTGACATATCTGTGCGCGCGTGTATCTATTAGATTTCTGGCACGAACAATCCAAGAAGATAATCATTAATACGCACTTGGTGTGGCTTCCCCGGGCAACAATTTCCCCCTTGGCATTGGTAAACTTGATTGAGGTATAGGCAAGAGTTTTGCCAACTGTCAGATGTTAGCTGAGGACATGCAATGTAGTTGGACGACATACACTTGTCGCATGTCACCTCCTGAGAATGGGTTAGTCAGTAAAGATCTAGATCTCAGCATCAGGATGAGAGAGCAGACATACCGCCAGGATCCTGTCTCCAATCTTGCCGCCAGAGCTGAGATAGGTGACTGTTGAAATGACAGTTAGAATTCGTCTTCAGGTACATAAATATGTCTCCGGGTATAGGATTACCGTTCAAATCGGTGGACACGCCCGTCGCAAACAGGCCACGAGATGCCACGGCCAAGGAGCCACCGAGGTCAACTATTTGAGTTATGAGTTGGCAGGTCACCGCATGGAAGAAATTGGACTTACCCATGCTAGCAATTGTGCCGCCATGGAGGATGTTCAATCGGTTCTAGGCATGTCAGTACCATGTATACAGATTGGTTGACAAACATATTGACATGCGAATTGCAACGTTAGAAGCAAATGGTACTTGGGGAACATACAGTGTGTTCCTTCCGGATGTCAAGCTCAAAGTTGACTGTTCCCGGCCTGGCGGCTGTGACTTGGAGCTAGACGGAGATATTAGCATACATGTTGAGCAGTATAGTCACTCACACCCACATTATTCAACAGTCTATGCCATTTCCAGAATCGTCAGCGACTGCTGGACCAAAACATGATTGCATCACCTACCGAGGCTCTAGGCCCGAATTAGCCCGAAAGGACTCCCACACCTAGACAAATACAGTGGTCAGCAGTTATTTCATAAACATGACGGGCATGTCTCTTATTTACCGATCTGACAAATCGTAGAGCAGTCATTTTGGCGAGCAATTGGGTGATCGTTGATTGTTTAGGAAGATGGGAGGAGGAGCCGAATGCGCTTCGGCTTATCGGGAGCTGCGTGATGTGGCCGCTTCGCCTGCCGTACCTGCGACATCATCATCGTCTTCCATTCCAGCGCTTCGACTGGACCAGCTGCGTCGCTCCGGTCACTGCCATGGCGACCGCCACGTCCCGACCCTTTGAGTATCTTCAGGGCCTGCCGGGGGTGACCCTTCGCAAGCTGTACCAGCAGCCATCCACCGCCCTAGCCATCTTTCGGCGCATGCTGCCTGAATTGGGTATTTTGAGCTCTCCTCGACTGCCACCACAAGACTGACTCGCTGTAGCGAAATGCTTTGTCATGGCGCTGTTGTACTTGCAAGGCCCGTTTCCGCAGGATGATCTGGAAGCTTGGGTCAAATCTGAAAGCAAGAAGTGAGCGCGTCTGATGCCCAAATAAAAAAAACCTAGCTGACCCGAATCGATTCAAAAGACAAAGAGATGATGCGATCGATATCTTGAAACGGCTCTCTATCTTGACTCACCCGAACCCGGTAATCGACAAGGTCATTGAGGAGAAGACCGGGAAAGAAAATGGAGAGAAACAGAAAAAGACCGTGAGGCTTCCGGCGTACCAGGTCACCAAGGAGTTTGCTCGCTCGCTTCAACAAGCGCTCATGGGCTCTGAGAACTCCCATTCCTTTGGTGTCTTTTCTCAAGGGCCCGACCAGACCCCCGTTTCGATTGTTGACTTGGATGACTATGCGCGGCGGCAGTGGGAAGGAGTCCTGGGATACATGGTGGGAACAGATGCGCTGGGCGGATTGCGTGAGGTCAAACTGAGCAACGGAGTGAAACAACTGTTGCAAGCAGGCCATTTGGTGGAGATTCGTGATCGCCGAGTGGACATCACCAAGGACGGGTTTGGATTCGTGCTGCAAGATGTTAATACGCAGGTCTGGCATATCTTGATCCTTTATGTGGAAAGCGCCGAGGCCATCGGCATGGATAGTGTCGAGGTGCTCTCGTTCCTCTTCCTGCTGAGCAGCTTGGAGCTGGGCCAATCCTACGAAAAGCGACACTTGAATGAGGTCCAACTGCGCACCCTCGCCGATCTGTCCGACTTCGGCATTGTTTACCAGGACAACCCAGACGCCCCGTGCTTCTATCCCACGCGTCTTGCAACCACGCTCACTTCTGACTCGGTTGCACTCAGCAATCCTGTAACTGGCTCAATTACGGGACCGGTAGGCACATCCTCTGGCGGCAGCACGGGGTTCATAATCATTGAAACCAACTACCGTCTCTACGCCTATACCTCCTCGCCTCTCCAAATTTCCCTCATTTCTCTTTTTACCAATCTCAAATACCGCTTCACGAACCTGGTCACTGGGAAAATCACGCGCCAGTCAGTGCGCCGAGCAATCGAGATGGGCATCACAGCGGACCAGATCATCTCGTATCTCTTGACGCACGCGCACCCTCAGATGCGAAAGCACAACGCCACATATTCTACGTCCAACGCTTCAGGCATCCCCCCTCCGTGCTTCCGCCCACCGTCACCGATCAGATCAGGTTATGGCAACTCGAGCGGGACCGTCTCCGAGCCACATCAGGGTTTCTGTTCAAGGATTTCAGTGCCTTTAACGAATACCTGGCTCCATGCCAGCATGCCGCAGAGATCGGTGTGTTGGTTTGGAAATCGGACAGGAGGCGTATGTTTTTCGTCACCGAGCATAAACAGGTTGCAGAGTTCTTGCGAAGTCAGAATCGACCTCAATGACTATGCGCTTAGGGTGAACCCAGATTGCAAGGATTGGGGCGTTCTACTGGGGTCACGTCAGACATTTTACGGAATACATGGAGTTTCTTTGCCCTCGGAGTTCAATCTTCAAACATGTATGATAAGGGGAATCTCTAAAAGAAGCTATACATGTTATTTGCTGCCAAAAATCATGGCCTCGCGGCTACCAATCCTTAGCACCGGTGTTAAATAACTGCTCGCCCGCCGTTCATCCCCCCTTTCTCAAGCCATTTCCTAAATCTCACAACTGTATCTCCTGTCAGATCATTCGGCAAAAGAATGTGAACGTCAGAGACTCGACCAACTACCCCAGTCTGGGCACGGACAAGTCCCTCGTCGAAGTGGTAGAAAAGTCCCCGACTTCCGCAGATGAAATGGGGTCTGCAGCATAGAAATCGGCTTGCTCAGGGGCTTGTCCGGAGTATAGAAGTTGGAAATGACGCCAAATTATGAGGGTATATTAGACCATTCTGCCCTTTGAAGAAAGACAGACGGAGGCCATGATGTTGCCATATGGTGGTAAAGGGTGAGGAGGAATCGGGGCTTGTCTTGTCGAGATGACTCGTTGGCGTCAAGTTGTGGGATTGTTGCCTCAATCGGGTCTCCTATTGTCTAGGGTCCGCATCGAGGTCGCGTATAAACACCCCCGAGGAGATCAAAGCGAGGGAATGACTCGGGGGAAAAAGCGACATCAAGACTAAGTGGTGAGGCTGACGACGAAGCCGAGAGTGGGTTGGCCATCTCGGGAACTGCCAATGCTGATTGGCGGATGTTTTGAAGGGACCGAGCATGTTTGTGGTATAGGTTCGAGGATGGATCGAAGACGGAATATTCAATCAATGCTTTACAAGTAGAGATGATGTTTGGATCTGTCCGAAAGCCCCTGGTGCCTGACTCAGGGGGTTTGATTATTACGGCTTCGGACCACGCAAGCATGCTGAAGGGGCGCGGTCCACATTCCATGAACGGGAGCATCTCCAACCAAGTCAGAATCGAGTAAAATTGTCAACAGGTCATACAATAATGTATAGATCTGTCTTCCGCGGATAAAAGCCACCCAAGCCACCCGGCTGGTGTGGATCGGGCCAGACCAATCCCCGTCCACTCCCATCACCGCCCCTTCCAATAACAACCCCCGCTGCAAAATTCAGTCCCTGAGCGCGATCCCTGTGGCTTTTTTCTCTCCAAGGATCGAGATCCTGCGGAAGAAATATGTCCTCGTCAAGTGAATCCAGTGCCGGGAACTGGATCACAAGCAGCTACACTGGAAACAGTAATGGCGTCCGCATCACCATCGCGACCTTCGTCGGCGTCGCGTGGTACAACGTGATCGAGCTGATCGTGCTCATCTGCCTCACCTTCAAACGCTATCGTGGTCCTTACTTCTGGAGCATGCTGATTGCCTCCGTCGGTATTCTTCCTTACTCAGTCGGCTATTTGATCAAGTTCTTCAATTTGACCTCGGCCACTTGGGTCCCAGTGACTTTGTTGACTGTTGGCTGGTGGTCGATGGTGACCGGCCAATCGTTTGTGCTGTACTCTCGTCTACATCTGGTCCTCCAGGACATGCGCGTGCTGCGCTTGGTGAAGGGCATGATCATTATGAATATCATTATTCTTCACATCCCGACCACCGTCCTGACCTATGCCGCCAACTTCTCCACTTCGCCCGAGACCGTCATGGGCTACGACGTGATGGAAAAGTTGCAATTGACCGGCTTCTGTGTGCAAGAAGTCATCATCTCCAGCATCTACATGTGGGAGACCAATCGCATGCTGCAACTCAACCCAGACCATAATAGCCGCAAAACTATCATCCAGCTCCTGGCTGTCAATGTTGCCTGTATTCTCATGGACATCGCCCTAATGATCATTGAGTTCATGAATTTCTACATCTACCAGACCACCCTCAAGGCCACTCTTTACAGCATCAAGCTGAAACTTGAGATTGCCGTTTTGGGAAAGTTGGTCAACATCGCCCATCAGCATGTGTGGAGATCGGATACTTTCAATATCCCTCCCGGTGGCCAGTATCCGTCATTTGTGGATGCTTCCAGGGTCTTGTCCGACTTCAACCACGCTGAAATCAATCCCACTGAATCTGCCACAACGAGTCGGGGCTCCAAAGCACGCACCACGGGCTTGGAGGCTATCGAGTGTGATGTGTCGTGAGATTTTGTTCCGGATTCATTGAACGATTCTACAACCGATGAGCTCTAATACTGCTCTGGGGTTCTTTTTGGCACCGTCGACCTGTCTGTGTCTGGAAAAAAGAAACTTCATAAAGAGCCCGAAGCTTCTGGTACCGAGCGATGTACGCCACGTATATTTCAACGACGCTGGAAACCCAGATCCCATCGCCATCCCGCCCCTCCCCTCAACCGGGGACAGACTAAGTGTTCCTGTGCCCATTGAAACAACCATCCCTGCAACTGGGTCTCAAATGAATATCATGGCTGGCTGCTCGGAAATGACGATAATGTCTGCATACAAATCGGAGTTTGGACTAGATTTTGGGGATATAAGAGAAGGTTCTCACTTCACACGAGGCTACGATATTATGAACTGCATAATTCTAAGTTTAGATACCTCAATAACAACACTGCATTGCATGCCTACCACGTTTTCGTATCATGCGAGCTGCTCTCAACGGATCGGGCGTTGGGTCCGATGTTTTCGCCTGCCTGGGTGAGAACTACACCCAGTTCCTCCGACTACTTTACGCCACTCGACGTGTGTTGGCCTTTCCCAGAAGAGGCGGGTGGAAGTGGGGCAATCACTTGAACAAAAATGATGGGGATGCATGACCGGCTCTGACTTTCCAGTGTCTGTGATCCGGGCCTTGACCCGGGCCCCGACGCCAACCGGCCGGGCCGGTCAACTCGGCGGGGATAGGGCTCAACCACAACAACCGAAGAGAGACAATCACGAATCCAGAAAAAGAAACCCATAGAAATGAATAAAATAAATGGTATATTATTGATCTATCATGTCGTCTCTATAATCTCTATAAAATCAGTCTGCTGTTGGGCGTCATGAAGGCGAGCGCCGTTCATCCAACTGTTCGTGTAGATACAGCCGGCCCTCCGTGTTCACAAAGCCACCGATCCCAAATGCGGGGATAATGCGACACATGCGTAAGAGCGAAGCACTGATCCAGTCCCGGCTGACCCTAGACACCCGGTCCTTTGCTGGGCGGACTTGGGGCCGGTTGTAGAGGTCCAGACCCAGTAGGTGGATCGGTGTGCTGATCAGCTGGATAGAGGCCGGAATTGCTAGTTGGGCAATCAGAATTTTCAGGTATTCTTGGGACGCCACAGAGTCGGGAATCGACGCCGATACCATGGCGGGTAGGCTGAAGGATCCGAAGATGGTGAGGCCGTCACGGATCAGAAAGGCGGAGTAGGTGGCCAAGGGGATTCTGGTGCGGCCGATAGAACGGGCAGTTTTGGGCTTGGGTTGTGGTTGGGATGACGTTTCGGTGGCTGCCTGGGTGTTTGATGTAGGTGTTGTGGATGGTGGGGTGGTAGTCGGAGGAGTCGTGGTGGTGGTATTCTTGTGTCCAAAAAGTTGTGCGAACTTAACGTCTTTCCAGATGCCCACGGAAGAGTTCACCAGGAAGGTAGATGCGAATGAAGTCATGCCGGCAATGGCATGGTCAATTTTGGGGTATAATTTCTCGAGAATCGTCTCGGATGCATTGGCTGTTGCGAACGTCGCTGTATAAAGGGACCAGACGAGTAGACTGGGTCGTGATGTCAAAAATGTAGCAGGCTGTGTAATGGAGAACCATAGGTGCCTCCGGAATGCGGGCAAGAGAGGTTGGTTATAGAAGGATTTCTCGACGACGAGTCTTTCGCAGCGTCAGCTTGTTGATCTTGTCGGGATCCGTACTTCACCATACCTGTCAAATATCATCACCGCTGGTGTAATCAGTGTTGCCGAACCTGCAGCAACGAGCACGTCTGCCGCCAGAAGCTCCCCCATCCGGCTCCGGCTCCGCTGGAGGCCAAAAGGGAATGGCTGATCCTGGAGGTTTTGGGTCATGTTCTCGGGCGCTGAATCAAGATTCCCGACACCAAGTTCATATGTTGGGAGCGTATGCCTTTGGAATCAGGATGATGGAGGGGCAAGTCTGGCGGTAGGATACTTTTTATAGTTATGTAATTGGAAAAGGCTGCGCAGATTGTTAGGTCAGTACGGTTAACTCATAGCGGGCAGTGGTGAAAACAACTCACGGCAATGATTGTAATAAATGAAGGTGGGAGTAAGTTGGAAGAAGTGAAAGAAGTGGAAGACAGTAAATATATGCCTTGACCGAGTATCCGTTTGATAATATATTCCCCATCTTATCGCCCAAACCTGCAAGTATAGATCGGTGAGACCAGAGCCGTTCGGCGCTTGGCTGTGCTTCTGATTGGACGACTGCTCCGTTCATGCCTGGCTACTCAGGCATCAAAACTTTCTAGAAGACCGCACGGCGATTACACAATGCGAAGAAAATTCAACGGGTGGGATTGCCCCAAGCGGAATGATGCTCTGTCTCTCCCCGCATTTCCCCGACTGTGTGATGGATTGAAGCCCAAATGACGAGGTAATATGGTGGGGTTGAGCATGGGTGCCAGAAAAAATAGGCGGGAGGCCACCGGGGACTGTTTTTGTAGTGTGGTAAAAAGAAACCAGCCAGAAAATGACTATTAAATAAGTGGGCTGGAGCCCTCCGATACATTCGAATTCAGATGATGCAAACGGTGGTCTGATATGCTGTAGAAGCAATGACCATCTGCCGTGTTGATCTTGGCCGGCCTCGGCAAGCACTCATTGGCTAAATACACATCCTGGTACATAACCTGGCACATCCAGGGTAAACACGACGTAAATATGCATAGAAAAGATGGTCATTCAAGCCAAACATCAGCACTTTGTCTTCCGTTCTTTGCTTCCTTCACACCCTCAGGATCTAAATGAATCGTCGATCTAGGCCCCCCTGATTAGTCAGAATGCTTCACCGGTTGTTTTTGTGCCCCTCGATTTGAGAAATCGCATCAGCACTCTGCGACCTCATCCATAAGCCTGGCTATGAGTATATCGGAAAGTTGAGTGGTGCCCCTCATAGAGGAAATGAATCCCGGATTACAATAGAATTCTTCTTGTGAATGGAGGGCGAGCAAAAATAGCAGTTAAAATAAAAAGCAAGTGGAGCATCTGCCTACGCGGCATGCGAGAAGCTGCCCCCTGAATCCCACCACCCTTCAAAATCATCCACGAGTTGACTGGGATAAAACGATAGTGTTATGCAAGCATGTAGATAGCTGGTACTAAAATAACTGTCCGAAGCCATCACAACAACCCTTAATGCAGTTAAAAAGCGGGATGCCGATGGGCCGATCAGCATTCCGTATCAGGTTAGAGCCAAGACTGATCCGCCCTAGCGGACCCGCGAACGACCGCATAAATTTTAGAGGCCATCATAGCTTCTCCTGACTGTTTGAGAGTTGAGATTGTCAAGGATCCTCTTGCTCTGTCGGGACTCAAACTTGAACAAGCTTGGTTGCAGTTTTCAGCTGGGTCGGTCAGAAAACCTGCCCGCCATGGATCCCTCCACGTTCACGGATCCTCAGCTCACTTTACCCGACAAGCTGGTGATCAAAACTCTCATCAGGGATAAATGCTCGGATAGTAAGTCCCATTGACACTACTGAGATTTGACCAGTCGGTTGATAAAGCTTCAGGTGAAACCCACGAAGTGCTGGGGGAGACCATTGATGACAAGGGAGCTGTTGAGAAGCTACACAATCTGAATAATGCCTCACATCCTGACTTCGATCCCACTATCTTCCAGCTATGGGACAATGATGTGCTGCGGGAAAACCTGCCGGAAAGCATACAGCGCTACATACTCCGCCCATATACCAATTGGGCACAAGGAGTCGTGCGCTTTAAGACAGACGTCGTCATGCTGACACATCTGCTCCTCTATTTCACCACTATTGTTCCAAGTGCAGTATATTTGTATCATCACTTTTCCTGGATCCATGGGGTCATACACTGGGTTCTGCAGCTATGGTACTGTGGAGCTTTCACTCTGATGAAGCACCAGCACATCCATATGAACGGAGTGTTAGCGCCTAAATATCGGCTTCTGGACACGGTTTTTCCATACATTCTGGACCCTATGCTAGGGCATACATGGAATTCCTACTATTACCACCACATCAAGCACCACCACGTGGAAGGCAATGGCCAAAATGACTTAAGCACGACCATGTTCTACGATCGCGACAATGTTTTTGATTTTCTCTGCTATGTATGCCGCTTTGTGTTTCTGATCTGGCTGGAACTTCCGCTGTATTTCTGGGGGAAGGGACAGGTGGGTTACGCCTTCAAGGCGGCATTCTGGGAGTTGGGCAATTATGCCTCCCTCTATTTCCTCTACACCCAGGTCAACTCCCATGCCACTCTATTTGTGTTTCTTCTGCCCCTCGCCGTCATGCGGCTTGGTTTAATGGTTGGAAATTGGGGCCAGCACGCCTTCGTGGATCCAGTGGATCCGGATTCGGATTTTCGTTCGAGCATTACTTTGATTGACGTCGCAGTAAGTTTTACAGCGTAGCTTTTGCTAGCGGGCATATTCTGACTCAATATAGAGCAACCGCTTCTCATTCAATGATGGGTATCATACTTCTCACCATTTGAACCCTCGTCGCCACTGGAGGGACCATCCAGTCGCATTTGTCAAACAGAAGGACCGCTATGCTGAAGAAAGGGCCCTAGTGTTCCGCAACGTTGATTATATCTTTATCACCGTGAATTTGCTTCGCAAAAACTACATGCACCTGGCCAAATGCATGATTCCGATTGGTGACCAAGTTGATTTGACTCTGGAGCAACGAGCGGACTTGTTGCGCAGTCGGACTCGACGTTTCCAGAGAAAGACAGGAGAGGTTAGTAAGAACCATGTGCAGAGATCATCATTGGGATTGAAGACAGTGTTCCAACCTCTTTCTGCCTGGAAGAAATGGGCCCTGGCGGCCGAATGAGACTAGATATAGCGCGTTTCTGAAAATCTAGACCATTGCATGCATCTCATAGACAAAGAATCAATTTTCTTTTATTTCAATTTTATACTATTTTACTGGCGGTTCAGAGTGGCAACTACTCACTTGCGAGCTTCTGTGTATAGAACCGCTATTTCCTGGCTATTTATTTTCCACAGATCCCATGTTGTTCAGAAGCTCATCAAAGAGAGGTAGGCAGGTTGGTGATGATTATATAGAGAGAGAGAGAGAGAGAGAGAGAGATGAGGGGAAAAACGGGCATTTATGTAGGCAAAGGAGGACAAAGAAGAAGGTCACAAAACAGTCATAGGCTAAAATGGGACGACATTGTCAAGCAGACCACAGATCGGTAGGAGTCTACTGACCGCTCAATAGGGTCCACGCTCAGTAGGCTTGGCGAAAAAGCCACTTTGACCCGTGGGGAGCATTGTTTCGCGAGTCCGAGATGTCGGCAATTATTTTGTCAGACGCAGGATGTTTGGCAACGATTACCGTCTTGTACCACTTGTACCATGTGTTTGGCTCTTTAGAGACTTTATTCTGGTTGTATATCGTGCCCTGGATACGCGCGAAGTACTGGGTTGGTAAGAACCACTGCATCTCCACTTCACAGCTACCTATCTAAGAGTGTACGCTGCCCGATGAAGTACTTCCTTCGTAGATATACTATTATGTTTAGTGATGAGTTTGTTTGGTAATAGTATGATTATTTGGGTTGACCCATCTTTCAGCTCAATGAAATCGCAGTCCAGTTCCCCGAGAATCGTGGCTTCGATACTTTAACACATCATAGTGATGGCTATAAGTGGATGTATAAATGAATCGGGGCGCGGTACGCCTGCACGCGGCGCTTCAAGACCCTCAGTCCCTGAAGCTGAAGCAGATTTATGATCTTCGCAAGTGTGGCTTTGGATGATAGCTGTCAAGCTGTTTTTGACATTGAGAGGCAACTCTCCGGCATTGTAATCCGTGTTCAATTCTTCCACTATAGATTTTCTTATCGGAAAAACCCAAGATTTGACCGACGTCTCGTTCTGGGGAGCTAAGTAGACGCGGCGGAATAAGCCAAGCTCGAAGTAAACGTGACGTCATTACACCAGCTCCCCCGAAAAGCTCGATCGGCTTCAACTTGGTCCTTTTCCGTTATCCTTGCACGTCTTCATCGGAATTCATTTCCAATTAATTGCATTTTTACCATGACCGAATCCTTAGCTGTCCTTCGCCGTCGTCGCAGTGACGATCTCGCAAAACTCGCCGATGAGCACCTACAACAGGATCTGCAGGCGTCGGACCGCGACAAGCTGAAATCGGCTGCCTCAACCATTTCCGTCTGGACAACAGTGGGCTCCGCTGTTGGCATCAGTCTTGGATTATTTGCCGCTATCCGACTACGCAGCACACGCAAGGCCTTTTTCGCTGCGGTTCGCGCGCAGGAGAGACCTACAAAAGTTGTTTTTGCTGATGGTCGTACCGGTATACTATTGCTTCGATAACTTTGATCCGCAGGAGACGTGAGACTGATTGACTCCCTAGAACCAATTCCTGATCTCACGCCTCTGTTGAAGCCTTCAACATTGGGGGATGTCGCGACGTACTTTTTTGCCTCCGCTGGTGGACTATTCTTGGGTGGAGAACTTGGTAGGAATGCCTTGCTATTTCCTGTTTCCAACTTAGTGAAGGTAGATGCTGATTATGACCTCTTTGACAGGTTTTGCTGGCGGGGCAGCGAGCGGGAGCCGTAGCATCTCGGCTGATCCCGAGAGCAAAAAGAGAATCGAGACGGCTTTTAGGAAGTTCCGAGCCGATGTGCTACGAAAGGAGGCCGACTCTTTGGACCAAGGCGCAAATGTTTCAGAGGTGATGTTCTAGATTAACATGGAAAGCTATTGCTGGAATCTGTACCTGCAGGGTATCCGTGATAGACTATGTGGTGAAATACAAAATTGCTTGGGAGATTTCAGGGCTCCCACTATAATAGTACCAATGCAAGGCGTGAACCAATCTGCCGTCACAAAATCTGGAAGACGCATTGCTTAATATATGAGCTTGCTAGATTGCCCAATTGCGACGCCATAACCACCCCCAGCGCTGGCACTTTCCGCTCTTCATCGCAACGGTCCTGTAGCCGGGTATCTAGGGGATAACGGTGACAACGGGGTGAAAACCGGGTGAGAGCTCCCACGCAGAGTGATAGCCCTCTACTTCCTTTTTCTCTTTCTCTAGCTTCGTTATCTTTAGTTTAATGCAGCTTAACTATTATCCGGAACTAGTGTCCTATAGACCAGAGAAGAACTGCAGCCCGTAATTTACAGGGACTATAACATTTATGGGCTTCCGGTATCGCCGGTTTGGCCTATGCTGGCATATCCTACCGTTGCCTGTAACTTATGATGATGTAACTTATCAAACTCAGCCCTGACAGTGGCGGCAAACCCCAAGGCGTACTAAAACCCACCGTACCTGCTTTGTTCCTAACAGCAAGGCTATGGGAACACTACTTTTCACCCTAACCGTTTTAATAGCAGATCCGGATGGCTGACTCTTGTCGCCGTCGCCCCTCTTGGCGTTTGACTTCGGCCTCTCTGTTCTCGCGTCACATACGCCACGTTGTATTTTATTTTGGATCATGTGAAGTATTTTGATCGTACATGTATAGTCGGGAGCTAGTCAATCTGACCTGTCAATTATTCATGCTATTTTTAGTTTCAATCTCTTAATCCAAAGTATCTTCAAGGAATGTGTGGTTTGTCAAGAATAGGGGAGTTCTCTTCGAATGGTAGATAGAAAAGCGTCGCATGGGTAGAAGACATCGCTCGGGTCCGTGCTTTTTTCAGTTGGCTTCTAATGCAATAGGGTAGGAAAAGCCTTGCATCTCTTAGTATAGAGAAATCGGCATGTAATTGGCTGTGTAGTTTTAAAGACAACGGACACTTAATCTACTCAGTCCTACGTGGAGCTTCGTTTTTCAGGAAATAACAAGAAGAAATATCCATGAGACATCTAGAAGGTGCCTTCCTACGAGCTGCTGATTAAATCGGCCGCTTTCTCTGCAAGTGCATACAGCGCGGCCTGGTAATGAGCTGCCAGCGACAACGGCAACACACTCGCGTCCACAACACGTAGTCCCTCTACCCCATTCACTCGCAGCTGGGTGTCAACCACCTTACCCATCGCCGCAGACCCCCCGGGTGATAGAAAGTGGCACCGCCGAGCTTGATGGCTTTATCAAGCTCTTCGTCGCTCGAATCAGCGCGCAACGGAGACAGACCTGGACGCGGCACCTCCTCCACAATCATATTCTGTCCCTCAGGGGTATCTCGAAGCAGCTTGGTCACCTGTCGAACACCGACTCGCAACGCCGCACGATCCACCTCGGTTGCATAGTAGTTGGGATCAATCAGTGGCGGTGCGGCTGGGTCTGCCGACGAAATGGTGATGGTTCCACGCGATGTAGGGGTCACTCCCAACACAGCCGACGCGATATGCGTTCCGTCCATGGGGACCTCAACGCCAGAGACGGCTGCACCCGCAGGGGCATACACGACTAGCGTCTCGAGGTGGCAGAATCCAGGCTTGAGATAGGGGTGGCTATCGATTTCAGCCCCGCTGACGCCGTCCGCCTGCAACGCACGGGCCATTTCCTCGCGCGGTGCCTGGACTGTCGCGACCCAGTTGCAGGGCAGTCCCATGCCGTACGCGGGGCTGTTCCAAAGGGGAGTACCAACCGACAGCCCCTGCTCTGGGTGCCGGAGCTTCCACCACTGGTTGAAAGAGAAGTGATCATGGAAGTTGCGGCCGACTTCCGGGGAATCCACTGAAAGTGGGATCCCATGTTTGGAGAGTTCCGCGGCAGGACCGATGCCCGATAGCATTAGAACCTGGGGCGTACGGTACGCGCCGGCGGAGATGATCACCTCCCGCGAAGCTGTGAGTTTCGTTCCATCGGCGAGCTCAACTCCAGTTGCAGTCTTCTTCGTCCCCTGCTCCGTAAGTAACACCCGCTTGACAAGTGTTTCAGTCTTGACAGTGACATTGGACTTATTTTTGATGGCGTAAGCTTCACTGGCGAGCTGACGCTGGCCATTCCGCCAATTCTCCGTCAGCGGGGCGAGACCCTGGGGATTACCCGCGTTGGCGTCTTGGATGGTCTGGACACCAAGGTTGGACCAGGCGGCACGCACAGGCTCGCGTAGGGGGTATTTCCGGTCAAGACTACTGGATTCAACCGTGGCATTGTGAATAGGTCCAGAGGTGCCGTGTGCAGCGGGGTCCGCATTTTGGTCCCAGTGCGTCTCAGAGCGTTTGAAGTAGGGCAGTAAGCCCTTGTAGCTCCAGGCGTCGTCATTGACCAGCTGCGCCCACAGATCATAGTCCAGGGCATTTCCCCGAGTCCAGGTGCCGTAGTTAGTGGCAGTACCGCCACTGAGGGCTTTACCGGCAGCATTGTAGCACTGGCGGCCATCGAGATGCGCCTGGGGTACAGTAGTGTACGCCCAGTCAAGTGGAGAGCCGTGGGCGCCAAAACAAGCCAGAGGCGAGCCCGTGAGAGGGTGGCCGGCCACATCAGGGCCGACTTCGAGGAGGAGAATGGAGCGTGATGGCTCCAGCTCGGCCAAGCGACCGGTGAGGGCAGAGCCGGCGAGACCACCGCCAATGATAATGTAGTCGTAGCTAGTGTCAGACATGGTGATAGTTTGACTGATAAAGGACAAGGCGGCCTGTCTATCTCGGGCGAAGGCCTCAGCTTTTAATATAATGTCGATCCCGGCGAGATTTACTGGGAATTATGTCACCACGATCGAAACAAAGGACGATGCGCATGCAGCCGAAAGGTGTATTCCACGCTTGTGGTCTGTGTTGCATCAACCGGACTTCGCTTTGGGGGCCATTGCTAATTCTGAAATCTATGACACGTAATTTCACGTCCGTATTTATATTTATATTTATATTTCATTTTTTCATTTTTTCATTTTTTCATTTTTTCAATAGTTCGATGACCCTGCTCCTAGAAGTATTCCATATGCCTACTATGGCATCGAAGGTAATCTCTATCTCAACGCGTAGTGGCCGAAACTGGTACCATGGATCAACGTAATTCTGTCGACACTGGAAAGACCACCTGGTATGCAGGGAACCAACTAAGAGGATTTACTGTTTGGAGATATGAGGTTGTATTCTAGTGCATTTACTGTGTCCTTTGCCGGTGGCTTCATTCTCTTGATGTTACTCATTTCCCACTACCACGCTTGCTACACGAAGTCCTGCCCTAACCAGAGAACATGTATCATCTATTCTTACGAAATATCGCAAGGCACATGAACGGCCAATTCAGGATGAATAAAGTAGGCGATCGGAGAAGCTGAGCATGGGATGACCTAGGCATGACAAGGCATGATATTCATATTAACAGTACGTACATGGGAGATCTGACATAAAAAAGGCGTTCCTTCGCACAATAATATTTCGTTAGGAGACATAGGCTTTCCATTCCGTCCGTACGCCTATTCCTTGCCCCTCACCAATGGTGTCTTCAGTGTCCTGCGAAGTCTTATGGTGGATCACCGACTGTGGCCCAGTCACACTTGTTACAACCCCAGGCCATTCGCCGAGCTCATTGCTCGCATGAGCACAATTTGAGTGCAGACTCCCGAAAGGTGCTCTGTCCTCACTTTGTGAACGAAGTTTGCGGGTGGCGTGCGTTGCAACGAATGCCTTTGTCTTCTTTGTCAGGGGCCCCAGTAGCGGTCCACAAGCCACTGTTATACCCAATGCAGGCTCTAGAAAACTCCACAGGAGTGGGTAAGAAGCAGTATATGTAATGTCTGCGAAGTTTGTGGCCATTAGTGCGACAATACGTAGGATGCTGACTACCATAGTTCTTGAAAAGGATGATAGTTAGCGAGATGTTGATATGTGGACGCCAAAGGATAAAAAGAGACATACAGAATCCCAAGTCCAAATACGCTCGACAGCGCTGCTCGGGTTGCCATACGGGCATGCAGATTCCAGATCATCGGTAGCGGCAGAGCAAAAACGCAAACGTCTGTCACAAGATCTAATACACCGACGGCGATGAAAGCGGCGCGCTCATTGGCGCATTTGCCACCTGGGATGGATTGATCCCAGTTATAGGCTAGTGGTCGGCAGAGAAGGAATGCTGTCAAGATGACCATTATCCCCCAACAGGCAACGAATCCCATCACCATCCGGCAAATTATTCGAAATCGCTTCACGGGGAAGATTCGAAGGTAGAAGAGGCAAATAGAGGTTTTGATTAAAGTGAGCGTGGAGGCATAGAAAAGTTGCATAACAACGAGCATCTGTTGTTCGTCTTTGGTTAGTCCTAGAGAGAAGATAGGGAGTAGTAAGACAACGAGCCTTCAAGGATGTGACAATGTGCGAAGGTGCTGTCTCAGCCGCATGGTGTCCTGCGTGCCCCATGAAAACGTCTACAGATGCCAGTCCGTTAGAGCAGGAGGTAGAAGTAGGTACTGTTAAGCTGAAGACCCACCGATAATTTCAGCACTTGCCATGCCATAGAGAAGGAACTGTGTTGAATTTGAAAATGTTAGACGGGTTTCACGGATAATACTCTGTGAATGGCTCTGCATACCTGTGCGACTAAGAGAACATAATCTTCGCTGGCAAGGCGAGCCCGGTTTATACGCTTCGAAAGAAGACGGAGGAAAACAGAGACAGTTGATGTTACGGTGAATGTGATGACAACGGCGAAAATTGCCCGGCTCCGGTAGCTCTCTAGAGCGCCAGACATATTGAATAGATAGCTGGATAACTGTGAATTTGCTTGCGATAGAACAATAGGAACCAGTTGCGCTCCGCCCGGGCGAGGAGATGGAAAAAAGCAAGGAAGGGTTCCAGTTGGGCATCTATGATACAGCGGGGGATCTAATCGTGTCTTTCCTCCCGAAATGTCAGCCAACTTCCCAGACTTTGCAGAAATGGGGGCCAAATTTGAATGATACAGTCATTGATGGTCGTGTCTGTAGCGTATTTCACAATCGTGCCAATCGTGCCCCGAGTACCCCGATACACGTACACGCCTGTTGAAGGTTTGTCGTGGGGGCGGGAACTGTGTGGTAAATGCGACAAATTACTACCTTATATTTCAACATTTATAAGTTATTTTTACCTATTCGTTCGTATTTTTAGTCTTTAGCATAAGAAAAAAAATCTTGTATTGATGTCAAGCTTGACCACTACTTATTTCATTGCATCACCTCGGGATCCGCAGCGCTGCGAATATACATATTTCTAATGATTATATCCCAAAATACTTCTGGACTATACCAGTATACTAGGTGACGTCAAAAAAAACTAAATATAGGTTAATTACGCCAGAACATCTACCGTAGTGGTTTATTTGTCCGATGAACGATTTAGCCCCAATTCTCCGCTCTCTAGTGCCAGGACCCACAAGGAAAGAGCTGGGGTCCAAAGCTGGAATATCCATTCTTCGTCAGTAATGCACGATTGGCCCCCAATTATGTAGTGCTAGGATTAACAAGGGTAGAGTGGGGCCAGAGCCTGAACTACTGACCTCTGACGCTGTGGCTGCAGAGCATGTGGCCTGATTTACTGTATCTCTGACGTTGTGGCTGCAGAGTAGATAAGTTCATTCTTCGCTGCTAAAGGTCAACCTGCTCCAGGTACCGTGCCCTTTTGTGCAGAATGCAACCCTGTGGTATGATCAGCAAATAATGGCTGAAGACCATGTGGGGTCCAACGGAGATACCCCAAAAGGGCCAGCATCTGTAAAGTGGCAGTCAAATATCCTAGACACATGAAGAGATCGTTATACCAAATCATGGAGCAATGAATCTACCTACTCCCAGGACCGTGTACAGTGACTTTCGTTTTTAGGTTCATGACCTTCTGGAGTCGATCCCGGACATGAGTGCGCGGCCGCGCGATTTTACTTGACCCTAATGGCCGATGATTACGAACTTTGGGGTCCATTGATGTTTCGTCACTTTAGTCGCTTTGGTAAGTTTGGTAATGTGCCGAAATTCTTGGTTAGAGCGATAGCTTCTCAAATACTATAAACACATACTAGTTAAGTAGGCCGCTGTGGTGCGCGGGTGACAAAAAAATAATAGTTGTAAAACCACAAAATTCGAAGAAAGAAGCCACGATGCCATCCCTTACTGAGCTGGCTGAGCAGGCCCTCGTCTTGGCCAAGCGCCTGGACTCTTACACGGACACCCATAACCTACCACCAGTGTCCCTCGATCAGGACACACTCTCCCTCGATAAGCTGCCCCAGGAGCTAAGAGATGCGCGCCACGAACTGGGTGACACTGCACAGTTGATAAAGCGTCTTGCTAATGACCCCGTCCGGAATCTTATGGAGACCATGTTCAGTGTAAGCTCTAACCCTTTTTCGCTTGAGACAGTGAGATTCACAAGATATCAGTTTACCGATCTTGCCTCTCTGAAGGCTGTGTTCGAGTATGACCTACCAGCCAGAATACCATTGGAGCCATCCAACAAGACGATTTCATGCTCTGAGATTGCCCAGATGAGCGGGATGCCGCAAGGTCTCTGCAGGCGTATGATAGTCCATGCCATGGAGAATGGTATCTTTATAGACGCTGGGGACGGCCAAGTTGGGCATTCGTCAGTGTCTCGTCTGTTAGCGACAGATCCCGCAGCTTTCCAAACAGTTGGTATGATTTTGGAAGAGCTTGCACCGGCAACTATGCGTATTCCGGAAGCACTGCGGAAGTATGGAACTTCCAGCGAACCCAATGAAACTGCTTACAACATGGTGAATGATACATCATTGCCAATCTATCGCTTTTTGGAAGAGCGGCCAGACCGTCGATCGCGTTTCGGCACAACTATGGGATTCTTCTCTCGCGACCAGGGATTCAATATAGAGCACTTGGTTAACGGCTTCCCGTGGAAAGCCATTGATCGACCTGGCGCAGTGGCGGTAGATATTGGTGGGGGTGTGGGCGTTGTATGCCACAAGTTGGCCGAAGCGACGGACCATTTGAAATTTATAGTGCAAGATTTACCAACACCCATCAAATTGGGCCGGCAGCAGCTTCCGGAGGCGGCGCAGTGGCGCGATCGAGTCGACTTTATGGTAGCGGACTTTCTCGCTCAAGACCAGCCGGTTATTGGAGCTGAAGTGTATTTCTTCCGCTGGATCCTGCATAACTGGGGTGATGAATATTGTGTGCAGATCTTACGACGGCTGGTACCAGCCATGCGAAATCACTCAAAGGTGGTTATCTATGACTACCTTTTGGCAGAGGGGCCGGAATATAAGTGGAGTCGGAAGCATGGCCGGTGCGTGATACTTTTCTAGGCTCATATGCTTGATTTACGTTTACTGATAAGGGTTTGTTATTTCAGGAACCTTGACTTGGTCATGTACGCCTGCTGGAATGGGAGCGAGCGTACGCTGACGGACCTAACTCGAATCTTTCAGCAGGCTGATAAGCGATATGTGGTCGACGAGGTCTCGAGGCCACCTGGGAGTTCCATGAGCATTGTATCCTTTGGATGGAAAGAGCATGCTGTGGACTCGTCTCGTCAAACAACCTGTACCAAATAGTAGCTCAGTCCATCCAAATTATTCTCATTTGTCCCTTTGTTCTGTTCTATGTCTCGTATACAGTATTTGCAGTGAAGTTCCGAAGTCGAAGTTGGGCAGTAAGCAGTTAGGAGCACTTAAATGCAAATTACGAACACAGTATTACCGATCATCAGAACGAAATAAAAAAACGAATGTTTAAATCAAATTTAAAAGAAAATTAGATATTACGACATGCCGATCCTTTCTAAAGTATCGAGCGAGTGCGTATCTGCATGGTACACTGGGTCCGACTGTCTGTGAGCAGTATTTATAGTGGGGGCTGGGCTTATTTGAAGATTGCCGGACCGTCGGGCAGTCTCTCAAACCAACCATCAAGATGCCTATCCTCTTCCTTTACGCGTTACCGCTTATCCTTATTCTGGTCAGTCACATCATCAGCGTGGTGTACGAAGTCTTTGTCAATCCTTCGTTATTGCGCATTCCAGGACCCTTTCTAGCCCGCTTTACGAGGTTATGGTATTTTTCTCGAGTTTGGAACGGGGACTTTGAGACAGTAAATATCGCTCTACACGAGCAGTATGGTCCTATTGTTAGGATTTCTCCAGGACACTACAGCATCAGCAATCACTCAGACGTAAAGACGGTGTATAGTGTTGGGTCTAGCTTTACAAAGTCGGCTTGGTACGATGCTTTCAAAGATCCCTCACCCCATGAATGGTCTGTATTCACAGACCGAAATAACAAACGACATAGTAAGTTTAAATTGATTTTTAAGACAGGAGGAAACTTAACTGAGAAACTACAGACGAGACGCGAAGAAAATTCACCTCCCTTTATTCTATGAGCTCTGTCCTCCATTACGAGGAGTTCGTTGACAAATGTGCCAACATATTCACAGAACACCTAAGTCAATTCGCGCATTCTGGGCAATCAATTGATTTTCACCATTGGCTCCAATGCTACGCATTTGACGTAATCGGAGAAATCACATTTGGTCAGCGCTTTGGTAGGTTTCTTCCATTCCGGGACTGCGTATATGGCTAACCCGAGAAGGTTTCCTGGATGAGGGAAAGGATATCATGGGGGCACTCAGCACTGTTCGAAAGTTGCTTACATACAGTGCCTTGATTGGAATTTATCCCCAATGGCATCCACGGCTGTACAAGATTCTTGGTCGATTCACGTCATCGGGGCCAGGGAGCCGCACCTTTATTATCGGCTTTGTGGTGGATAAACTCCGTCGACTGAATGAAATGCGCAGCGAGAGCAGCCATCAACATCCTAGCACCAAGACATCAAAAACCCAGGACTTCATGGAGAGGATGGCAGTCGCACGGGACCAGGATCCGGAGAAGATCAATGACTATCATTTGCTAATGATGGGGGTGTCAAATGTCATTGCCGGCTCTGACACCACAGCCATGGGCCTTTCGTCTATTATGTACCATCTACTGCGGAATCCAAATGCCTTCAGACGGCTACGACAGGAGATCGATGATTTTACCAGAGATCAGCAGTGCAGCACCCAGATTACGTTTAAAGAGAGCCAACAGATGCCCTACTTACAGGCCGCAATCAAGGAGGCGCTTCGCATGCATAGTGCCACTGGGCTGCCTCTATGGAGAGAGGTTCCCGTCGGCGGTGCTGAGATTAATGGATACTCTCTTCCAGAGGGGGCAGTTGTGGGGATAAATACATGGGTTGCACACTACAATGAGGAAGTGTTCCCAAATCCGAAGTCCTTCCTCCCAGAGAGGTGGATAGAGGCGAAAAGTAATCCATTAAGGCTGCGGGCTATGAATGAGATATATATGCCTGTAAGCGTTTATGCTATGAGCGGCCCAAGATGTGATTGATGCTAATTTTCTACAGTTCGGTCTGGGCTCTCGAACCTGTCTTGGAAAGCACATTTCCATCCTAGAGATATCAAGGCTAATCCCTCAACTCATTCGTGATTTTGATTTTGTGCTCGAAAATCAAACATGGACTACTGAGAATTTGTGGTTTGTGAAACCAACGGACTTTCGAGTGAAGGTCTCTCTAAGGAATAAGGAAATATAGATCACATTTTAGAGAGCTACAAGATGATGTTATCTACGTGCAGTATCCGAGAACAATCACTTTATTTTGTGTGAATTAGTGCAGATCATCATGCAGTTTGGTGATCTATTAGATGACATACGAATCTCGGGATACGCACTCTATTCAGGGTATGACGTAAATATATTGAACAAGGCTGAACGTAAGGCGTTGGAAGCACGGCACGAGCGATAATGATTGACGGTGATTGACGGTACACCTGAAGGATTTCGCACGGCCCCAGCGCATGGCAAAAGTATTTGGCCCCAGAATCCGGCCCCCGATTTGTGAGCTTGGCGCAGTGAGTGGCTTGCATTTTTTGAGTAATGTCGTTTTCTGCAGGTTGCTTGCGGATTTAAGTCATAGGGCCTAGATAATTAGGTATTGTCGTAACCGGACTTTTGGGTGCCGTCTTCTTATTTGGAGACTTAAATCTACTCCTCTCATTCAACAACCCCTTTTCATCTCCGCCTTTTACATATTCTCCGACTCTAGCCTTTTACTTGCATACCTTTTCACAGATCTCGACATGAGCCAGCCAGTCAATATTCTCCATTTTGGAGATCAGACAGCCGACATTGGCCCATCCTTCCTGGAGCTTATCCAATTAGCTAAGGATGTCCCCGCCCTCGACCAACTCCTGCAAAAATGTACACACGCCCTACAAGCCAGTGGCACGGCTTTATCATCAACGTCAAAAAGTTCAAGGTCAACTCGGGAATTGACAGATTTGGTACATGCTTTGAAAGACGGGCATGAAGAGAAACCAGCCATTAGGACTGTTCTCGTGTGCATTTATCAACTAGGATGTTATATTTTGTGCGTTATTAGCTTGAATTTGCGTTAAGAGTGGTCGTGCTTATACATTATCGTGACTGTCAGATATCTGCTGCAGCAGCGCCCAACACCCCTTCAAACCTCGCAAATCACAGCCCTGGGGTTTTGTACGGGAATGCTACCCGCGGCAACGGCAACATACATTACCTCGATTCCAGAACTATTGATAACGGCACCTGAAATTGTTCGAATTGCCTGTAGACTTGGGCTTCACGTCAGTCGTCGCTCACGGGCACTTGACCCGACCAATGGTAACTGGGCAATCTCCATTTCGGGAGTCAATCGCGAACTGCTCCAGAATGCCATTCAAATATTTAACGATCCATACGTGCGTATCACTGGCAAGATTTTGATCTGAAGTTGTTTTAATAACGAATTGTAATGTTAGGTCTCTACTCCTTCCGTTCAGCTCTTCATCAGCGCTATCGCCAATTCATCATATACAGTCACTGGGCCCCCACGCTCGCTACAGCATTTTGGCAAACGCATACAGACGGACTTCCCCAATGCAAGAGCCGTCCCACTACCAATATTTGCGGCATACCATGCCAGCCATATCTACAGTTCCGATGTGCAGCATATTATAGGGGAGTCCCCTCTTTTGGACAAAGACGGTTGTGTCAACTCATCCCTCATATCTACCAGCACAGCCCACCAAATGGATAAAAGAGCTACATTGCGTGACGCCCTACACAACGCAGTGGTCGATATACTTTGTCGCCCATTGAACTTATCAGCTATTCTGGAAAACTTACAGGCCGGTCAGGTTGCAGAGACATCTCTCACCATTTTAGGCGTATCCAATGCCACACACACCCTGCAAGACGCACTAGAACCTGCATCATTGCATATACTTCCCGAAATGGCATTCGGGAACAGCAAAAAATACGGCGAGAGTTTTGCGATCATTGGCATGGCTGGGAGATTTCCTGGTGGTGACAACCTGGATTCATTTTGGAAGACCCTTGAAGAAGGTATGGATCTTCATCAACAGGTAAGAACAAGTAACTTCTGGTGAGATACGTACAGCCCAACTCATTTGCACAACAGATACCGGCCAGCCGCTTTGACAAGGAAACTCACTACGATACAACTGGTGAAGTTCCTAACACTACCTTCACTCCCTATGGCTGTTTCCTCGATCACCCAGATCTATTTGACGCCCGCCTATTCAATATGTCTCCAAAGGAAGCCGCAGCTACAGATCCATCTCAGCGGCTCTTGCTCATGACGACATATGAAGCATTACAAATGGCCGGATATGCACATGACAAAACTGTGTCTACCCAATGCGTCGGGACATTTATCGGTCAAACTAGCGACGATTATCGTGAGGCGAATGAGGGTCAGGACATCGGCATCTTTTGGACCCCGGGTGGCATGCGCGCATTTGGGCCTGGGCGGCTGAACTATCATTTTGGGTGGGATGGCCCCAGTTACAGTATCGATGCCGCATGTTCGTCCAGTATGGCTGCTGTTCAGATTGCGTTGACTACGTTGAGAAATCGTGAGTGTGATATGGCTGTTGCTGGCGGCGTGAACATCATGACATCCTCAGATCCTTATGCTGGCTTGAGCCGCGGAGGCTTCTTGTCGCTCTCAGGATCGTGTAAAACATGGGATGCTAATGCTGATGGCTATTGCCGTGGAGAAGGCGTGGGTAAGTGCAGCTGTCTGCGATATCGTCGCCCGCATTCCTTCTTTTTTCTCTAACCGTTCATTCTTCAGGCGTTTTGGTGATCAAACGACTGGAGGATGCCATCGCATGTCGGGATCCCATCCAGTCCGTTATCAGAGGAATATCTACCAACCATTCGGCGGAGGCGATTTCAATTACCCATCCGCACGCCCCAACACAAGAGAGATTATTCAGGACCGTGCTCCGTGATGCCGGGGTAGATGCAGCCGAAGTTGACTACGTTGAGACGCACGGTACTGGAACCCAAGCTGGAGACAGCATCGAGACCACTGCGATCGCTGAAACAATGTCGGCCCGGAGCAGCAGCAACCGTCCCATGTATATCGGCACTGTTAAGCCCAACATTGGCCATGGAGAATCAGCATCAGGGGTCGCATCCATCATTAAGTCTCTGCTCATGTTCAACAACTCTATTATCCCGCCCCACATCGGCATCAAGGGCACCATCAATCCCAAGATTCCGACTCAGAAGCTTGATAGCCTTAATATCCGAATTCCCACTACTAAGCTACCGTTTCGTCCAGGAACAAGGCCACGAAGAATTTTAGTGAACAATTTCAATGCCGCCGGAGGGAACACAAGTTTGCTCCTCGAAGAACACGCACCAGCTCAACATGAATCCGACATCGAAGCAACAGATCCTCGCCCGTATCACATCGTAGCAGTCTCAGCAAAGACGATGAATTCGCTTCATGGGAACATCAAGCGTTTGTTGGAATTTCTGAAAAAGAATGCCAATGCCAACATTTCTGATTTGGCTTATTCTTCCACTGCACGGCAATTTCATCATCCATGTCGGCAGGCATACATAGCGACCGACATTCCGCAGCTGAAAGTATCCTTGGAGCGCGGGCTTTCTCAAGCGAGCGCACCCCAGAAGAGTTGCCCAAGTCTAGTGTTTTTGTTTTCTGGCCAAGGGTCCCTCTATCCTGGCATAGGAAACCAGCTTTACGCGACTTGCAAAGCATTCAGAGATAGTATTCGTGAGATAGATGAGATTTGCAATAGTCTGGGCCTGCCATCTGTTTTGACACCCTTCAAGACCACGACGTTTGATCCTACCAAGGCCAGGTCTTTGCAAGGACAATTGATTATTGTTGCGGTTGAAATCGCCCTGGCCGCTCTTTGGAAGTCCTGGGGTGTGACTCCGCGTCTCGTCTGCGGACACAGTCTCGGCGAATATGCGGCACTCTGCATTGCCGGTGTGCTAAGTCTGCATGATACACTTTTTCTGGTTGGGCAGCGCGGCAAGCTCATTGAGCAGTTCTGCCAATCGGGAACACATGCAATGCTAGTGGTAAACATCCACCCTGAGCGACTTCGGCAGTTATTGTTGATGGGCTCGTTCTCTTCTTGTGAAGTTGCCTGCTTCAATGGGCCCGAGTCTGTCGTGGTTAGTGGAAGCGTAGAGGACATCGGAGCTCTGGACACTTTCTTACGCAACGGCCACGCAAATCGTACCCACCGCCTTGATCTTCCGTACGCCTTTCACTCCGCCCAACTTGAGCCCTCCCTGCTGCCATTTAATACCTTGGCCAAAAGTGTGCATTTTAACAAGCCACTCATCCCGGTTGCTTCAACTTGTCTGGGTAGAATTGTGTCCGAGTCTGGTGTTTTCGACGCAGAGTACCTTAGCCGCCAGGCTCGACAACCAGTTCTCTTCCAGAAGGCCATTCAAAGCATTGTCTCGCAAGATGACTGTGATGTTCAATCCATATTTTGGACAGATATCGGGGCTCGTCCACTTTGCTTGCCCATGGTAAAGTCCATTTTGGGAGATGGCTCTCTTCATACACTCCCATCATTGATGCCTAAAAAAGATGATTGGCTCACTCTTTCTGAAAGCGTGGTCAATGCTTACATTGGTGGTATCAACATTGATTGGAGTTCCTTTCATCGAGAATACGAAAATTTCTTGCAATTTGTGCCCTTGCCACCCTATGCTTTTGACCTGAAAAGTTATTGGTTGCAGTATGAAGGAGACTGGTTGATTGCAAAGTCACGCAATACCAACTCCTTGACGGTCAAAACTCAACAACAGCGGTTCACGCCAACAGCGACTTTACAAAAGATTGAGCAGGAAGAATTCGAGGGAGGCGGCGCGAACGTGTCGTTCGTGTCTCACTTGAGTGATAAAAATTTCCGTGATATTATATCCGGCCATCTCGTGAACAATACTGCCCTGTGCCCGAGCTCTGCTTACGCCGATATGGCATTTACAGCAGCTTCGTATATCTGGGAACGCACGGAGTCAGGCGAACTGCCTGCCATGGATGTTGCGGATGTTGAGGTTCAGAAACCACTGATTCTGGCTGAGGAGGGTGATAAGCCCATAGTCATCACGGCTTCGAGGGCGCCTCAATCGGTATTTGTCACATTAACCATCAGTTCAAGGCAATACGAGAGAGCAGGGTTTCAAGAGATTGTACACGCACGGTGTGTGGTTCATTATGGTGATGGGAAGAAGTGGATGTCTCAGTGGGCGAAACAACAATATCTCATCCAAGGCAGGATTGATAGCTTGAAGAAAGCTGCGCAAGAAGGATGCATTCATCAACTCAAGCGCAGCATGGCATACAAGCTCTTTGCAGGCTTCGTTCAGTATAGCCAGCAATTTCAAGGGATGGATGAAGTGCAGATGGACTCTGAGCTTCTGGAAGGCTCAGCCCAGATTCGCTTTCAACCGACTTTGGTTGATGGCAGATCCACCTATCCTCCCTATTGGATAGACAGCTTGGTTCACCTTTCTGGTTTTATCCTCAATGTCAGCGAAGCAATTCCGGAAGATATCGTCTACATCTCACATGGATGGGAAAGCATGCGCATTGGCACTTCGCTATCCGAGAAAGGCAAATACAGAGCATATGTCCGCATGCAACAGTCAGAAACAAAGGATATCATGTCCGGAGATGTCTACATATTTGACGAAGACTGCAATTGCATTGTTTGCGTTGTAGAAAATATCAAATTTCGGGCAATTAAGAAGAGAGTCCTGGGGCTATTGCTACCTTCACCCGAAGCCGCAACAACACTTGCATCGCAACAGCCAGTTCAACAACAGTTTGTGAAAGACAGCACCTCACTTGATCAGAAAACGTCAGTCGATTTGAATGACGATTTGTTCTCCGGGGTGGTTACTTGTATTTGCAGCGAAACAGGGGTCACGGCGGATGAGTTGACTGACGGTACTGATCTCGACGAGATCGGACTTGACTCTCTGATGTCTCTAGCAGTTGTGGACAGACTCCGACGAGATTTTCAGATGGTCATACCAAGTTCCCTGTTTCTCTCCTGCCGAAGTCTGGGGTCTCTCCGAACATATTTTCAAGAATTGGGCTCAGCCGAGCATAAATCACAAACTTTCTCGGAATCAAGCACAGAACACAGCTTTCCATTGACCGGAACCACAAGTGACCCAACAGACGAGTTTCTGCAATTATTCTCAGCAATCGTTTCCAGTGAAACCGGCACGGATATCAAGAAAGTCACATCAGACACCACGTTTGCCCAAGTTGGCATTGATTCTTTGTTAGGTCACTCAATAATTGATTCTGTGTACACTAAGACTGGACAACGCCTTCCATCTTCCTTTTTTTCCCTTTATCCGACCTTTGCGGATGTGGAGAAGGCTTATGGAACCCTTTTATCACCCATCTCTTCGAACTTATTCAGCAGCGACAATGATGACACGGCGTCCGATTTGGTTCCCTTAGCGTCTTGCCAGTCTGTCCTATTGCAAGGAGATCCTCAATCTGCAGCGGCATCACTCTTCCTGTTTCCAGACGGATCTGGCTCTGCTGGCTCTTATGCAGGCCTTCCCGACCTCGATATAAACAGCGAAAGCGCTGCAAACACGAGTGTGTGGGGTCTCAATAGTCCATTCGTTCTATGGTCTGAACCATTCGAGGCCTCACTTGTATCGATGGCTGAGATGTACGCAGCGGAGATCTTGAGAGTTGATCCTGAGGGGCCATATCTTCTAGGTGGATGGTGAGTAGGCTCGGGAATTTTTTTTTTGTCCAAAGTCAGCAATGCTGATCAAATCATTAATATTCAGGAGCATCGGCGGAATCTTTGCTTTTGAGGCAGCCCGGATTCTGTGTCAAGCAAATAAACATGTTGAAGCTCTTATTTTGATCGACTCACCCTGTCCGGGGATCATTCCGCCCATGTCAGAAGATACGATTGATCTACTGGATAGTTTGAACCTCACCGGAGGCCATCAATTACCACGTCAGCGATGGCACAACATCCGCGCACACTTCTCGGGAAGTATCCGCGCACTGCAAAAATACACTCCACAACCGATGACGGATATTTCAGCACCAAGATGTCTGGTTTTGTGGGCGGGAAGTGGGGTTTGGGAATCTTTGAGTGCAGATGAAAATACGAAAGCCCTGTCCAGAAAGTCGGGAAACGAAGCGCATCGATGGATAATGGATGAAAGGGTAAACCACGGGCCAAATGGATGGGAAACTCTCTTGCCGAAGGTGGAGGTAGAGGAAGTACCTGGAGATCACTTCACCATAATGCAAAACCCACAGGTACGTTGGAACAGAATTGACAATTTGATGGCCACTTCCCGCGAGATACTTACATAGCTTAGGTTCACAAGCTGGGAAGCGTGATCTCGAGGTATATTGGGCAACTCCCTCAGCGACAATAGGTAAAGAAAGATATCAGACGGACGTGACCGAGTGTCTGGTTGGCTGCATTGGCCATGTATCAAAAATTCTCACGTTCAAAGACTTTTTAGCTTTTATCGGCGTTGTGCAACCCCTGTAATCAATACTATTTTCTGCATACCCACTTCACGTGAATTCCCTGAACAACCCCGTACAGCTGACGTGTTTTGCTTCTTGTCTCGATGGACGACACTTGCGTGTTCTAGGCATCTAGGGCGCAGATCTTCCATTACTAAGTTGTGATACAACCAAGTACTTTTGTGGTCGACGCAAGGCAATGGACGTTGCTAACAAAGAGCTCAAGCATATAATACAATTCAAAGACCACTGTTCTCATGCGTTGCATCATAATTGTAGAACCCTTGGCCACTTTTGATCCCCAAATGGCCATCCTTGATCATCTTCTGAAGATACTCTCGGGGTTCAGAAGGAATGCCAGCTCGCGAATCCGCATAATGATTCTCGATATCTAACACAACATCAAGGCCAACCACATCCATCAGCTGACAAGGTCCTTTTGGCGTCTTTAAGACATCCTTGAAAATGGCGTCAATCTCTTGTGGAGTGCTGACGCCTTCGGAAAGGGTAAGTAGCGTTTCTCTTTTGATGGCTGCCCAGATCCTGTTGTAAAGGTAGCCGATAGAGCTTTTTCTGACGTAAAATGGCGAAAATCCATGCAGCTTCGACTGCTCCAACAACAGCGTGATAAGTGATTGGTCTGTATCTTTGTGGCCCATGATTTCAATCGCTAATGTTTTGATTCAGAGTCAGAGGCTTGTTTTCATCTTTATCTCAAAGCGGAGAAGCATACCTGATGTCTCTGGTGGCCAGTCTGGTCATTTCATAATATCAAGTCAGCATATTCCAACCAGACGTGGCACGATGAGATTATTACTAACAGCAATGTGCGCTCAGAACCCTTTTGCTGTTGTTCAAGCTCATCCCTTCTATGATCTCTGAGATCCCGTAGCTGCTGGAATTGGACGCAATGACTGTGTCCTCAGGAGCAAGTTCATCGAGTTGAGCAATGACCTTCTTCTTCAGAGCCAGGTTTTCTGGCACACACTGTTACCATATAGTAAGTTGAACAGCCCGATTTGCTGTTTGTTTGAAATCAACACATACCTCAACCACCAACCATGCATCTTGCAGCGTGGACTTGAGAGAATCAGGAGTGGATGTTTTGACACAGCCCCAGCTCCCCTCGTGATTGGCAGTTTCAGTGCGAAGTTGTTGCACATATTCCAATCCTTCCTGAAGCTGCGTTTCTTTCAGATCTACAAGATGGACAGTTCCACCTTTACTTGACCACTAGGAGATGAGCGGTGTCAGTCCGTAGAGAAAATTTTTTCCTCAGTTGTTTACTTACCATATAGGCCAATCGTCTACCTTGTGTTCCAGCCCCTAGGATCACAACAGATCCTCGAGGTGCGTGGGAGTGTTCCATGGTGGTTTGATAGGGAAAGTCTATTGCCAACTGTTGAAAACTCAGGGTGCGGCTTAGCCTTATGTACTGAATTCGGAGCAGTAAATTGAAGTCAACTTTCTTATGGGAAGAACAAACTGTCAACCAATTCGTAAATTAGTATTCTTGGCTTAAAAAGGAGCAACCGCCAACTCGGCGATGGTCTCGGATCCGATGAATGACTAATACGTGCCAATACCTTGATTAGACCTCTTGATTGGTCTAAAGTATCGGATCCGATAGTCCCACTCATATCCAGAATCAGTACAGATCTTCGCTTGAATCCCGCTCGGTCTTTTAAATCGGGTGACCAACTACAGCACAGCGTTTGTAACTACTCATGTCTTGAACAAAAAGCCTTCCGCGACTAAACCATTGAGAAGAAATCCCTGGCGAGACCATTTTTGAGTTAGATTAATCGCAAAGAATTGGTCAACACAAGCATTCTATCAGACAAATATAAAAGAAATCCGGCAGAACCGCTATCACTCCTTCTTCCAGGCCTAATCAACTCCCGTTCACAGTGACTATGCTACCTCATCTATGTGAGAGGCTTCGGCGACAGCAACATCAGCCCCCTTTTCCTCTTGCAGATATTCGGCGAGATGACGCTTAGGTAATTTCTTAGCCACCGAAACCGAATCGAAGATAGATGTCGAAGATTCGAATATTTGATCAATCTCTTCTAGTGATCGTTGTGACGTTTCGGGAAAGAAGAAATAGATAATTGGCACGAATGCGGCATTCAGGCAGAAGAAGACTAGGAAGTACTTCCAGCCAAGATTGGTAAAGGCGGTTGGGGTCACTTCGGCGACGAGGAAATTGAATAGCCAAGAGATAGCGGTGGATAATCCACACACAGAAGCCCGCAAGTGCGTGGGCGCCACTTCGCTGGCGTAGAGGAATGGAATACCTAGGAATCCCAGAACATAGACAAAGCAGTATAGGAAAGTGAAGAAGACGGCGGCTTTCAGAGCGGGTTTGTTATCTGGGTTTGAAGTAAGGCCGGCAATACAGGCGAAGCAAATGCTCATCGCAGAAGCACTAAATAGCATTAGCTTGCGTCGGCCAAATCTGTCGACCGTATAGGCGCAGCAAAAGGACCCGATGACTAGGGCAAACTGGGATGAAGCCGCTAGAACACTAGATATCTTCCCGCTAAAGTGTAGCTCATTCTCATAAATAGACGGGGCATAGTAGACAATCGCATTGATACCGCTCATTTGAAGCATAATCTGGGCAACTGCCGCGATGATCACCCGGTGGAATGTCCGCTGCGGTCCCATCTTGAACATGGCGCCAAGGCTGCCTTTGCCTTTGCTAGCACGTTCAAGGGATATTTGAATATCCTGGACCTCTTTGTTCACAGCCTCTCCGTGTGAGTCGTCGTCGTATAGAAGCCCAAGGATCTCTCGTGTTTCTTCCCAACGACCCTGCTTGCTTAGCCATCGCGGACTCTCTGGTAGATTAAAGATACCGCAACAGACCAGGATTGACGGTAGCACAGTGAAAATGAGGGGGAAACGCCAGGACACCGAATTTGGCTGCGTGTAGCCCATTCCAAATGCAAGGAATAGAGCCACCACCATACCAGATGAACAGAAAATTCCAAAAGCAGAGACATGTTCACCGCGGTTTTCAGCCTTCGAAACTTCAGACTGCCAGACGGATATAGTAGCAACCATTCCCGCGGTTCCGAGCCCCAGGAAGATGCGGCCAATAATGAACTGTGCAAAAGCAAAGGAAGAGGCTTGCAGAATCGCCCCAATGGCTTGAACAATACTAGCAATAAAGATGGTCTTCCGTCGACCTAATTTGTCTCCGAGAAAGGTACAGCCCAAAGCTCCGAACACGCCGAAGAGAGTATACATAGCGACGACGGTACCTGTTTAGGGTTAGCTTGCTATATCTCACAGGCTTTTTTAGCGAGCTTACCTTGGATCTTCGCATTGTATGCCTGTAAAGATCCCGATGTCGTCAAGGTATCCATTCGCGGGAATTGTTTATTGAAGGTAACGTCGGCGAGCACACCTCCAGCCGAAGTTTGATTGAAGCCAAAGATCATGATACCAAACCAGGCCTCCGCCCACACAGCCAGGTGAAGTTTGGAGCCTCGAAGGCCTCCGAATCGTGCCATTTTGCCGTTTTTGGGCTCCGGAGTTGGTGAAAGGGGGACAACCAGTACGGTTGGCGCGATTGAGGGCGTGTGCACCTGTTTTTATAATGACGGGACCAGAGCTTCCGTCCGAGGACATGGCCGACGATCGCAGCGGATTCAAAGCTTCATGTAATCATGGCCCAATGATCGCCCCTCGTCTTCTAAATAAAGTAAAAGTGCGGAGAACCAAAATCTGCGTCCAAACTTGTACCCCTGTTCAATTGTACGACTCGGATCCGGGAAACGCGGAAGAGCGGTCTCCGGTGTCAGTTGCACTTGACAGGTAGTTAGTCGTGTTTGCTCATCCTGGTTAGGCAACCCGAAGAACAAGGCCTGAGCTTCACATGCCCCGCTCCTTCCCCGGAATTTTCTCCTAGCAGTGTTAATATTATGCAGAAGGATCGAAGGAGATTGATTCTCCGTGCGGGGGTGGACCCGACCCACAATGGTGTTGATCCTGGCCGCCCCAAATCTCATCCAGACAACGTCTTCTTCCATCGACGGCCTTATCGCCATGCATACCGATGGGAGGTACCGCCGAAAACAGTTTTCCAGTTGTGATGCCTGTCGCAAGTCTCGCGTCTCATGCGATGCCCTTCGCCGGTCTGCCAGGGGTCTGGCTACCTGCACCCGATGTGCAAGCCGCGGTCTACGTTGCAGTTTTGATGTAAGCTCTTGGGAATCAGCTCGTTACATATTGAGAGTTCTAATGTGGAGAACTGGGTAGTGGATGAGAAGAATCCCCCCTGGTTCAGAAGACCCATCGGAGCGTTGGAACGAAGTCTCGTCGCCTCCCTCAACTCGCTCAGCTGGCCAAGTGATTGATCTCAGCTTGAGCCCAAAGCAGCCAAGCCCAATTCACATCTCTGATTCCAGGTAATTTGTTCGTTGGACTTGAACCTACAGTCACTAATTACACCATCCCCTAGATCTGACCAGCAAGCGGATAGTCACGACTTCCATGAGACTTCTCTGACATCCAGGCGAATGCCAATTTTGAGCACAGATGTAGCGGATTGGCTACAAACGATGTACGAAGATGGCTTCGAGGCTGTGTTTGGCTCGTGGCTGGGGAACTACAGTTGCCCATTCGCGTAAGTCAATTAAGACGGTCCATGCTGAAGAGACTAACCCGAAATTTTCTAGCTTTGGCGAGCATGGGTGCTTAGAAGACAGTCCTAGGGAACATCCCACGCTCTCGTTGGCTGTTAGCATTTCCTCTCTCTGCCGGCAATTCGATCAATTGATGATTGATTTGGAGACTCAAGGCTCACAGGGGCCGAGCAGCCAGCGTCTCACACAGGCAGAGATTGAGAAAGAGCGGCAAATTGACCACACTTTAAACCAAGCTATAAAAACCTTTTCTGCTCGATGGCTACCTCTTACATTCGACTCATCTTTCCACAAAGAGGCGCAGACACAGCTAATTCATAGCCTCTGGCGCGACCTGCGGAGGGAGTTACCCAAAGCCATGAATCGACCCTGCTATCGATCGATGTTGAGTTTGTATCTGTTTTCTATGGTACCGGTACCTGTCGGTATATCAGAGGACGAAGAGGAAAACGGCATTCCAGCTCAGGTTTGTGTTCAGGCCGCCTTGCAGCAAGTTCAATACCTTCGGGCTCGGCAAAGAAGCTTGGAGTTCAATGGCTCCAAAGTCTCGCTTCTGTCCGACCAAGCAGCGGTGGTTTCGTCTCCAGATCGAATGCGAACAGACTTCATGACCATGGAAAATATGATATACTGGGCCGCCCTGACATTTGAAACGTCATCATCTCTTACACTCAACACCAAGTCGCAACTTTCATCTGGACTCCTAGGGTGGGAGCTGGAAGCATCTTGGCGAATGGTCAAAACATGTACCGACATTTTTCACGACCAATCGGAGAACTGGCGTTCCCATGGAGTTATGGTTACAGAAGAGACTGCAAATCAGATCATCGCGGCTGCACAAGCTTTCAAACTCCGTCTGTGGAAGGTTGGAGCGATTCTCAAGGAGGCTCTGAGGGAAGGTCATGAGGAGAAGGCTGTGCAACATGCATATACCTGTGCGGTCGACACGATCAATCAGTTCAACTTTACATATCGGCCTCTGTTGGCAATGTGTGAACGACGTCTCCAATTTTTGGGTCAGCATACGAAGCTTCGCTGGTGTAAGTTCTTGGATTCCGTCAAACAGCAGCTGGTGAGACTAATTGAGCCCAACAACTTTCAGATGAACTCATGCTGCATCATAATCTGTGCATCTTAATAATTATCGACGCCATTGAAATTGCAAGACGCAATGATATCCTGGACCGCATGACCAGTATAAGGTCCGAAGCGGAGGGCAGTCTAATGAACTGCCTGAAATTTGGACTGAGCAATCAATTCACCATAGCACAGCGACATGGAGAAGCACAAAGCAGTAACCGCACATTTCCTCTTATCGCCATTGACCCCTATCCTCACCACGTCGTGGCGGGAGTGCAGCTGCTGTGGAAAGGTATTGAACGTGATGTGGATAGCAGCAATCTCGAACAAGGGATCTGTAAGGATCTTCAGTCAATTCTGCTACAGACACTGGAACTGCTGCCTCAAACCTCAAAGTCAATCCGCAAGGCTACTGAGCAGGCCCGGTTGACTTTAGTTCGACATGAGTATGACCGTGTTGTGTTACTCTAAGACCAGAGATGGTTAGGTGGCCATGGACCCTGCGCCCAACGCCCTATTTCATGTAGCAATATTGATCTTAATTGGATGTTCGCAACTTGCGTTGTTAATAATGAATCTACAACAAAGGATCTGATCATTCTCAACAATACTAGTCTCACGTCGAGCTTACCGGGAGCAAGATCTCCTTTGCCCTCGGTGTGTCGTTTAGGAGCTGCTTGATTATGACTACGGTGAATCTTTATATGGCGGATTTGTTTACCAGGTTTATAGATGGAAGTGCGTAACCATTGCGAAAAGGATAGAGATATGGAATTCTCGATAGATTCGATTAACGATTGGAAGTAGAGTAATAATTAATACTATGTACAGGCAGACGTTGTATACTAGATCAAGACCAAAGAGGAAGGTAGCTGGTCTCAGCCTCATCGTTGCCTGATAAACAAACACGTGAGTCACCATCGCCGCCTTCTGCCTCTGTCCACCTCTCTGCAATACTCAATACTCTGGCATCTCAACCTATCCAGTATCTACACCCAGCACAATGACTTCCTCGGCCATCCCAGACAACTTCTTAAGGGGGAAACCCGCAGATGCATCGCTCCGCCAGGTCGATTTCATGGCCACCACACCGCCAATTCCTGCGTATAAAGGTTATTTTGCTGCCATCGTGGACAACTTCATGACCGAATCCGAATGCAAAGAGCTTCTTCGCCTCGCGGAAGCTTCCACAGTCCCAGGCAACCCCACATCTGCAGCGACATGGGAGCAGGCAATGGTTAATGCCGGAAATGGACGCCAAGTCATGTCCGTCGATACGCGCAAGAGCGGTCGCATCATCTGGGACTCGCCCGAGATGGCGTCGCGATTGCTAGACCGTCTGATGCCGTTTTTACGCGAGTGTCGCATCGTCGAGATCGACAGCCAACCCCACATCACGGGTCTAGGACCTGCAAAACGCAGAGAGGTATACCAGCTTAGCGGGTTGAACGAGCGCATTCGCTTCTTGAGGTATGAGGGCGGGGACTATTTCCGTCCGCACTGGGACGGGTGCTATGTTACGCCTGATGGGTCGCAGAGATCGTTTTACACGGTCCATCTGTACCTAAATGGTGAGGGGGAGCAGGATATGGAGGAATTGCGGCCGCATATCGAGGCTGCTGAGAAGAAGAATGGGTTGTTTGCCCAGGCCGGGGGGATTGATCTGAGGGACGTTGGGGATGGTGCAAGCGAAGAACCGGGTGGTGGCAGGGATTCTTCTTCTGCCGCGGACGAGAAACTCCTTGGCGGAGCAACATCGTTCACGGACGGATTCTCCGCGACAGACGCCGTGCGAGTCTTCCCCAAGACAGGGTCACTCCTCATTTTCCAGCAGCGCAACTTGTTTCATGCCGGCGACGATGTCTTTCGGGGTGTCAAGTACACGGTGAGGACGGATATCATGTACCGGAAAAAGGAAGAATGATATTGCCGAGAGAAAGGCACGGATCGCCCCACACCGGATAGATGATGGCATGTCTAATGCTCGGCGTCATCGTCCGCCGAGGTTTGTAAGCTCCAAAATCGGCCCTCACACCACTCCGAGCTTTGTACTCTTTCAAGACATCATCGCGGTGCGAGAAACATATTTAAACGCGTGACGAGTCCACATCTTTACAGCGTAAATCGCAAGAAATAACTATCGAGTTGCAACGAAGCCATGTCTTCCGCCAACAACATCGCTTTCACGGCCCCGATCAACCCTTCCGGGGCCGCCCCCGTCCTCACGCGCAAGCAGATCTGGGCCGGACTGCTCCTCAAGATCCGCTCTGCTGAAACATTTGTCCCGGCCGCTATTCAATCCACCAAAGTCGTGAGTGAATCGCTCGATCCAGCGACCGGAAATCCCGTCACGGTGCGCGAAGTGCTTTTCCGCGAAACCCAGCGGAGAGTCCAGGAAACTGTCACGGCCTTTGAAGACTGTCGCGTGGAATTTGCCCAGCCCGATGGAAGCCGAGTCAGCAACGTTATCAGTGAAGGCGCGGGCGGCGAGTTGTTCATGACGTATATCTTTGAATGGAGACATCCCGGTGTCTCGAAGGAGGAATTGGCAGCACTTCATGAGAAGGAGAAGAATATGAGCCAGATGGCGGTTGAGGGTACTATCAAAGTTCTGAGGGAGTTGGTCCAACAGCGGAAGCTTTGAGCAAGATACGCAACATTTCTAAAAGATTCGAGATGGGCTATACATCTCCTTCAACCCCTCAAGCATTTCAAAGCATGTCGAGTCTTCCGAATATGCTGTTCAGAATAGGTCGCAGTAATACATCTGTCAAATAATAATCTCATTTACCGCATCAAGCTTCAGGCACCGTGATAGTCCCCTCCGACACCCTGACCGCAGTCCCCTTGAGTACCACCTCTTCAATCCGCTTCTCACTGTTCAGCGTAACGTCAACCCCAATATCACTGCGCCGTCCCATCTCCACCCCCTGCACACAGTGATACTTATACTTTTGGCCCGGCTGGCCCTCCGTAAGGGTCAGGTACGCTGCGAGACCACTCGCCGAGCTACCCGTCGCCGGATCCTCCAGACTCCCCAGCATCATGCGGGTGCGAATGACCCTTTGCTTGGTAACGTCGTCCTCGACATCACGAACAAAGAAATACACACAAATAAGACCCGACGTCCACCCGGCGTCGAGGTAGTTCCCCCTCTCCGAGGAGTCGAACAGCTCGCCTCCCGTTGCGGAAGTCACGACGGACAAAGCCGCAAGCGAAGGCAGTTCAATGAAGACCTGGCTCATGCCGTTCACGATGGAGAAGACCGGGAATGTGGTCTCGGGATTCGGGAAGAACGGCGCCACGGTCGGGTGCAGCCGCAGCAGGTCGTTTAGCGGGAGTCGGGATGCGTGGATGTGCGTGTTGTGTGCAATCTGTGCAGACACGGCTTTGCTTGCAGCATCCGAGATGGAAATCGGGATGTCGCCGGACTTGGTGCCCAGGATGCTCACCCCGCCCTCCGCATGGCATAGGAACCACGAAGCTGCGCCGATCGTCGGGTGGCCTGCGAAGGGGATCTCGCAGATAGTCGTGAAAATATCAATGGTGCGCTTGTGCTTTTCGGCGCTGTTGACCGGGTGCACGAAGATGGTTTCCGAGAGGTTGAACTCCTGCGCGAGGGCTAGTTTCTGGCTCTGGTCCACCGGGACCGAGGCATCTAGAAAGACAACCCCCAAGGGATTCCCCTTGTATGGCTGAGAAGTGAACACGTCAAGCGTGACGAACTTGAGAGCCATGATGGCCGATAAGAGGATTTCTGGGAAGATCGAAGAAGAGTCGGTCCGAGTGGGTTTTATACAATTCGGCACGTCCCCCCACTTGATCTGACTCACCGTGAAGAAATGGAACTAGTAACTCTATACTCCTTGAGTAGGGCACTGCCAATGATGCAATTGAGAGGTAGTCAATTATCCCTGGATGTGTTCTACAGAATCCCAATCAACGCCTCATCAGTCATCACAAATAATAATCAACTCAGTCCGAATCGCTCTCAAGAACAAATCCTCCTCGCATCCGCCGCCGTGACGGAACCACCGGGGTATCTTCGTCGTCGTCGTCAACATCCATGGCCGCGCTGACGGGTTTATCTCGGCTGAAAGCGAGATCATCGTCGAAGTAGAGATCGTCCTCGGCCGATGTAAGAGGGGTGTCCTCGTCCAGAGCTCCATGGCTAGTAGAGACTTCTTGCTGCGAGCGAGGCGACTGGTCATCCAAATCCGCCATCAGAATATCGTCATCTCCATCGCTATCGACATCACTTTCAGCGGACTTGCGACGCGCTCGTTTGGCTTCTGCAGCGCCAGTCTCGCTCTTTCGTTTGCGTGAGACTTTCTTCTTGCCTTGAGCGGCTTCCATCTCCCCGGTAAGCATAGCCTTTTTGACATTTTCGGCCTGCTTCTTGCGCCGCTCGGCTTCCAGGCGGAAGAACTCCTTATCGGCCTCCTCATCGCTTTCCTCGTCACTGGCATGAATGAACAGATCGCTCTTGATCTTTGCCTGGCGGGCCAGGGTATTCGTAAGACGAGCCTGACGACGCTCCTCCAGAATCTCATCGTCTAGGGGTTCCTCTTCGGCGTCACTCTTTCGCTTCTTCTTGCGCTTCTTCTTCAATTCGTCGAGCGCATTGGACTTGGATCGCGGGTTCGGAGGGAATAAGAAACCATCCGGAACTTCGTCTTCGCCTTCAGATTCTGACCCAAAATTGACATTGACATTTGACTGCAGCGTCAAACTATCACGCGCGCTTCCAGTGGGCTTGCGGCGAAGCTGCTCACGAGGATCGTTTTCTTCTGATACTGGGCTCACCAGAGCCTTGTTCACCCCGGAAATAATTTCGTGCAGATCCGTGGCTGTCATGGCCGAAGGAACGACCCAGGAAGCACCGGGCACATCTTCCACGCCGAGTCGTTCAAACCCGACTACAGTCATGAGAAGACGAAGCTTCGCATTTGCGAACATGGCGTTCTTGCAGAAATCATCTCGGGTTTTGACGGCTGCTGGAGAGTTAGAGATCATCTTCAGCGACAGAAAAGATAGATGAACTTACGAATCATCGGATGGGGAATACTGATCGCCTCGGAAGATTCTGCCCTCTTGGCTTCTTCTTGGGCTTCCCAAGCCTCTCTCTCCGATGCCGCCGAGCCAAGAACGTCAACCACCCATTTAACCAAATCAGCCCGTCCGTCGAGCACAAGGGCACCAACAACAAGGCCCAGTTTGGCTTCTTTTGTAGTGGCCTCCTTGGAAGTGATCTCAAGCTCTGCGGGTGGGCGTTTGGCAGTAGACAAAGTCTGTCGTTCGTGGCCGTACTCTAGGTAATAGGCAGTGGCGTTGATCTTACTGAAAAGCAACTCGGTGATCAAAGCAGGACGTTGATCCAGTCTCTTGGTTAGTCGTCGCAGGAGCTGCTGGACCAGCTCCTCCCATTCTTTGAAAATCGGTTTGCTGGAATCCATCCCCCCGGGACCCTTGATCATCCTGTAGAATAGATTGATAATGTCTAGTCGAAACAACAGGACACTCATCTCCTGTTTGAATGCAGTGCGATAGAAGTAGCGATGGGCACGCTTGAGCTGCTCTGAGCTCAACTCCCGGTAATATGTAGTGAACGCGACAAACGTATCCACGCATTTCTGGTTGCAAAACTTCGCGGCGAAGCGCTTGAAATCGAAAGCGCGCTCTTTGATAACTTGGGCCGCGTCCTCCATGTCTTCATCTTCAGAGGCACCCTCGTCATCATTTTCCATGCCGCCCTCTTCCGCGGTTTTATCGGCCTTCTTCTTGCGTGTAGCCTTTCGACGTGACCGCACTTGCATATCGGTATTTTCTTTGGAATAGCGTTCCAGCATTCGCAGAAAGACATGTGCAAGCTCGGTGCATGCATCCAGGTATCCAAATCCCTGGTCTTTGTACCCGCGCACGATAGCCAGGATCCGGTCATGGGTCGTCTCTTCGTAGAAAATTCGATTTTGAATATTCTCGGCAATCTCATGGTCTTCTTCGAGGGGCGAAACGGCCATTTCCTGGACCGTCAATAGAATCTGCGTGAAGCAGCGCATCTGTGCGTTGAGATCTTCCCATTCCTTGTTGTCGAAACTGCTCTGCATCGCCCGGTTCAGAGTAATGAAGGTCTCCTGGTTGAGTACGCCGGCAACAAGACCATAGCTGTCAGGCTCTGTCTGTTTGGCAGAATCCTCGCTTTGCGTATGCTGTCTTTGTTGGCGGGCGCGTCGCATACGCTCTGCTTCGAGGAACCAGGCAACCGTATAAAAGAACTGGCGCGAGTTGGTCTCAAGGACACGCTCCGCTTCGCGCTCAATTGCTTTTCGTACATGAGTGAACAAAGGGTTGAACCCCGAATCCAGGAATTCCTCCACAAATGTCCTCAGGTTCTTCGAGGCTAGAGACGTGAGATGCGTTGGCATGTTGAAATTATTGGTTGGTGCCGTATCTTCTTGTCTCCGACGTGGTCGAGGCTTGTTCCACTTCTTGCTCTGGTCCATTTTGTTCAGGGTTGTTTGGTTGTCCCGAAGAACATCTTGCCCGGAGACCGTGGACACCTTCCCTTCATCTCGCTTGACCCAAATCATTGTGCCGAATCGTCCATGCCGTGTTGGGGCGTTCTTTGCGTATTCTCGTCGTACCTGTGATTCTTTGCGCAGGAGATCGCCGAGTTCCTCTGACCGTTTTACCTTTCTCTGATCCTCGTGCATGAACAATTTCTCCACGTTGACACCTTTAACCAGGTGGAAAAGCACTTCCAGCAGAACAACATCCTGCAAGTTGAAATCATCTCCAACATTGGAGCACATGGTCAGAAGCAGAGCAAACGCGTCCTGGTCCTGGAAAGCATTGATGGTGGATGATCGGGATGTCTCCTCCTCGTCACCCTCTGCTGCAAGCCGTGTATTGGGAGATATAATGGCGACATTCCGTAGAAGGTAGAGCATCAATTTCAGGATTCCTTCGTCTCGGCTTGTTCGTTCTGATCGGGCTATCGCCATGCTGGGAAGAGCAATCCGAATCACGGCGCGCAGAAGACTCGATCCGCCATATTTGAGAAGACCTCGTTTGTACTGCACTTGCACCTGCTGCAAATATGGTGTGTGGCGGTGGTGATTGACGGTCATCTGGTTGTGAAATTCGACCGGCCAGGTCAAGGGGACGAGGAGCTCCACTGCTCGAGTTAGCGGTCGAATCTTTCGTATATCAGAGAATGCTTACAGCATGCCAGTGCAATCCGAGTCATATGCTTGCTCTTCTGTCCATTTGCCCACCACACCGACAGAATTGGCAGGATGTCCCCGTTCACCAGGTTGGCTTCGCCGAGACATCGAACCACGTCCATGCGGTTGTTCTTTTCGTCGTACAGCTTCAGCCACCGCTTGATGTCGCGCAGACATGCTAATGCGTCGTCTCCCAGGACGTATTTGTCGGCATCTTCGCCATTGAATCCTCCCAGCTACCCCACGTATTAGCAACCAGCACTCGCGGGACTCTCAGGAACACACTCACGGCCGTGACTAGGCTATACACATAGCCGCGCACGTCAGGATCGACGACCTGGACATCATGGCCCACGGCGCCTACCTCTTGATCCATGGTGGGTGGGTGGATGATGGGCGTGTTCTAACTCACTCATTCACGCACTCATTATTCTGTCCATTAAAGCGCGTCCGCGACGCGTTGAGTCTCGGGCGGGGAACAGCGGCCAAGTGCGCAGGATGGACTGACTGACGTAATCGCCGAAAGTGACCGAGCTTAACCGCGGGCATGTGAATGTTGCTGTCAACTCAACGTTCTTGTCCTGTACACTTTCTCTTTTCCTTCTTATTCCTAGATTGTTGCCGCCATGTTCGCTACTTCCATTCGTTCAGTCGCTCGCAATGGCGCCGCGGTGGCCCGCAGCTTCAGCTCTACTTCCGCAACATGCGCTGCCGAGGTCAAGTCGCTGGGTGTGATCGGTGCGGGACAGATGGTTCGTCAACAGTCTCTCTAAATGTCGGAGATTTTCTAACGATTCACAGGGCCTGGGTATTGCTCTGGTTGCTGCCCAGAAGGCTCAGGTGCCGGTTACTCTGGTCGATAGCTCGCAAGCTTCATTGGATAAGGGTCTCAAGTTTGCCGGTATGTGCCTCGGTCAATTGCACCCAAGACTGTAATTAACGCATTCTAGATAAACTCCTCGAGAAGGATGTCTCCAAGCAGAGGCTCACCCGCGAAGCTGCCGACGCAGCGCGCGGCCTCCTCCTACCCACCGTCAAAATAGACGACCTCTCTTCGGTCGACTTCGTCATTGAAGCTGTGCCTGAGATTCCCGACCTCAAATCCAGCATCTTCGCCAAGCTCGCACAGATCGCGCCCAAGCATGCAATTCTCGCTACCAACACCTCGTCCATCTCCATCACCAAGATTGCAGCCGCCACCACCACCAACCCTACGGACCTGCAAGCTCCCTCGCGGGTGATCTCGACCCACTTCATGAATCCCGTTCCAGTTCAAAAGGGTGTAGAGATTATCCGAGGTCTGCAGACCTCGCAGGAAACGATGGACACGGCAATTGCCTTTGTGCAGCGCATGGGCAAGGTCGCTTCGGTCTCGGCTGACTCGCCCGGTTTCCTGGCGAATCGCATTCTCATGCCGTACATCAATGAGGCGGTGATCTGTTTGGAGACGGGCGTTGGAGGTCGTGAGGATATCGATAATATCATGAAGAATGGCACTAATGTCCCCATGGGTCCCTTGACCCTGGCCGATTTCATTGGTCTCGATACCTGCCTGGCTATCATGAATGTCCTTCACCAGGAGACTGGGGACAGCAAGTACAGGCCCGCTGGTCTGTTGCGGAGAATGGTGGACGCCGGCTGGATGGGTAAGAAGTCTGGCAAGGGCTTCTATGACTACTGATCGACCTGTTTCATATCCATCTCTATATGTTAACTTAGACCATACTTGATGCAGTGAATATACGAGAATTATCTTGTTACCGAAAGACCCCATTATAACGAGACCCCTTTCTTACATCTGCCATTACATTATTCTCAGCCTGCAGTCCTGATTCGTTCACTTTAGCCAGTTACTCGTCTTCCAATCCCAATCGTTCTCTGCAGCTTACAGATGTCAGAATCAATGCTCCTATGATATCCTCGGAGTTCCTTACTTCGCCCACCTGTCGTTGTCCTCTATATTGCTGCAGTATTATTTCTGTCATCCGGCGATAGTCATAACCAATTTCCATCTGCTGCTGCTCAGCCATCTCATTCTCCTCCTGTCTCTCAGCCTCGTTCATTGCCGCTAATACAGCCGGGATATCAACGTCTCCATCGGCCGCTAGTCTGTTGTCATCGTTATCGTCGCACAGGCACGTCTTGTATTGCGCACCACACTTGTAACTGGGCTCTGTTAGCATTCGCCCGGGTGTCAGAAAGTGTCAAATACCAAAACTGTGCACCACAGGTGCATTTCATATGATGGCACCCTGACATCTTCTCGATCATCGTATGGCACCGATAGCACCTCTGCCATTGACTATTACACGCCAAATTCATCACTCCCTGTAGCTCGATGTCATCGGAGCATTCCCATGCTTCGTGGTACGGTCCCCGACACGTTGAGCAGATCATCGTTCGGCAGAAAGGACATCTCTGTGAGGATTCACTCAATCTAATATGATCTGGAGAAATCCATCGGCCGCATCGAGCCCGTGGGCAGTACCACCGATCAATTGGCGGAACGGCATGTTCACTCACTCGGGCGGCGTAGAGTCTTCTCGAGGACCAGTTCAGCTTCGGTAGGATTTGCCTGCTAGGAATTTCCTGTCCACAGCATCGAGCCGGGAAGAATTGCTTGTCTTTAAACGCTACCTTGACCATATTCCGTAGGCAGAGATGGCAGTATTTGTGCTCACATGGAGTAATCACCAAGCTCTTGGACTTTACTTGTCGGTAGCAACCTATACATTCCCTTCACACGGTCAGCGTGTCTTCCATGTCTTTCTGCTTGGTACTCACCCATTTTCTAGCGGTATGCTTTTAGGGAGAATCCATGACAGTATTGTTCCCAGTCCAACCCTAGTCCCGATATTTGAGTGTTTTGCCGTATCACGGCAAACGCTATTATTGACTGATGCAGATTGCCTGTTTATTTTGGTGTCTCCTTGTGTTGCGGTTTGGTGCGAAGGGGGTTCAATTAGGGCACGAGCAGAATTCGACGGCAAATGTTCTCGGCGGGCTGTTTCAGACATGATTATACCTGCAACTGTCAATGAACAGGCTCGAAGCATTTCATTTTTTGATAAGAATTGAATACTCTGTTAAGATGTTCTCACTGTCAATTCGCTGCTCCTCGTGCGTATGCGGACATCCAAGACGTGAAAACGGTTTGACGTCTTCGTTTCAGTGAGATAATTAGTAGGAACATGGCATTCTCACCTTATCTTTGTTTATTTCAAGGGCCCTCCCGAAGCATAACCATTCCATATTCCAAGAGTTGGAGTATGCTATCCAAGGATGTAGTAAAGATGTTCCCCAAAAGGTGCTGTGTTCGTGTAGTCTGGAACTTCCCTATACATAATACGCAGAGCACAATTACTCCAATATGACCACCACATTACATCCAGATTTAGCTAGACTACTATGGGGGAGTTGGCGGTCACTATTGTCAGGCCGCGAAGTTTGACTTGCAGGAAACTTGGGATCTAGCGGCTGATCTTCTAGCCAGAAGCATATCCAAGTGAGATCCAACCCCATGAAATACAGCCTAGCCTCTTTGGCATCGGTCAGGGTCCATCGAACATAACTTTTTGACCCTTAAAATCAGTCACTGCAAAATACTAGCTGGATAGTGATAACAATAAAGAATGCTAGAAAGGTGATCTAAGTTAGTTACTGGGCTGCAGTGCCCTTGGAGTAGATGGGCTGGGCATCGACTGCGATAAGCGGGCCTAGAATCAAATGGTAGAACCCATGGACTTTAGACTTACAGAACCGAGGCATCAACGCGGATATAGATGGCTGTTGCAACTCTAAAACAGCAAGAGCTGGTAATATCTTCGTCATCGAGGTGTCTCGCCAACTACCTAATTCGTCTATCAGGCCAGACTAGAGGGCCTCTCTGGGAAAACAGTCCTTTAGAAGTACTTTTATTGAACACTATCTAAAACAAGGGTATCATTGATGCGTAACGAATGCTTCCAGAAAGCACATAACGCCCATTTAGCCGATTCCGTTCACACTCGAAGGCACCCTTATGGTGCCAGCAAACCTTCGTCCAGCCCATCCAGACCCGTATTCTTGATATTCCTGGCGAGTAATAGCCACCCGACCCAGTTCTTCTCGGTTGGCCGCGAGACGAGATCCTCCCAGCCATGTAGACCGAATAGGACTAATTCAGACGCGAGTCAGAGTGTTTCCAAAAAGAATCGATGGGAATAAACTCACTCTTGGGCTCGACGCACTCGCACAACACAGTCAGCCGAGGCCACTTGACGCAGTTCGGTCTCCCTAATGGAGCAAGTAAGCAAACTGTCCATATATACTATACTTTCTAGGGGAACCTACAATCTCTCCATGAACCCTGGGGTGAGAGAATTGCCACCGACAACCAGCACGTTGGCCAGAAACGGAGGATGCAACCCAGTGGGCAATACAGACAAACTTTGGAGAATGATATCCGGAATGCCTGCCTGTTTCATGCCAATATCACTCGGGTTAAACAGAATCTCTGGGACTGCGAAGCGTTCATTTCCAAGGACCAGGACATCTTCTGAGAGCACATCAGCACTAAGACCAGAAAGTGCGCCTTTCTTCTTTTTGACCTCTAGCAGAGGATCGTGGGGTCGCATGAAGCCCTTTTTGCCTGCGTTTGGGTCGGGGAGCACGTAGTCCACCACCACACTCTGGTCAGAATCTGCTTGATGCTTCCGGCCAGCTTTCGAGGTCTTTTCCATATCCGCGGCAAAATCATTGCTCACAAAACAAACTGCCTCCTTCACCTCATTCATGATATATGTTTCATCCACCATGTTATATTGCCGTATCGACACGATCTCTTTGAGGTAGTTCGTGAGGTGTTTACCACCCAGATCAAGTCTCCGAATTCCACGTTGGAGGGCTTGGCCTTTGTATACTGGAGTAACCGTGGTATGGGAGTAGCCCGAGTCGACTACCAATAAGCAATCGGCAGGCGAGGGGGCAGCATCGGGTTGGGAGGTGGCAGAGTCTCCGAAGAGAGCGTGGACTTCGTTCCAGGCGTTAAGGGTTGGACCTGGAGAGAAGGACTGTCATCAGTATAAGACTATCACCGATCGAAGCAGCTTTGAACCCTACCTATGCACCTTGTATACCCTCCAAACCCCCATTCTTCCATCACGATTTCGTCTGCGTTCCGCTGCAGCACCGGTATGGCATTGGGAGCCTCGGTGAGAATGAGGGTTGTTTCTTCCGGGTTGGCTATCCGTAAACTCTTATTCCGCGCCGTCGCTTTCTCTTCAAAAAAGGACTGCTCCCAGATTTCCCTCTGCGCTTCCCAATTCACAATATATCCCTTCTCCACCGGGCGGCGGAACATGACCTCGTTCCAGTCGCTGACATGGGTCAATAGCTGTGGACCGATGACAACACGATTATCCCGAGTCTTGGCCAGGGCATTTGGTATTGTCGAGCAGGCGGAGAGGGCTTCATCTTCGGCAGGTGGGAGATCAGAGACATAGCCAGCTTTGAGAGTGTACGCGCCATTGTCGATCACGAAGGTCTTGTCCGGCAAGTGTCGCGACGCCACTGCCGGTTCTGTGGCAGTCTTTGGAGGAGCTCGAGTCTTTGTGCCCATGATCGCAGGACATGAATGAGCAGAGTAGGTTGTCCGCGATTAGCAAAGGTCAATAAGGTGTTTGTCTTGTTTGTTGGAGCGGGATTTGCCTTACGTAAGACGCATCTATACAAGTTCACCAGTCTGCGTACTTTCAAGGCTGTAAGGCAGCCTTCAAAGGTGGAGGAGTGTTAATTATAAGTTCCATTCAATGTTTTTTAAAAGCATAGAGAAGAGGATTTCGATATGTACTAATCATCCGCTGAGAAACAGTTGAAGTTCCGCCAGCCTGAGGTCATTTACCAGCTACGTGGGGGACACGATGAGAGCATTGAAGAATCTACCAAGTCATCAGGCGTGTAGGCAGTTATTCTGCTTGGGCTCTAGGCGGGTATCTGTAACAATAAACCCCGAGTTATGGCCTGAAGATATACACCCAACACGGGTGACCGCTCAGCCCTAATCGGCGGTTATCAGTAGTCATCCAAAATTTCTCTCCTCCGCAACCACCTCAAACCTGAACAGCAACTAGCACCTCTCCAACCAAGATGTCACACCAGCTCTCTACAATCCTCAGCACGACATTTGCCCTCCTAGATCAATTCCAAGACACGCTTTCCCCAAAGTCAGCCGCGCAGGCCGCCCAGTCCACCCCGAAAGACGCAGATGGCCTGCCCCTCCTCTCCGCATCGTCCTCCGCCCTCAGGGCGCAAGTGACCAAACTCTCACTACTCGCAATCACAAGCCCATTCACCCACTCAGCAGTCAGCGGCATCCTCCGTGATGTGAACGACTCCATCCTGCCCTCGCTAGTCACCGCGTCGCTCCTCGTTACTCCAACAGCATACACGGAAGCATTCCATTCGGAGATCCTGGTTCTGGCGAAAGCGGTCCTTGTGGAATTCTCTTCTCTGATACAGGAGGTGAAACGCATCGCGGATAAGAAGGATCGGCAGAAGAGTGATAATCAAAAAGAGAGCGAGCTCGTCCAGTCGGAGAAAAATGTCGTTACAGTCGCCACGGGCCGGGCCTGGGATGCCTGCGACGCGGTGACGAATGTCGCAAATAAGGGCGTCGTGGGGTTTGTTATCCGCCGCGTTGAGCAATGGAGGGATCTTGTGCGCGACGCCGTTGACGAAATTGAAGATTGGGACCCCGAGGAGGATGGTGATGACTTCTTTGATGGGATTATGGATGATGAGGACGATAAGGATGACGACGAAAATTCGGAGGAGGATGACGAGGAGGATAAGGGAAATACTGCCGCGTTGCAGGAGCAAAAGAAGGCGACTATTCGCTTCCTCAAGCCTGTTGCACAGATCTATCCCGCCATTATAAACAATCGGCTCAAGAATACCGGCAACACGCCTTTATCTTCTGCGCCCAGGATCGCCAAGCTGGAGTCTTTGATGCGGAACCTCCAACGCATCCCTGACCAGGTGGATGAAGCTGCTGGGGCTTTGTACGAGGCAGATGTGGATAGATCGGTCGAATACTTGAAGGAGGTTAGGAAATGTGCTACACAGGCTGTGGACTCGGTTGTTTCACCTTGGGATGCATCAGCTGGAGCCGAAGACAAGTTCACGGTCTGGTCAAAGACGTGGCTCAAAGTCATGGATGAGGTCAGCAAGCCAATTTCTTCTGCTATGGCTCATGAACAGACCTAGGTTGTTGCGTTAATACAAACAAGATATGCATATAGAGATACAAGCATTGTTGAACATCTAGGAAATACACGGTTTGGGGTTGTCTATGTATATGCAAACAGGGAAAGAAAGAATAATTTACAAATAGCAACCCCTCGGGGAGCTGGCTCAATTGGCTTCGTCAAGCCAAAATAAAATGTGAGATAATCAGAATTCATCAGCTGCCGCAACGTTCTCCTCCCATTCAGGGAGATCACCAGCAGGGATACGGTCTTTCAGAAATTCCAAAACAGCATCAGTGCCCTTGGCAACCACCTGCCAACGAGGCACGCGGAACCGATTGCCAGCAACCTCAAACCTTCTCAAGGCCGATCCATTGTCGCCCCAGTTTCGAGGGGAGCGTTCAGCGCTCAACAGACCAATCTTGGGCGGCAAGTAATCAATGTCATTGTTACTGACGTCGAGAACCTGCAGACCCTGCACCACTTCGAAATCTAAGCGAGAGAGCTGGTTATCGGAGGCCAGAATGGTCTTGAGAGCTGGAAAGACTGAACGAAGGTGTGGTAGGGGCCCCGTCAGCCGGTTGTTAGAAATATCCAAGACGGATAATGATGGCGCGATCAGACGAGAAAGCAGAGACTCCAGGGAAGATAATCTGGAGACACTCAAATTGAGGGTTTGCAACTTTGGCAGTTCGATGGTCGTAGGAATTAGGTCACGGCTATCCAGAGGATTGTGGGAGATGTCAAGCTCAATCAACCCCTTCGCAAGCATTCCAAGTGCAGGGACGGGGAAGCAGTGTAGATCGTTGTGCTGCAAGTAAAGGCTGCGAACATCTTCCAAGGCGATCAGTTCTAGCTTTTCGGTTTCCAGGTCTGTCAGTTCGGAATATGATCTATCAAGGACGCCGCCAGGCCGGATCCGCCAGCCGTTATCAAGACTCGGGGTCTCCGGTGCAAGTGTGAACTGGGTCGCCACTGAGCCCTCGTCATCTGTGTCTTGAGGGTCGGGCTCATAGCGACTGCGCATGTCTTGTCTGAGCTGCTCGGTGTCCATGCTCAAAAGCCTACGCTCGCGGAGTGGGTTATTGCCGATGCGGAATGATGTGAGGCTCTCCATGAATCCGATCTTCTCGTCCAGGCGTGAAATGTCATTCCCAGTAAGATCGACAGTCTTGATGCTTCTGAGCTCTGGAAAGCCCACCGGGAGCTCAGCAATCTTGTTGTCTTCTGCCGAAAGAGTCAGCAGCGATTGCCAAGATGACACGCACGGCAGGCGTTTGATTCGGTTGATCCCCATAAACAGGCTATGTAAACTGGGGCAAGACAGCATCTCATTCGCAGAAAAGATGTCTACCAAATTGTTCGCAATATTGAGTGACTGCAGGGTCTCGAGACGGTCCACTGAAGCTGGAATCAGAGTACCCGCCAACCTGTTCTTTGGTGCATTGATCGTCTTCAAAGGCAGCTTGCTCAACTCTTCAAAGGGCAGGTATGTCAGCTGATTCTCGCCAACATCCAATGATTTCAAGGATGTGAGTTCGCCCAGTTCATGCGGAAGTTCTGTCAGCTTGTTGCAATGCAAGTCCAGTGTTTCCAGACTGCGAAGTCGGCCAATATCCGAAGGGAACCGCCCTTGTAGTTGGTTATTTGCCAGCTTCAGGTCCACCAGAGATGGAATCTCCACAACAACTTGGATATTCTCGATGGACAGAGAATTGTTTGAGAGGTTAAGACTGCGTAGTTGCTGCAATCTTCTCAAACCCATTGGTAGAGTCTGCAAAACGTTCCCATGGAGGTCTAATGTTTCAATGCCTCCAAACTGCGGACCCCGCTCATTACTTTCCGGGTCAAAGTCCTCCATATCAATGTCAGGAAACGTCTCATCCGAGATTTCGGTGAACCCGTTGTCTGCAGCGATAAACTTGGAAAGGTCGACATTTTCAAACCAGTTGGACGAGGCATTCGGATCGAATTTGTACATATCCAGCACTTCCTTGGGGATCTCAGTCAAAGAAAGCGCAGCGATATTCAACTGACCGGTTGCGCGAGCTGTCTCCACACGTTTTCGGAGTACACCAGGATTGGACTCCTTGGTTAATTGGTTGAAGGGATCCCCGGCATCAGTGCTCGCCCACGGATCAGCAGCCTCGGCCTTGGGAGTGTTCATCTTCTTTGCCGTCGCCGCCTTCTTCGCAGCTTTGGCTTTTGCGATGCTCTCCCGTAGTGCGTTAGACGATTTGGTAGCTTTTCTGGCTTCGGCTTCCGCCTGTTGCTCTGGGTCCAATTCCTCCGGCATGCTCGAAGCGGTGGAAAAATATCTGGAAGCGGTAGAAGGCGACCTCATGGTGGATGGCGAGTCTGCTTGGGGCTTCCGGGTCTTGCGTACGGTGAGCGGTCGATCCGGTGGACCCATGTCGGTTTGAGAAGGCTTTTTGGTGATCTTTTTTGGTATGAAACGAGCAGGTGAAGCGGTAGCAGATACATCCTTATTGCCTCCGTATACACTCGATCGTCCAGGGATAGCCACAGGTTTCCTCAGCGGCGCACTGATCTCAGAAGCTGCCGTATCTGTTCCGGTCTGCTTTGCTGGTGGGAATCTCAATTTAGAAGGGCTTTCGCTTGCTTCCGCGATATCATGAGTATCGCTCGTCCAAAGAGATGAAGGAGTTGACACGCGAGAATTGGATGGCAAGCGCAATTTCGAAACGGGTCCCGGAAATGTCTCGCTCCCGTTGTGGTGCTGACCCGAAGATGAGCGGGAAGGCGATTGCGAGTAGTTGGACACATTTGATGGCGTCCGCGATGGGGAGCGCATTGGGCTGACCCCGTTGAAAAAGCTCGACTGTCGTTTCACAGATGCTGGAGACGGTGAGATATTTGACAAAGTCCCAATCGTCCGCTCCGACAACGACGGTCGTTCTTCTCGTCGACCTCGATCTTCCTGGGCTGTTCCCACCTCCTCATCGTCAGCAGTTCTTTCCACCTCCTCTGACGTCTGTGTCTCCAATTGTAGCTCATCAGCCACTTCATTGAAAGGTTCATTATGTTCTGGAAGCGCATTCTCGGTAGACTTGACTGGCGAATAGCGTGGTAATGTCTTCGATCGTAGCGATTCGCGAGAAGGCCGACGTAATCGTCGATCATCGATTCCAGGATCGGCTCGCAATCTCTCGCGGGAGGGCGAAGGTCTGATCGGTATCGACGAGGCTGTAGGCAAAGGTAATCTCGAAACTGGGCGCGGGATGCCACTGAGGCGTGCTTTGGGTTGGGTCTCCATGTCGGTGTTCAGCAGGTGCCCCGAGTGAGGGCTGAGAGAAGGCAAGGTCTGGCAGGATGGGAAAGATCAGAAGGTGGCCAGGGAGTGAGACATCTCCGCAGAGCGAGACAAAAGGAAGACGTAGGGGGTCCGTGGAGAGTGTGGCAGGTCAAAAAACATTGTCACTAGTTCGTGATTGTTTACGTTGATGCTGCCTGAGGCAACGATCCAGTTATTGTATGCCCATGAACTAACTATTGATTGTCCAGCTAACAACTTGACTATTCTCAATCACTATTCCCGTCACACCCTGATCGTAGAGTTCTGTCTTTGGTGCCACGATATCTCCATCTCTCCTGCCCTCTCTTCGATCTGATCCAGAGTCAATTCGATCATGTCGCCAGCATTGGTTCCACTCCAGATCAAAGAACCCCCAGTCGCTCAGTCGGGCATGATCCCACGATAGCCTTTTCTGCGCAGTCATCGCAGCTTGGGTTCTGTCTTCTAGGTAAATGGACCGCCTTACAAAGCCCCTGCTGTGACGGGGCCTATGCAATATACAAGACTATAGATCTGACAAGAACAAGCAATATATATAGTTCTGCAATATAGCTCCAAATAGCTCTATAGAGAAACACAGTACATATTTATTGCCAGCTGCTACTGTCTCCCTAGTTATTCAGCCATCTGAAACATCGCACAGTTGATATCCATAACAAGGAAAATGGTTCAGCATGATGTCGGACTAGTCCTACTCCAGCCGTTGCCAGCCCAACCCATTACATAAGCCCCCGCCGCATTGGGGCATGCTGGAGCATCACGTGCCGTCCCCATGACCGCTCCCAGCCTCTTCCAAGCCCCCTCAGTTGTTGCCCGTTCCTGATAGTTATCCCCCATTTATCCATTCCATCCAACCATCCAACCTTCTCTCCTCCATCTTCTGCACACCCACCTACTACATACTCTGTCCCCCCTTACTCCCATCACCTTCCACCCGTCTTCCATTACTTAAACCTTACTACATCGTGTCGTGCCGAGATCTTAGCACAGACTGTCGTATTGGGTCTTGACGCTTTCGACACCTGTCTGAAGCTCTCGTTGCTCTCTCCGGTATGCGCTCATCCGCCTCCCAATTATTGTCTTGGGATCATGGATACTAACAAGCACCCAGTGCGAGGATCTATTCCCCACGGTTGATCTCTCCTCATCTTATCGATACCAATATCGATACCAACTTTGACCGCCTTCATCATGGCCCAGCATCCCAACTCGCAAAGCTCCCTGGCTGCACCCGCGGAGATTGTCGCTCCTGCGACGCCCGTCCGGCGTGCCACCCTGTCGCCTTCGCCAGACCTGAGTGCCAAGGCCAAAGATCAATCCTCGCAGTCCGACAAGAGCAAGTTCACGTCACCGCCGCCGCTCTCTTCCTCCGACATGACTCCTCCCCCTTCCACTCAAATCCCCGGAGCACCTCTCCGCCAATCTCGCTCTCACTCGCGCTCCCTGAGCCCTTCGCTGGTGACTCCAGCCGATATGGACAAGACTCTGTGCGATGCCTACGGTGCCTCGGAGAACCTGCCCAGCATGGAAGAGATTGAAAACGCCAGCGAATCCCAATTGCGCACGATCGCCAAGGATCTCCTCACCGTCGCCCAGGAGGCTCGCATGTCCGCGCTGCACTTCAAGCTGCAAAACAGCCTCGTCTCTTTTGCCAGCAGCGAAGCGGTCAAGCGCGCCGAGGTGGAGCATCAGCTCGCTAAACGGGAAGTGGAAATCTTGCAGAGCGCCCAGTACCGCAGCCGCTCCCGCCCCACCGAACCCATCACGCCTAAGCAATCGCAGTCTGCTCCCAACGCGGACTATCTGGCAGCGATCCAACGGTCGCAAGAACTCGAGGGTGTCAACGCCGTTCTGGACCGCAGGCTGCGGCATGCGAAGAGAGCCATTGACGATGCAAACGCGAAGTCTATGGAACTCACCGAGCAGAACGAGATGTTGAAACGGCGCATTGAAGACAACCGCAAGCACTTTTCCCAAATCTTCAACTACGGCTCCCTGTCGCCCAGCATGCAGAATGAGCTTCAGACCATTTGCCGGGGCGAGAACCCCGATCCCTTTGCTGCACTTCTTTTCGCTGGCAAGATCATGAACAGCGAGCGCAAGTATGTCGGCTCGCCTTCGGATCGTGTTCCTGAACATCACCAATCCTCTCTTCCCGTGACTCCGAATCACCCTCGCTCCACTCCCCAGGGGCGTCACTACCTTACACCGATGGGCCCCTCTCATGAGACGCATTATGATAGCGACAGCACCGTCTCTCTCTCCGAATCTGAAGAAGGGTTAGAGGCGCATCCGCAAATGCGTTCTAATGCCCCGAAGACAAGCAGCCTGCTTCAAACGAGGTTGTTTGGTCAAGTGAAGAAGCCGGGTGTGGACCGTTACCAGTCCGGCCCTGGCAAGCGCAAGGCCAGCTCTGATGAGAAAGGAGCGGCCATGAAGAGATCCAGGACGAACAACGGGGTGGGCCTGGGTATTGAAACCTGAGATCTACCTCCTTGGATATGAATTCGTTCTTGATGACTTAGCGCTTTTTTTTTACATTGGCTGTTACGACTTCATGCCCTTCGGGAATTATCACGAATGATGAACGCATGCGGGATGCGGTGTTGAATCGCAATTGAGAAGACAGGTTTCGGCGTTTGCATTTTGATTTATTGTTAAGCCTTAGCTTGCCGCACTCGACATGGCTTCTCATGGAGAATATTGTTGCACATAGATAGACAGGTTGGTCGGGCCAGGCACTCTGCATGGCTGTACTATACAATAGGAATCGAGTATTGCCGGGTTGTCTCCGTGGATTCCATATTTCTTCTCCTAGAACCACAGTAAAACCATTCCTATAGTCCGTATAGTCATGTGATCCCACGTGATCTCCACATTGGGTTTAATGCCAACTTAGGGCTCGCTAAGCGAAAAGCGGTGAGGCACTGTGTGGGTGCTCGCCCACGAAAACTGCGTCTTCAGTTTCTGCCGTGAAGGGAGATTTGACCAGCAACCCTCCGACGACCACCCGGCTCGATCCCCATCCGTCACAATGGTGCGTTTCCCTGCTGTTATGGATGTCTTGAACGGTCTTCGGCTTGATTAGAATCGACTGGACGACTTGTTGAAACACTGCTGGTGATGGAATGCTGACGGATTGTGTGTGGGAATATAGGCGATCAAGCACAACAACCAAATCCAGAAGAACCGTGAGTGATCCCAACTGCTGTGCTCTCTGCGTCTCAATATTTGAACAACAAAGACGTCGGAATTTTTTAAAAGGAACGAAAAGGCTGACTGGTTTGGTGCAGACTTCCGCAAGGACTGGCAGCGTCGTGTGCGCGTGCACTTCGACCAGGTACGATTTTCCGAATCCCACATCCTCTCCGAAACGCACTGCGATTGAATCGAATTGGAACGAATGGAGAAAATTTTTTTATCTGGGCTGGTCAACTAACATGGCACTTTTTCGCGATAGCCCGGCCGGAAGCACCGTCGTCGTGAGACTCGTCTCGCTAAGGCGGCTGCCGTTGCTCCCCGTCCGGTCGACAAGCTGCGTCCCGTTGTGCGATGCCCTACCGTCAAGTACAACCGCCGTGTTCGTGCCGGTCGTGGTTTCACCCTGGCTGAGCTGAAGGTAATATTTTTTGTCATAATTTTTTTTTGGAGGCAGTGACTTACTGTTCCACAGGAAGCCGGCATCCCCAAGAAGCTCGCTCCCACCATCGGCATCTCGGTTGACCACCGCCGCACCAACTACTCCAAGGAGTCTCTGGTCGCCAACGTCGCCCGCCTGAAGGACTTCAAGGCCCGCCTGATCCTGTTCCCCCGCAAGAGCGGCCAGTTCAAGAAGCTCGACTCGTCCGCCGAGGAGGTCAAGGCCGTCAAGGCCGCTCTGGCCGACGGCAAGCGTGAGGGTCTCGCCACCCGCGTCGGCGCCACCCTGCCCATCACCAACCCGGCCGTTGAGCAGGCTGTCACCGAGGTCAAGCGCGACTCCATGCCCAAGGGCGAGGAGGCTGCCTACCGGCGGCTGCGTGACGCCCGCGCTGAGGCCCGCCACCAGGGCAAGCGTGAGAAGCGTGCCAAGGCCAAGGCCGAGGAGGAGTCCAATGCTAAGAAATAAACGTGTTAATCCTCTGTCTCTGCTGCTGATGATGACGATCGGGTCGGTTGCAAGGATCAATCAAGGATTTGGCCTGTGGCATGGCGTGGCGCCTTTCTTCCTTCTTCTCCTCTAAAATGAACCCTTCTCTCCGATCTCGACCGACCCCCTTTTTTGTTTCCTACCTTGTTTTGTCTCTAAAAGAAAGAACTCGGAAGAATCCCATGAAATGCAAAACATCCAATTTTCTCAATTTGTCCTGACTTGAGGAGTAGAACGACCCCAAGTAGACTGCCGTCGAGAATTTACAGCCGGGCCGGAGAGACGAAGATGAAACCCATAGTTGATTAGCATTATATGCAAGGGAGCCAGAAACTCATCACTTAAGAGTCTACGCTGCTAATCGGTTTAGACAGTGGACATGGAAATCGATTGTTGACATTCAGACCGAGAACTTCAATATTCGCTCAATAAACTTCAAAGGTAGACAAAAAACAAGAACCACACGCCGTATCCTGCGCCTACGCTATGATCGCTGAAAAGGATATCAAGAATTGCCAAACAAAGCCCCCAAAGCACCTTCGGTCGCTCGTAGGACTGCATCAATATAAACGGCTCCCTCCACTCCTGGCACGGGTGAACCACCCTTTTCATGCAAGAGAGCATGGAAAAGCTTTTTAGCCTCCTGGTTGATCTTCTTGCTCGAGCCACCAGTGGCACCTGTATCAGAGACAATAATTTCGGGCCGTAGCTGCGGCTCCCCGGTCCAGTCGTCGATCGTCAAGTTGTATGACAGAAGCACTCGGGGACCGGATTTGGATTTGACGACCATTGTACTGCGTTCGAGGTGTGGGATCAGCTGTCGAAGTTCAGGGAAGCTGAGGACTCCATCTTTGGTCGCTGGTGCCGGGTCTTTTCTACTGCGCACAGAAGTTCCGTTATTGTATTTGTGATCAAGCTGGGCCCATAATCGAGCGCGTGCCACCGATGCTTCCCAGTACCGGTTGATTCCCCAACATAGGGTGGAAACGTCGAGTTGAAGGAGCGGGTTCGCCAGCCGACGGTCTATCCAGCGGCGCAAAACTTCAGGCACCCTCCGTTTCTTGCTGTCGCTGCTCGTGGGCACGGACACAGAGGTCACAGACTGCGCCTCAGGGTCCGTTGCATAGACGACAGCAACATTATATAGATTCGCTGGAAATGGTGACGGTGCGGTCAAAGTCAAGGTATGTGTTTCAGAGAGGATCTTGTTCCTGGAAGACCCCGTCCGGGTGGTACGCGCATTGAGTGATAGTGGCGCAAAAGCTGTAAGGTATGGTCGTGTTTGAGAGGAATCTTGCAAGGCAAATGGATTGGTCGGTAGCGGTGAAGTCGGGCGGGTCGGGCCAGGAGCATCGGAAGAGAATGGGAGGAGCGTGGAGAGAACAGACGATATCGTTGCAGGGGGTTGCTTAGGGACAGATAGACTCGTGGGTGAGGCTTCCTCCGAGGTGATCATTGAGCTGGGGTTCAGTTAGCCAGTTTTGTTATCGTCTTGAGGACTCGGTCACGTACAGGAATTTGTTTAGTCCCTCGGGGTCGGCTTCTAGGCCCTTGCCGGTCTCGATTTTGTTTGCCCACCTTTCCATCTCGGCAACCTCTTTTTCGAGTTGCCGTAATTCAGCAGAGAGGCTCCTGCGTGATTTTTGTCTCTCGGCCACAGCTGCGGGAAGCTCTTGGTCCAGCGCTGGCTCGGCGGCATCCAGGTCTTGCTCTCCAGGCACTTGAAACTTCAAGGACCGCAATGGGCTGCCTTTGATGGGATCCACAATTCGTTTGATTTGTCGTTCATGTCGCATGCTTGGACTACTGCTCAGCAGTCCCCGGGGTCGGTCCGGAGCCTTCTCCAGGCCAAGTTCGGTTGGAGTAGGTGGGAGGTCTGGTTCCAGAGGGTCTTCGTTCATGAACCCACCGTCCAATCCTGTACCCATCTGTAACTCTCTTGTGACATTGCCTAGCTCCGACGCCAATTGATCCTCCGGGGTGTTTGCATGGGCCTGCTCTGTCGGCTGCGTCTGCCTCCGGACTGGGGTTCCAAACAAGAAGTCTGAAGGTCCAATCTTCTTTGATACCCGGCGCGGGGGTTGGGTAAATGATTGGATTCCGCTTGTGCGCCTGCTGGGAGACAGGCCCGCCATGGCGCCGGACAATCTAGGCCGACTCATGGGGCTCGCAGTGGCATTCAGCGACGGACGAAGAGCTTTGCGGTCACGGAGCCCGACTCTTGATTCTGCTTGCTCGGGTGGGTCATTTTGGTTCCCTCTGCTGGTCGGTCGTCGTGTCGGTGATCTGCTGAGCGCGCGTTCGAGCACGTCGGGGTGGGACCGCGCCAGGCTTGCCCTTGTAGGAGACTGGAAGGACGGCGGGCCTGACGCGCGCGCGCCTTCGTGAGGCTCCAAATGCTGCGACGCGCCCACAGCGACACCAGTGGTCGCGCTGGTCTTGCGCCGCTTTGGTGGGGAGAACATGACGTGGTGTGGTGGTTAAAAGCAACGGAGTGTTTTGATTGTCGGTATCATCGACCGAGGTTTGCACTGTTTGCACCATGACCACATGAGGCTCTCACTCATTCTCGTTCCTTGCTTCATAGTTAGTACTCGCACACCACCATGAAGTGTCTGTCCGTGGGCACCCGACATTCACTGGGCACAACCTCCACTTTGTCTTTGCGACGCTCATTACTTGAAACTTCGCCCTCTACACCCCAGCTGCGGCACTATGCCTGCTCTCCGGCTCTCCGGCAGAGACGCGGCACTCATGATGCGCCGAGTTCCTCCGATGAAATGGCGAATCCACCACAGGCACATCCGTTGTCGGGTTACTATTCCGTGGTTCTGAATTCTCGTTCTCCTTATCGTGGTCGCGCACCGACTTCGCGCCCCGCGACCCATGCGCCCGAAGCAACGTCGACTTCGGAGCCGCAATCACCCCAAGAGAAGATGGCCATTGTGTTCGGAACCCGCCTGGCTGGTCCCGGCCGCTCATCCCGTTACAATCCTGGCGAGACTCCTCCCGAATCGAAGTGGAAGACGGTCAATGGGGTTCCCATCCCGCCCCGGCCCGAGGAACCGGACAACTGCTGCATGAGCGGCTGCGTCCACTGCGTCTGGGACGATTTCCGGGATGAAATGGAAGACTGGGCAACACGTGTCGCGCAGGCTAAAGCGAAGGGTGGAGCCGAGAAAGGGACCAAGGACATGCGTTTTGGGCCTCGGGCAGAAGTCGACTCCGTCAGCCAGAGCATGGATGATGACGGCGGCGGCAGCGAAGCCAACTGGCCGGCTCCTAGTCCAGATGATGAGCTGTTCGCCAACATCCCTGTCGGAATTCGCGAGTTCATGAAGACTGAGAAGAGACTGCGGGCCAAACACCAGCAAGAAGCCGCTGTGTGATGGGTTTGCATTTGGCGGGATTGAAGTATACCCATACCAGCCGGAGAGAGACTCTCGATAAAGGTAGACTGTACATAGGACATGCCCACGATGCGATGAATATAAATACATAGACATATACCTATTCATAACTCTATATCTATCTATTGATTTCTGTTTAGTGCCCGAGTCGCGTGCCAAGCCTCCACTTCGCGGACAATCTAGAATCTTTTCTTCGACATCACAATTCACCCCGGGACTGGCCTCCACTCTCATCGCTGTGACGACCATTTCAATTGACTGCTTCTGCCAGCCAACGCGGCTTGCGGACGGTCTCGATCTGGTTTCACGATGCAGAGGCTGAATTCGATCTTCTCGTGAGCAAAGACTCCGACGCGCCGCCGACCCTCCCACCATGGCGACAGGAACTAGGCCCTTCGCCTACCTCCGAAATGCTAGGCAGGCATGTTTCTTCGCCCGGAACGAATCCCGTCCTCGACCACGCGCGTTGCTGCCGCTCCCTCCAAGACGCTCATTGGCTGCAACCTCTCGAACGGTTACCTCGCGCCGGCAATCGCCCAACACCAGATCGCCGAAGTGTCATAGCTCTGGGATTATAGGGGACAGGTGGCTGGCACCTTCTGCCCGCTATGCTACAACGGCGCCGAACACAGGCCAGTCAGCTCCGGCCGCGACTGAGATCCGCTGTACTGATTCAGGACCGCATGATGTTGATGAACAAGGACACCAGGACATATCTCCGCGCTCTGTTGACAATGCAGAATACTCTACCGATCCCTCAAATCCATCCAAGGAGCCTGGCGTGGAAGAGACGTCTCCTAGGGCTAGTTCCGAAGACGTTGAGATCGCACTGAATTTGATCAAGAATAATATAATTATTCGAGAAATGAAAACTACCAAGCTTTCGGACCAGTCTTTCCACTGCTCTTTCAAAATTACGGTCCCGCGTTCGCGCTTCACATGGTCGTCGACTGTGACGTGCCGATCCCGTGTAAGTTCAAGGATTTCCTGTCTAAGATGGCAAGCTCTGACAATCCGGTCCTAGCAATTAGCAAAGGTTCTCGTGTTAGAGAGCATTATACCGCAACTGAAAAAGGAGGGACTATGGACGCAGCTCACGAAAAAAGAGCGCGCTCTAAGGGCGGTCCGAATCAACGTGGACGATGATCTACTTCTCGCGATGCGCTTTGCAACAAAGGACCTGCTTCAGGCCGAGACGGTGCGCATGAGTGGCAAAAAAACACCCATCAGGCCACGAGCAAAAAGGAGAATGGCATTCTCGCAGACTTCCCGTCAGGCGAGAGAGAGATCGCAGTATTTGATGAAGGTTTTGAAAAGAATTCACAAAACCAAAACCAATCCACAACGCCGAGCTCTTAGAGAATCAATCGACGGGTTGCCCGTGTGGAAACATGAGAGACAGATCTTGGACATCATCAATAACCACACTTACTGCCTGATTGCGGGAGAGACGGGCTCTGGAAAGTCAACACAGATTCCTCAGATGGTTCTTGATCAAGCAACCAGGAGGCAAGCCGGTGCTGATATCCGAGTTCTTTGCGTTCAGCCACGCCGAATAGCCGCAAGCTCGCTGGCTCAGCGAGTCGCCCACGAAAGAGGCGAAAGGATCGGTGATACAGTTGGCTTCCAGGTCCGGTTTGAGTCCCATTGGCCGCGCACCGGCGGCGCGATCACCTACTGCACCACCGGTATCATGCTCAATCTCCTGCAAAGTTCACCACAATTTCTCCACTCATTCTCCCACATCATGCTCGACGAAGTTCATGTGCGGGATGTCGGTATCGATTTCGTGATGCTGCTTTTGAAACGTTTGATCAGCCGCCGTCAGGCGCTCGGTCACTCCACGCCTAAGGTAATCATTATGAGCGCAACCCTGGATCTCGATCTCTTCTCTTCCTATTTCAGCAACAAGGAACCAGACGGGACGAGGGTCCCTGCTCCTCATCTTATCATTCCTGGTCGTTCGTTTCCCGTAGAGAAGCACTATCTTGATGAGATTCTTCTGAGCCTTATTCGCCTTTACGGGAGTCCCGATGCCCTGGCTCAATTCTTCAACAACCCGGACACTAAATACGAGACGGCCAATTACTTATTGCAGCACTATAAGCATTTCAGCAGCGGACCACCTTCACACGTGGCTCCAGTTTTAGAATCCCTCAAGGTACCGCCCAAACAATTCCCCAACGCCTCAAGCGAGTACGAAGACCCGTTGATTCCATACGAACTATTGCTGGCAACAATAGCTCACATCCTGTCCACAAGAGATACAGGCTCTGTATTGGTCTTTCTCCCGGGCATGAAGCACATCCTCATGGTGGAGGAGATGCTTCGTTCCCGCGGCCCTGCATTTGGGTTCTCCTTTTCCGATGAAAACCGATTACAGATCTTAGCCTTACACGCGCTGCTGCCGGAAGGACAGAAGAGTATTGCCACGAAGGTACCCACAGGCTGCAGAAGAGTTATTCTGGCTACCGACATAGCTGAGGCGTCAGTCACATTTCCTGATGTGAAGTTCGTGGTTGACTGCGGCAAGGCACACGAAGCGGTCTTTGACAGCAAGTCACGATCCCGGCGGCTGGCTTGCTCATGGATCAGTAAATCCAGTGCAATCCAACGCGCAGGACGTGCAGGGCGCGTCCAACCAGGCGAATATTTCGCTCTCTACACTGAAGAACGACATGACGGCTTTCGAGTCACCAAATCTCCAGAAATCACCCGCATGGACCTCCAAGATGTCTGTCTGCGATCAATGGTTTGTGCCCCCGATATCTCAGTAACCGAGCTCCTCCAGGAGGCTATCGAGTCGCCGGACATCATGAATGTACAAGCCGCGATGGACTCCCTGCGCCGTCTACAAGCGGTGGACGAGAACGACAACCTCACTCATCTTGGCCACATTCTCTCCCAGCTCAGCATAGATCCGGCCCGTGCCAAACTGGTTATTCTCGGCATTATTTTCCGCTGTCTTGATCCTCTATTGATCCACGGGGCCATGGCGGAAAACTCGCTGTTCCGCTTCCAGTCCACTCCGGATGGCAAAGCCCGAGTTGTCAATGAGCTTCAGAGCTTCGCGCAAGCCAGCCACAGCGACCACATTGGGTTAATCAATGCCTTCAAAGCTGTCCGAGACGTTTATATGCGATCCGGACGATGGGAAGCCTTGGATTTTTGTTTGAAGCATTACATCCATTTTCCAAGGTACCATGAAACCTACCTTGTGTCTCGTGAGATCCTCGGCAAGCTCTCTAGCGCAGGGCTTATTCGTCCAGATCAAGCCAGTTTGGATGAGAGCTACCAGTTCGGAGGTCCTGAACTAAACACCAATTCGAGAAATCTAGCGTTGATTAAGGCCTTGCTGCTGCATTGCATGTATCCTCAAATTGCGGCACCAAGTCTTGCTCCCTCACGACTTCGTTCACCATACTGTGCCACCGAGGCCGACAAGAAAACGGTCATAAATAGGGGGAGTTCGATCCTTCGTATACCTTCGACTGATCCCAAGCAGAAATATATGCCTGTCCAGTCTCTCTTCATCTTCAGCAAGAAAGTCGAGGTAGGGCTCGACGGGGTTCCTTTAAAAGCCCTTTTTGACGCTTCTCTCATCGACCCTCTTACCGCGTGCCTCTTCGGCGGCCGTTTACAATGGAACGGCCAGAATATCAGCATGGGGTCCAGTGTTAACATCCCTGTCTTGTCCGCGGATGGGCATGACGATCAAGGTGCTCATGGCGTAATCGAACTGCGCAAAGCTATCGATAGGGTCAGTTTCCTTCCCTCGGCAAGGTATACCCGAAAGCTGCTAACTTTCTAATTGCAGTCTCTTGCGGCTAGCTACCAATATCTCGTCATGCAACAACAGAATCGCTCGCATCTTGAATCGCATTCGGCTCGCGAGTCCCATTTCTTCACACTCTCGAAAGCAATCAAAGAGATTCTGGATCTAGAGTTGCACCAACTCTCCAACCAAAAGGATGTACGAGAAGAGATAAATGTATATTAAAAATAGATTTGTGTATCTATTATTAGTTTTTTGATCCTCTTCTTTTCGTGCACAACCACCCTCACGACCTATGTACCACGATGAAGAAAAGGGATTCGCTTTTGTAACTAACGTGCTATTCTTTCCTTTCAAGGAGCATCGGGATCCGGTCTGTTGAACCAAGAGCGATAAGTCACACCACTAACCGTACCCTCCTGTCCGGTGGGCTCCAAATTGAGAATCTGAATGACGTTGTCTGTCTCTTGCATCCAGACACCCGGCAGGTAATAAGATTGCTGGGGCCCGATCGTCCAGTAACGGCCTAGGTTGTAGCCATTTACCCAAATCACACCCTGGTTGCATTGTACGTGAAGGAATCCGCCAGAGCTGACCTTGCGTGGGCTAAAGCCGCAAGGCCAAGAGAGTGTGTGGTAAAAACACGCATTGATAGTGTATGGTTCTTAATGGGAGACAGGAAGCATGTGTCCGTCTTTTACATTGCATTCAAAGCGAAGAATGACATGCACTTTTATTTCCTGTCCTAGTTTGGGATCATAGCAGATTTCGATTTCAAACAAAGCCTCTTCCCCGCTTTAATTCTAGAGGCAACCAAGTTGATTTGAGATCGGCGCCCCTCAGATAATGACATGCCAAATGCGGGGGAATAATGGGCACCATCCGGACAGAGTTTAGGGTGTCTTCATAGCTTCTGATCGGTAGGCAACGATGGTGGCATCGGCCAAAGAACTGTCCGGCCGAATATATTACAAATGCAAGGACTTAACCCCTGTTGTCGTCGGAAAAATACCGGTAAATGTGCCTAATGTTTGTCAAAAAGGTTACATCGAGCTCAAGGAATCGGCTTAGTTATGACTCCATATTTATGTCCCTGGTCAAGATTGATTTGCTAGGGTGTGGATAGTCTGATATCTAGCTCGTTGCATGAACCTCCCAGATCAAGATTTGCGGGGTACGGAGAAGCTGTCTCCGAGGGTTGAAAGCGGGTTCGTGTGGACAGCCTTAAATTGCATTTGATGCGGAGGTTGAACTAATCACAGTTTCATCTTAGCAAAACAACAGCATGCTACTCGACAGATCCATGCTTAACCTACACCAAGGCAAGGGAAACCTATAATAGTGTTCCATAAATTTCCCGAGAATAATGGATTTTAGATCACCAGATGGTCTCAGATTTTATCTAGAACGCTCGGCCTTGCATCTCCGATGAGCCCTGCCTACTTCTTCCGATGCAACGTTGCAGAGGGGGGCGGGGGTTAAGACCAGCTACTTTCGAAATCCAGTAATTATAATTCTCAACGGTCACTGAGATGTCTGTGCGGTGGTGAATACAGTACGTCCAGCAACCCCGGTGTCGGAGGTGTTATTCTCCTGACGGCTTTTTATATAACAGGGCATCTCGCAGATTCACTTATAGTTTATTGTATTTATTTTGTTTGTCTGAATTTGATTACTTAGAATTTAACCCAGTCCGGACGACTGCAGTTCCTGAACGATGTTTTATTCTTGCAAAAGATTCTTTTTACCTGTTGTTGTCGGGCTAATTATTCGGCCTCCGGGCGTGCATGGTTATACCATCCCAATCGGAGAACGATCTATTGAAAGCCCACGCACAGACTACCTGTTGAAAGCGAAAGCTGCGGTGACTACCTTACAACAATGGTATAACACAACCAGCGGATTGTGGGACACGACTGGATGGTGGAACAGCGCCAATTGCTTGACAATGTTAGCTGACCTGACCGCTATTGATTCTTCCATGATTCACACAACCGTTCCAGTATTTGAGAATACGTTTGTCAAAGCTCAGCAATATAACTTCTCAACCTCGCAGGTCAATGAACCCTCTGTCGGGCCTCCGAATGGTTTTATCAATCAATATTACGACGATGAAGGTTGGTGGGCGCTTGGTTGGATCAAAGTGTTCGACCTGGTCCACGACCCGAAATACCTTTCGATGGCTGCGGACATTTTCAAAGACATGACAACAGGCTGGGGTGCCACCTGCGGCGGTGTTTGGTGGAATAAAAACCATACTCAGAACGGGGCTATTGAGAACGAGCTCTTTCTTAGCGTCGCAGCCCACCTCGCCAACAGAATGCCCGATAAAAACTATTACCTGGATTGGGCCTTGAAGGAATGGACTTGGTTCAAGAGAAGTGGGATGATCAACGCACAAAACAATATCAATAACGGTCTTGACTTAACGACGTGTGAGAACGACAATGGAACGATCTGGTCATATAACCAGGGTGTTATTCTTGGTGGCCTCGTTGAGCTTTCCCGGGCGTTGCCAGATGAGTCCTCCTATTTGAAGATGGCCAAGAATATCGCCACTGCTGCCTTAGAAGTGCTCACTGATTCAAATGGCATCCTACACGATCCTTGTGAGCCAAATTGTGGCGCTGATGGATCTCAATTCAAGGGAATCTTCTTGCGGAATGTTCAGGATTTATATGGAGCTTCTTCAAGTGAACAGCTGAAGTCATTCGTCGAGAGAAATGCAGATAGCATCTGGATCAACGACCGGGGCGTTGATAACGAGCTTGATATTTTATGGTCGGGCCCGTTCACGGGTGGTGCTAATGCATCAACGCAAAGTTCTGCGTGCGATGCTTTGGTAGCAGCTGTAGGCGTCCAAAGCCCTAAGCACGCGTGAGCTTGAGATTGGAGTATTCAGATATTCCAGTTTAATTGTGCGACAAATATGCTAGAAAATTGCAATATCATGATGTTTGAGACAGGCACCGAACTGCTAATAAATCTAGCGCGACTCCCACAGGTTTAATTCCATATTCTTTGTTTCAAGTACTAGCACAAAGGGCTAAGACCGGGGATGGCCGGGAATGAAAGAAATCATCAGCGATTCCTTTAGGTTACGGCAAATAATTGGATACCTCAAATCATGAAATATGAGTGGGACCTCATAACTAATGGCTTTTAGCTTCCTGAATACAATTTCCATTGAGCATTGACCGATATGTGGGCCAGTTGAACCAGGCATAAAACACCTTAGCCCCCTCCAAGACAAAGAGAAAGCCAATTTGAGGTATTCTTTCACGCTGATCAGAACGCAGAATGCTTGCGTTTACAAAATGTAGATCTTCAGCTGTGGCCCATGCTCTCTTCGAGATTTACCATGATTTACGGGCAGAAATCCTTTGGGACCCTTGGTTTCGGGCTAATTGACACCGAGATGAATTCTCTGCCAACATGGTTTGTGGATTTCCAAATATTTCCCCGCAGCCATGAGGTAAAAGCTTTTATGGTGGCCAAAGCGTTAGGAGCTAGACATTGGCTAATGCTACACGGTAAAGCGCCAAGAAGATCAACGATCTAGTCCCGCTCTCGGAATAAAAAAAGGCATCGTAGCCATTGCCTTCCTGTGCCAAGGCAGAGAAACCTCTGGAGTTCTTTGTTCAAGCAAGTCATGAGCTCTTATAGTCGCGCCACTCGAAGTCTGGGCCTGAGCAAGCTAATGCTGAAAATTTCAGTGACTTCGCGGGCACAGATGATATTGTCAAAGATAACTTCGCGGGGCTTCAGCTTACAACAAAAGCGCTACAGTATGCATACGGTATTATCGCAACAAGCGCCATCATAACCAAAGCTACGATGCGAGAGACGACATTAGGGTTACTATCTAATGTCTATACCACGCTAGGTAGATCGCGTTAGAAAGAACTAGTAGGGACTATCGGTGATCATCGTCTGTTGAAGATTTACATTTCATGCGCGTCTCCCCACTAGTCTTCGAATTCTTCTACAGAAACGGGCGAGATCGGTGTGAAAAGCCCAGAGAAATCTGAGTTGATGGGCTATGTTGAAGCATGGATTGCATGTCCTGGACAAGCGGTTGATGTCAAGGTATGCTGTGTATGATTTTCGATGAAGAGTTGACAAATTTAGTTTCATCCACGACCGCATACGGTATCCTCGTCCGCCCTCATCCAAGGCTAGCTCATCCTATGGAGAACGGTTGAATTGCCACTAGTTCGATTCCTCGCCTGCCGGGCTTAGTTAATACCCCACCCCTGCGGCAAAATTTAACCTATCTCCGCCCATCTCCGGTTTGTTGGAGGTTGTTTCTCAAGAGTTTGTGTTCTGCACGGAGAGCTCAAGGGGAAGCGAGAAGACGCAGCAGAACCAGGAGGAAGGAGACCACCAAGGGAAAGGAGCGACTAAGTGTGGTCTCCCAAAGGGAAACCTATCTATCAGCACCTCAGTAACCCACCTGATGAGTTTGTCCCGAGGCAGTTCAACTAATTTTAGCGCCAGCGACCAGTGACCACATTCTCGACTCTACCGTGTGTGTCGACCGTCCCTCTTTTTCATTTACCTAAAAGCTTGACAATTCTCAGAGCTCGAGTCTAGTAGGCGCTATTGAATCGGGGACCCACCGGAGTCTAGACTATTACAAAGCAGGACCTTACGAGAGAGTCCGCCAATTACAACGTTTGGCAATGACACAAAAGACTTCCAGGGCGCTGGTCGTCCAATTGCCATCGTATGATGTCTTCTTGGAAATTACCTAAAATAGTTAAGCTCGTGCCAATTCTAATAGCGACCGCTATTGGCCGTTAGAGTAGAATAGTCAATTTTAAACTTGCAATGAGCAGTACGTGCATGAATAAGTAGGTTGCGTATCCAAGCGCACATGCCATTGGACAATCCGGCCACTTTCAATTACATAAGCACAAGGTCGTCAATTCCCGACAAGCTCCATCCATTTTTTCTTCCCCAGAGGTCTAGGAAAGAGAAGACGATTCTTCGAGTCTTTCCTTCCTGATGGCTGACCGCAGCTTGGCGGTCAGGGCGGTGGCGGCGACGTTTGTATCGATTGCTTTCGTCGCGGTTTGTCTTCGGGTATACTGCCGATCGAGAGTGGTCAAGAGTTTTGGATGGGATGATGGTCTTATGGTGGTGGCCATGGTATAGTGTTTCACTGTCTCTGCGAATAGTGCTAAGACTAATTGTGGTAGCTCTTTTATATCATGTACTCCGGAAGCATGATTGGCGGAAGCCTTTATGGCACCGGGAAGCGATTCGAAGATATAACCCCGAGTAACGCTCTCATGGCGATGAGAGTAAGAAGTTATCAGCGTTTGACCATAATGAACCTCATTAGCTAACCTCCTCCTAGTACTGGTGGCTTTGCGAGATTGGGTACTGCTTCTCTTCCGTCTTCTGCAAAGCCTCCGTCTGCGTCTTCCTGCTCCGAATTACCGTTCGCCGCGTGCACAACTGGATCCTTTACCTTGTCATGTTCTTCACCGTGGCAACAGGGCTATTGTTTATGTTCCTGATGCTTCTGCAATGCCGGCCTCTTTCATTCTTCTGGACCAGAGTCGGCCCCAATCCTCCAACAGATGGCTCATGTATAACCATGGACGGAATTATCGCAATGACCTATGTTTATAGTGTTTTCGCCGCCATCTGCGACTTGACAGCTGGTATTCTTCCCATCTTCTTGGTTTGGAACTTGAACATGGATTTCAACCTGAAGGTTGCCGTAGTCGGCATCCTCGGCCTTGCTTGCATGTCAGTCTCTTTTGGGCCCACAGAACTTCGTTTTGTCTCTCTAATATGTCTGGATTGGTTTCTAGTGCAAGTGCTGCAGTGATTGCTCGATTTCCATTTGTTCAGACCTTTGCCGAACGGGAATTTTTATGTACTGCTGTCCCTTTTAAGTGGCGAGTGCCGTGTTCGATGCATACTGACCATCCTTGAAACCATACAGATGCCACAGTGGAAATTGCTGTCCTGTCAAACGTGGAAAATGGACTTGGAATAACAGCCGGCAGCCTCGCGACCCTCCGCCCTCTCCTTCGCCATATCAAAGGGGGAGTTTCATCTACAGACCACTTAAGTGGATCTACCAATGTCAACTCGGCGCGGCGAAATAATCAGCCAAATGGGCCATTCGGGCTTGTAGAAAGACGAGGCAAACAGGCAAATCAAATACAAACGACTACAGTGGGCGATTTTCATCGGTTGGATGATCTGAATGGGAGTGAAGAGTTCCTCAGGCTAGACAGCGCGCATAAGTTAGAATCCGCCACTGAACGGAATTGAGCTTAGGCCAGCAAAAGTGACAATAAGTTTTAATCATACAGCGTGACAATATCTTCACTTTCCTGAATCACCATGAATTCCTATGGACGTCTACCACTTGGGTATAGGAAAATCTTCAGTGGGTTATTGATGTGCCATGTCAGATCCACCAAGACTCCCGATCTGGCCATGACAAGGATTTTTGAAATTCTCGGCCCTTAGATCCCAATAGTCTTCGTCATGACCTTCCTCGCCCATCGTCGGCATTGCTAAAGAAGTGCTAGACAGTGGTTGGCTCTTTCTTCTCGACGTAAACCAGCGCCCCGAGCCGGCTTGCGGTATAAGCGGACATTAGTAAGAGGAAGGCGACCTAGATTATTTGCCAACCATCTGGATAGGACGTTGTATCTTTTGTCTAGTAGTGACGAAGCACAATATATAGATCATTAATATTCATGATAAGTTTTTCCACCTAGCGTTGTGATGTAAACTTTTGTCCTACATACTAGTACTTATACATCGAGCGGTGAGACATTCCCCCACCGCCTCGAGTGTCCCGCCAAAAAAGTCCCCCAGCGCAGATGAGATAAACCTCCCAACCAACGACAATGTCAATCTCCAAACCAGAGTCAGACGTGATTCTCAATCGTGCCAACGTCGCCCTCGCACGCAGCCAACGTCTCGTTGCATCATGGCTCCCCGCACAAACAGATGAGGAGCTCACCCACGTCAAGTCCGAGGAGGAACTACAAAAAGAAGAGGATGAGATCTTTACTGCAGTGCCTGAGACGTATGTCTTCTTTGCTTTCCTTTGTTCATATATATCGTCATTTCGAATTGCTAACAGGGACTTTTCGAACATGCAGGCTAGGAGTCGGAGCCCCTCTCCCCGAAAAAGCTGCCGATGGAAGCTGGAACCGCACCGAGCTCGGCTCCAACGATAAGCTGCGCAAGCAATTGCTGGGCAAGAATTATGACAAGATTATGAAGGCGGCTGCGGCGAATCAACCGCTACCTTCAAGGACTAGTCCTATGGTTGCGAGGAATAATACGACATCTTCTGCGGGACAGGTCCAAGGTACCGGGAATACAGAAGAGGAAAATGACGAGGACGAAGAGGAAGGGCGTACAGCACTGGTGGGCAAGAAGAAAACCAATAAAAGGAGAGGAAAGGACGATACGAGCCAAGACTTGGCACAGGATCCCGCTGCGGGGGATGCTGAGAATAAGGCAACGCCTGCTGCTGCGGTCCCGCCGCCTTCTTCTCGTGCTGCATCCTCCAAGGGCAAAAAGAAGGCTACGAGTTATTTGGATGAGATCTTGGCTGAGAGGGCCAAGAAGAGGAAGAAGAGGTGAATAATGTGATGGCGTTGAATTCTCACTTTATCATCTCACATTCCTGGGCTTCCCAAGGCCCTCCTCGCCTGCAAGGACGATGCGATCTGGGGGACCCCCAGTCCCAATCCGGGAAATAGTAGTTGCCTTGCTTCAGTTGAACCCGTCCGTCACCTACGACCGACGGCGGGACTAGTTCCGAATAACCGGAGACAGCCCTTCCAGCTACCATCTCAACAGCATGGCCAACCTCGTATACAGACGACCATATTATGTATGGAATTTAACAGTTCAATTCCCCACGATCTAAATGCCTCAAGATTGATTTGTTTTTGCTCCGCCGGACCCAAGGGTATATGATGTTGCTGTGATAAATAAAGTATGAACCCAGAGCCGCGACATTTCTCGTAGCAGTGTGCCTCCTCTCATCCATCTCCCACCATCCACTAAAACAATCGGATATAAAAAAAAAAAATTGGACATCTACAAAAAAAAAAGTGGGCGCGCAGAAACAGAAACCGGAGGCCGTCAACGCTCTCCACAAAAGGGACAGCCAGATTACACTGGCCGTGGGCTGCGTTTCAATTGTACAGGTGGAGTCCAAAGAGAAAGAACAGGGGAGGGAAGGGGCAGGATATAAAAACCCTCATGGTCAAAAATCGATCGAGGGACGTAATATATGGGTGGTGGGCAACGACTGTACCTGTCGTATGCTGAAGATTGCTCGATTATTGTTGACGTGCCCGTTCATTCAAGTCGTTTCCGCTTGCGGTCGTCCGACATGTTCTGGTCCTCATCAGGCCGTTCCGCAGTATCGGCAGGGTTGAGCAAGGAGTGAACATTGCTCGCCATGCTCGAACGGCGTGTCGCCGGCAGCGAGGAATCCTGCCGTGCGAATCGAGAACCTCCAAGTGACCAGCCACCGTCTACGCCAAGCAAGGACGGGGAAGATTCGATGTTCGTCGGCGGGGTGGCATGGCGGGATCGGTCTTGCAGTCGCCGGGAACCACCCATTTCGTACTGAGCCAAAACATCTCGAACTTGCTGGTCACTAGAGGTTGGCACTCGGTGCGGAGATGGAGGCCAAGGGCCAGGACCGGCGTTGCCCAGAGGGAGAGGAGAAGTGCCCGACGGGGGCCAGCCGTGTTGCCGAATGTCGGCAGAGGTATGTCTGCGGGCAAGGTTAGGTCCTTGTGGGGTGGAAACAGACAGAGGATGCGGCATTGCTTGTTGTTGCTGTGGAGCAACCGGGGGGGCCTGCGGTCGATTATAAGTTGCTGACGCATTGGGGCCACCAATCGAGCCATAGCGGCGAGGAGATCCTGCGAGATGCGGCGGAACGGGTGGCCGGATCATGGACTGTCGGCGGCTGTCATCCTGCGGCATTTGGCGAGGTGAGAGAGGCGGTCCGGGTTCGACGGGCATGTTGCCAAAGTACGGTTGGCGTGGAGGCATGAGCGAGTCTTGCGGGGTTTCGAGAGCGCGGATGTTGTCGAGATGCCTCTCCACTTCTCTTTGCATGTTGGAGACTACTGCACTGTCAATAAAATACCAAATCAATGGGAAGAACCCGACATACCATCACGATGTAGAGGACTTTCCCTATCGGGGACGACAGCTAGAAGAAACCGCGAGATCGAGTGCGTCCACTGTGATTGACGATGTTAGCAAAAGCCTCACATCCAGACCAATGCGAACTTACGTGATAGCATTTGGTGAGGCTCTCGGCCATGCCCTGGCACTTCGAGTTCAACGCCACGTTACCCTCCTCGGCGCGCGACAAACGATTGTGCATGTCGTATAGCGAGTGCTCGAGACTCATCAACCGGGCCTCCGTCGCATCAGGAACCGGCTCCGCTGGTGTACCAGGCTGCGATACTGCGGTTTTGTGGCTAGGGAAAGAGTCCCGGTGGATTAAAGCATGCCTGGATGCTCGTCGTTTGATCTCTCGTAGCCCGACCAGGTCGCCGCGTCTGAAATTGCCATTCCCATGCTTGAATTCCCACAGGGCAGAATCCGGGGACCCTGTATGGAACACATCGCTCACTACGGGCATGGATCAGCAAATAATGGAGCAAAGAGATAGAGGAAGCAAACGCACCTTTATGAAACCCATACATATTCAGCTGGCGGACGAACGAGGAGATATTGGTGTGCTTGAAGTACTGACTGCCGGGGTATCAGCAAAATCAAGGGGTTTTCCGGGACAATGGACTAACGCTAGGACTTTGGAAAACTCCGAGGTCGGGGACATGACGAAGCTATCGTTGGTGCTCGACCAGGAGATGAGATGCTGGATACTGGTGTCTTCTAACATGCTGCGGCGATTGTAAGCGGACTAGACCGGGCGCACGGGCATCTGACGCGACAATATAGGGGGGAACCGTACTTGTAGAGCTTATGGATGAAGGCAGTCTGCACGACCTTGGGCTGCTGAGCTGCCGCAGCAGCTCCGATGGCCTGGTTGGGAGCATTGGTATTGGCATCCACCGAGCCATTGGTAGCAACTCCCGGTCGGTCGCCATCGGAGCTGCCATGTGCAGAGGCACCTCCTGCCGACACAGACGAGGCAGCCATCTCTCGCGCGGCAGCGGAATGCGGCCCGGACGACGAAAGCACCGGAAGATTGCGTGTATAGCCCGGGGCGAGTGCAGGCCCGGCGACAGGGTTTCTCACGGTTGGAGGGTCGGCGAAGCTGTTCATTTCATGCGCAAGAAGAGGTGTAGAAGAGGCGGTGGAAGCGAACCCGCGAGAGGCCACCGGGGGAGTGGTGGCGGAGACGAGGAAGGGGGTCGGACGCGATGGCCGTTTACAGCTCGTGCGGGAGGAGAACGTGGGATTCTCGCGGGAGCCCAAGCCAGGCGCAGATCAAGACGCACGAGGGATCGGGAGAGTCATTGCGCGATCGAAAAATTGGATGGCAGGGGTGATGGGAGGAAAGGGAGAGTCGAGGAAGAGAAGTTGAGAGTAGGTGTAAGAGAGAGAGAAAGAGAGAGAGGGAGGGAGGGAGGGAGAGGGAGTTGCAGAAGGGAAGAAGAGCTGCGAAAGCTGCGGGGAAGGGGGCGAGAGCTGAACAGGCCCAGCAATCGGGTCGATTATTACCTCTACCTCCTGTATAACCAACTAACCAGTGATTTATTAGGTCCAAGGTAGTTATCGTGTAAGGTCATCGGATAACTAAGGATATGCCTCTCTTCTCTTTCTCCTTTCGTTTCCTTGCTCCACCCTCCAACGGACTGCCATGGAGCCAGACCCCAACGTTCAGGCCATCATAGCCAGTTTCAGCGCTCTCAGCTCAAATCAGGCGCGTCAAGCTGCGTATGAAACACTCTATCTAGTTGGCGACTATCTGCTGATCAGCCATCCGCAGGTACTCTGGCATCCTGGATCAGCTCGTTCTGGATGAATGGCGCGAGGTGAAGGACCGCATAAATCCCCGGATCTTTCAACGCGACTTGGTCGGCAGCTTGCCTCTAGAGATTGTCGCTTTGATTGTCGAATACTGGGAGCTAGTCGATATCATTCTCTTTCGCAGGGTATGGTCACTGTATGTCCTATCCTGCCTGTTCCAGCAGGCTGACATGCGACTACCGACGTACAGGTTTCGAAGCGATGGCAGGAAGTGCTTTCCTCCTCGATAGTCTGCCGTGCTGCTTATCGGGCCAATACAGGCACCGATGTGTCCTCAATACACTCGCCTTGGCAGTTTACCAAACTCCTTGAGAAGAGAATTCGACAAGAGCGCGGCCGGCCAATCATCGGAGCACACATCAAATGCGCTCAAGTAATACCTCCTAACGTTGCGTCAAAAGCGGTGTTCAATGATGGAGTCTTGGCCTGGATCGAAGAGGAGACCGAGTGCGCCTCTGTCGCGATCATAAACCTGTGGACGGGCAAGCAAGATCGGTTTATGACTGAAAATCGAGATGAACTGCTACTCATTCGGGTCTCCAAAGGGTTTCTAGCGGCTCTCACCATTCAAGGGTATGTTGCTTTCCTTCTATAACTTGGGTACCTTCACGATCTCATAAGGGACTGGCAGTTACTGTCATGTTTGGAACCTTGACTCCCACGAGGAAAAATCCTTCCGACTGCCTTCAACAGACGCTCATTATCACTTCCTCATCAATGGGACCAAAGTTGTTATCGGCTTCGAGAGCTACTTGGTCCACTGGTGTTTCAATTCCGAGGTCACTCGGCAAGTTGAGACTGGGTGTAAGGGCCAACTGGTCGCATTGCACGCTCCGGAAGATCGGATCACGGTGGCTAGTTTGGAGACGAAAAACTTTGAGTTCAAGTTCGACCAGACCTCTAACCTTCAACTGCATGTCCAGAAATTCTCAATCAACGACTCCGGCACAGTCTCCTGCGTGCTCTCACGACGCCAGAATATCTCCTTAGACACACATCTCGTGGTTCGATACCTTGATTTTGGAGAGATAAAAGATGAGACCTTTGGCGGGTATCAGAGCACCACTTTCTTCGAATATGTCAACGAGGAGACTGATCAGGAAGGTTCATGTTTTCTTTCTCTTGAGCCTGATGGGGACACGATCAGCTTTGATCTCCTTCCTGGCAGATTAGGCTCCTCTTCAGTGTTTCCTGTACACAGTAACCTGGCATACTCTCGATCCAACGATACCAAACGGATATGTATCCTCAAATCCATGCTTTGGAAGCCTGGTGTACATCGATACTCTATGTGCGGTTCAGGCCTCCCCGGGGAGAACTACTCGATGTGCGCAGACAGTGATTTCGTTGTGCTTTTCGACCAGTACGGTCTGCAGATATGGGCCTTTGACGAAAAATGGGTGCCTCCGGAAGTTCCAGGCTTGGTGGTCTGGCGGCCTGGCCGAGACATGAGCGGGAGATGTTACGGGAAGAATTCCGTTCGGGAACACCGGCAGGGGAGAGAACAACCAACCGAAATAGAAGACCATGTATAGGAACAGACCATGACTGGCTATCAACATCATTTATTATGGCGAGGATCCAGAATAGGAGACATTCCTATCATCTACGGGCAAGCAGTTAAACAATCAAACTCGCACATCCCCTTCCAATTAGGAAATGATATAGAAAAAAAAACCCCTAGGAACACACAAGAATACAGTGACAAAAGAAAGATAATGACACAAGAACGGCCGGGATTCAAAACAAGGATTTCTAGTATGTGGTGTCACTGCAAATCACGAGTGACTCGTCCTTAGATGCCCAGGGTGAACTCGACGCCAACGTCGATATCCCGGGCCATCTTGACGACCTTGGAGAATTGGACGGACTTCTCGGCGGCGTTCTGGAGGTCCTCGATCGAGAAGATCTTCAGGCCGGACTCGTTGATCAGCTTGTGAGCCTGTTCCATGTTGGTGCCCTGCAGACGGGCCACAATCGGCGTGCGGAGACCCATGTCCTGCACGACGTTAATCAGACCCTGGGCAATGGCGTCACAGCGCACGATACCGCCGAAGATGTTGACGAAGACGGCAGACACCTTGGGGTCGCTGGTGATCAGCTCGAAGGCGCTCTTGATAGCCGCCGGGGTGGCACCACCACCGACGTCCAGGAAGTTGGCGGGGCTGCCGCCGTTCAGCTTGATGATATCCATGGTGGCCATGGCAAGACCGGCGCCATTGACCAGGCAGCCGATGTCACCGTCCAGCTTGATGAAGTTCAGGCCGTGCTCGGCAGCCTTGACCTCATCAGCGTCCTCCTGGGTGGTGTCGCGCCACGAGAAAGCCTCCTGCTGGCGGAACTCGGCGTTGTCGTCAAAGCTCAGCTTGGCGTCCATGGCCAGGACCTGGTGGTCCGAGGTCTCCGACAGAGGGTTGATCTCGATCTGAGTAGCATCCCGCTCCATGAAGCACTTGTAGAGGTTCTGGATGGCCTCCTTCGCCTCCTCGATGCACTGTGAAGAGAAGCCCAGGTCGGTGGCAATGGTGCGCGCGATGTCGTCGGTGACACCAACGTTGATGTCAATAGGGGTGGTCAGGATGGCGTCGGGGTTCTCCTTGGCGACGGTCTCGATGTCCATACCACCCTGCGACGAAGCGACAATGACGGGGGACTGGGTACCACGGTCCATGAGGACAGCGAGGTAGAATTCACGGCGGGCAAACTTGCGCTCGCAGATGTACACTGAGTTGCAGATACGGCCACCAGCACCGGTTTGCTTGGTGACGAGCTTGTGGCCGATCATCTGTTCGGCGAACATCTTGGCCTCGGTGGAACTGCAGCACGGCACAGTCAGTAGTCTTTCAAGCACCATCGTCGAAATCCAACTCACGAGTAAATCACCCGGACACCGCCCTTCAGACCATTGTCAAATGTACCCTTACCACGGCCACCAGCCAGAACCTGAGCCTTGATCACCATGTCATCGTTTCCTATTATCCCTGTTAGCCTGGGGCGCGGCGAAAACAACAGGCAGGATAAGCATACCGATCGACCGCGCAACGGCCTCAGCCTCTTCGGGAGAGCGAGCAACCTCGCCCTTGGGGACACCAACGCCGTACTGCCACCTCCGTCAGCAACAAATTAGGGTTAAAAGAATCTGCGACCGCAAGATTCGACGAGGGTTGTACGTACAGACTTCAGGAGCCTGGCGGACAAGTATTCGTGGATAGAGAGGTTGCGCTTTTGCTGCAGAGCCAGTCTGCTCTGGACGGAGGACTCCTGGGGTGCAAGTTGGCGTCAGTAACGATCATCTACCGAGACGCGGCCCGATAGACCAAACGGCTCGGGAAGAATAGATTCTCACCGTCGCGGCCCTGAAAGCGGCAGCAATTGGTCTGCTGCGAGCGAGCTTGAACATGATGAATGATGAAGAAGGAGAGGAGAGTTTGAAACAAGGGCGGTGGTATAAGGGGCCCTTTGGGGTTGTTTTGGGGGGAGGGAGGAAGATGATGATTCGGGAGAACAGCTTTCTTTTTCACGGCTTCTCGGGACGATGGCTGTGGCGGCCTGAGGCATCACAAGTTGGGCGACCAGATAGCCAATCAGGGGGGTGCCCTGGCCTGACTCAGCGGGTCCATCGGGCGTAGCAGGAAGAACAATGACGGCGGTAGAGATGCTATGGAGTGTGGCTTCTAGTATATTACAGGGATAGAAGAAGAGGAAATGGGCCTAAAATGTGCTTAAGTGTGCATGGAGAAAGATGTACAAGGTTTTTCTACTTTTCTTGTCTGATATATATATCTCTCTACTTGTACTCATGGGGATATACATCTGTTGACCGTCGATAAACAGTTATCCTACGGTATACGGTGCTAGAAAACATATACCAACACAGCAATATAAAATAAAGAGTACTTCTCTAACTTGATACACACTCGAACCTCATTTGCGCACGCCCTTAAGCTTGTACAACTTAAACATGTTGGTCATAAGCCGACCAAAAAGCCCGGACCACGCCCAGCCTCCAGCAAGGAACCAGATCACCCAGCTGCGATTGCCCTCCCAGACCCAACTCTTGCGCCCACGCGCCCACGGCCACAACCAGCGCCACGGCGCCGATCCATACAGCACCTGCGCGACCACGCTGCGAGCATAGGCCTCATGAGGCATGGCGCCATCCTGACTGTGCGTCACGCGGCGGTTATACTCGGCCTCGATGGGAGAGTACATCGAATTCGGCCGGAGAGTCCGCTCGGTACGTGCGATTCGAGACTGGACGCCACCGGTGACTATAGTGGTGACATTGACGCTGCATTTTTCTATTAATGACGGCACAGAGGATGGGACAAAGCATGACGTACCCGAATGGAGCCAGCTCCACACGAAGAGTATCACTGAACGAGTGCAATGCGGCCTTGGAGGCGTTGTAAACGGATCCAAAGACATACGGGATGATCTAAGAAGTCAACTCAGTACATCTTTAACAAACCAATGAAGAAGACCCACCCCAGCTACAGATCCAATCTGGACAATTGTGCCTTTGGCCTTGATCAGGAGTGGCAGGAATGCCTGGCACATGGCGATGACGGCGACGACGTTGGTCTCAAAGGTCTTCCGGACCTCGTCCAACTCAACTTCCATGGCCGGGACCGTGTAGTCTACGATGCATCAGTTGGGAGATATTCAACAAAAGAAAGTCTTATTGGACGGACTTCGACCACTATTATTTTTTTTTTTCAGCTATCAATAGTCTCTATACAGGTATAGAGGGATCACTCACGCATTGTTTACGAGATAGTCCAGACCCTTGTCTCCAAGCCTGGACTCTACGTCCGCAAAACAGCTCTTGATGCTGTCTGTGTCATCCACCACCAGACTTAGGGTCTCGATGCCAACGTCGGCCAAGTCTGAAATGGTGGTAGCACTCCGGGCGGTCGCAAACACGCGCAGGCCCCGGCGATGAAACTCACGCGCGAGCGAGTTCCCAATGCCGCCGGGAGAGCATCTGTGATTCTTGTCAGGAAGGATATCCCGCACGATATGGAGCTAGTCACTCACCCTGTGATGAGCACCGATCGGCGAGTATCTGTAACCCCAGGCATGATTGCAAAGATGAAGTTGTTTAGTTCCGGTCTCTATGACGATAGCTCAGGAGATGCCTCGGCATACATCCCGTGACTGGACCCGCCCTAAACCCTGTCCGCTTTACTGATGTAGTTCAGGGCGCTTGGCATTTTGGGTCAACATGTATCGTCGTAGAAATTAAGCTATATTTATTTACATCTCATCTCATAGATACCTGCCAAGACGCATTCCACACACCCAGTTATGTTATGCATGGCATCATCCTCTGCGGCACCTATTATTATCTCAGCGGCTGTGCCGATTCCCGAGGGAACCAAAAAAGATCAGCACCATCGCCACGTTGGACTGGCTCATTCGCCATGGATTTAACCTTGTCTTATATACTGCACATAACTCCCCCGCGCGCTACCATCTACCCGCATCTTGGTTTTCGTTCATCATTTCATGGCTGGACAGGCTATTCTTAATTAATGCCCGCGGCCAACGACACTCCAAATCGGGTTCTCCGCATGGGGCCGGCTGGATTAGCTTTTTTAAAGAGCCACCCCGGTCGATTGGGTGCGGTTTTTTTTTTCTCATCTCCTGCACTCCCTCTCTGAACGTGCTTTTTTGTTCTTTTGGCCACCGCTGGGGGGCGGTTAGTTGGCACAGACACGATAAGGCTTTGGTCCAAACTTAGGAGCATTGGGACTCACCATGACCGACCTTTTGACTATCCGGCACAAGAGAAATCCCGGCGACGATGGCTATCGGACTCCCACCATCGAAGATGCCGAGCGGGCGTTGTACCTGGTGGACCCGGAAGACAGTCCCGGCAGTAGAGTACGGGATGTCCATACGACTGCGCTCGAGGCCGCGCTGCTGAATGTGCCATCACGCCCAACTGATGGAACGAACCGTCTATGTAAGGAATTGCATGGTGGACCGGCGTATGATGGCGAGACTCTCTCTCGGAGAAGAACCGATGCGTCAGCAACGAGTCTCAGTTGGAAGAAGCGAATTCGGCACGTTACCTGGGCTTACTTTACCTTGACCATGGCCACAGGTGGCTTGGCCAATGTCCTATATCAAGGTAAAGACATATCAAAAAAAGTATAGAAGAATTGGCTAATGGACGTGCAGTACCCTACCGGTTTCCCGGTTTGAAAACCATTGGGGATGTTGTCTTCTTGATCAATATTGCGCTATATCTCATGGTTTGGGGTCTTCTGATCGCAAGATTCTACTATTATCCATATACATTCAAGGCATCTTTCCTCCATCCAACAGAATCCTTGTTTGTGCCGGCATCAGTTGTGTCCTTTGGAACGATCTTGATCAATATATCCCAGTACGGGGCCGGCAGCACAGGGGAATGGTTGCAACGAGCAGTGGGAATTCTGTTCTGGATTGATGCCACACTTGCGGTGATGTTCTCGGCGGGGATCTACGTTCTTCTGTATGACTCCCATCTCTTTACGAAGAAGACAATACTGACCTGTTCCAGATGGTCAACCCAGACCTTTACCATTGCACAAATGACTCCAATCTGGATCTTCCCTGCGTACCCTATGCTTATCATCGGACCTCATGCTGGCGTCTTGAGTGAGAAGCTCGAACCGTCGCGGGCCCTCCCTATCATTATTGGCGCCACGACAATCCAAGGCGTCGGGTTTTTGGTCTCGCTGATGGTCTACTCGGCCTTTATCTACCGACTCATGACGCAGAAACTCCCGAAGGAGAATGTGCGCCCTGGTATGTTTGTGTCTGTGGGACCTAGCGGATTTACCGTCGCGGGGATAGTCAATATGGCCGCCCAGGCGAAGCGGTGCTTCCCAGCTGATTTTATGGGGAACGGACCGCTGGCGGCCGATATAATTAAGGTGGTTGTGGATTTTGCAGCGTTGTGGTTGTGGGGGTAAGCTATTCTCCATTTCATCTACTCTTCATAACTAACGGGCAGCCAGGTTGGCGATATTCTTCTTCATAATCGCAAGCTCAGCACACATGTCAGCCATCGGACCAGGTCGCATGGTCTTCTCGATGACTTGGTTCTCGTTTGTGTTTCCCAACACTGCACTCATCACCGCCACATTTGCCATAGGCAAGGCCTTTTCCTGCAAAGCCATTAATATCGTGGGCTGTGTTGCCGTTTTCCCGTTGCTATTGATGTACTTTTTCGTCTGCTATATGATGATCCGGGCTATCGTTCTGCGCCATATCCTGTGGCCTCAGAAAGGAGAGGATCGTGACGAGGGTGGGTTTGAGATTCATCAGATCCAACCTGATGCAGAAGTTGAAGGGGACACTGCTGTTTAGTTCCGACGTCATGGCGTGCGCCACAAAAAGTGTATATACGCTAATACCCCGTTGCATATTTACAGCATCTACCATGCATAGAATGACAAGCAATTCGTCAAGTACCCGGTGTGCATTGACCTATGTACTTCCCAACCCTATTCAATCCCCACCTTATTCCAATCCCAACCCTAGTCAATCCCCAGCTTATTCCAATCCGAACCCTGTTCCAATCAGACTAACCAGCCTACGAAACAGTAATGCTCGCGGATCCACTGCTCTCATATCCCTCGGTCGAGACAATTTGATAGTCAAAATCGCCCATTTCCATGCCAAGAGCAGCCCAGGCATCGAAGTGGTTGGAAGTGGTGACGGTACCGCTGGATCGCTTGCTTTGACGGATCGACCAGAACTGGTTGAAGGTGGACGTGCCGCTGATCGAGGGCTGGTCGACCTGTAGACGTACTGATTAAGAACAGAACTATCTTCAGATGGCCTATAACAATCACTAACCTGTTGGTGGGAGTAGATATCGTACGTTCCACCGTCACTGGTCACAGTGCCCATGTGGGTCATGCTGGAGCCCGGGTCGTAGTCGCCGTAGCTTTCCATGATGTAGTATTCAACCTGGGGGTTAGTGGTCCAGCCATAGACGGACAGATAGGCGTTTCCACTTGGACTAAAGGTGCCAGAAAACGTAATGGCCCTAGGGAGGTGCGCGTATGCACGTTAATGAGATTGTTCATACAGGCCTTTCGAACCACTTACTGAGCACTGCCCGGATTCCAGCCTTTTCCGCAGGTAAAGTCACCGCCGTTGGCGTTGGACCAAGTGACGCTGTATTCACCAGCATCGCCGTTGGTATAGTCAACAGTGCCATCTCCATTGGTCCAGAAGGAATAGTAGTAGCCGTTGTTGGTGCCAGTCTGGCTGGTGGTGATCGCCTGACGCTTAGACAGCTCTTTTGGGGCCGCAAGGACACCGGAAAGAGTAGCAAGGCCCAGGGCTAGCTTGGAGAAGGACACCATGGTGAATGATAAATGAGATGAGATAGTTTGTGGAGGAGTTTCAGTCTTGAGCCTGGGGTTTGAACGGTAAACACGTCGTGAATTTATAGATCTCTCCGGATATTCGTCAGGGGCATTAGGCTTAAATTGTAAACAACGATGAACAGCCATGAACAGCCATGAACAGCCATAAAAGCCATGAACAGCCAGAAACAGCCAAAAACGCCCGAATATACCCAACAGGTTAGCCCGGGGCTCTTGAAACGCCTTTAACCGGGGACATCAGACCAAGACCTGGAGACCCCGCATTTCCGAGGTTATGGCTTTTTTTGCAGATTATGAAGTCTCAGCCATGATAGTTAAAATAAATGATGGCATACTACTACTACCACTACAATAATAGTGGTAATATTAGTAGTAGTAGAAGTATCGCAGTATATAACTATGCCTCTCTATGATCGCATTGATAAGCCCCCACAGTCGGTCGGCCCGATAAAGACGGATTCCCAATTTTTTCTTCCTTCTTCCCTTTCCTTTCCCTCGGCTGGTAATCCTTGACTCTCCTGGCACTTCCTACGTACCCAGTACAGGATATTAGCCTGTGCATTCTCCCTCTATCCCTGCAGTCTGATCACCCGTCCGGTTCATAACCGCCGCCATGTCGCAGAAATTCTATGTCACCTACAACCAGGTCCGATCCCACCACCACCATCTCAGGCAAAACTGAATGAACTTTCCCTGATGTGCTCTAGGTCCACAAACTCTGCCAGGAGTCCGGGGACAAGATCCTGAAAGAGTTCCACCCCAATCTCATGATCGCCATCGGCGGTGGTGGTTATGTGCCTGCCCGCATTCTCCGGTCTTTCCTCAAGCGCCCCGGTGACCCCAACATCCCCATCCAGGCCATTGGTCTGTCGCTGTACGAGGATCTGGGTCGTGGGGACCCAGAAGAGACCCCCGGCACCAAGGTCACTCGCACGCAATGGCTGGATCTGTCCGCGCTGGAGATGGCCAACCTGATCGGCAAGAACATTCTGATCGTGGACGAGGTCGATGATACCCGGACGACGCTGGAGTATGCCGTGCGCGAGCTGCAGAAGGATGTCGAGCTGGCGCAGAAGCATCTCGGTCGCGAGGGCGAGAAGACCAACTTCTTCGTGTTTGTCCTGCACGTACGTCCCATTTCTCTCTCTCCCCCCCCATATCATGGGCGTATACTGACTTCGGGTTAGAACAAGGACAAGCCCAAGAAGGGCGCTCTGCCCAGTGATATGATGGAGAGTGGCAGGTACCACGCCGCGGTCACCACGGGCGATGTGTGGATCTGCTATCCTTGGGAAGCCAAGGACATTGACGAGCACGATGCCCTGGCCAAGGCGCACCCCGTTATCTAAAAAAGCATTGAATTGGTGGTCCATTTGGCTGTTTCTCCGAGTTGCACACAAAAATACATAGCCCCAGGACATGTCCTGTTACGAAGACATCCGATGAATTGATTTACAGAAAGGGAGAGAGAGTGTGTGTGTGTTCAAGGTTGTAGCATTCGGTCTGGTAATTGGTATAGTCGGAGGAATAGGTAGATGATTGTGCCGCTTAGTCCACGTCCACCTTGCCCTGGCGCAGCTCAATCTTGGCCTGTTCAATCTCTTTCTGCAGCTCCGCGTGCGCCTCGGGGACGTCGTTGAAGGTGAAAATGGCGACACCGAGCCGGCCGAGTAGGTAACAACCGAAGACGATCACCGCATAGAAAGGCAGCTAGAGTGAAGAAAAAGGAGGCATCAGTGGTTGTTATTTTTCCTTGGCCGGATCGGGGAAGGGAGAGCTGCAACGTACCACGGGGATGACCTCGGTCTGTAGGGTCTCATTCAGGGGCACAAGGCCCAGATAGAGGGAGAGGTAGAGCTGTGACACTGTAAGCTAGAGTCACAGAGAAAAGCTGTTTGAGCTATCGGATTGGTGGTGGCATACCGAGGACACGAGCAGGAGCACGGAGAGGGTCTGTTGAGCGCGCGTCATGGTGAAGAAGTCGGTCGGGGGATTCAGAGAAATGGTGATGGCAGATAAAATGTCGGAGTCAATTGAGCAGCACCAGACCAATATCCTCCCTAAACGCGTCGAGGGGTGCGTCAGTAGTTCCGTCTGCGGTGAGAGTTGAAGGAGGAAGAAGATCAGGCCAGTTGGGCCGATGCGCTTCTTGGCCGGACGGGCCACACCAGTTAGTTACTATACATGAATTATTTAGAATACAACATTGACGAGAAGTATTATTAGTTATCAAATAATAATGAACTCGCTATTACGCACACGTTGAATATTATTATTATTATGATTTACGTGTAGCTCCAAGGGATGTGGATGCCTGACAGCCTCAGGCAGCACTGAACAGTGAAGTAGTTCAGTGATGACCGAGAATAATAGGTGAACTAAGAAGGTTATCTCCCTATCATGAACCATCGTCCCCGTCACGCCATATTATTACTTAGTCAGTTAGCTGCTAACTATCACTAGTTAACCAAAGTTCTTCCCCTTGCTCTGCCCGACCCAGCCAGACCCGCCCCACGAACCCAACTTTGAGCTCAACCAAATGCTTGGCTGTTTTTGACCCTCTCCTTTGTGGCTGCTGGCTCACTTGGACGTCCCCCTGGTCAACCATTTCATCCCCTGGAGATGTCTGCTTCAGGTGGGATATCGACCACCGGTCACGGTGCTGCCAACGGTTGGGTGCTTCCTCCCGTTGAGCAGATCACCGCGGAGCTGTCACCGTCTCCCCCTTCTTTAACAAAGGGCACAGAGACCATCGATTCAGAGGAGCAGAAGGAAATGTTCTGGAATGTGCAGAACATCATCCAAAAAGCCGACGAAGGGACTAGCTACGACTTGAAGGAACTCCATGCCTCGTTGGAGCAGGCAGATGCAGATTCTCGGCGTGGCGGACGCAATGTCGAGTCCTTGGACGAGGTGCGCACCATTCTATATAAGCTTTGGTCCTGCAACTCGGAGTATCTGGCTCAAACTGCCGAGGCCTTGGCCAACGGGAGTCGGGATTGTTAGTTTCGTTTACCTCAGAGATGATATCCCCAAACTGACCATTTTCTAGCGTCATGGCGTGCTCCATACGGCCAATCGGGAATTTTGAAATTCTTCCTGGAGGTCATCGCCTCCACGGACGAGATTGGGACCGATTTACTGCTTCATTCTTTGCGGCTGGTTGGGAACTCCTGTGCCGATACAGGTATGCTTTTATCTCGGCTTGTCCATGGACAGAAATTAACACCATGACAGATGAAAATCGCGAAATTGTGGTCAAAGATAATTATACTTTGGCTATACTCCGGTATTTCCTTAACCCAGCCTTGGTCTTTGTGGCTATACCAGTGCTATACAACATTTGCATGGATTTCGGTGAGGATTCATACCATTTGCACAATATGATTTGCTGACGAGACCCCAGAGCCTGCACATGCTCAGATGGCGGCGAACAAGACGGCATATATACTCTTATCACTTCTGAGAGGTGGAAGTGCCATCCAGGAGAATGATGCTTTACTGGAGTACGCGTATGACCTGATCGAGCTGGCTACCGAACAAGGCGTTGAACAGTCTCCTGATGGGACGGTACTGCTGCTGACGGAGCTCGCTCTTGACACCGACACGACCTTGCCCCATTTTTCGACCTCGGTGAACAGTCTCAGCACTTATCTGGAGAAGGAACGGTTCCAAAATGCCTGCGTATCAAACGACATGGTTCCACAACTACTGGAGATTCTCCAGCGGTCATTCACAATTGAGGTGGACCAATCTTCCAGCGAAGACACTCAGACTCTATCTCAGCTCCGACTGAAGATAAACCAGAGCTTGGGCGAAGTCTCAGCCTCATCATTGTTCGCAGAAAAGTACCCACTGGACTCAGAGCTTGCACAGAAACTGAAGTCATGGGTAATAGCCTCCGAGGATCAGCTCCAGATCTGTGCCTGCGTCATGCTCGGCAATCTCGCCCGCTCGGACGAGGTCTGCACGGCAATGGTACGGGATCTGAAAATCCACGAAGAGCTGATCTCTGTTCTCCGGAGAAATAATGCCCGCGCCGCAGTCTTGCACTCTACTCTGGGTTTCTTGAAAAACCTCACAATTGCTGGTGATAACAACAGGCTCAGTCTTGGTGTTGCGGGTCTCATCCCCGCCGTCTCGCGACTATGGGAGCTTGAATCTGTCCCGCAAGTCCAGTTTGCGGCTGCTAGCATTGTTCGCCAGATCATTATCTCCTCGATGGAGAATATATCCCGTCTTCTTGCTCCGTTCGAGCAAGAAACTGACTCCTCGGGGAATAGTCAAACATACCTGTCCCTGTTATTGTCTCTCTTTAATAAAACAGACTCCTCGCCTATCAAGACAGAGATTGGACGCACTATCGCGTCTATTTGCAGAACGCTCAGTCCCAAGTCTCGCGATGGAGACCAGGTAGCCTCCTCTCTCCTTGATCGTCTCTACAATCAGCACGAGGGCATTGCGCGGCCCGTAGGCGCAATGATCACTCAGGCGCAGTGGCCCGTCGTCCGCAGCGAGGGCTGGTTCGCACTCGCGCTAATGGCGACTAGTCACGCTGGTTGTGTCGCGGTCTCGGACTGTTTGCAAAATACAGAGGTTTCTGAGGTGCTCCAAAAGACCATGAGTGATGATACCCTTGGAGACAATGAGGAGACGAACCCGGCGCAAACAGCCAAGGATCGGGATAACATTGTTGTTCTCGTGCAGGAATTGCTGAAGAATGAGGTATGTGATTTTGGTCCTGCAATGTCATCATAAATACTGATTCGAATGTAATTAGTCTGGCGCCCTGCCCACGGATTATCGGAGTATAATGGAGGATATGATGAAAAATCATGCCTCACAGCATTTGATGAGCACCAAACAAGACTGAGAACAAGTCGGGCGTTGGCATAGACAGGCCTAACAGATCGCGATGAAAAGAAAGTAGAACTGCAATGAATTCTATCCTCTAAATAAACCACATAACACGGAGTATGTACCAAACGACTGGGTATATGCGCGCTGTCTATCAGATCCACCCTCTATCATCTGCTCGCGGTTATGCCATCTGCAAACACACATTCTCCTGCGCATATGCTCGGTACCGCTCTACAAGATCCGTAGAGTCAAGGCCGGCAGCGCCTTGATGAGAAGAATAGTGTGACACAAGACCTTTCCCGTCAATAGCGACGCGCGGACGACTGCCATCAGGTCGAACCCACTTTTGCAAAAGCTCATCTTGACCCGAGTCGCTGCGGCGAAAGATATCACGGAGTTCCTCCGCATCATTTCCCCAAAAGCAGCCAAAATTCTGGCTGATCGGTTCTGTCGGTTCCACCCAGATCGGGAATTTGTAGCGATTGAGATTCCCCGCCTCGAGATGGTGCAGGAAAGAGTAGTGCTGTTGAGCACCAACTGTCCAGTCTTGTAGCGTTGGTCCAGTGTCGGTGTAGACAGATGCGGCGATTGGGTCTCTATTAGAACTTGGATCTGAGGGTATCAGCCACCGATGGCCAAGGAATGGCGGCGAGAAGCCCTTCTCAATTTTGAAGCTTGGCGGCCCTTCCCAACGGGGAAGGCTTGAGGCGCGCCAGTCGTGTTCCAGCTGTGACTTTGACCTTGATGGTTGTTCGACGTGGTACAGTTCGGGGAGATAGGGAAGAGCAATGCCCGGGTGGCTGTGGAGCGAAGCCACGGCGGCTTCGTTAACCACGTTCGCGGACACCATTAACGAATCAGGATTGTCGAGCTTGGTCTTGACAATTGTGGGAATAGCCTGATCCTCGAGGAAGACAACATCGCCGTCAATGCGGATGTACATCACGTTGTTCTTTGCAACCTCCCAGTCCTCCTCATTTCCCGCAGCAGACATTGAATACGCGGAAGTTTTCTCCACGATGTCGGCAACCCAGTCCAGGCTGTCCGTGTTGTTGGTTTGGGGAATGAAGACCACTTCGTCGAGGAAACCATGGTTGCCGACCAGGTTTTTCTGGGATGTGTTAGAGCAACACCAGAGATTTATTGTCAATGTGCCTTACCTGCAAATAACAGTCCAGGATCTCAGTGCGCTCATGGTTTGTAACGGGCACCAGCGCGACAATCTTGAAGCCCTGCGGTTTGGCAAAGTGCCCTGAGCCGCTTGAAAAGGCAAAGAAAGGCGACAGATCTTTGCGAAATAGCAGTGACAGCAAGTCAAGCGGCAGCACCGAAGGACTGAAATAGCTTAAGACGGTCGCGATAATACACATGTAGCCCAAGATGCTCCACATCAGCACTACCCCCAGTCGCGCCAGCAGGAGGTCTTTGTGGTCTCTCGGTTGGACTCGACGTCACGGTTGATCGATATACGGCCCATGGTGAAGTACTCGAACGGCAGGGTTCAAGAGGGTGTGAGAGATGAAGAGTGCGGCCACATGCTGGCCGCAGGCTAGGGCGGCCAATTTAATTGCTACATCGTCCAGTCTTTGATACCTCAATAAGACGGCCAGGGCACCCGGAAACGGGGCAAGAACAGCAGTTCGCGAGGACGGGGAGTCGCTGCAAAACAACCATGATCGACAGCTGCCGAACAAAGAACCAGGCACCACCGGATCAGGCAAGGCGCTAGAGAGGGAGCGGATAAAGGAGCCCGGGGATTCGAGGAATGTCTTTCTCTCTGGAATGTGGGTCATGACGGGTTCGGGAAGCGACCCTGGATGAGACATGCGGGAGGCATGTTGCGAGCCATGCTGTTCCTGATCATCCAGTCGTTGTTGTGAGTAGTGGTTGCCGAGGAAGAATCATGGTGTGTTGAAGTAGAAGGAGCCGTAGAAGCAGAAGCAGCAGCAGGAAACGTGAAATGACGTCACGTGCCGATCACAGGCCGAGTCTCCTCTTATCGATGATTCCCTTCTTTGTTTTCCCATTATTGACCAACACCGGCCGCATGAGATCATGAGGGCGGCCGTCCTCGCCGCCCGTTTTTGCTTGAAACACAGGAGTCTGCCCCTGCTCCGTCGGTTTCCACAACAACCAATATCACGACGTCTCGGAACATCATGGGCGCAGACGCCGAAACTACCCCGGAGGAGGGGACCCTTGCTCGTCGGGGCGGTGATGGTGGCTTTGAGTCCTACCGCCTTCCTTAAGTTGGCCGAAGACACGACGGACAATGAAAAGACTGGGGAGATGCAGATGCTTGAGGCCTCGCGCGCAGAGGTCCGGAAAACAGTCCCGGCCGACGCACATGGCCTATCCAAGTTCTGCCGCTCGGTGTATGTCTTCTGGTATTGCTATATCTATGATCCAATTGCGACAGGCTTCCGGTTTCTGCATCTGGCCTTCATCTTCATTCCTGTCGTCGTGACGGTGCCCGCAATATGGCTGGGCCCCAGGGTTCGAACCAAAGATGGAGCGCGTACTGGGACAATTTGGTGGTATAAGTTCCTGGTCAACGCAATGGAGCGTGCAGGGCCTGCATTTATCAAGGTGAGTAGAAACCTCGTTTCCTCGAGAAAGCTCTCGATCAGCAGCAGCGACTAAAGATTGTTTGTATAGCTTGGACAATGGGCTGCATCGCGGACCGACATTTTCTCGCCTGAAATGTGCACTATCATGTCATCACTCCATTCAAATGCCCCGGCGCATTCTCTGCGTGATACCAAGCGCATCATCCAAAAGGCCTTCAACGGCCTTCCCTTTGAAGACATATTCGAGGAGTTCCAAGAAGAACCATTGGGGGTTGGGGCTATTGCGCAAGTATACAAAGCGAAACTCAAGTCAGATCTGGCTGCAACCGATGACCACGAACTTGGAGAAGAGCCGGAGACGCTGAGCTCAAGGGTTCGCAAGAATGTCGACGTGTTGGTGAAGAGTACACCGCAACGAGTGCCGTCGTCCTACGTGGCGATCAAAGTGCTCCATCCCAAAGTCGAGCGGCTGATCCGCCGAGATCTGCGGATCATGTCGTTCTTTGCCTCGCTCATCAATGCTATTCCCACGATGCATTGGCTGTCTTTCCCTGATGAGGTCCAGCAATTCGGCGAGATGATGAGATTACAACTGGATCTTCGAATCGAAGCGACAAACCTAGTCAGGTTCCGCCAGAACTTCAGGTCCCGTACGACCGCCTGGTTCCCCTACCCTTACCTGGAGTACACGACGCGGGAGGTGCTGGTGGAGGAGTTTGCGCAAGGTGTCCCTCTAGCCACCTTCCTGGAAATCGGAGGCGGTGTCTATCAGCACGAAATTGCCAACGAGGGCTTGGATGCCTTCTTGCATATGCTGCTGATCGACAACTTTGTTCATGCAGATTTGCACCCTGGCAACATTATGGTTCGATTCTATAAGCCCAGTGAACTCGATCTGTCGCTCCGCAAGCATTCGCGCGCCACAGATGCCCCGACTCGAGCAGAGGTTGATGTGACCGAAGCTGTCCTGGCACGATTACGACCGCATACAGACAACGTCAAGCACTGGGAAGGCGCCCTCGCCCAGCTCAATGATGAAGGCTATCGCCCACAATTGATCTTCATCGACACCGGTCTCGTAACTGAGCTGAACGAGAAGAATCGCCGGAATTTCTTGAGCCTATTCCGCGCCATCGCCGAATTCGATGGCTATAGAGCCGGCGAGCTTATGTGCGAGAGATCACGCACACCCGAAGAGGTCATCGACCCGGAAATCTTCGCTTTGAAGATGCAACACCTTGTTCTGAGTATCAAGTCCCGAACATTTGCGTTGGGGAATATCAAGATCGGCGACGTCCTTAGTGAGGTGTTGACCATGGTTCGCAGTCATCATGTCCGGTTCGAGGGCGATTTTGTCAATGTCGTCATTTCCTGTCTCCTGTTGGAGGGCATCGGACGCAGCCTTGACCCGAATTTGGACCTCTTCAAGAGTGCGCTTCCTATACTCCGACAACTGGGTTCTGGTGGCACATTCTTGCAGACTGTTCGCTCGGGCGACACGTCCATGCTCCGGGTTTGGGTGGGCTTGGAAGCCCGCGGGTTACTGCAGGCCAGTATCGAGAGCGTTGAGCATTGTGTCAAGTATGACCAGTTGTCCCCGAACATATAGATGTCTACGCTTTGTGTCGTGACGCCTTGCACTAGTCACTGCTATTCATCAAGGTGGCTGCATGATCATCTCCTTTTCTGTTTATACGATCCATTCTACTTTTTCCTGTCAGTATACGATCCATACGTCTATGGTTAGATCTGAAGATTAGATCAAATCCAGATAATCCAAGCATTGAAAGAAGCAACTGGAAAAGAGAATATACAAACGTCTGATTGTACACATGCCTCGGTGGAGTCAAAAGGAGATAAATATAAGACACAAAGAAGCAACAAAATATTAACATCCCACATACACATCAAGTCCCTCCGAAAAACGCCGCGCAATGGTTGTTGAGATGTACAGAAATAGAGTGGAGAAGTGATCATTACGAGTGTGAAATCACCGTTGTTCCCGGACCGCAGCACCGCTGGCCCTCCACCAGACATCACCTCCCCACCTCATCAGCCGTTCCACAGCAGCCGTAGGCGAGTCAAGGGCCGGTCGGATATCGAGGTAGAAGACCGGCTCGCCCGTTGGCTCAGGGGGTCCAGAGTAATAGTCGATCACATAGCGAACTTCCTTCGGGCCCGAGGGCGTCATGCGCTGAACGTACCAGTCGTGTCGATCAAATGGTGGTTCGGTACTGCAAAGAGAGATAGATGTCAGCGAGCGTTTGGAAATTGCGTGTTGGTGAGTAACAACTCACTCAAACTTAGCCGGGCACACCCAGCCCATCGTCTGCAGAATGCGCGCCTTGGGCGTCAACTCCCGCGGCCGACCCTGAAATTTGATCAGACGCGGTTCAGAGGCTTTATCCACCGTGCCCGTCATCTCAGCCTTGGCCAACTCAGCACTCAGATTCTCCTCGCCTCGCCGGCACTTCTCCCAACCCTCCTTGAGACCTTTGGCGAAAACGCGCTCCCAGCTAATAATCTCATTCCATGCTCCCTCATTCAGGAAATTGTGTACTGCAACCATGGACTCGACTGCATCCTGCGGAGTGTCGGTGTAGCCCTTGCGCAGCATGGCATTGTACATCTGCTGCGGAGACGGGTACTCCCAGTTGCCCTCGGAGTCACCGCGAGGAATGGTGGACAGCTCGCGCTCAACGGGGAGATTGACTGTTTGGTTTGGTGCGCGTTCTTGCGAGATTGAGGCGAACATGTAGTTCAAGGGGTTCAGTTTGGATAATGTCGACGCCGGCTTCTCCGGGGCGGATGTTGGAGGCTGCGCCGGCGTGGGTGCGGATTGCGATTGCGGCGGCGTGTAGAAGGGCGAGTCTGGGCTCATTGGGCAACTGCTAGGAATTTGCGCCGGAGGTGGTGCAGATGCTGCCGGACGCGACTCGTGCATCGGACATCCCGGCTGTTGATAACGGTTAGTCCGCGAGGGTTCAAACAGTGAGAGAAAACTGACCGGAGGGGAGGCCGCAGGTGATGCGAGGGGATTCGGTGCAGCAGGCACCTTTGGCTGAGGATCTGCCCAAAACCAACCCATGGTGAAGATGTGATGATGCAGGGGAAAAAAAAAAGTCCAGCGGATAAAAGACCAGAGAAAATCACTCGGATGACATAATGGGTCCACGTGATACTGATATAAATTATTGGAACTATACAAAGAAGCAGTAGTGAACTGTAGAGAGGACATCAATGATCATTATTATTCATTCGTTCATAAATATACTTGTGTACAGTGTGAGTTATTTATATGCCACGGTTTATGCATCCTCCGTTTCGGAAAACACCAGGCCGGCCATGGCCTCGTCCCAGATGGACTTCCAGTCTGGCCCTTGCGAGGCCGGTCCAGCCCTGCTGGGAATGAAGAAATAATCCGCTAAGACCTCGGAGGCTTGCTCCCAAGTTTTCCACCCGCAGATCATAGCGGTTCGTGCCAATAAATCCACAAACCAGGGCCTCTCGACCTGAGCTAGAGAGCCCTGGGCTCCGATGAATAACGCCCAGGCAAAGAGCCCAAAATTTTCTTTAGGTAAGCGGAGCACAAGCGGCAGCTTGCAATTGTTCACTGCTGCTTTGAGATGTTTTGTGAGGGCTCGGCCTAACCCTGACTGTGAAGGGGAGTGGATCAGATAAAGGTTGAGAAAACAGATCGACGCTACGCGGGTGACGGCCTCGATCGGGTGCAGCTCCAGTTCTGGGTTGAGCGAGGACTCGTCTGGGCTTTGGCCGTCTGTATAGACATAGCTTAGTAGTTGGTGCTCGGTTTCGTAGTTGAGCACCCGGAAGAAGTCCTGGTCACCGTGGACAGCAGCCGGTGCAGATCGGCAAGCCACGCTGAAGAAGATGACATCGCGGACAACATGCAATATTCGTAGGAGGGGAGCGCTCAGCAGAGTGTTGGAGAAGAACCCAGATCCTAACCGGTTGAGGGGCGATGAGGCCGGCGGCCTGACTCGCTGTTGGATCTCTTGGGGAACGGGCTGTGCATCCCAAGTCAAGGGGAAAACGGGCTTGGTCATTAGACCCGAGGCAGATTTAACGTCGGTACTACATTCATCAGCTACGCTGATACAAAACCGAGGGGGAGACACCTACGTTAGGATGGCAGACAACATTGTCGACGAGCGAATGCTGTCGTCCAAGATTCCGCCACGCAGCTCCACCATGCGTTTGAGGCCAGTGAGATGGATCCGAGCTTCGTCGAACAGGCCAACGATCAACTAGCATGAATTAGCAACTTGACCGAGCATATCCAAAGAAATCCTACCGAGCCCGTGAGGAGATTGACAATGGTATCGAATGCCTCGTCGCTGAGTGCCTTGGTGGGATCGCGCACTTTGACATTCATTTCTCGGATAGATTTGACTTTCATGATACAATAATCGGGATCTTTCAAAATCAGGCTTTTTTTCTCCTCCGATCCCATAGAGCCTGACCGGTAGCTGTTTAGCATGGCTCGATGAGCGGCACACATGCTCATCAAGCCGAAGAAGCTGCCTGGATCGGAGAATGAGGACCGGACCATTAACTCTATTTCTGGGTTCTGGGGATTCATGTCTGTATTGGGAAAGGTGATTGGAACGAAGACGTTTTTCCCTTCAGCCCAAGGTCAGTCTTTGTCTCACAAGAAAAAAGCAATTAGTGCATGGCTGGCTCGCAAAAGGTCACAGCAGTCGTCACTAAATAAATAAAACTTACAGTAGAATACCAATGTTTCCACCATAACAGGAAATTCACTGGCACCAGGTAGCACAGTGAAAGGGTCGCTAAACCAGGAGGTAGGTAAACACTTCGGATTTGGGAAATAATGATATGGGATAGCGTGACCAGCACTCCACTTGATCGGGCGCCCCCGAGGGTGCCTTGACCTAGCATCGCCATCTTCGGTTTCGACGGTATCTGATGAGACAGAGGACTGGGACGCAGCTCTTAGGACGAGGGTCTGCTCCCCCGAATCCTGATCTTCGAGTGTGATCGGAGCCTCATCAGATTGGCCGGCGCGGCTCTCGCGTCGCGAAACTCGTTTTGTGCCTGCGAGCCTCTCCCGGCGGCGCACATCGCGCATAACATGGGAGCGGATCTTCTTTCGAGCATTGGCATCCTTGATTCGTTTCGAGGTCAAGTCATCGTCGTGTCCGATGAAAGTGTACGACGGCCGATCCACAGACCCAGTGGGTTTCGAATTGGATTCTAGCCCAACCCTTTTAGCACAAGGACCGTTGCGGCGAAACAAAGCGGCAAAAAAGAACGAGTCATGAACCCCCACGAGGGCGTCATTCCGGAGGGGAGTGAATGATGAATATGGATTTGCTTCGTGCCTCGACGTGCGACGCCACCGGCAAAGCAAGACAAAATGGCACGAACGCGAGGGACGAGTGGGGCATGAAGCACACTAGTGTAAGGTGCGATAACGAGAGCACGAACCTGAATGGGAATGCCGAGAAGCGGCTGGGGACGAAGATGGCGGAGGATGACGATCCATGGGACCGAAGAGGAAAGGGGGGTGGTGGAAGGAAGAGACCAATCGAGAATGGATATGCAGGAAGAGCCGGGGGAAGGCGAGTTTAGAATACGTAGTTGGAAGGAAAGGCAGGAATGATTTGATGAATCTGGGGGAGGAAAGTAAGTGGCGGGTGAGTTAGTTCGTCACTAGTGGGGGGCAAAGGTGAGCTGAGCACAAGCCCGATCGGGCATTGTCTTAGTAGTCAGTATACCTAGTAGTATGTTACACCTTCACCCGCTAAGTCTAAACCAATGCGCCGTGATGCTTCAACGCTCAAAACCATTATTCCTCTCCTTCTCAACTTATCCCTGCACATCCCGCACCAGCCGGCTCAGCAGCGCATACCCAAAGATGACCGCTAGCCCGATCCACACCCGGTTCCGTCGAGCCCATCCTTGTCCGGCCTCGCGTGCAACATGACCGCCTTCCATCACGGCCCCGAGTCCCGGAGCGCTGCCATTGGGACGCCTGCGCAAGGCACTGGTCTCCGGCGAGCACTTGGTCGGCGCATTGGGATCGGGGAGGATCTGCCCCGTGGCGGTATCGATGCGATGCTCCTTCATCCACGTCCAGTTCTCCTGATCTAGCTCGGGCCACTCCGTGCGAAACTTCAATCCACCATCGCCTGCCTTGACGTTGTTGATCCCCTTGGCCGTTTTGGTGACGCCCGGTGTGGCGCTGACGTGTGAGCCTCCTCCGGTCGAGTTCCACCACCGCGATCGGGCTGCCAGCACTCGCCGCTCTGGCTCGGTCGCGCTGACACTGCCGGTGGTCATTTCTTCGCTGGTCATGAAGGATAGAAGACCGATCAGGATTGTGGACACCTCCCATGCGGGATTGAAGGACTTGGGGTGGAAGTCACTAATGCTGAGGCACAGTCGCGTGGAGGGTTGGAACCGGCCACTGGGGGTGTGCATGCGGATGGCGGGCGGGGCGAAAGGGTACTCGGGAGGAAACATCAGTGTGCCCCAGTATTGTCCATTCTCATAGGGAGTGCCAGGAGGGCCGGTGAGAATATAGTGCCACCTATGGCACGGGGGCCAGGTCAGCGTACTCAAGCCCTGCTAGGCGTCGGAGGCACTCACTCGAGAATATTCGTCTCTGATGGATGGGCAATAATAAATGGAGGTGGATTCTTTTGGATATTTTGGTATTCTCGCGTGAGCTGTCCAGGTCGTTATTCCTTCAGTCATGTTCATGCGCATATCAGCCGGAAAACTCACCCGCTTGAAGGCCGCTTTCGTCGCCATCTTTGCGTGGGGTTTGAATCAAGCAAGTGTAGAAACAGAAATAGCCACAAGAAAGAAAAAGAAAAGAGGGAGGAGAGAAGTCGAGGAAGGATGATGAAGGTGAAGGAAGAGCGGCGATGCGCCTGAGGCGATAAGAGGCAATCGGGTCACGTGCCACGCCATACGGGATCCCAAGTTCTCCCGCTGGGGAGCTTTCTTGTTCTCGTCGCAGCCCACCATGTCTTCCCTCTCGGCCGAAGATGACGACGTAAGTGGGCACTGGATATGGTCTTGTCTTGTTTTGCCCTTCACTGACCATTGGTCATTTCTAGATCTTCGAACGCCTCCAGCAGCGCAAAGACCCGAAGGTGCTGGAGGAGCAGCAGCAGGCCGTGAACGAGCGTATGCATGCCATTTACCAGAAGGCTCAAGCTCGTCTGTCGGAACTGGTACGTCCTACATCTGTCCCAGTGGACTTCTCGAGCTGTCCCAGCTAAATATGAATGGTCAATTGGATCTCCAGATCGATCAAAACTCCACCTTGCCATGCACGATCAACTCGGTGCAAGTCCTGAATGCGCCTCATGTCCGCCATAGCTTCCTCGAGCGTATCTTCAATCCTCTCCTGAGCGCGAACCGCAGCCGACCCTACACCTTGTCCGAGGCTTTGCGGGAGGTTTCGGTACGGGCAGATAAACTCGGAAGATTCGGTCAGTCTACATTCGTTTGGTTCGATTTTGTCAACTCACGTCTTGTCAGACCTTTTCCAGCAACCTATCTCGGTCTACTTGGACGAGTCAGCGCCGAATGGCCCAACCGGGCTGCGCAACATTGATGTGCTCCTCGCCGTTCGGGAGAAATCGCGTGTGCTACTGAAGACCGGTACAGACCTTGGAAACGCGGAGGGGTCGGCCTACGGAAATCTGTTGTGGCGCAATGTCTTCGGCGGCGCGGAAACTTTGAACTTGAACGCCTCGCTGGGCACTCGAACGCGGTCTGCCTACCAAGCTACCTTTGAGACGCCGATCCTGAGCGACCCGGACTTCCGCCTGGAGATCGGCGGGATTGCCAGCTCAACCCAAAAGTCATGGGCGAGCCACGAAGAGGTCCTCAAGGGTGGTTGGAGCAAGCTTCGGTGGATGACCCAATCCGGGCATCGCCATGAGCTGGGCTACAACGGTTTCTGGAGACAACTTACCGGGCTTGCCGAGAACGCCTCTCCGACTGTTCGGGCGGATGCTGGTGATAGCGTGAAGAGCAGCATCTTCCATAGTTGGGTGAACGATCGCCGGGATAACCCTCTGCTGCCTTCGCGGGGCTATTACGCCAAGGCGTTCAATGAGCTGGCTGGTTGGGGCCCGTTGAAGGGAGATGTATCTTTCTGGAAGTCGGAAGTGGAAACACAAGGCGCCATCCCCATCCCAATTCCTTTCATTAAGGCCGACAGTGGTATCAGTCTTACTACTGGGTTCCGCGCCGGGCTGCTCTATCCTCTCGGCCTGGGCTCCAACTCTCGCCCCCAGCTCTCCCGAGTTAACGACCGTTTCCTACTTGGGGGACCGACGGATGTCCGTGGCTTCCGTCTATGTGGTCTCGGACCGCGTGAGGGCCCTGATGCCCTTGGCGGCGACGTGTACGCCGCTGGAAGCGCCAACCTGCTTTTCCCACTGCCCCGAGTGGGTGCCGAGAAGCCCATTCGCATGCAGGCGTTCCTGAACGGTGGACGGCTGCTGCCACTCCGCACATCGCAGAATAACAGTCCGACCAGCAGCGGCGAGGTGCAGGATGCGATGGTTTCTACTTTGTCTGAACTGCAGAACGGTCTGCCCAGCGTCGCAGCGGGTGTTGGAATTGTGTATGCGCACCCCGTGGCACGGTTCGAGCTGAACTTCTCCCTACCACTAGTGCTCCGTAAGGGCGAGGAGGGCCGCAAAGGGTTGCAGCTTGGGATTGGAATTAGCTTCCTGTAGACGTGTATTGTAAGAGACTGGAGTTCACACAGCGAAATAAACTTATTTCTTCACTTTGTTATGATTTTATACTTGGGAATCATCCGTGCCTCAGCTGCAGCTTAGTCATCCTATTAATGGCCAACTTGAAGCTCCCGAGTTAGTGTATACCATCAACTGTACACATCTCCCGCCGAACACACCCACCACTACCCCAGCCCAGGACTGTTTCTTCCTAAACAAGCCGTCCCCGCGGCAATGGCCCAATACTACCCCCAACAACAAGGAGGCTACGCCCCCCAGTCCTCCGCACAGCAGAACCTCCAGTTCTTCCCCTCGTCCTACTCCTCCGTGTCCGGCCACACAACTCCCAACCAAGCATCCTACGGGGCTGGCAGCTTTGGAGGCGCGCCCAATCCATCCTCGCAGGCTTACCCGGGTGCCGGCGCGGGCTATGGCGGCTTTGGGTCCGCCGCTGCTGGCGTGAGTGGCCGCATGGGTGAGCAGGGCGGCTTGAGGACAGGTTGGTTGGCTGCTTTTGGCACAGAGGGGTATGACGGCGAACCACCATTGCTGGAGGAACTGGGTGTCAATTTTGAGCACATTCGGACAAAGGTGAGTCGTGCCGTCATTGCAACTGGAGAGGCACTGCATATGTGGATGCCTATCACTCATCCCAACGTGTTTCTTCAACCCAATCCCTGAGTCTGTACAGAAAAGTACGCACAGCTAACCCGTGATAAACTAGACCTTAACAGTGCTAAACCCCTTCGCCTCAATCGACAACCACCTAATGGACGACAGCGACCTCTACGGCGCCCTGCTCTACATCGTTCTCTACGGGACCTTCCTCCTGCTCTCCGGCAAAGTGTTTTATGGCTACATCTACGGCGTGGCCGTCTTTGGCACCGTCGCCCTCCACCTAATTCTGAGTCTGATGTCTCCTGCTCTCGACACAACGCCCAACCCCAACGCCGCCGACCCGGCCGCCAACTACAACCCGCACCACAAGCCGTCCATGTCCGGGCCCGCGGGCCACTTCTCTGCGACACTGACGTTCCCCGCTCGGCGAGCGTGCTGGGGTACTGTTTTTTGCCGCTTGTCCTGACGGCTCTTGTGGGCATTCTTATTCCTATGGATACCATGTTCGGATACCTTTTGACTACTGCTGCGGTGGGCTGGTGCACGTATAGTTCGTCGGGGATGTTCTGCGCCGTGGCGCGGATGAGTGGGATGAGAGGGCTTGTTGCGTATCCGCTCGCGCTCTTCTACGTTGTTTTTGGGATTATGGGCATCTTTTCTTCGCGCGGGACGGGGACGCTGGCGGCGAAGACGGGTGCTGCGTGACGGACGAAGATAGAATAAAAGGGGCTCCGAGTGTAGGTGGCTGGCTCTTGTGTTCGTTCGAACGAACTGGCTGCGATGTCTGCGTGCATCTAATCATGAATTTTTATGACCCGCGGTCTGTGTGAGATATCATTATGCATTATTACATCTTCTCGTGAAGTCTTTTCTATCTATCCTTTAGTCGTCCTCCATCATGGGTCTATACCATCTTGATTCGTCTATGGCAAGCCCTCGCCCTGCGTGGGTGCCCATTTAGCCAGCCATTCTCGCGTCTTCTCTAGATCGCTTCCTGCAGCCTCAGCGCCGGCCACACACCACGCCAGATCATACGCCTTGCCCTCTGCTTTGCTTTCTGCCGCTAGCATTTCTGCCAGGATGCGCCGATGCTGGCCGGTCTCATCTGTGCAGAAATATAAGGGCGCGGTGTTGACTACGTCGGGCTGGGTGTTGATCGCATCGACGAGGGGGCGCATCAGCTTCAGTGTCTCGGCCGCGCTCAGGGTACCCGAACTGGTACCAGATCTTTTCTGTTTCCCGTTCTTGCAATACTCGTTCTGGCACCATGGTTTGCCACATCCAGTCATCATCTGTGAGAGATACCGTCGTTCGATGCGGCGACGTAGTGCCTTCCCCTCTGGATCATAGGTGTCCACGTAAAGTGGTCCAAAGCATATATTGCATAGGCCAAGGGACTCATTCCCCGCGTTGGTCAGCGTGCGTCCGCAGTTTTGATTCAAGCAGATGCGAGGCGCTGGCCGGGACAGACGTTCCAAGTCGTGATGGCGAAGATGGGTCTTCATATCCCGCAGACGGATGATCTTGTTGCACAGATGACACTCAGTCGTGCGGCCACCGTCGACCAGCTCATGTGGCGTAAGGCCCGAGAGCACAACCTCGGGGTCGTAAAGATCAGGGTCAGAGTCGCCCTTCTGTGGCACGAGAAGATGACAGAATTGACAAAGGATCAGCTTCCCCGGACACACAGTGGTTCGATGCTGTGCCAAAGATGGCAGCCCCTCCGTGCGAACGTCGCAACTAGGACATGCATATTCCTCATGAAAGATGGCATTGTGTCTGCTCTTGCTGGTGGCATCGTTCCCATGGGCCGAATCATGGGCGCAGTGCCAATGGTTTTGCCAGTCGGGAGATCGTTTTTGGAAGACGTTGCGGCACTGGGGGCAGAGCACATTGTTGCGGAGACAGAAGTTCTCATGCAGAACCAATGTCCGCTGCGGTACCCACTGCTGGCAGTTTTGACATTGTACATCACCAGGCTCGTGCGATTCGGCCTCGTTGTTCCTCTCTGCCTCGGCATGGGAGGAATTTGTTGCGATCCGGAGATTATACTGCACAGTTGGCTGCGGTTCTGAACCGGACATAGAATATGCATGGACCGATATATAAAGGGCCTCCGCTCCTTCGAGAGCGACGTTGGTAGATTGAAGTCGGAGTCGCTTAGTCGACTGGGACGAGAAATCCCCCAGGACATGTTCGTCTGCTCTAGGGCGACTCCGTTGGTGCGAAGAAAGTGGGCTGATAAAAAGGTAGGCGTCTGCATCATCCAAGGCCGTGAGTTCGATCTCAATCGTGTCCTGTCGACTCCAATCTCGAATCTCGTAGTCCACGTATTCCCCCGGCACGACTTGGGCCGCCACATTCTCTCCCAGACTGAGCGTGCCACCTATCGAGCTGCCGCTCTGCGTGCCAGGAGCACGCGATGCCTTCTCCAGGCGTTTTTGTAACGTCTCTCGCGCTTGCTCTTCCGTTAATGCCACTATATCAACCTCCAGGTCCGTATCCACAACGCAGATGCCTTCGCCCTCGGGGTATACTTTGTCGACTAGAAACCGAAACGATTCATTGCGCGTCCCGGATACAGCCAGCAGCTCACCCACCGTCAATGTGGTGAAATTGTCCCGCAAGTAACGCTCAAGTAGAGCCTTCCAATCCTCGGGGTCGTACCCAGCTTCTAACGGACGGAGACGAACATAGGAGCCTTTCGGGAGTTGTTTTGCATGCACCGTGACTGCAGGGCTCTGGGGCAGTTGTCGGTCCACCGGTAGCTCTGCGTCCATCACATCCTCTTCTCCCCGCGCTCCGCCATTCATATGGGAAAATTCCGCGTCGTCAATCTCCAGCGCCTCCCGAAGCAGCGCGCTCAGGACAACCTCATTCTCCTGCGCCGAGAACTCACGGATGCCCGCGTAGATGAAACGACCATTGCGGGGGTTGACGATGCGGAAGGTCAGCGGATGCGGAAGCTGCTGTTGGCGCTGCTCGAACTGTTGGCGCGCGAGAGACTCGGCGGCAAATGTGTGTGGGTTAAATGGGTCGAAGGTGGCGGTGTGCGTCTGCGGATTCTGCGAGGCGACGGCGCGCAGGGGAGCGGCGGCCAAGAGTTGTTCGAGGGCGGACTGTGGGAGGGTGATCTTATCACCCGGTAGCTTGGGAGCTCGCCACGGAGGAGCGACCGAGAGTTGGGAGGACCAGCGCAGGGACGAATCTTGTGTAGTATCCCTGGCCATCATGATGGGAGAGAGTGAGAAGAGAAGAAGGGTAGGAGGAAGAGGAGGGACAGAGGAAAAGAGGCGTGTCTAGCCTACGGAAGGGAAGTCGAAGCTAATCGGACATTCTGGAACCGCATTATCAATCATCGCCATCTATGGACTATAACAACGAACTATGCTAGAAATCACTGCGCATTCGGTGGCGACCACTGGAATTGCACCAGTCACACTATCCAATAATAATTATTAGCATGTTCCTTTTAGAGGTCCTTTGCGGTCATACCTGTGTGGCCGAGCAGCCAGTGTTGTGCTCAATGCAGTAGTCGCCCTGACAGTTCTGACAGGTATGCTGGCAGTCCAACTTGCACGCCGCGCACTGAATAATAACGATCAGCAAATCATCTCAATACTTGTCGTTCCATACTCACGGTCGGTCCACATTCCCAGCAATCTTTGCTCACTCCGCGTTCGAGGTGCTAGCTCGCGTTAACATTGAGACTTATAAAAAGGACTAGAATATTTACCTCTCTTTCCAGAGGAACCATCTCCCCATTCCGGTTTTGGGCCGGTCGAACCGCTGTCTGGTGAGGCGACAAGGTGACCCGGATGCGCTGCGGTGAGGGTAGACAGTTGGAACAGAACCATTTGTTGCACCGGTGACACCAGCGGTCGGTCAGGCAATCCGCGCACCGAGCAATGAGTACCGGATGCTCGCCGTCAATCAGCTCCGGGCTCTGGGCGGCAGCAACGCTGGACAAGTGTAGGGGCAGCGGGCTGAGCAGAGGGAACTGCACATCCGGCGACTGGCCCCAGATGGCTGGCCCCTCGGGGGAACTGTGGCAACCATCACATCCTCGAGGCCCTAAAGCCACCGTGGCAATAGCAGGGCTCAACAGGGGCCCCTGGGGAGGGTCTTCTGCGTCCGAGGAATACAGTTCGATATTGTGTCGTGGACCGCGACAGAGCACGGCATCAAAAGCAATGATGCCTTCGGCTTTTTGTACTGTCCGGGCCCATCCCTCTTCGAGGCTATGTTTGAAGAGCTTCCCTGACGATCGATACCACTCATTCTGTAGCTGTCGTGGGTTCTGTAGTGTCTCGAAGTGCCTCTTTTCTTCCTGGTCGGAGGAGCTGTCCGATCGGGTTTGGCTGGGACTCCGAGAACCCATGCGATCTCCCCACCAATCTCGATATCGGCGCCGGGCCGTTGCCCGCGGCGGCGATGGCATAGGCGAGAAGTAGTAGATGGCCTTGACTCGCGGGGTCCCTGCTGGACGGGTCGGCCGAACGGCATGCTGGATGACTTGCATGAGCTTGCGCTCGTTGAGATGCTGGCAATCTCGAATGGACAGAATATTAACGTTGAAGCGGTCGGTGCGGATTATATCGGCCACGAGGTCAGCAGGCACAGGCAAGCCGTCCAGGACCAGCGTCCGCACATCCTGTAGTATAGATCTCTTCTCGAGGCTGGCAAAAATCCGCCTCAACGGGGCCGAGTATACCTCGTCCTCTGTCTGCGACTCGTCCTGCGATGCCGACAACTGGGCACCCTGGCAGCGGGTGAGATCGAGGTGCCGGAATATATATGGAGTATGGGTGAGCATGTTCTGCAGCAGCCGCGAGGTCGACGCCAGGGCCATCAGAGACGGCACGGACAAGTAAGGGGCCGTTCGGTCGAGAATCAGGCTATTCGATAGCACATCTTCCAGTGTCGCGCGCCGGGGGATGGTCTCTAATTCGTGCACCACGGGCGCGAGACCTAGTTCCTTCAGGGTTAGACGGCGAGAACCATAGAAATCAGGAGCGTGGCCGAGGAGTTCCTGGCGATAGGCGGCTAGGGCGCTGGCGGCCATTTCATCCCGGAGGCGCAATTGAGTCACATTGGGGTGGACTTCCTGTAGAGTGGCGCGGGCCTTGACCAGTTCGGACTCGAGTAGGTCGATCGTCGAGTGAGAGTGGGATTGTACGGCCGTTGACATGGTATAGGGGATGCTGTTATCGGAGGGAGGTGGTGATAGTGTGTAAGAGGAGAAAGGAATGGCCACCTTTTCTTTCCTTTTTTTTTTTTTGGCTGAATTATTGGATCTATAGCGAATTCGGAGCGGGGACTCCGGGGGACCAAAACAGAGTTCCAATGGAATGCAAGTGGGGGGGGGACAGGGACAGGCCGAGCCAGCAGTGGAGACCGATTCCGGGGATGGACAAAACGAGCAAGCCGAGTCAGCAGTCGGTCGGTGGAACATCACGAGGCCCCCGATCAGCAGTGGCAAGGTGCCCCGGTGGAGTGGTCAACACCAGTTGGGGCCTCACCTCTCTCACGCCGGAGTATATGTGTATCAGTAATTCCAACGCCAAGATAACATTACATAAATAACTCTTGTAAAGAATAGGCTAAATCCTCAATCGGACCCGTTGCAGATCCTGGGGAGATGGCGGATGATCGCCCGGGCTAGGGACGACAACAGAGATCCTGCTGAATTCGGGGCGGAGGGTGAAGTCTACGCCGGACGTCACAGAGAATTGCTAAAGAGTCTCCTGGTTAAGCGAAACATAAGCCCCAAAAGGGGTAACTCATCGAAGAGTGTGGCTATCAGCTTGGCTCTGCCAGCTTCCTTCCGTGGCTTTTGGGCTTGAATTCATGTGGGCATAATTTAAGATGCCTTTATCGAGGCTGCTTTCTGGTGGGTTTATCGTGATGCACTAATAGGAGGCTATATGGACTTGGTCGTGGCTGTCTCTAAATGGTCAACCAAAAACTTCTCATTTCCGAATCAAAAAATCAATGTCCTGATTATCCTCAGTATACAATATTGTCTTGTTGCCTTTTTCGGCGAGAAAGGGTTAAGGTGTACAGCTTTTCGACCCTACTTCCACAGCTTCGACACCGCGACCTCCTTGTCGTCGTGCTTGTTGAGGATCTTGGCCGTCGCCAGGTCAAAGTCCTCCTGTGTGACGTGCACCCGGCGCTCCCGCAGGGCGTACATGCCGGCCTCTGTGCAGACACCCTTCAGCTCGGCACCAGAGCACCCGTTCATCTTCTCCGCAATCTTGGTGAGGTTGATCCCCCGCGTCAGATTCATGGACCGCGAGTGGATCCGCAGAATATCCGCACGAGCTTCGACCCTGCAGCCAGTCAGTATACAGTCATCACAAAAAGTGGAGACACCCACGATGGTGGAGGGAACTCGATCTTCCGGTCAATCCGCCCTGGGCGCAGCAGAGCCGGATCTAGGATGTCCAGCCGATTCGTCGCCATAATGATCTTGATGTTCTTGGTGGGTTCAAATCCATCCAGCTGATTCAGCAACTCCAGCATCGTCCGTTGCACTTCCGAGTCACCAGAGCCAGCCGAATCTATCCGGCTCGACCCAATGCTGTCAATCTCGTCCATGAAGATAATGCTGGGGGCGTGCTCTCGAGCCATGACAAACAGCTCACGCACCATGCGGCTACCTTCGCCAATATACTTCTGCACCAGCTCGGATCCGCTGACTCGGATAAACCGACAATCGGTGTGGTGCGCCACGGCTCGCGCCAGCAGAGTCTTTCCGGTACCGGGAGGGCCGTAGAGCAAGACACCCTTTGGCTGCGCAATACCGAGAGACTCAAACAACTCCGGATGTTTGAGACCCAGTTCGATGACCTCCTTGATCTCCTTGATCTGCTGGTCCAACCCACCGATCATGTCATATGTGCTGTCGGGGACCTTCTCGACCATCATGAGCGACACCAGTGGATCGACCGACGACGGCAGCATCTTCTCCAGCTTGTACGAGTCCGAAAGGAGAGCGACGCGTTTTCCAACTGTGAGTTTCCCAATGTCCACTCCATCTGAGATGTCCACCACTGCAAGAAAGAGTCTAGCATTAGTATCGGCCTTTGCGTTTTCAAGTTCTTGCACGCACCGTATTTGCCCTCCGGGTGTACCTTCACCAAGACCTTCTTGGTGCTCATCACTTTCACCACCTCACCCACGTAGGAGCCCGGCTGTTGCAGGAGACCGAGCTCCTCCCGCAGGAGGCGCACTCGGGAGTTGTAGTCATTGCGTTGTGCTTCTAGTCGTCGTAGAACCGCTTGTCCCTGAATAATCTCGAGCTTCATGCCCTCGATCTTATTGCTGTAGTAATTGTCCAAAGCCATGATGGGCGGCTGGGGGAGGAGGGTGGAGGAGAGATGACGCGCGAGCAGTGAAGGGCTGATCTCGTGTTGCGACTGTTGTCCACGGAGAGGGAGAGTAGCAGGAGGACCAGCAGCCTCAACACTCGCAGCAGATAGAGGAAGGGGGAGTGGGCGATTAGAGAAGGTCTGGGTGTGTTGGTGGGTGGGTGGGTGGATGGGATCAAGCTGAATCGGATGATGCTGGGTTGGAGCCAGTGAAGCTGTGGCCGATGACTAATCCGGTGGCTACCTCAGGCCATCAATCGGAGCTGTGTCGACTTGACCAGCTCAGGTGATATCAGTCATCTGGCCTGCTTCTTGCTCTTGCTCCTGCCGTACTGATTTTCCCTCAGGTGACAGCATGACCTGATACATTCCTTCGTTCCCACTTTCATTTTGTTGTGGTGCTCGAGCCTCGATCTAACTGGCTTTTCCCCTCCCGCAACCAATCGAGAAGATACATCGATTCAAGAGGTTTCCATCGTGTTCATTCTTCCTTGTGTTTTGTGTTGAAGAGACCCATGGAAAGACACAATGGCGGGCGATAAGGATAACAACGACTCGCCCGAGTCGTCGCGTGGACCGTCGGGGCCTACTGGGATCGAGAGCCCTCCGCCAGACTCTTATCTTCCGCCTCGATCGACTGGTCCGCCACGGAGGAGCTACGGTAGGGACTGCTCTGACTAGTGGACGTTTCTTGCTGGGAGTAATTGCGCTGACGCAAAGTTGCACAGGCACGCTCGATTCGTTTGACACGCCCAACCCGGACATTCGCGCGGAGGATGGCCCAGGGGAGAGCTCCAGTCGTGCTTTTCGCCCTCCGTCCCCGTCAGATAAAGCAAGAAAACCCCCAGTTTCGCGTCGTATGTCTTCGAAGCGCCAGGTGCCCCATAAAGGTCAGGAGTTCTCGACAGATGATGATGTGAAGGAGGTCGAGGAGGACTTCGCCATGCAGAACGTTACAACCACCCAACCCTCTCCACGAATACGTCCCATGCGCCAGCAGAGCTCCACCTTGAGGCGTCGACCCAGTGCCCGACCCAGTCCGCTGGCGAGAGCAGACTCGGACAATTACAGCGGGGAAGAGACGAGCTTGCCGGATCCAGGCCTCGACATTCAGGTCGAACCCCCATCTCGACAGTCAGACAACGAGAGCGAGCATGATAGTGAAGACGAAGAGCACGAGGACCTTGAGACGGAGGACGAATCAACGAGTGATGCCGAGAGCTTCACCCTCAAAGACCGCCAGCAAGCAATTAACGAGACCCATCCATTTGGTATCCGGATCTGGAAACCTGCTTTGTACAAGAAGAGCCGTTCCGTCGAAAAGACGGCCGAGGGCGATATCCACTCGTCTCCAGGGGGGCGGGTTAGTCCTATGCTCTTCCTGAACAATCTGCTGTGGTCCTTGTTTTTCGGCTGGTGGCTCGCATGTGCTGCCCTACTGGCCGCGATTGTCTGTTTTTTCTTCTCCTATTCATCCAGCGCCTTGGCCTACGGAAAGGTCTTCTGGGGCCTGTCGCGGTATCTGTTCTACCCGTTCGGATCCTTTGTCTTGTTGGAGACCGACGAACACTATGCAGAAGAGGATGAGGGCGAGGGCCGCAGCATCAGCGAATATGAGCAATGGCAGAACGGTGATATAGAACACGGCCGCCTGTTCTTTGGGCCTCGCCGCCATCAGTCCCTGGTGGGTCGGCGCCGGAACAGCGTCGATTCAGCCGACGAACAAGACAGTCTTCTCGGTCGTCCCCAGCGTGGCCAGCGCGACGATCTCCAGTTTGCTCACTCGAAGCGGCGTCTTTTTGGTCGGGGTGAATGGACGCTAGGCCGCGTGGTATTCTTCATCTTTTTCTACTTCCTGGTGGGACCCCTGATGCTCATGGTGTCGCTTGTCTGTTGGCTGTTCGTTTTCTGGATCCCCATGGGCCGCGTCACAACCATCCTGGTCAGCCATCTTCGACGGCATCCGCTGGCCCTGTCGTTCCATTCCGACACAACATATGCAAGATTGAGCACGACCTCTTCATCTTCCATTCTCCTCTGCACCTATCGTGCAGCTGGGACCAGGTACTGGAAGTACACCATCGATGGTACTAACATCTTTTTGATCAACCTTCTCGGAGTCGTTCTGTTCGTGATTCTGGACTATTTCCTCTTGGACAAATTCATGGGTATTCACAGCTGGCTCACGCACCCTGGCTTGATCTTCACCCTTGCCCTCGTCTCCATCATTCCTTTAGCATACTTCATTGGCCAAGCTGTCGCTTCGATCTCCGCCCAATCCTCGATGGGCTTGGGCGCCGCCATCAACGCTTTCTTCTCCACTGTCGTAGAGGTATACCTCTACTGCGTTGCCTTGACCGAAGGGAAAGCTCAGCTGGTCGAAGGCAGTATCATTGGCAGTATCTTCGCCGGTATTCTATTCCTGCCGGGCTTGTCCATGTGTTTCGGCGCCATTAAGCGCAAGACTCAGCGTTTCAATGTCAAATCAGCCGGCGTGACGTCGACCATGTTGCTCTTTGCCGTCATCGCGGCTTTTGGTCCCACGCTCTTCTATCAAGTCTATGGAAGCGTAAGTGTTGTCATTGTTATTTTGAGGCACAACTAACTGTCATGCAGCATGAACTGAACTGCCATTCGTGCACTGGACCAGTTGGATCCGGGGACCGCGACTGTCGTCGCTGTTACTTCCAGCAGACTGCAGCGATCTACGATCAGTTCTTCCTGAAAGCGGTGCAGCCGTATGCCTGGTTTTCCGCCGTGCTCCTGTTTCTGTCATATGTCATCGGTCTCTGGTTCACCCTTAGAACGCATGCTGCCCTGATTTGGGCCACGGAGGTCGAGGAGAAGAAGGCTGCTCAAGCTGCTGCCCAGGCCGCTCGAGAATCGTTCCCCTATGAACCACGCCACTACCTCTTTCCCAGCGGCCAACCGGAAGCCTCTGGTGGGGCAACCGGGCGTAAGGATTCCATCCGTGAATCGCAGCTGTACAAACGGATTCTGGGCCAATCGCTCAAGCATGTAGGCCTGGATGAGAACTGGGAACAGGGAGGCGCTGGGGCGCCGGATCAGAAAGGCACAACACCGCACTTGGTTCCACCAAGGTCTGCTGGCGAGCCCGCACCGAAATCTTGCCGTAGCGGGCTTGCTGAAGATAACGAGCGCTTAGTGCGTCAAGTCACTGAAGTAGCCGCCACTGCGGCAGCCGTGGCAGCTCGTGATGCCGCTCGGGCTCGCAAGTTTTCTGTCCCAAAACAGGCCGGGCGTGCCCCTGGTGAGCAAGTAAGAACACCGGGCGAGGAGCCGGATGATGCTGGGTTTATGGTCGATTCCACCCATGCTGCTACTGGCGGTGGGCACGATGCGCCAAACTGGAGTAAAGCAAAGAGTGCCATCGTCCTCTTGGGGGCGACGGTGCTCTATGCTGTGATTGCTGAGATTCTTGTCAATACAGTCGATGTTGTCCTAGAGAGCGTGGACATTGACGAGAAATTCCTCGGCATCACTCTCTTTGCCCTCGTTCCTAACACCACGGAATTTCTGGTGCGTTATTCAGTTTCCTTTTGGTCATATTCACTGCTAACTCATCATAGAATGCCATCTCATTTGCCATGAACGGCAACATCGCTCTATCCATGGAGATCGGTTCCGCCTACGCACTTCAGGTCTGTCTGTTGCAAGTGCCCGCTCTGGTCCTGTTCAGTGCGCTGTATGCCAACTTTATTCAACCCGCTGAGCTCGTCAGCCATTCCTTCAAGTAAGCTTCCTGCCCCCTTCTACCATCCAGGATACTCATGTCAATTTATCTAGTCTGATATTCCCCCAGTGGGACATGATCACCGTCATCCTGTGTGTCTTCCTACTATCCTACGTCTACGGCGAAGGAAAGAGCAACTATTTTAAGGGCTCCATTCTCGTCCTGACTTATCTGGTTGTTGTGGTCGGCTTCTTCCTTTCCGGCTACAGCACCATGGACAACATGGGCGTGGACCGTTTCGACACTTTGGCTTTGGGTAATAGTCAATCTCAGAAATTTTACACCGTCGGGCGGCCACAGGCTGGTGTGGCTTATTAGAGATCCCTCTAGCGGTGGCTTGACGAAGGCTTTGGAGGCTGGTTACTTTTCCCCCTCCCCCACACAGCACATATCCTATCATCATCACCTTTTTGCATGGCGGAGTTACATATGCGTTGACTGCGTTGGTGTTCGCTAGCAGCTCGTGCCGTTATTGACTCTTGTTTTATTGCATCATACGTCTTTGTTTTTGTTCTTTGATTGCCACATATGGTACTGGGCCAGATTGATTAAAATGAAGCAAGAAAATTTTCACTTTCGAACTATATAAAATGATGGACAGCTACGTAGCTTTCCACGCACCCACGGCTTCATCAACCATCTCCCGGTACTTCAGCTGCTTGAAGCACTGCTCCAGGAAGACCTCGTACTTGGCCCGCAGAAGGGCCTTCTCTTTCTCGTCGTCCGTCGGCATTATCTTCTTACCGGGCTTGCTCATGCGGTCCATGATATCCCACAGATCCTCAGTCTTGCCCTGCGAGTCGGCGCTGGCGGCCTTGGCTCCCAGCATCGCTGCGCCGTGACAAACGGCAGCGTGGATGTATCGCGGGATCAGAACGGGCATGTCACAGGCCGACGCAATGAGTTTGACCAGGATGTCGTTCTGGCATTGCGAGCCCGACATGAAAACCGAGGTGATCTGGTGGCCCGACTTGTTCATAGTCTCGACAATCTGCTTCGTTTGCAAAGCAATGAATTCCAGTGTCGCGTAGTAGTAGATGGCGAGGCCGTCAACGGTCTTGTCGCTCGTCAGACCGAAGATGGAGCCCGTCATGTTCGGATCCGCAATGGGTGAGCGGTTGCCCCAGAGATCGCCGTAGAAGAAGAAGTGCCGGCCCAGGTACGACACGCACGGGGCTTGCTGGTCGTGTGCCATCTCCTTGAGGTGCTCGTTTAGATACTCGTAAATGTTTGCGTGGTACGACTCGGCGATGGAGAGGGCCTGGTTGAACGCAGGGTGTGTTTCAATCACATGCTTGAGCAGCTCTCCGGTCGCCGACTGTCCACCTTCAGCCATCCAGAAGCCTGGCAGGATCGTGTCCCGGTACGGACCCCAAACACCGTCCACGAAAACTGGGTCTGGAGACAGCGCCAGGTGACAGGTCGATGTGCCGGCCACGGCCGCCAGTCGGGAGAATGCCTGCGACTTGTCATTCTTGGCCGCCTCTGCACTGAGCTGGCCCGTACCCAGGTTGACCTTGGCGCCGACGGTCCCGATCCAGCCTGCATAGGCATCAATCACACCGCTGCCAATGGCAATCCCGGCCGGCAAACCGAGCTCGGCCGCTGCCTTCTCGCACAGCGTGCCGACCAATTCACCCGCACTCAGATAATCGCCATTCTATTTGGGATCAAAGTTAGTAAACCGCTCTTGGCTATGAAAGGAAACCAGGCTCACCACCCCGTTGACTCCGCCCATGCGCTTGAAGTTATCCTCCGTCAAATCTCCGAGTCCAATCTCCTGCAGGAAATCCTCCTGCCACCCCTTCACACTGCCATCAACACCGACCGGGACATACCCTTGCTTGCAAACCACACTGCAGAAGCTGCGCTTCTCGTTGCCGGTTGCGATGTGTGTCAGAGCATCCGCCAGATCGTAGAACTTGCACTTGTCAAACAGCTCCTTGGGCATATGGTTTTTGAGCCACAGGACCTTGGGGATCTCCATCTCAATGGACATCTTGCCGCCAACATAGCGCAACAGGTTGTGGTTGGTCGCATTAATCTTGGCGGCCTCTTCTACCGGGCGGTGATCCAGCCAGAGAATGACGTTGCGGTCCGAGTCAAAGGCCGGCCCCGTTACCGAGACAGGCTCGTCCGTGTCGGTGTGGAAGACCGACAGGGAGCATGTGGCGTCGAATCCAATGCCGCGCACGGTGTCCGGATTGACATTATGCTGGCTAATGGCGCGCTGCACAGAGGTGCAGATGCACCGCCAAATATCAGACGTGGATTGTTCCTGGAGGGTGCGGTTAGCTCGTGTCTGAAGATCAGATGAGACACTCATACGTAGAAGCCGTGCTCTGGTTGCCAGAGGCCGATGTTCTCTGAAGCCAGGCCAACAATGTTGCCCTTGGAGTCGACGATACAGGCCCGGGCACTGCCGGTTCCTACATCAATGCCGATGTAATGGTCCAGATGCACCTCGAGGTCCTCGCGCGGGTCGATCGAGGCCTGGCGGGAGCTCTGGCGCGAGGGGCGGCGGTACGGCAACGAGGTCATGGTTGGATGTGGGGGTGGAGCGGCAGCTCTAGTACTGGATAGTAGTCAATTCAGGTGATGAGAACATGGAAAATGAGGGCATACATACAATAAAGGGTGTCAAGCAGAGTCAGGAAGGGATGTATGTAAAGCAGCAGAGACAATAATAAGAGTCGTAGTAGTAATCAGGGGAAAAGGAAGAAAAAGTTCAAGGAACAAGAAAAAGAGGACCGACGACGAAAGCGACCGGGCGATGACAGCATGGACAGGGGTCTGTAGGTACGGGAGCGGTACCGGTGGATCTGCGGGGCGGCCAGTACTGCCCAGAGGTCACGGGAAGGTATTGGGGCCAATCCAGGCAACTCGCGCCCGAACAGCCTCTTTTCCTCCCGCCAGGCAGTTTCTCCTTCACCACCACCATCACCACCACTTACCCTCCCAATCACGCTGCTATGCGTCTCCTCATCTCCGTCCTCGCCGCCTTCTTTTCCCTACTGGCCACTGCCTCCGCCAGTTCCCTCTCCACCGATATCTTCTACTGGCCCGTCGGAGCTGCGTCGCCGTCCGTCCTCGCGCGCGTCACCTACGACCCCGTGTCGCTCCAGTCGGACCTGGTCTCGTACACCCCTCCCTCGGATAAACACCGCGACGAGCTCGTTCGGGTCGGTCTCTACACGTCCACCCCCGCGAACCCCAAACAATGGGTCGGTAGCCTAGTCTCCGGGTCCTCGTTTGCCGAGCACCAACCTGCCCTCCGTCTTCATCTCGGGCCCAATAGCGAGGTCTATCACGTCGCTGTGGCAGCTGCCAAGGCATCTGCAACCGCTCCTCAGGTTGTGCTCGTTTCCAATGCAGCGGGAACCCAGCCGCACCTAAATCGGCCGGTGGTGGTGGGGCCGGACTACGGTCAGGACACGGAGCAGGTCGTGGAGAAGACGTTCTTCCAAAAGTAAGTCCTATGTGTTTGTCCCATCCGATGATTTGCTTCTGACTTGTTGTCTAGGTATTGGTGGGTCTTCTTGATCATCACGTTCTTGACCATGTCTGGCGGTGGCGGCGGCGAAGAGCGGTCTTCATGAGAAGGACGATCATTGCAGCTGTATATCAAAATTATCAGAAACTTTATTTCTCCGTGAACTCGTCTTAGCTATTTGTCGATTCCCTCACTAGTCTACATAAAGCGCTTCCCCTCTACACCTCGCCTTTCAATTCACGGCTCGGATATGGCAGGGTGTGCATGCTTCGAACTCCTCTGCCCTTGCGACCAGCATCCACGACTATGAGTCCCCGGTCAGAGATAACAATTAACTCATTTTGCCGGTCGCCGAAGCGCAGCTGGTAGCACACAGCATCGAGATCAAGGATCACGGGTGATACTTCAATCGCTCCGGAGTCGGGATCTTTCCATGAACAAGGATAAATGCGATCCTCAGCATCCACCAGAGCATTAGGCTCGAGGGCCCAAATGTACAGTGTTTTCCAGGTTGCGACAGCAATGCGCGTGCCGCAACTCGAGGCCGCCACCTGGGATCCATGCGAAACATCTGCCTGCTGAAACCCTATCAGCCGTGCCACCACCGTCCACTCATCAAATCGCCTGCCACGGTCATAATTCAGCGCATGGGTACAATTCTGGGCCCGGCAGTAAGACTCAGACTTGAGAACACAGGCCACGGTCCAGTTTTGGACCCGATGAGTGGCGATCCCGAAAGCCAGATATTGCCAGTGGCAGAGAGTTCCCTGATTTGCATCACCCTGTTCATGAGTCGCATAGAATGGGATGTCAATTGCAAACTGAAGAGAGAGGGCGGATGAGTATGCCACGCTGCATGAGTTCTTGTATAGCTTGGGCTTAGGCTGGTCGAAGGATGGAAGATCGTCAATGTTCTGGAAACCACCATACAAGGTCTGGGCGCGGTAATGGTACAGCAATTGAGAACCGTCATTGATTGTCAGCCTCACCACAGGTCCTGGATTCTCCATTCCTGCAGCTCTTTCACCAATTGTGTCAGACCCTATGACAATACAGGGATCGTACGAGGCATCTAGCGCATGGTTAGAACTGTTTAGCTGCTTACGGAGGGGTAGAACCGGAGGGGCGGAACGAACCGACGGTCCTAATTACTGGGGCATCGTCAGGGAGAGTAGGTGTAGGGAGTTTGATGGAGTCACTCGTGTCGTAGTGGACAACTTCATGGACATCTTCCTTTTTTGTATGCTGCCAGGAAACCGCAAACCCACTGCGGTAGCCATGCAGAGCCTTAGGCTCATAGTCATCATGGTCAGGGAAAGCGCAGATGTGGACAACGGGAGAATCCAAGACATGGATGGCCATAAAGAGACCCCCGTTGGAGTGTAGGGCCTGTTTCACAAATGGGTGGTTGGACTCTCGATCTTCCTGGTTGACAAAGGGCTTGAATCGGTGTAGAACATGGATTGCATTGTCATCAAATGACGTTTGAAGAACTTGAATTGCTCCCTCCTTTTCTCTAGGTGATTCAAATCGCCGTCGATAGCCCAGATTGCCGTGTCGAACATAGTAATAGTAGGCGTGTGCATGTTGTTTGAAAACCAGTATCACTTGGCCTCGGTTGAGAAAGTTCAATGAGCATGCTCGCGGCTCTATCTGGAGACCCTGGACGGTGAAGATTCTGATGTCGGCATAGAATTCTGCGCCATACAGTTGCCGATGTGCCCGGTGCATTAGCAGGTCGAAAAGTCCCTTTGTTGTGAGGCTCTGGGTGTCACCAGTCTCACCAGGAGTGTGGTGGAGATGATATAGGATGGCTTCACGGCTGCTGGACGCTATCTCAAGCAGAGTGCGGCAGGCATACGCTACCTGGAAGAAGGCAGTGGTATCACAGGAGCTGAGCACGAGCTGGATCAGCTCAACAGGCAGATGGAGCATCATAGTGCTAAAAGGTCAGGCGTTGGACCATCGGGGGGTGAATGAGAAGGGAATGAGAGAAACAACGTTGATCGGAGGGAGCATTTATATGTAGCTGGCTAACTGTATGGGGGCTCGCATTGACCAAACAGGGAAGTTCTGCCTGGCGGGGCGGAAGTTGCCGTGCAGTGGAGCCTGGCTGACCAGAACTATATACGCTCTATGTAAAGTAGTGCGCCTACCTTACGGCCCTCTGAGTACATCGTTACATCTGGAGAGGATGGACTATGTAAGGTAGATTTGGAACTACTATGTCTGTTTTGGGAAGGCAGCACTAAATCAACTAGGCGCAGCTAATATCTTCCTTTCATCGGCGGGAATCTACACATTCGGAAAAAGGGCCTACAGATAACTACGGTGAGAAGACGGTCCTTTGACCATCCCAATTGACCCCCGTCTGCCTCGCAAGGTATGTATATTCAATATTGTATTTCTAGATGCCGACCCTCGCTAGTTACCGAATTAGAGAATATGAAAGCAGTCACGGCCAACGCCCAGCAAATGCAGACCGAGAGAGGAGAGAGAAGCAATAACCAGCACATGATAGGAACGGGTATATCGACGTCATCATCGCGTGAAGCACTGGCTCGCTAGGGTATGCTTCCCTGAGACACCACCCATTCGAGAACGCTCTCATAGCAGAGCACAAATTGACTGAGGTTCTGCACCATGCTGGGCCGCTGTTTCCGGAAGTCGGCAACAGTTTTAGCAATCAGATCAAGATTACGATCCCCAATCCAGCGATTCTCAGAGCCGTCGCTATGACCTTCCGTGCGTTGGCGTTTCAACATGTCTAACACACTGTCGACGGTGCAGAAAGTCCCTGTTCGCCCGCAGCCTGCGCTGCAATGCACCAACACGGGTCGTTGTCCGTTCGGATCTGCTTCATCGCGATTGTAGCGGGGGCTGCTGGTAGCGCGGATCACCTTATTGCACTGCTCGATCAACTCAAGCAGATGACTAGGCTGTGACGGCGTTCCAAAGTCCGGCCAGTAGGGATATTGAAGCTGCGTGATATCCCGCAATGGTTGGAATGGGAAAGCTGTGTGGCAGAGGCTGAAATGTCGCTCGATAATGACAGGATTTTCGTTGGTCTCATCGTCGCGAGGGGATTGCATAGCCCCAGCAGAATGAACCGGTTGGTCCTTGGATTCAACGTGGATATATCGCTCCGAATAGGCCTTGACCTTGAATGGCCCATAATCCCCAGAGTCCCAGTAAGGGTGGCACTTCACCTGTCCTCGCTCGACTTCTGCGGTGAGAGACACAAGGAGTCGGACATCCTGTTCCCATACCACACGCCAAAAGTCCTGGTGGGGCAAAGGTAAGCAGCAAGAAGATGGGACAGGGACCGATAGGTGGCACTCACATTAAACGTGTCTGGCACAGGAGCCTGAGTAGCAATATACCGTCGATTGCTAAATTCGGCTTTGATGTGGTTGGCGTTCACATAGTCGCAACTCCCAGATGGGATCCCCTCAAGTCGGACCCGGGAATGATCAAAGGGATAGATATCGTTGTACCGATTTTTCGTGCCTTTCTCGATACCGGCAACGAGGTATTTCTTGGGCGGGCCGCCTGTCGAGCTAGATGATCCATCATAGCTCAACGCCGATTTCATACGCTCCAGCTCCCTTTTCTCCAAATCCAAAAATCTCTCCGAAACAAGATGCCCCTCATCCTTTGGATCCGAAGTATCTTGCAACCACGCAGGGAGTGACTGTCGTTTTTCCTCGGTCAAGTGATCAGGCTGCCGGAGAGGGACTTGGCCAACTCCGCCGAGAAGATCCATGTTTTGTCGAATGTTTCCGAAAAATGGGGTCACGGCCGAGGATGATTCTGGGAGGGCGCACCCGCCAACAACAGGTGCCACCGATCGGATGTTGAGGCTATTCGGAAGAGTATTCTGGTTGGATAAGGCCGCCTGCGGTTGTGGTGAGGGTTGTTGAGTCAAGTGTGGGAACCGGTTTGAAAAATCTTTGAAGCCACCGCGAAGAATCAAACCTCTGCCCTGCCATTCTTCTGCCTGGAACTTGCTGAGCACGTTCAGAAGAGGTACCGCATCCTTGACATCCGTCGTGGAGGAGTCGTAAACAATTATGGCGCTGCACTCTCTCCATCGAGCGAAGTTCTGTTTATCGGCGTCGTCGGTGAAGGTTCCCTCGAGTTTTTGAGTGCCAAATGAGCGGCGCTTGAGTAGCGTGGTGGGAATACACAGATTCAGTGATCCTCTAATGCTGCCCTGCGCATAATGAGCGTACGGGCGGACATCCAGCAATAAGGTCTCTTGCTGGGATGACTGTAATAGTTCCGCGCATCTGTCCGAAGATATCCAAAACTCCCTTGATGTTGAAGATGAATGCGATGCCGACGCTGACAGTATTGCAACTGGATTAGCAATGCACCGACTCTCTCAGATAGAAAGGACATACCATGTGATGAAGAAAGCTTTCTCCTCGAGCTGGGCCCTGCAAAATGTCGGTCTTGCGGGTAACTGATACCTGGATCTTCTATCTCTGGGGTGTGTGAAGGCACGCCACGGCCAAATGGTGCTTGCGATCCACTGAGGGATGAGCGGTGCTGAATGACGGACTCCCTGCGTCTTTTATCGGGTTCGGACTCGGTCTTTAGAAGGTTCACCAGGCCCTCGGAAACGGTGTTCTGAGGGTACAATTGCAGTTTTGGACTTGGCAGTGAGGACTGCGTGGGCGGTAATGAGCCCCAATTTTTCTGCGTATGGGGTCCTGGGCTAGAAGCTGGGGGGTTGCTCGAGTTTTCCACCATGATGCCGAAGTAGTTGGGACTCTGGTCGGCATAGGACCCGGCAGAGAGGATGCCGGGGTTGGACGGAGACAAGCCGGGGTGTCCGGTAGGGAAGTGCAGGGCGTGCGTTGCACTGCCATCCCGACGATGCGCACTCTGTACCCACGAGGAAGAGGGCGAATGCCCAGGGCCCGTCATGGCAAACGAGCGGGCAGCCGCTCTGAATGCAGCTAGCTGGAGGGGAAGCAAGACGGGATCAGACTGCCTCACGACGGGTCATATCCTGGATCAATTGAGCTGGGATGGACGAACAGGGTGGAAATTTTTTCAGGACGAGATGAAGGATGAGATTAATGGCATATGGTGAAAAGATGAGAAACAAAGAGGGCAGGAAGGAAGGAGGAGGCAGTAAAAGGGTCAGCTGGTGACGGTGGCGAGGAATAGGCTAGGCCTGGGGAAGAGGACCCGATGCAGGCGTCTGACCTGACGTAGGGACGGACTGACTGACTCGGGGCGAGAAGAGGCGACCAGTAGTCAGTGTGGGGGATGAACGCTGATATCACGGCTGAGTAATTGTGGAGCGTTTCTAGAAGCAGCAATGACGTAGGTGCCTAGGGAGTCCCTGCTACGATGGACGATTCTACCTTATAGTTACTAACTACATAGGGACCGCGTAGTGGCCTGCAGGCGGTGTCTCTATTTCTGGTCGGTCGTGTACATATATATCATCATCGTCACCACCTACAGCCGCCCGTCCGGTTCGCCCTGGAATCGCTGCACCCGTTTCTGCTCCCAACTGTCCAGGTCCTTGGCCATGAGCCGCTGTCAACATCCCCTCCATTAGCATCTTTCCCCCGACAGTCGGTAGAACATACGTAGTATTCCTCTTTCTCGTCCCCGACAATGCGCCTTCGGGGGTTCCGCTTGATTCCCTCTTCCCCGTCCGACCCCTTCAGGCCCAGATCCATTGCTTCTGCCTGGCTGAGTTGTTTGACTTTGCGATCGTAGCGCTCATAGCGCACTGCCGCGGCGGGGGTCAAGGCGAAGGAACCGGCGACGATGATCGCGATAAACGGGAACCCGAACAGAAGAAATGGGTGCCGGGCCAGCCGGGCGCGGTAGAAGGCGCCTAGCTTTTCTCCAAGGGAGGATGAGGCCGTGGTCGCCCGGCGATACGTCTTGGATTGGAAGGTAGGCATGAACCGAGGATGATTATTGACGAAAAGCAAGAAAGAAGCACGAAAGCTAGAAAGGATCGATTGGGCAAAAAAGATGGTCGGATCATCGATAGTCCGGAGCTGGTGCAATTGTTTATCGCGAACTGGCTGCGGCTTCCCCAATTCACCTTTGCTTCTTTTCTCGGCTCTTAGTCCCCATCATCCCTCACGTCGCGCGTATCTTCGTTCTTCTTCTCGGCCCAGCTGCCACATCCTCCTCGTCCATGACCTCCAACACGGGCTCTCTCTTCGGAGGGAGTGGTCTTGGGGCGGCCACAACCGCCCAAGCACCAAGCCTGTTCTCAACCAACAGGCCGACACTGGGCTTGGGCACTCAATCGACTGCGCCTACACAGGGTGCCCAGACTTCTTCACTCTTTGGTCCATCCCAGACCCAGCAACAGCCAACCCAGACCTCTTCTCTGTTCGGGGGACAATCTCAGGCCCAGCAGCAACCGGCCCAACCCTCGTCGCTATTTGGAGGGCAATCCCAAGCTCAGCAACAGCCAGCCCAATCTTCTATTCTCGGCCAGTCCCAACAGCCGGCCACCGATGGACAGGCGCAGGGTCGGGCTTCTACCCAGGCAACGCAGCCTGCATTCTTCAACAGCCTGTTGGAGCGGGGCAAAAAGCGTCCGCTGTCTGCGACTGGTCAAAATGGCAACTTTGACGAGATCCCCAGCCTCCAGTTGGGTCTGGATGACATTCGGAGAAAAGCGAGAGAGCTTGGCACCGCAGGACAGAAGGATACCCAGCAGGCGGGCACGGCTAGCAAGGCGTAAGTCGAATCCTTCTTGTATTTTTTGGGGCAATATTTAAGCTAACTCTGCTGTTATTGCAGCCACTACCTCCTTGCGGCTTCTGGGATCTCCCCAGGACGGGCCTTGCGCGACCTCAAGTCTCTGGATCCGCAGGCATCCATCTCCGCTGCGGCAGCGAAAGAACAGGACAGCTTTGACCCGGATAACCAGAGGTTTCTGCGCAACATTCAGCAGCGTGGCCGCCAAGTCATGATTGCGGAGAGCTTAGCCCGGTCTCAGAGAGATTTTGACGCATTCCTAGAAGAGAAGGTGGATATGGACTGGGAAGACCAGCGTCAGAAGATTTTCCATCATTTTGGTCTCTCCCAGAAAGATGCTGGTGGGGACCTGAAGGCCACCGCGCGCGGTGCTTTTGGACGGTCTACACGACAGTCCAAGCTGACGGGCTCCAGTTCCGCTCATGGTCCCACCGCCGCGTCTCGTAGGAGCGTTTTCGGACGCTCTGGCCTCGAGAAATCGGTGATTGGGACACCCGGGGCGGGATTAGCAAGCCGTCAGCTATTTGAGGATCCGGCCGAGCGCAATGAAGGAACCACTGTCCACTCAGCGGACCTCCGGTTCTTGCGAGAGAAGATGGGTCACTATGCCGAGAAGGTCCAACAGCTAAACACCGTCAGACTACAGAAGCAGATCTATCCCATCCTTCATGAGTTCGCAGATGTCGAAAAACGCACGGGTGGCGATGTAAGTTATAACACTTTGATCGTGTTTGATTTTATTCCAACTGATAATTTCTTACCCAGGCTCCTCGACAATTGGTCGATGCATATGGAGCCCTCATTCGAGTCGTCCGTGAGAATGCAAGCATTTCTAGTCCGTCTGACCCGGGTGCTGTACGGGAGCGACAGTATGCCGATGACTACTTGGAAGAATCAGTCAAATCCCGCAGGGCCATCAATCTCCGGAAGCAGATTCTCGAAGGGTCAAAGGGATTCCTTGAGAATCTGTTCTATAACGAGGTCGAGAATGTCATCGCCAAGAATCCGCGTGAGGCACAGCTGGGCGGCATTCCCAGCGTGATCAACAAGATCCGCGGCTACATTCGCCTTCGGGCAGCCAGGAAGGATTTGGCGCCAGATGGGACCGAACTCCAGATGGTTGGTCAAGACTACTGCTGGATCCTGATTTTCTACCTTCTGCGATGTGGATTCATCACCGAAGCGGCGGAATATGTCAGCCAGGACCCCGGTTTCCGCTCTCTGGATCATAAGTTCGTAACATACATGACCACCTATGCGCAGAACAGACGCCTGCCACGCGACTTGCAGCAGAAGATCAATGGCGAGTATCAGCAACGTTCGCGGAATGCGCCTGACAACACTGTCGACCCCTATCGGATGGCCTGTTACAAGATCATTGGCCGCTGTGATCTCTCCCGCCGTCGCTTGGAGGGCATCAATCAAAGTGTGGAGGATTGGATGTGGCTGCAGTTCAGCCTTGCTCGAGAAGACGATCGCGCGGAAGAGGTGGCGGGTGATGTTTTTGGGCTGGAAGATATTCAGACCGACATCACTGAGATCGGACAACGCGTCTTCACCAAGGGCCAAGAAGGGCCGGGTGGCTATGGAACTTTCTTCCTTCTCCAAATCCTGGGGGGAATGTTCGAGCAAGCCGTGGCCTATCTGGGCACCTATTCGCCGGTCACTGCGGTGCATTTTGCCATTGCGTTAGGGTATTATGGTCTTTTGCGTGTATCCGACTTCTACACGTCTGGAGAGGAGATCTGTAAGCTAGGCTCCCCATTTCCTCCATTGGTTTTTACTAATACAGTGCCTCGCTGCAGTATCCTTCACTGTGAAACAGTATCCCCAGATCAATTTTGGGTACCTCATTACACAGTACACCCGCGAATTCCGCACTGGATTTGTTGAGGCCGCCATTGATTACTTCACCTTGATCTGTCTCAATGCGGACCTCCCAGGCTCGCTGGGCAAGTCTCAGGCCTCAGTCTGTCACGAAGCGTTGCGCGAATTCATCTTGGAGACCAGAGATTTCGCCAAGCTGCTCGGTGACATCCGGGCTGACGGTACCAGAATCAAGGGTGTGATCGAGCAGCGCCTCGACTTAATCAATCTGGAAGACCAGCAGGAATTCCTCAAAACCATCACGGTCCAGGCGGCGGCAGTGGCCGACGACAAGGGTTTGATCACCGATGCCGTTCTTCTGTACCACCTGGCCGAGGATTACGACCGCGTCATTGATATCATCAACCGGGCTCTGTCAGATGCGATTGCGGTCGAACTAGGGGGTGTTCTGCCGAAGCTGCAGCCTCTTCGTCCGCGAGTCGAGCAGGGTCAGGATGGTCAGGCCGCACATGCAGGCACCCCTGATCCTGGCAGCAGTCTCAGCTTGACGGCCGTAGATGACCCGGTCGTCTTGGCGAAGAACATGATCAGCCTCTACAATTCAAACACACTATATTGGCAACAGATCCGACAGATGAACCGGGATGCCTGCGGGCTGCTTCTTCGCCTGATGGAAGCCAAGATTCTCGTTGAAGCCGGGCGTTGGACGGTGGCACTCGATGTAGGTACAACAGCCCCTTGGTTCTTTTCTCCTGCTAACCGCACTTTGCGTAGGCTATCAATCAGCTGAACGTTCTTCCGCTGCAAGCTCACGGGTCTGTCCCGTATATCCGCAGCGCCGCACAGGCCTTCTCGTCCTTCCCTCCCATCATCTCGCGCAACATCGGGCATGTCATCATGTGGAGCATTACCTGCATCGGCCATGAGCGCGAACGTCAGAACTCCGGGCAGTATGACAATGAGACGCGACAAGGTATGGCGGAGAACCTGCTGGTGTCGGCGAAGGATCTGATGATCTTCTCGGGCATGGTGAAGTACAAGTTGCCGCCTCGGGTCTACGAGACTCTTGCTCGGGCTGGTGCGGACATTGGAGCTTATTAGTGAGGGAGCTTTGTAGAACGGTAATACAGAGATAGTCTCATAATCAACCGGGGTGACTTGCATTGCTAGTAGGAATTGGTGCTTTATTTACTATGTATTGTTGTAGTTACTGTAGATTACCTCTTGTTTGGATCCTGAACTATATATTCTTAGACGAACGCCAAGGCTCCCGAGCGGGTCTGTCGCGGGTTCTCTTCTTCCTCAACTCCCACGCTCTGCTTGCGACTCATGCGCTCCACCATGAAGTGACTGTCGCGTCGACGGTTCGCGTGCTCCATTCGTTCTCGACCAAGCGAGACCCTAAAGATTCGACCTCACCGCTGCATGGGTCTCACGGATATCGGTGCACACCGCCACCCATTGCGGCTCACATGATGAACCATGCCTCCGATGCGCTGGCCTTGAGCCCCCCAGCAATGGCCCCCGACAGTGAACTAGATCCTACGCCTACCGAAGATGCCAGACAAACAGAAGATGGGCTGGACAGCGCAGACCGAGGTGCCGATCCGGTGCATCCCCCCGCTTCAGATGCGATGGACGAGGACCTGCCCAATGCCGAGAACACGACGCCTCCAATAAACTTGACCAATGCTCTTGCAAAACAAGATCCATCAGAAGAGCCACACGAGGCCAGCACACAAGCCCATAGCGACAACCCGGACAACAACCGGAGCGCTCCTGGGGCGGGGAACAACCCCAGCCTCTTCAGCAACCCCCCAAACCTTTCGCGCATACGAAGAGTCTTGTTTGAGTGCAAGGACCCGATTGAGATTAGCATGAGCGAGTTCGAGACCTACTGGCCCTTTATTGACAATGTCTGGGTCAAGCAGAGGTCAAATTCCAGCAAGGAAGGCCATTGCACCACGGACTACTATATGTGTCGCCTGCGGCGCCCGACGCACCGTCCATCAGAAAGCCGGCCACTGCCTGAAGGCAAGCGTCCACGGAAGAAGCGCGTTCGGGAGGGGGGCCTATGCAACTTCCAAATCAAAGTGGTCCGGTCCGAAGGCGCATACTCGACCGTCACCATTGCCCGCACCCCCGGCAGCAACAATGTCCATTCGCACGACCTCGACCACCTCGACCGAGTGAAGCGTAACTCGGGAGTCATGGAATATGCCCGGAAGGAGTCGGTCAAAGGCTATCTGCCGTCGTCTATCTACACCAAACTCCAGGAAGAACCCGACGAGCTCGCGGAGGCCGGCGGGAGGTTTCTCACTGTGACTGATGTGCGCAATGTCTCCGCCAAATGGCGCCTACAAAACCCTGATGCCAAGCTCGCTGCACACGAGGGCTATGAATACCAGAAGGGATACGGAATCGTCAAGTCTCGGAAAGCCGATGGTGTTCAGGAACGACCAGCGAGACCGACAGCACCCCAAACTGCACCGGGTGCCCTGGCCTTTCCCCAGTTTCCTTTGGAGTTCCTGGACCCCTATCTTCCCAAACATGACCAGCCGCGCCAACTGCCGCAGGTCACATTAACGTACGCCGCATCGATGGACTCTATGATCTCGCTCCAGCCTGGCATGCAGACGGTCCTCTCGGGGCCCGAGTCCAAGCTGATGACGCACTATCTACGCTCACGCCATGACGCGATCCTCGTGGGAGTGGGCACCGTGCTGGCGGACGATCCAGGGCTGAACTGCCGTCTGGACGGAGCCGGGGGGTATGGAGGACTAGGACGCATGTGGCAGCCACGGCCAGTGATAATTGATCCCATGGGACGGTGGCCAGTCCATCGCGAATGTCGCGTGCTCCGAACCGCCGTGGAGGGGAAAGGCAAAGCTCCCTGGATTGTCATCTCCCCCGCGGCTCAGGTCCCGCCGGAGAGGGTGATGATGCTCAAGGACTACGGGGGCGACTATCTTCGCATTGTGGAATACAACGAGGGCTGGCGTCTCCGCTGGGAAGCCATCCTCCGGGCGCTGGCGCTCGAGGGCATCAAAAGCGTCATGATCGAGGGCGGTGGCACAGTGCTGAGCGAGCTGCTCAACCCGGAGTATACCAGCTTTGTGGACTCGCTGATTGTGACCGTGGCGCCTACCTATCTTGGGCGCGGCGGAGTGAGCGTCAGTCCCGATTCGAAACGCAACGAGGACGGACAGCCCAGCGCGGCGCTCCGGCCTCAGCAGGTGCGGTGGACGACATTAGGACAGGATGTGGTGATGTGTGGACGGGTGCGACCAGACGAGTAGTAGTGCCTTGGTAATAATTAATGACTATAGTAGCACATACCTGAGTATAGTGGCTGAAAGGATAGTAGTGACCGAAGAGATGATGAATGATGAATGAATGGGTGAAACAAACAAAGAAAACCAGGCCCGTCAGAATGCTGGATTTTTTTCTCCCTCCCGACGCGTCGCTCTCTTTCCCCTTTCACACCTCTTGTTCTTCCTTTCCTCTCTCCTAACATTCCTCACCGGATTTTTTCCTCTCGCTCCTTCTTTTTCCTTCCCATTGACTATGCCCCCTAAGAAGGCTTCTGCCGCGCCCAAGAAGGCTGCGGCCAAGGCTACGGTGATCTCCAAGTCTACCACGGCCACCACTACCTCTCGCGGCCGCAAGACCGCCACAACAGAATCCAAGACTGTGCCCAAAATCACCAAGCCGCGTACTACCAAGCCCTCCACGAAGGAAATGTCTTCGACCTCGAAGAAGCGCAAGGCCGAAGCCGTCGAGGAGAAGCCGCGCGAGCTCAAGAAGGCGCGTGTTACCCAGCTGCGCGAGCCCAAGCCGAAGGTCGTCATCAATGAAGCTCCCAAGGATCGCTTGAATGTCTTCGTCTGTGGTGAAGGTAGCTCCGGTGAGCTTGGTCTGGGCGCCGCGAAGAATGTCATCGACGTCAAGCGCCCGCGTCTCAATCAGCTTCTCTCTGCGGCACAGGTTGGCGTCGTGCAGCTCGCCGTCGGTGGCATGCACTGCATTGCCCTCACGCACGACAACAAAATCCTCACCTGGGGGGTCAACGACCAGGGTGCGCTGGGACGGGACACCGCTTGGGAGGGTGGTTACAAGGAGATTGACGACAATAGTGACTCGGATTCGGACGACGATGACAGCGGGCTGAACCCCCGCGAATCTACACCGACCGCTATCCCCTCGGAAGCCTTCCCCAAGGGTACGGTCTTCGTCGAGGTCGCTGCGGCTGACAGCTCGAGCTTCGCTGTTACGGATGATGGCCAGGTCTTTGGTTGGGGTACCTTCCGGGTAAGTCCTACGGGTCCCACTTTGCATGACATTCTAGTCCTAACGTGTAATATCCTAGAGCAATGATGGAATCCTGGGGTTTGACGCGACTCATCAGGTCCAGAAAACGCCGGTTCTGATCCCCGCTCTCAAGAAGATTAAGCACTTGGCCTGTGGTGCCAACCATGTTCTCGCCCTAAACGACAAGGGAGGCGTCCTCTCCTGGGGCTCTGGGCAGCAGAACCAGCTAGGCCGCCGGATTGTGGAACGCAACAAGCTGAATGGCCTGCAACCGCGGGAGTTCGGCCTTCCCAAGAACATCGTGCACATCGGCTGTGGATCCTACCACGCCTTCGCCGTCCACACATCCGGCAAGGTTTATGCCTGGGGACTCAACAGCTTTGGTGCAACCGCCATCCGTGAGGGCGCTGGCGAGAGTGAGGCGGCTATTGTGCACCCGACCGTTGTCAAGGCACTCTCGGGCCGAAACGTGGAGCAGATTTCCGGCGGTTCTCACCATTCCATTGCGCGCACCACCGAGGGTGAGTGTCTGGTTTGGGGCCGCCTGGATGGTTACCAGAGTGGCTTGAAGGTCGATGCACTCCCCGACGATGCGGTCATCAAGGATGAACGCAACCGCCCGCGCATTCTGATCGAGCCCACCCCCATCCCTGGCATCAAGGCCAAGGTGGTTGCGGCCGCCTCGGACCATTCGCTCGCTATTGATGCGGACGGCCGTGCCTGGTCCTGGGGATTCTCGGCCACGTATCAGACCGGCCAGGGCACCCAGGATGATATCGAAGTGGCCACCGTCATTGACAACACGGCCACTCGCGGCAAGAAGCTGAATTGGGCTGGTGCTGGTGGCCAGTTCTCTGTCTTCACCGAAGTTGCTACCTTGTGAGCGTGGCCTTGAGTGCCGTGCGCACGCCAATTTTTTCATGTTCTCTACCATTTATTCTTTGATCTCGGTTTGCCTTCAGAGCCAGTCTTGTTTTTTCCTCGACAAACTCCGCGTCTCCAGCATGTAGAATTAGTTTCCTTTCAACCAGCGTGTTTTTATTCGTCATCCTCCGTGACACCATGAATACCACTTCTCCAAGTACGAACAATAATCGAGTTGCACGGAATGGTGTATATCATTGCTATCGTCAAAAGGTCATTATGGTTATAGTAAGCACTACATTCCCAGCTCCTCCATGGCTTCATATTCCGCGTCAAAGTCATCCACACTTCTCCCCGGTGCCCTCGATAGTCCACCAGCATCGGCGGGACTCTCTTCATCTTGTTCCCTTAGAATATCATCGAGATCATCTTCAGGCTCGGGATGGCTGACGGTAGGTACTGCGTCCGCATTATCGGAGAAGAACAAATCCTGACCGTCAGACTCTTGTTCACGGGGCGTTGGCCGTTTGGTTGAGGCAGGGAGCAAGGCATCATTCTGGTCTGCTGGAGCGATGTTGGCAGGTTGGTCTGCGATGGGAATCGAGGCCTGTGGCGCGTCGTCGGAGGGATCAAACAACTTCAACTTCTCTTCATTGATCCATTCCCGTCGCATGGTTTGTATGCGCTTGGAATGGCCCAGCTTTTCAATCATCGCCAGGCCATCGGCGAATTTCGCTTTTGGGAATAGGTCATCCAGCCAGAGTTGGTAGAAGTTCAGAAGGCGGGCCGCATCCGAAAACTGTTGTCGTGCTCTCAGGTCAGTCATTGACATCCTTTCCGCCAAATAGATCGAGACAAACCTCGTGGCCTTTGCCTTTGAATCGCAGTTTCTGCTTGGCGGTGCGTCGCAGCTTTGGGATGCCGGGCTGTGAGAGCAGACTAGCGAAAGTGTCAGCCATCCCTGCGAATCTTGCCAGATGGGGACCGTACTCACCGAGCTTCGTCTAGTTTGGCGACAGGTTGTCTTTTCTTGGTGACTTTGACCTCTTCGTCGAGACCCAGGCCGGCAGAGTCTCCCGGTGCCGGAGGGTTGGACGCGTTGTTGGCGGCAGTGGTGTCTGGAACGACCTCATCGAGGCCAATATCATAATTAAAGAGATCGTTGAGGTCGTCTGCTGTTGGTTCTGGAGACATTGCCTCTGCCAAGGTTGGTACGGTGAGTAGGAAGATAGTTAAACACGCGTGTTGACGCGATCTCGTGATGCTCCCTGTCCACCTCAGGCACCAACTGCTGACCTAATCCCATCGTCCCCATCCGGGCTAGCGCGCCAATCACACACCTCTTGTCTCTCTCTCTTTCGTCTCCCTCCGCTTTAGTCTGCTGTTTCCCGCAAACCTCCCCCTCCTCCCCGTCATGGCTTCCGAGCAAGCAATTGTGCCGCCCAAGCGGGCCAATACGGATTATCCTGTATGTTGTCTCTTCCTCGCTACACTGAGCCTCACTAACCGCCTCCCTCCAGTTGATTGACTCCGATCCGTATGCGCTATCATACTCCCACCCCCGTGCTTGAACACTCACCAACACTTCCTCTAGGCATCTGCGACGGGTCTTCGGATATGCCCGGCCTTCCGATTATGCCGTGGCCGGTGGCATGGCCTCCGTTTCTCCCATTGCTTTCTGGGTCATGGAGCGAGTGAGCCCATCCTACGTCGGCCGCGGGGGTTCCCGCCGGTCATGCGACTGGCAACGGCCATTGGTTTGATTGGTGGCCTTCACATCTTCTATCAGCGATCTACTCGTATGTGTTCTCAGTTCGGTTCCCACTTTGACGGATTTCCCGGCTCACCGCTGTCTTTAGAACGCTTTTACGGGTTCACCGAGAACTCGCGCGAGGTCGAGAGGGATATGCGTGAGATGGTTGATAAGGTCAAGAAGGGTCAGCCCCTGTACGGCACCTCGAGCGTGTCCTCCTACCTCCAGGGTGTGGCCGCTCGCAACTCCCGGTACTCGGAGTTGTTCGTCCACATCATCCCGTGGTTCAACCTTGTCAACCACGACCAGGTAAGCTTTGTGGATTCAGGTGGCTGTGGTGATGATACTAATATTGTCATAGCACGGTATCGACACGGCAAAATATTACCAGCAAGCTGAGCGGGAGCTAGAGGCAGAGCGTCTGGCCAAGGGGTCTTCCTGAAGCCTGGAAAAATTGGAAAGCACCATTCACGGCTGACTCGGTGTTTTCTTGCAGGCTTGTACACATATTTTACTTTGTGTTTGATTTTTATTTCCTAGGGCGCAATTGCAATTGATAAAGATAAATCTTTTGTTCGATTCCCTGCGAGAAAACAACGGACCAGGTCGCCGTGGGGGTATAGTACAATGCATCCAGTAGAATAAAACCCAGCACCTCTCACGCTGGCAGAATGGTTTCGTCATCCTCGAATCTAGTATTCAACTCACGATTCTTCTTGGGTCGGGGATTGGGTGCTGCTGGGACATGAGCAACTGGTTGTATCTCTATGGCGCTTCACATACCTTTCTCATTCTCTTGTATGTAGAAACGTCGGAGCAGCATGATGGCTTCTTTCTGAAAGAGACCCCCGAACACCGGATATGGAGGGTCAATCGATGGACTGCATTTCCCGGTCAGCCCATGATTCGATTCTTTTGAATTGAACGACAGAGACAGACTCTGAATGCAAGGGGAGCACACCGCCGGTGCCGCCAAACCGCTCATTGGCACAGCCGAAATACACCCGGCGGATGCGGTACTGCTTCAGCGCCGAGGCACACATCACACACGGCTCGACGGTCACGTAGAGGTCGGCGGAGGCCAATGCCGACCTAGGGTACGTTTGGAGCATCTCTGCAATGGCGAGAAACTCGGCATGCCTGGTTCCCTGGAACGAGTTGAGTCGCTGTAGCAGTGAAATACGCGGATTTCTTACGTTCAAGGATCGGTTGGTGTCGTTCATGCCCCACGCTACAACCTGGTCGTTGTAGACCAGCACGCATCCCACCGGGGTTTCGCCGGACTGGAGTGCTTTCTCGCCCTGCAAGAGCAATGAGCCATCCGCCGAAGGAAAGAATGGGAAGCACGTACCATTCGCAATGCCTGTTTCATGAAGTCGGCATGTTTCGAGGCGTCTGGCATGTTGGGAAAATCCTCCAAGTCCATATTGATGACAGAAAAAAAGATGAGGTCGAGGAGAGCAGAATATGTTGTACTAGAATGGAAGAAAGCGAGTGCCTTACTTAAGATACCATTCGTGCCTCAGGTGTCGATATCAACACGCGCCTGTCTCGTTTTCCTCCCGCGCACATCGGTTCGTAACCAACCACCCCTGGACTATGCGTGTTCCTGATGGCCCATGACGGAGACACGGTGCATGTTTCTGCGCCGGACCACGGCTGGAGACCCGCCCAGCCGGCCTCCTCCACGCTTGCCGCACAGCTCGCGCCGCATCTGGCGTCGCAAGGGCCGGACACTCATCGCCTGACGCGGCAGACCTTCTCGCAACTGCGTCAGGAGCTTCTGAGCGAACGACACAACCAGCTACGTGTGGACGAAACGGTGACCGATGTCAACAAACTGATATGCATTGTCCTCAAGGCCGGTCTGGAGCCCAGTTCCGGGGGCAGACCCCCAGAACATGACTTCGAGGGCCAAGTACTGGACTGCTTGGACATCATTCAAGCGAGTATTGACAAAGCCCCCCAAGCCCTGTGGGACTCGGCGGACCCTCACATATTGAGCGTGGATGTAGCGGCACCGCTGTTTGCCTGGTTAATACTTCGTTTGATCAAACTGACCAATAGCTGGCATTCGGAGGTGACGCAGGAAAGGATTCGACACATATTTACCAGCATAGTGTATGCCCAATTCAAGCAGTTCCGACCATTGTCCTCAAGCTCTGGGGCTTCTGCCTTTCTGCGCGCTTGCACATCAGGTTGGTGAACAGTTCCTCTCCGAGAACATCAATTGATCCATTCTAACTCGTGACAGATATTCTCTGCGCCCTTGAGCGCTTTCAATCTACCCTGATATCAGCGCAATTATCCATACCCGCACCAGAGGGGTCGCTTCTCGCGGACTTGATTCACCTGAACCTTCCTCCAGGGCTGTTGGAGCAAAATGCAGCGCTCGGCACATTTTGCCAAACAGTCTCCTTAGTTTCCCACTTACTGGGCTCATTCCTGCCCAGGACAAAGTCACGCCACCAAGGCAACCGCCAGGACTCCATTCTGCGCCAGAATCTTTCGTGGTTTCTCAATGGACATCACCGCCTCCGAACTATCATCCTCAGATGGCTGCGAAAGCCTGGAACAGACATCCGTCAAGAGGAAGGGCAAATTTCTGTTCAGTATTTGGAACATGTGCACCGCTTCTGCATCGCTGAACCAATTCCATCAGGCCCGCTGTCAGGCCCAAGTTTAGTAGACACTTGGTCCCAATGTCTGGCCGAATTTCTCGCAATTGACACTCTGAAACAACTTTCGACTCTCCAGACTGGGCTGTGTTTCTTTCTGAATGACCTGTCACAACGGACGCGGAAATCCGAGTCAGTCGTGCGGCAATTGCAAGAGTCGCTGTTGCCCATGTTATCCGAGATCCTGAACAGATATGCGGTCTTGCAGCCTTTGGATTCAGGGCTAAAGGTAAGCAACTCACCCTCACGTGCAACCTTCCGCACTTTCTTAACTACTCTCGCATCAGAACTCAATTCTCAATCTTCACTCCGACTTGATAACCCCGAGACATGTCACGCGTTCAATCGGCAAATCATCCGAAGATGGCACTGTTGAGCCTGGTTCTGCGAGTCAAAGAGCCGGGATTTCGGACCAGCAGGCAGAGCTGAATGGAGAGTCCCGGGCATCAAAACGATTATGTCTTCCAGCATTGCCGGTCAGGTCCATAGATCAAGGTTCGCTTCGGTCACTCCTGACAAGAGTATCGGAATTACTCGGTTGCCAGGATATTGAAAGCCTGCCAGGGCTGAAACCTGCAATTCAGTGAGTCGTCACATGCCATCCTCTTTGAGATCTGCTTTACTCATTTGTTAATGTAACAGAAGCGTGTACGATGGGCTTAACGAACCGCAAAGATGCGAGGTGCTGGATGTCATAGGCAAGATTTCCTGTAGCGCTGCCGGAAACCTGTCGAGAAAACATTCTGAAGTCACCACACAAGACACCCTGTACTGTGAACTGTGTGACAATGAGCAATACCAAGACGATCAGGTCCTTGGTCATGAATATCCCGACCTTGAAGATCTGTGGAATATCTTCAACTTCGTCTTACCCAAGCTCACACGCACTCCTGGGCCTCGCATAGCGGCAATGATTGCTCTGAGAAGGGTTCTAATGCACTCCGCGAACTCAAATGAAATGCACCTATCCTCCTCCTCGTGTGGAGAATTTTGCCTTCACTCCCTCCGAAGCTCCAACAGAGAACTGCGAGTGGCAACTGGGTATGTTGTGTGCCTACATACTGCCTGACACGACTGGGGCTAACAGAATTACAGGCATTCAGTCGTGGCCTTTGTTCGTTCCACTCTACAGCCCGACATTCGTCACGCCAATTTCGTCATTGTCCTGGAATGGCTGAAAAACCTATCCGAGAAGGAGGACATACCACTGCATGAGACTTGTGTCATAACACTATGTCGACTGGCCAGGTATGTGGACTCTTCCTTTGGCTAGCTATTGTGTATTGATCTGTCGCAGAGTTTCGGACGATGACGAGAAGAACCTCATTCTTCTACGTCTCCTGGAATATTTAGGACATCCAAATCCGTATGTCTGCGCAGTGGCATATAATGAAGTAAGCACATTTTTCTTCCTAATTATTGCCACATCCTCTTGAGCTTTATTCTTTATTTTGGTGCGTCCCAGTGCTAATAGTTGGACCTAGCTCTCCAAGCTTGCACAACAGTTCGCCCTGACGCCTGCCGGTCTATTCCGACCTTATTGGCGGACACTCTCGGTGACAGTCGTCAAAAACCTTCAGTTCCGCCCATATATGGCAGAGCAGCTCTGCGAGTTACTTGGTATGAAGGTTGACGGTTTTCTTCGGCTGACAGAGGTCCATGTGCTCCCCTACCTAGTGTTGACGCGGAAACGAGACATCATATGTCGAATCGGTGCAAGTCGCAATGAGGGCGAGTCACCTTTTGATGTCTGTTCGGAGAAGAATAATCTGGCTGCAATCCTTGCTTTTCTTTTGTCCCAGCCGTCAAGCAATCCTGAAGCTATGATCATGTCCCTGCTGGCGGAAATTGATTCTGCTTTCAAGGGTCGAACCCTGGCAGAGTTGGTTCGGATCGAACCAATTCTCATTGCCTGCGATTTACTGAAAGGCCTTGGGGATGCTGGAGAGCAACACAAGGAAAGGGTGAGTGCTTCAATGATCGAGCCATGTTTGCTGTTATTTCTAATGCTTATTCAAAAAATTCTAGTTCTATCAAGCACTGCGTCGCCTAGCCAGTTTTGTCCCTCGAAAAGTCGTGCATGGAACGTCATCCAAGAAGGCTGATCTCCTGAGCCATTTTATCGAGGAACATGTGCTTGGTATCATCACTCAATTTGCGAATGCCATCAACGACTTCCAAGTGCGGCAGACTTTGGCAGAAAAGAGAAGAAATATCCGAGCCATTGAAGAAATGATCGAGATTGCCCAGGGTCACGTCAGCAGCGGACTGCCTCAAGTCTGCGCCTGTCTACGCTCCGCACTCGAAATAGAAGAGCTCTGTGACTATGCTTTCTCCGCGTGGAAGACATTGATCAGTTCATTGGACGAAGAGGAGATTGAACCTCTTATTGACCAGACCCTGGCGATTGTGGTGAGATATTGGGGCAACTTGACTACCGCAAGAAGAACTCAGGCGTGTCAGCTTGTCGACGATATCTTGACAGATCACCCAAATCTCGTTCGTGACACATTTAACATCATGCCCTCCCTGGCCTCAATCCCCGAAATGGTTCCTTTCGAGGACAAGATTAACCAGTTGAGGGTGCAAATGGATGTTCGAAGCCAATTTATGGCTTTCATTCGCCGCTGTCAGAGTGAAAATGCCACTGTTGTCGAGCAGGCACTGAAAGAACTGCTGCCTTTCCTTTCGCGAAATGAGGATTTCCTCCACGTGTCGGTCCTCAGCGAGCAACCGGACCCAGTGATTGCGCAGTTGACCAGAGCATTACTCGATTGCTGTGTCAAATTCAACACCATTTCAGATAGCATTACCTTACTGGCAGCTCGGTGCCTGGGTCTTGTGGGTTGTCTTGATCCAAACCGAGTGGAGACGATCAAGGAAAAGAGGGACATTCTCGTCTTATCCAACTTTGATAGGATGGAGGAGACGGTGGAGTTTATCCTCTTTTTTCTCCAACATGTGCTGGTCGACGCATTCTTGTCTGCTTCCAACACCAGGGCCCAGGGATTTCTGGCATATGCCATGCAAGGCCTTCTCAAAATCTGCAATCTGAATGGATCTGTCACCCAGCGCTCTCGCGACATTCAGAATGATGAGAAATATAAACGTTGGATGGAGCTTCCGGAAACTGTCCAGAACACACTCACACCGTTCCTCACTTCGACATACACGGTCACCGTCGTTACGTCCAGTGCGAAGGTCCCGTATCCTGTGTTCTCCCCTCATCTGACACATAGCGAATGGCTTCGAACCCTGGTCCAAGATCTACTGCAAAATGGAAACGGAGAGAATGCAAAAATTATTTTCACCGTATGCAGTCGTGTGGTGAAGGGCCAGGATATCGCTATCTCATCATTTCTCTTGCCATTTGCTGTGCTTAATCGCATAGTAGGAGGCACTGACCAGGAACAGCAGGATCTTAAGGAAGAGTTGATGGCGGTCCTTACGCATCCTCTCCCGGAGACAAGCAACAACGAGCGGGAGACTATCATAAGTAGCAGCCAAGTGAGAGAACCCCTTGATATGCTACCAGACTATGGATTCTAACTGATCACACATCATCTACAGAGCGTTTTCGAAGTTCTGGACTACCTATCAAGGTGGGTTCAAGGAAAGAAGAAGCAGCTCAATAGCCTGAGCCCTCCTGCACAGCAAGGGAGTCGGCCTTCTTACAGGGACGCTGGCCGTGATTTGCTTCTCGAAAAGTATTCCGCGCACATCAAATCTGTGGAGGGTCTTCTGGTGTCAATCCCACCAGAGATCATCTCCAAACGTGCTGTTGAATGCAAATCGTTCTCCAGAGCCCTTTTTCATTGGGAGCAGTACATTCGGAAGTGCAGATCTCAAAAAGAAACTCAAGATCGCACGAGCCTTGGACCTCTCTACCAACGGTTGCAAGACATCTATAGCCAGATCGATGAACCTGATGGGATTGAAGGGATTTCCAGCCATCTGCCTGCACTTGACGTGGACCAGCAGGTTCTGGAACATCGAAAGGCTGGGAGGTGGCCTACTGCTCAGAGTTGGTACGAGCTGCAGCTCGAGAAAGAGCCTGACAACGTCGATGCCCAGTGGAACCTTGTCACTTGCCTCAAGGAATCTGACCAGCAAGGTACTGTGTACACCATTTCTGTCAATTTCTTCATTTTGCGCCAGTATTGTTGCTGACAGGGACTCAGATGCTATTCTTACGCGCTTCGAAACCCTGAAAGACAATGAATCTGCAACCTCTCGGTTTCTACCATTTGCAGTGGAGGCTTCCTGGATGACCGGGCGATGGGACAAGCTGCAGGGCTACCTTAGTCTTTGTGCAAGACAAGGTAATGGAGATTTTAATGTCGGGATTGGCTCGGCTCTCAATGCTCTTCGTCAAAGCCAGAGCGAAAAATTCGCAGACATCATCAATCAGCTACGACTTCATGTCGCGAGAGCATTAACAGCCAACTCAGTGGGCTCCTTACAATCTTGCCATGACGATATGCTCAAGTTGCATGCACTGGCAGATGTCGAATCTATTGCTCTCGCAGGGACCGAGAAATCATACTCGCACCCAGATCTGCTTCATGCTCTCGACCAACGTCTGAATGTCCTGGGAGGTTATGTCGCTGACAAACAGTATCTCCTCGGTTTGCGACGAGCTGCTATGGAGCTGGCGTAGGATTTCTTCCTTCAGCACCTGCTCAGAAGATTTACTGACGTCGATTCTGCAGGGGCCAATTCGCCGACTCTGATATATCCTCCGCTTGGCTCACTAGTGCCCGTCTGTCCCGCAAAAGCAACTTCACCGGCCAAGCATATCACTCAATGCTTCATGCAGCTCGGCTTAAAGATAGATCAGCCACCATTGAACACGCTCGGCTACTCTGGAAAGATGGCCATCATCGGAAGGCGATACAGACACTTGAGGGTGCAATTTCTGGTAATGAGGTCACCACTTCATCGGCTTCTGCATCGGCTGAATCGCTATCATTCACTTCTGGGCGTGGTCAACATCGAAATGAGCTTGCCGCTAGAGTATGTACTTCAATTACACTGTCGCGACATGGATCGGACTGCTAACGTATCCAGGCACACCTGTTGCTAGCGAAATGGACGGACAGAGCCGGTCAGACGCACTCCCAAGCAATTGTTCAAAGATATCGTGAGGCTATCAAATTGTATCCGCGGTAGGTCAGATTGCCATCCTCTGACCAATACCCAAGCTGATTCTTGAACCCAGATGGGAGAAGGCACACTACTACTTGGGCAAGCACTACAATAAGATCCTGGAGTCTGAGAAGTCCAAGCCCATGGGGAAGGAGGCGCAGATATAGTAGGTTGCCTGTCGTATCCAGCCGCGAATCAGATGCTCATAAACGACTCTCTCAGCTTAAGTGGAGAAGCCACGAAGCTTGTCATCGACAACTACCTCCGCTCATTAACATATGGAAGCAAATACGTGTTTCAGACACTGCCTAAAGTTTTGACGCTCTGGCTAGAGCATGCTTCTATTGTCAATCAGGATATTGATCCGAAACGCGGGGATAACGAGTGAGAATGCATCGACTCTATCTATTTGAACATCACTAACGGCATTTCTCAACCATCAGAGATTTTCAAAAACACACTAAGGCTCATAGGCAGAAGAGCCTGGATGAGATGCACGCACAACTCAAGAAATACATATCATCTCGTCTGCAGCCGGCTCTGGTGAGTACAATTCTCTCCAGTCTATTCGCAGAGAACTGGCTAATATTTTCAGCTATTCACGATTCTCCCTCAAGTGGTTGCACGTATCTGTCACGGCAATCATACCGTCTACGACCTATTGACACGGATCGTGGCCAAAGCTGTCAATCACTTTCCGCAGCAAGGCTTATGGACGGTGCTTGCCGTAGTCAAATCCTCCTCAAAGGAGCGGGCCCAAGGAGGTATTAATTGCCTCCAGAAAATCATGGTGAGTTGAGGATGTTCAGTGTCAGTTTCCTTGCAGGATGCTGAGCCTAGCAGGACTACAGCAATAAAACCAAGGCAGAGTCGTCATTGACAGATATTCGCCAAATGATCAACCAAGGGAAAAAGTTCTCGGAAGAACTCCTCCAGCTGTGTTTAGCCCGCGTCGAGGAGAAGATCTCCAAGATCAGTCTTGCGCGTACCCTGAGATTTAACCATAAAGTCGCTCCTTGTCGGTTAGTAGTGCCATTTCAGGCGATGCTGATTCCCAGCCTCCCTGCAAGTCACGATGCAGAGTATCTCAAAGGATTCCGGGCCTTCCCGCGGGACCCAACTACTATTGAAGGTATGTCCTGAGACATCCCGCGTGATGGCTTGACTCACTCGTATTTCAGCTGTTCTGGATGATGCCCAGATCTTGAACTCGCTTCAGAAGCCACGAAAGATTAGTATCCGAGGCTCTGATGGAAAGATCTACAACGCCCTTTGCAAACCCAAGGATGATCTGCGCAAGGACCAGCGTCTGATGGAATTCAACAACATGATCAACCGGTTCCTGAAGAGAGATGTCGAGTCCAGCAAGCGGCGCATGTGTAGGCAGCCGAACTGATTTGTGGGCTCGATTCGACACTGACTGGGGTACAGACATCAAAACGTATGCTGTGACGCCTCTGAATGAGGAATGCGGCCTCATTGAGTGGGTTGATAACCTCCGAACATTGAGAGAAATTGTCATCAAATTGCTGCGCGAAAGGGGTGCTACAATAAACGTAAGCTTCTGCTGCTCGTCCCACCACTCTTTATCGCCACAGGCGTTGATGACGCTGATACTGTGTCCAGTACAACGAGATCAGACATTACCTGGAAGAAATCAAAAACGACCACGCCAAACTTCCTTTGTTCACCTCCAAGATCCTGGCAAAGTAAGAGCCCGCTCCAGTCTCATGAACCTCAAGCGTATTGATAACAATTCAGACTCCCACCTGTTCTTCATGAATGGTTCGTGGAGATGTTCCCAGAGACAGAAGCATGGTTTACTGCAAGGCTGCGATATACCCGATCCTCTGCTGTAATGTCAATGGTCGGATATGTTCTGGGGTATGTTGCGCCACCCTTCCAACTGCAACACGACATTGACTGACAATTGATCCAGACTGGGCGACCGACATGGCGAGAATCTCTCGTTCGAGGAAGGCACTGGCGGTGTTCTGCACGTCGACTTCAACTGTCTTTTTGACAAAGTAGGAAATCTTTCTCGTAACTGATCGTCCCCGGGGCTGACTAGAGCAGGGCCAAACATTCGAAATACCGGAAGTAGTTCCTTTCCGGCTCACTCACAACATGATCGATGCTTTTGGAGCGTATGGGTACAATGGTGAGTGTCCTCACGATGCGCATGGGTTTGCTGGTTCTGACAGCGGTATAGGCCCCTTCCGGAGAACCTGCGAAATCACTCTTGGTCTTCTCCGACAGAACGAGGATGCCTTGATGACTGTGCTCGAAACCTTCTTGCATGACCCAACAACCGACTTCATTGGCAAAAGGGTTCGTGAACATTCCTCCTGTATCCATCTCCGATCCTGTGCTGATACTAGATGTGCTGGATCTCTACAGCGCCGCACCCATACGAATGTGCCTGATACGCCCGCTGGTGTGCTGGAAGATGTACGCAACAAGCTCCGAGGTTTCATGAACAAACAGCCAATCCCCCTGTCCGTGGATGGCCAGGTAGACGAACTGATCATGCAGGCGACGGACAAGAAAAACCTGGCGGCCATGTATGTCGGATGGTGTGCATTTTTCTAAAGCCTGCTTGATTTGCAAACAATGGCAAGGCCTGGATAGACGTCTGGACTCCACTGTAACGACCCTTTTAAAATAGAAAATCATTAATATTTGGTATCTGTTAATACATGAGGGACAATGGCTTTGTCGTATCAATCTCGGCTTCGAGTCTTGTTTGGACTGCGACTTCGATCACTGCGACTACTATAGTTGCTGTAACTGGGGCTTCGGCGCCTGCGATGCCGGGGGCTTCCTGTGCGGAGACTGTTTCGCCTTGGCGGCGACCTTGAGCGGGATGAGGAATAGGACCGAGAGCGTACAGGAGACCGCGATCTCGACACCGATTGAGGCCGATAGATGTCATGCCGCTCCGTAGGCCGGGGTGGAGCATGTCTTCGTGGTGGAGGAGATGATTTGCCGCCGTACGAACCATGTCCATATCTCGAGCGGACGGGGCCTCGATTGGTCACCGGGGGTGGTGAACGTGAAAAGTTCCGACGAGGAAGAACAATCGAGACATTCAAGGTAGTTCCATCCAGCTGAGCTTCGTGCATATGGGCAATGGCTGCTTCGGCGTCTGCAGGGTCATAATACAGAATGTAGGCGGTACCTCGATTTGTCATGACTAGAAAACAATGGCATCAGCAACTGGTGAGCTATGAAGTCTTGCAGGGCCGTGGGGGAGTCTTACAAGCTCGGTTGATCGGAAGGTCGAGGTATTCAATGTCCCCAAAGCTGCCAAAGATTTCGCGAAGGTGACCCTCGGTAACGTTCTTTGTAAGCTTCTCTACGACGATCTGGAGGCCCCAGCTAGAGTCAGCATAAATTCGTCGGGAATTGGAGCAGTTCTCCACGCCTGACTGACCTTGGAGCTCAGGGGAGGGTTCATGTTCGGGGAAGGGGTCCGGCTGAAGCTTCTACTCCGGTATCGACGGCCGCCCATACGACTGCGGGATGGTGTTCGACCACGGGAGGGAGAGCGAGTCCGGCTTGAGCGATCACGGCCACGCACTGGACTGCGCGTGACACTTCTCTTGGGCTCATCGCGTGGGGAGATGGAGCGGCGCACGGAACGCGACGAACGCGCACGGCCAGGCGAGGGGATCGGGGAAGGACGCGATTGTGTGGACATGATGAGGGTGGGTTTCGAGAGAGAGTCAAGAGTCCGGTGGTTATTATGTAGGTAGTTGTTGCAGAGCAGGAATGCTGGTGCTTAGGTAAGGGGCTGCTAACCCGATCAGGCCTCCTTCTTATCTTATCTTATCTGGTTATCTATCTGCCCAGACTATTGATCGATGCCCTGTCGCCATCGTTCATACTCCTCGACCACCACGGCCGTGATCTGCCGTCGCACCTGTCCCAATGCGTAGTCAAAGTGCTTCTGGCACACCTCTTGCTGCTGCCCGGTCTCCTCTTCCTCGTCCAGGGCCGCGTCACCCGCCGTTTCACAGATGCTCACAATCTCAGCACCGGAGTAGCCTTCGGTTCGAGCGGCCAGGTCTTCGAGGTCCACCTCCGGGTGAAGGACAGACTGGCTGGTCCAGATCCGGAATATCTCCTGGCGAGCCTCAAAGTCGGGCGGGCCAATGTAGAGGATGTTGTCCAATCGGCCGGGCCGCATCAACGCAGGGTCGAGCACGTCGGGTTTGTTCGTAGCCGCAATGACCAACACGTTGCGCAGCTCCTCGATACCGTCCATCTCGTTGAGCAAGGTAGTCAGGACATTTACCCCCCCTGGGAAGTACTGCTACGCTTCGAAGCAATGGCATCGATCTCGTCGAAGAAGATGATGCTCGGACGTGCGGCTCGGGCTTTTCGGAAGATCTCACGCAATGATCTCTCAGACTCTCCGACATACATGCTGAGGATTTCCGCTCCCTTGACGGCCAGAAAGTTCAAGCCAGCCTCGGTGGCCAATGCTTTGACGGTCATGGTCTTGGAACAGCCAGGCGGTCCATAGAGAAGGACGCCCTTTTTGCTCTTCACGTTGAGCCGACGCATCCGTTCGGGGTGCTGAAACGCATGGTTAGTTTTAACCATATTGTATGGAAGGTAAGTGACGGGAGCTCACCTTGAGCGGTCTTTCGACGGCTTTCTGAAGGCGTCTTTTGATCTCGTGCTGCCCGCCAATATCTGACCATCGCACTTTGGGTGTTTCCAAAAAGACCTCCCGCATAGCGGTCGGGCGAACTTCTTGTAGGGACATCAAGATGTCCTTTTCCTGGATCTCCAGCGAATCAGCCACCCCATCCATATTGTCTGTCTGATCAGAAGCCTCGATTGAGGGGAGCGCGATAGATCGCGTGTCCAACAATTGTCGCTGTCGTGCCTTGCGGCAGATCGTTTGGAGAAGTGCAAATAGATCCGCTCCAACGTATCCGTGAGTTTTTTCGGCTAGAAATTCAATGGTTTCATCACTCAATCCTACAAAAGCCGGCCCGCGAATGGCACGCAGGATCTCGGCTCTGTCCTGAGCGGTGGGAATCTGCAGTTCAATCTCCGTCGCCAGGCGATGGGGGGTCCGGAGGGCATCATCCACATTGTTGGGATGGCGCGCCGCAGCGACCACCAGAATGGACGCGGTCCGAATGGCATCGAGGCTCTCGCATAGAACAGATGCCAACGACTGAGATTCAAGGGACGTCCGTTTCGGCGCAATAACTTCCAACTGGTCGATGATGATCACGCTTGGTTTCGCGCGAGCGGCTTCCTGGAACGTATTGCGCAGCTTGGCCTCGCCCTCGCTGAGACTCCTGCCCAGCGTGGCGGTGCCCAGCCGGAATATCTGTCTCCAACCGGCCTTTTCGATCTGCTGCAGAAGAGCCGTCTTGCCGGTTCCCTTCGGTCCATAGAGAAGAATGCCCCGGCGGTGCTCGTAGAATGGCGGCATGATAACCGTTCGCTGGCCAAGATTCAAGTCGGCCAGACTCTCGTTGATGTCCCCAATCTGACGAGCCAGTCCCCCCAGACCGCCGGGCTGAACATGGATGTCGGGCTGTTTTGGCGGCTCTCCTTCGTCTGTCTCTTCTCCGATGGAGACCTTGGTGGCATCTGTAAATTGGAAGAGGGTCTGCGAAGTGCCCGCGTTCTGCGTTCGAATGCTGACCACTTGGAAGCTCCTGCGCTGACCGATGAGATCCAAGTCAAAGACCAGACCCGTGCTAAGGACTTCGCATCGGGCAAGCTGAAGGTTTTTCAACGCCCACGCCCAGTGGGACCGGTCTTCGTCGCGGATGTCGCCATACTTGGCCAGCTTCTCGGCATCTGTCCGGTCGACTACCGTGACCGACTCGATCTCCTCCAGCGCACCCTCCAGTCGACTGACGGCGACCTTCTCGCCAATCTTGACTCCGTAGCAGTCCTGTAGGGTTCTCGAGGTCTGGACGACCGTATTCTGGATATTTTCCACGGCCGCCCAGGCGATCGCCGTCTTCGGAGGTCCCTCGGTAGAAGTGAGGCTGCAGATGTCTCCCGAGCGCAGTTTGAGTGCTGCCAACGAGGACGACGAGAAATAGACGCGGAATGCATCTTTCAGATCACTGCGGGCCTGCTTCGACAATGGTCGCGCAGTGAAACTGCGGATCTCCGCCATCTCCCTTCCGCGCGCAGCAGTCACACCGAGAAGTCAAATGTCCCTTGGGTTGCGGGAGGCGGAGAGGCGGGCGGAAGAACAACCTAACGGTGCGCCTTCTTTTTACTATGAACTGAGAGTCGAGCGAGGTGCGTTCGTTCGGATGACCAAGGGAAGAAAAAGAAAAAGTGGGTCTGATTTACATCGTTATTTGGAGCTACATGTGGTTAACTACAGTACAACATCTTCTACTCAGCACACTAATCGGAATGAAACAAACCAACATCGTTAGAAGGAAAAGACTAGGCAATGGGGGTGACAGGGAAACGAAACGACGACAACAAAAATATAAAAAAAAGAAGAAGAAAAAGGAAAACGTCCAGTGAACACGCAGGAGAGGGTGTTCATAGAGACCAGTCGTCACAAGATGTATGGACAAGAGCGACACGCTGGAGTAGCCGCTGCAAGGCGGAGGACTAAAACACGAAGGAAAGGAGAGAAATGGTGATACAGCGCATGTCTAGCAGCACTTGCCTCCCGAATTCATCGAGCCCTGCTGATCTATCGAGACACCTTGGCCCCCGGTCGGCTCCGTCTTGGAGGTGTCCATTCCCCTCTTGATGTCCGAGGCCAGACTATAGAACGCCTTCTCGATGTTGATGTTGTTCTTGGCCGAAACTTCGAGGAAGGGAATGCCAAGTTCATCGGCGAGCTGCTGGCCCTGTTCGGTCGACACCGCCCGTTTCTCTTCCCAATCACACTTGTTCCCGATGAGGATCTTGTGTACGCCTTCGCTGGCGTGTTGTTCGACGTTGGAAAACCACGTTCGGATGTCTGCATCACAGCCCGTGATTAGCCGCCTGTGGTCCAAGGGGGAGAGGGGAGGGATTTACTGTGGAAAGACCGTTCGTCCGTGACATCGTAGACAAGTAGGATCCCCATGGCACCTCGGTAGTATGCCGTCGTGATGGTTCGGAAGCGCTCCTGGCCTGCTGTGTCCCAGATCTGCAGCTTCACCCGCTTGCCATCCAGCTCGATCGTGCGGATCTTAAAGTCGATTCCGATGGTGGTGATGAATGAGGGGGTAAACGAGTCTTCGCTGAATCGCAACAGACAACATGACTTGCCCACGCCCGAGTCTCCGATCAGCAATAGTTTGATCTATACCTGTCAGAGGACGATGCATTCACATTCGGGCGGACAAGACCCTTACCAAGAAGTCATAATTCCTGGTGCCCGCCATAATGGAGCGAGTCGATTCGGGAAGGACTGCAGGATAAGATTGAGAGAGCTAGAAAGGTGATAAGTCGGCGACAAGGCAGCTGTCATTCGACTGCGTTCTGGGCTAAGTTGAGGCAGAAGTGCTGGGCAGCCAAGTGGACAGGAGTGCGTATCTTTGGGAGGGGTGGAGAATGAATGGCCCAGCGGTGGTTACCCGGTCAGGGACGAGACAGTGTCGAGATCAAAGAACGATAGAGAAAGAGAGCAGAGGCCAAGCGGAGAATCCGGAGGGATGGCGAGGCAGCAACGGGAGAGGCGAGATGGGTTGTTGTAGGTTGCGTGGAGAGATGGATGATGACGGGCCGGGGTGTGGGTGGCTTAGCTAAGCGGGCCCGTGACTGACCAGGAGGAACTACTTATACGGAGCCATACATGAATGATTATTCTATGTCTTATGTGGTTGGGGAATACGTCCATCGCATCCGCTCTACCACCCGCTGCTGCTGCTCGACCCCGCCGCTCGTATCCAGAAGATCCTGCACATCCTGCCGCAGCTCGTGGTATTGCCGGCCGCCCAGGACCGACTCGGCCGCCTGAAGCAGCGACTCGGCCTCGCACATGAGTCGCCCGGCGTCTTTGTGGGAAAGAACGCCCTGAGAGGAGGGAGACAAGACCCGAGTGATGTTCCTGTAACACGGTCAGAACCCGAACGCAAGTCTGCTCAGAACCCAAGGCACGGTACCGTAACCCACGCCGCAAAGCATCCTGTCTCTTGCCTTGCCGCAGGCCGCGTCGGCTGCCGAGAACGCCAGCCAGCCACTGCAGGGTAGCATAGGACACCAAAATCCCGGGGGTGAGCCCCACAAAGCTGCGCGAGGTCAGTGGTGACGGGGAGCCGGGTCGATGCATACATACCCAAAGACCAGTTCTTGGCTCTTCAGAAGAGAGTCAATGCCGCTGATTGCAATCTCTACGTCGACCTTGGTCTTTTGGATCTGGATCAGGAGCGCGCGTACGAGGTCGCCCTTGATGGTCCCTACGAACGGGGACCGTAAATCTCGCTCGTAGGCCCGCAGCACGGGTGTCAGATCTCCCTCCTTCACGGCATTGACGATCGCGGTGGTGTCTTCCGTCGCCGGCGTTCCGGGGCTGAGATCAGGACGGTCGAGAACAAAGTCCACCACCATTCTCTCCAGGCTGGCCCGGTCAGCCACCAAACTGTTCTTGCTCATAATGGCGATCTCGCTCTTCTCATCATGTCGGATGGTCCCAACGAGCTTTCGAATGGGATCCACCACCCAGTTACTGCCAAAGTCAACCACGGTGGCGCCAATGTCAATGATCCAGTGGAGAATTTGGTCCCGGTGGCTAGCCAGGAATTGCACCGACGCTCCACTCGACGAGATTGCCACAAAGGCCGGGAGCCAATACCGGATCAGGCGCGACGGACGTCCATGGAGACCAATAAATGTCGACACCGATGCCCGATGGTCCGGGAGCTGTGTTCGCAGAACATGCACCAGGCGGTCAATCAGATGCAGGGGTTTCTGCAGCGGGAAACCCCCCTGCTGCCATTGCACCTGTGCGCTGTGGCTCTCCTGGTCGATGGCCGCGGAGACCACTTTTTCGAAGGTTTGGGTATCAGGTGGGTCAGCCACCTGCTGCAGAAGGGTCTCGGTGAGGGCTACGGACCGACCGACCGCATCACACCACGACTTGAGCGACCCACCGTCCGGTCCCTGACTTGCGGATATCTCGTTCAGCTCCAGAAAGCGCCATCCTTCCATCATCAGACCCAAGCTGCTGGTATGGATATCCGTGATGGACATGAGGAGGTCCCTCTTTTGCTGTACTTGTGCCCTGCATTCCCTGATTGGGGTCAGGCGGTTGATTCGTAAGGAGAATGCCGGTCGTGTCCGAGCACTTTGCCTGACCACTTGATAAAACCGGGCCCATCGGGCGGCTATTGACGTTGACACGGATTGGACTCTCCAATCCTGAATTTCTTGGTCTGAATACAACTCTTTGGTCCATTTCCACAATCGGAGGGGCAATGTCTGCACAGTATAGAGGCCGCTGTACCACGGTGAATCTAATACTTCATCCCAATAGCTAACCTCTTGGTGAAGTTGTAGGGTTCGGTTCAATAGCTCGTTCATGGCCAGACTAGATGCCTGGACGGCAGCTTTGGCGGTCACGAGCCACACATGGAGGGCGACAATCTCGGTGGCGGATTCTGCTCGGAGGCGAGACACGGCCGCGCCAGAGATCAAATCCGCCAGCCGGTTCGCGGAGAGAAGGGGCTGGGTTTTGGAGGTGATGGAGAGGGAGTGGATCAGGCTCTGCAGATGTGCGATCTGCTGACTGGAGGGATCATCAATAACGGCGACGCATGTCAGGTGTTGTTGGAGGCGATCGAGCTGGGAGTTGACGCCGCAGGCATTTCTGGCGGAAGCGACCGTCAGTAGTGGGTGATTACTCGTGGGGTTGGACGGACTCTTGAATGAGCGACATGTCGGCAGGACTGGCAGGACATGATGTGTGTAGAGCAAGTATGTGGTGGTCACTGCTAACTCGTAGTTCGGTGCCCACGAGCAAACAAGGCAAACAAACAACCGTGCTGCAAAATACCCCGGAGCCCCCGGCATGGCCTGATCCAGCTGAGTCATCCAGGGGCGGAAGTGGTGCCACTTCGGCAGGGAAAAAAAGTTGGCAGTCGTTCGGACCATAAATAATTCGATTCCCGGTTGGGGCTGCCCTTCTTCTGTCAACTCTCTGGACAGAGACCACACACACACAAACACCATGTACATCCACCCTCCCCCTCCCCCCCCCCCCAACACCCAACACCCAAACTCCCCCACCACTAACTAACCATCTGTTTCTAGGAATTCAACGCTATCCGCCGGCACGTACTGGTCCCAGTTCGCCGAGGTTTCCAAGTACAATGCCCACCTGAACGTCGCCGAGCGCCTGTGGGCCGCCTGGTACGCATGGATGCAGAATGATGTCCTCGCTACCGGCATCATGTCCTTCGTCATGCATGAGCTCGTGTACTTTGGTCGCTCTCTGCCGTGGATCTTCATCGACAGCCTGGGTCTGTTCAAGGGGTACAAGATTCAGAATGTGAGTTGACCTGGTCGACGGAGTCCGACATCCGCACTAACACCGGATGGCAGAACAAAATCCCATCGTTGCGCGAGCAGTGGGAATGCGCGAGATTTGTGCTCTTAAGCCACTTTACCGTCGAGTTGCCTCAGATCTGGTACGTTGGAAACTGCCCGGCTGTCTCGACTCATGGCTAACAATCCGCTCTTTGCCAGGCTCTTTCACCCCATGGCCCAATTTTTCGGTCTCTCCTCGTCCGTCCCATTCCCATCCATCTGGACCATGGCGTACCAGATCGCAATTTTCTTCGTCATGGAGGATACCTGGCATTATTTCTCTCACCGCGCTCTTCATTGGGGTCCCCTGTACAAGGCTATCCATAAGATACACCATCAGTATTCGGCACCCTTCGGTCTGGCGGCGGAATATGCATCTCCGATCGAGGTCATGATCCTCGGCTTCGGTTCCGTGGGCTGCCCGATCGTCTGGTGTGCATTAACCGGCGATTTGCACATCATGACTATGTACATCTGGATTGTCTTGCGCTTGTTCCAGGCCATTGATGCTCACAGTGGTTATGAGTTCCCCTGGAGTCTGCATCACTTCTTGCCTTTCTGGGCGGGTGCCGATCATCATGACCTGCACCATGAGAAGTTCATCGGCAACTTCTCGAGCAGCTTCCGGTGGTGGGATTATCTGCTGGACACGGAATATACCCCGGATGCGCTCAAGCGGCGCAGGGAGAACAAGGCCAAGTCTTCAACAAAGGCTCAATAATTGGTGGTGTGAACGATTGGGATCTCTCTAGACCGGTTTTGCTTGGTTACCCTGCTGATGATGACCTCTATTCATATGAATCTGTTTGTGTCTGATCTGACAGTGCTATGGTGGCACGCTCATTGTCTTCCTGTACCTACATATTAATGCTCCCACCGATTTCCATGTTGGTATTCGGTAATTTGATATTTGTTGATGGTGAAGCTTGTGTTTATTCGACGAAGTAGACTCTAGTGGCATAGGAAGCTAGGTCTGTACGCTCTCTTCGCGAGACCTTTGATGGCCAATTGGACTATGTTTGGCCTTTTCGAGCACGACACCTTCCGCAACTCAATTTAACGAATCCTGGATTGATGAATACCCACGCCTTAACGAAGCCTCCCCAGGTTCACATTTATATTTCACTGCTATAGTAGTAGCGGTAGTAGTATTCATTTGCCCGGTTTAGCTTGCCTTAGGTATAGCCGCTATGGGGGGTTACAATTAGTCGCCTCTGCCTGATAGCGAGAATGGGATATGGCACCTAGGTGTTTCTATATACGGAGAAACCTATGGGATGAAAATAAGAGTACACCCCAGATAAAATAAGACATAAACAAGGGGCGGAATTCATATAACAAGGGAAAATAGTAAAGAGAGAGGGATCTCCGCACTATTAGTATAGTCGCGTCCTGGTATACCTTATTATCGAAAGGCAACGTACTGTCCCTACACAGAACACTAGTAAGCTACTTTTAATTCCGTCCGCACTCTAGCTTCCCTAAGTTCGCTTGTCATATATCGTATATCGCAAGGCGGCCCCCCCCCCCCTTCCCTTCCTTCCTATATAATATAGCCTAGCATATAATATCTCAAGTATATACCTACTCCCGCCGTCGGCCTCCCAACTAGCAAATTCATTATCTCCTAGTTAAGGGAACATATGGAACCTAGTCCTATATGCCTATATTATTTATATCTCGTCTTCTACTTATATATTATCCCTGTTATAGGACCTTCGTACGAAGTCCTGATATTGTGATACTCAGCTGAAGCTTCGTGACTGTTGACCGCCTTTTCGTTCTGCCATGTTTACCCACGCATCTTGTTTCCCCTTTCTTCCCCTTTTCTTTCTTCCTTTCTTTAATGAATCCTTCTTGTGCATAGGACATACCATCAATTGACACAATTTGGTCTGATCCATAAGAATTCCATCTAGTTATAATTATTACTATCCTATACTTAGCTACTCTATTACCACTACGCTGGGGTCAATAGAATAGGACTAGCTAAAAGTCGTATACTCTACAGATTTCCTAGTTTTAAGTACCTACCTACTAGAAGTCGGGCCCCTACTACTCGCTAACGGCCTAACTTGGCATAATTAATATCCAACCTAATTGACCCCCTCTCCCCTACCCCCTCTCCCCCCTTCTCTCTAGGTGTATCGCTAGCATAAAGTAGCTAGCCGCTGTCTCTAGTGACCTTTTTAAGCTCCATATCTCTTCTCTAGTTCTCCTCGACCCTAATTCTGGTACAGTGTAGCATTTTAGCTTTTGACTTTCTAGATTTACGTTTATACTAGAGACTCTTATACCTAAGTCTCTACAATATCCCAGTTCTAGATAAGGAGATTAAGTCCCCAACCTATAGGGTACCTCCTATATATAACCAGCGCTTATTCTTTTTGGTATTACCTTACTCCTAATTCTCCTAGCAGGCAGCGGATAACGTTAGTAGAGTCACATATAGCAAGCGAGGCCTATAGAATTCTCACCTTCTAAATTTACTCATAGAGCTATTATCGTCTACGGAGCTCTCTCTTTACCTTGAATCTTTTTTTCTAACAATACTATGACAATCGTTACTAGTGAATTAACAGTAAAACCCAAAGCGAAGAGTATCCTAGGTTAGATGGGTGTTATAAATTCCCTTCGCTTTTGATACCCCTTCTTCTACTAGGCGACTGTAGTTAAATGTATTCTAGAATCTCGCATTCCTCAACTGACTTAATCTAGCCTATTACCTAATTTGGCTATATCCCTTTAAGCACTATAGGATGTAGCCCTTTAATTCCAAGGTTGTTTGTTTATATGGATCTTTAACTAGCCATATTAGACGTTAAAGGTACAAAAGTCTATATTCGATATGTATAGACTTAACGAAGAAAATCCCTCTTCCATATAACTAATCTACCCTATCGTTTAGTCTAATTCCTCACCCTCCAATAGCAGTGCTTACATACCTAGAAGGGCGTAGAATTAAAGATGGTAAGTTTAGAAGTGTAGCAACGAGAAATTCGATCCTATTTTCAGTAATTGATAAAATCGTATTTCTTATAGGGCTTATAGTTATTAATAAATGGAAGTTCGTAACTATTATACCCTTAAATATAGTCTTCTATATACTTATCGAAGCTCTATAACTATTAATATAAACCCCCAAATAATTACTTACTATCCTAAGCTACTACCGGTATCATTATAATACAGTCACCTTGTAAATCTATCTAGACTTAATACTAATTCTTAAGGTTAAACCATACTATTATACTAGTAAATAAGATTATTAGTTTGTCTATCTACCACGGTATATAGTTTATAAATCTACTTAATTATTATTAGTAGTGCCTTTAACTTCTATAGTTTTGTAGTTTTATATTTCAAAGATTTTAGGTATTTTCCTAACGCGTTAGTCAAAACTACTTTATAATAAAATATTATTTTTGTAATATTATCTTCGATATTACGAGGAAAGGTAAGAGATTAATATAGTTAATGATACGTATCTAGGCAGTCAATACCTCCTCTTAACCCTTGTTAGCTATTATACTTAATAGAGCCTTTACTAAATACTCTTAGTAGCCCTAAACGCGCTCCTTGAATTATTGGGGGGAAATATTATATTCCTAGGCTTGGAGTGCGATTTTTCATAATACGCATATAGGGTATTCGAAATGTTTCCTGTGTTTGGTATTCGATTTAGACATTATGGTGGTTAGTAACATTTAGTTATCTTTTATTACGATTAAGGTCGATATATTTATTTAGCCGTACTAGATTCAAAGAACCTTCCTTCTTAAGACTAATAGTATCTAACTTGTGACCCCCTCACTCTTCACCTCTTACTTTCCTTCGTATAAGATTTTCGCTATTGTATAATAACTATACTTATAGTAAGAAGTAAGGCGAATAAATCAGTAGGGGCTAGAATTCTCGCTTTATGCTACTTACTTTATATAGCTATTGAATATTTCGTTTCCAATAATGCCCTTGTGAGGTTACATTTGATAAAGTTCGATAGTTAGGTATCCAGTGTACTTGATAGATTCCTGGTATAAATTTTTTAACTATATATGAGTTTATATACTAATATGAATAAAAGCACATTACACTATACAATAGTAAAGGCAAGTCCATTTTTTAACGCGTAATCTACCCTGAAGAAAGACGAACGAGAGAAACGAATACGAGTCGCTTAATAAATAGAACACGACTATATAACGTAAATCCCAAGCGACCCGCCCACTTCATATACCATACAATTTTACAATTAGATATTTCAACAATGGTAAGTTATTTTGTTTGATTATTGGTTTGATACTACTATAAGATCTAAGAAATAGTATAAACTAATTGAATATTGAAAATCAATGATTATGTTTTTCTAGTACCAAAAAATACATCCGCGAGGGTGCCATATATATATATATATATATCTGAACCACTGAAAATTATAATTTTTTTAAACTTCATAAATTGGTTATATATGGAAAAGGATGAATTTTTTCATCTTGCCAACCCTGGGGGAGCGTGGAGTTTGAAACGTCATTACTTCGAAACTTTGCCTATGGGAATTCGGGTGGGCAGCCGCGTTTGCAAGACTGAAGCTAAGGATGAGGCTAGGAATGTCTCATAGACTATGAATTAAAACATGTCACATGCCCTATTTTTCCGACGAAAGCTCCGCTAGATGAGGCAAATGGTTACCTGGAGAATTTGTATTCCCATCTATAAAAACTGGGTTAAAAAGGATGTACCAACGGAGAGCGGTGAGGGCCCGACTACTAGGGGGCGGGTACTGCCATATTCGAAAACAGATTCCCCCGCGTACACTCACAAAATGTTTCCTGAACCCTATCCTGAAACACGCTCAGATTATAATACGTTCAGTCGTAGATCTCCGTTTTGCCAAGAATGGTGTTTTGGGGTGTGTCGCTCGCTTACATGCATCACTCGCTTACCGAATACGTGGGTCCATCGCTGGTTCGCATTCATGAACCAACGCAATGAACATGTTCTTAACATTCAGAGAAGCACATTTCAAACTGGGGGATAAACACTACATAATAATAAGCGACCCGATCCCTAGGTATGTGTATGACAACTATTTAGTTCTTCAACCATGGGACGACGTGGGACTCGACTGGCACCGAACTCTTCAGGATAGTATTGTTCCTCTTCGGGAAGTATGAGTGATACTGCCGCTTGAAGCCCATGCAAGTATTATTCACTTGGTCGTCGCAGACCCAACTGGGCGATGCTTGGGTATTGGTAAATACACGTGACCTGACTGGCGCTTCCCTGGTCGGATCCTGCTCTCAGTAAGTGGTGATCCCTCAGGTAGCTGGAGCCGACAGGGGCCCGTAAGAGAGATGCCCGGATTGGCTCTTTAGCCAAAACGGATGCGTAATTCCTCGGGCAGTTAACCGAGGAATGCCTGCCTGACTACAAACATCCAGCCACATTGCCTCAGAATGAAGGCTTCAATACCAACTAGCAAGTTACAAGGGGGATTTTTCCGGGAAATTGGGGAACTTTCTTGCCTGTCTGAGCTGAAAATCTAGCATTCAATGAACGGTGACATGCAAGGGCATCTCCCAACCGAATCAGTTCATGCACCAGAAGACTGCATCGCTATTGGCTGCAGGTGTTTGAGTTCGACTTCCGGGTGCTTTTTGCCGGTCATAGGACTATAGAAAGCCAATAATGGCACTCATAGAAGGGAAAATAGCTAACAAGTGTAGCTACCAGACGTGGTCGACTGTTTGATTAGTGTTTATCGTTCATGGCATATTTGACTAAGTCAGGTGTCATGGATCTATGCATAACTTTTGGGTATTGTTACTAGTACATGGACTAACACAATGCTCTTACACGTATGCACTACTAAATCTAGTACTCAATGGTTTTTAATGAGCTGAACTGGTAAAATTGAGTAAACGGCTCTTCGCGCGGTTTCCAGGGCGGTGCTTAGATGCCTATGAGGTGCAATTTTGTCATTTCTAGCGCTTTAGTAAGTTTGTATCATGTCACCGCTTGGTGTACTTACCACAGACAAACGCCCAGGGAAGAATTACTTTGATGATTGGCTAAACATACTAATCGAAACAAGGAAAATGTCATGTGTAGGTACTTCAGTATCCAAGCATTGGCATCCCTGGCCAGCAATTAGTTACAATTAACTCGATATATTTTGTGTGCTTGTCCCTGTAGCCGATGGTACATTCTCCAGGAAAACTCAGTCAGGTCACAGAATGATCTAGGACTTTCGCAAGATTATTACTGGTAGACTATCTTATCAAGCATTGGTCAACGAAATATTCCGCGGATTGTTGTAGGGCTACTGTAGGATTAATAGCATTTCTTACTGCAAAGTGTTCAGACCTACTGATACAAACACATTGGCGTGTAAAGTATTGATCGACTCCGCAATAAAATAGCCCATAACACCCTTTCCAGCCTTTTTTTAAGTCACTGCCCTTCTCTAGACCGTTACTAAGTTTAACTGCTCTCGCGAACGACACTTGATATTAATTTGCTTGTGCATCATGCTGCTTCTCTGGAGCCTCCTAAGCTTGGCATTGCCGACAAGTATCCTTGCAACGTCTCTCCATACAAGAGGTTCGGGTGAGGATGCAAGTCTCGAATGTATTGTGATTGAGCTCGTGGTGGATCTGCTGCGCGACAGCCCCACAGCTACCGAATTTTGCGAATCCTTGCTTGCTCCTACAACCACCACCACCGCTACAGCGTGCGTGAACACAAAGAAAGAGTATAGAGAGCGAATCAATGCATGCTAACAGATTCTAGTACTAAAACACACTCTAGCTGTGCCTATGTGTATCCATCGCATCAGACGATGGCCGATGCCCGGTTGAACATCGGTGCGGCTACTCAGGTACGCCTTTTTAATCACGATATGAAATTATGGGCCCGGCTAATTTCCCTAGATTACTACTGCACCTAAAGTCTCGCCAACACCCGCAGCGTTGCTACCGTTTCCCAGTTCCGAAATCAGCCAAGCTTGTAAATGCCTCAGCATCCCGGCATCCGACCTGACAACCCGCACGTCTACGAAGACGGCAACCTCGACAACCACACTCTGCCCGGTCCCCACGACCTGTGGGAACGAGGGTGTCCAGTGGGCATATTATCAAGACAATAATATTCCCCCAAACGCCCATCCATGCCGCGATGGTTACACCTGGGATCCAACTGAGATTAAGACCATTATCCCTTCTTACACTAGTACAACCCCTTACATCTTCCTAAACGCCACCGGTGATACAGATGTTTCGATCTACGGCTCCACTCAAACATTCGATTTGATCGACATCGCTCTCAACCACCGCGGGTACATCTACGCCGAAGTCTCCGGCGACTACACGTATACCTCATCGAACGCGGACGATATTATTTTCTTCTGGAGCGGTCCTAAGGCATTTTCGGGATGGACCGAATCTAATGCCGATGCAACTAATGAATACTGTCAACCAGATTCCACATTCACCATGTCGCTTCTCTCGGGGCAGTACTATCCATTCCGTATTGTGTATGCCAATTCGCAGTTAGATGCAGTCGAGAACATTACTATCACTGCCCCTGACGGTACAGTAATCCTCGGTGCGACCTCCACGGGATCGCCATACATAGTGCAGTATTCCTGTGATGGCACTTCGGCTCCGCCATTCCCGGCTTTTGGAGATGAGTCCTAAATGAGATGGGTTTGTACGGGGGTCGGTAGAATTGATTTCGGTACGCAGGTGCAAAGAGAGGTCCCTCGTTAGTCTTGTCACAGTTGTGACATTTAATAATTGTGTTAGTGTTCGCCTGGTTTGACTGTAAGAATAAATCAAATACAGTAAGTGTTTCTGGCCTTCTGACCACTTTGTTACGTGTAGACATTAGCTACCCGAGTCTCTCCCATGGGAATCCCATAACTAGCCTCCCGTCGACACCTTATCGGGCCAATCCCTCCACTATGTAATTATAAGAAATGCACTTGTTTATATGCCTTTGATTACCTTTCCTCCTCACCCTGTAGTCGCATGTACTAAGAATATCTGTAAAGCTACACATACCCTCAAAGTGCCTTGAAGGCAATATCAAATACTCTTGGTTTCGTGCATTATTAACTGTGGGGATTCTTACCCACGACCGAGGACCTAGTCTTAATATTTATTCATTCTCTATCTGAGTAAACCATTTCGAGAACAAAGAGAAATTTTCACTCAACCTTGCATCTAATAACAATTGTAGCTGACTACAACAAATAATAAGTTAAGACAGGGTCAATCAGCGCCGTCTCATCCACATGGCTGGGTATCATTGTCTGTATTTTGCACGAAACTGCATTACTGTACTTTAATCAATTCACCCGATAATGATACCCCACCGTCTTTCGATCGAGAGCTCGAGCCATGGTCGCTTCTATGAAGTGCTCCTAATAAATCGTCCCGATCGAAGGCTCTGCACCGATCACTTGTTTTGTGCATTTGCATCTCCACGACGAGTCAGTATTCTAGCTAGCGCCTGGCACCTATTTCCGAGGAGATTACTCTAATAGATCATCAAATTCTATGTCGTGGAGGCACATCACCCAGCCTCGAGAGACTACCATCCCGGTTGCGACGTGCAAAACGGCTGTCGCCAGACTTGAGGACACAGTTGGAAGAATCTGCGTATGAGATGAGCTACCTTAAGGCAGAGCTCCAATGGCATTAAGAAACTAAACAGATACTCCTGCAGTTCCAAGAGTCGATGTTTAATATCTTTAGCTCTCTAGAAGATGCCATAGCTCTAGTAACTACACGACTTTAGGAATCTGAGCAACGATACCTGACGCTTTAGGAGTCTGACTACGGAAGTAGGGCTGAATTTGTATGTGGCATTTGAAGGTATACTATGACATAAATGCTAGCTGATTATTGATGGATTAACAACTGATCTCTGTGTAGATACTTTCTATCTTAGCTATATCATCTCATTTTGGCCGGCCCGAAATCTATAAGTCCTTCTATGATAACGGCTAGCCAAGTCAACAAAATTTCTGCATTGCCCTCTGCTCCCGCTTTACGACTTCAACCAAATACCACCTACAGCCTGCTTGACATGGAATATTATCCTGCTCCATTGGAGTGGGTCATGAACTAAAATGTTCTGGGGAATGATACATAGGTGTAGTTGTTGGGATCTACATAGAGAAATATGACTAAAGCGCATCAATGCTTGGTTCTAGACATGGATGGTTTGCATGCTCGCGAGGCCTCTAGTTGCGAGGGCTAGAAGCGTGCAATAACACCATTCACCTTTGATTCAAGGATTGATTTATATATAATTATGGACTTTATTAGTCTCTGTCAAGAGATAGTCGTTAAAAAAAAAAGGCTGTTTATAGTTTCTAGCTATGCCTTCTATAGACCTTATTTTTAGGCACTAAAACCAAAATACCCTTACGGTATTAATGCACTTAGCCCACGCCACTTTAGGATAGATCTACTATCTTGTACTTTTGTTGCTCTAGATTCCGATCTACAAAACACCGTGGGATCAATCGATTGCTCGCCTTCTCTAATTGAGTGCCTATCCTAGATTATGTATATGTCTATGATATGGTTTTAGCGCGTATTGTGCTGGTTCACGTCCTACATTTATCTTACTAATATGAACCTAAATGGTAGTTGTCATATTACTTGACATTCCCTACGATTATCCTAATATGTTGCCTCTACGATACCGAAATAGCTCTACGGTACTAAACGGCCCTACGACACTAAATTAGCTCCGCGATACCTATTAGACCGTTAAGAGCTTTATTTTGCGATCCTTATTCTATACCTATGCCGGTTAAGAGTGACATATCTATCCTAGAACCAAATACCCTACGAGAAGGATCTAGTGAGCTACACTTGCAAGGGCGTTATATTGAAAAGGAACTTCGTTGACTTCTAGTATCATCCTCATATAGTGAGTGTTAATAGATTCATCAAACAAATTATTGTTCCTATAGTTAGAAGAGATAGGAACTTAAGCTACCAATTTTCTTATTCTAGATCAGAACGGGCTCTGACCCGGAGAGCTGATTTTAACTTTAGGCTAGCTTGTTAGCACCCGAAACGGCTGGCACAAGGATCCTAGCCAAACAGAATCAAAAAAAGGCATATGACGTAACGAAGGTTGATAATAGACTGTTTGTTTAACAAAGAAATACCATTGTATTGCCCTTTTCCTCATTCATCTATTCCCTCCCATGTTCCTTATATTCTAAGAGTTAGGTGGCAATTAATGGCTTACAAGTTCTGACCGTCGTGACATCTTGTTGCCTATCGGAAGGAGCTTCCTAAAAGCAATCCTGATTGTTTTCTTGAGCCATATTCTTCAATGCCCCTACCTCGGTGGCATCAAGGGCCGAAACGGTGCCCTCATAAAGATTATCCAATTCCTGACGTAGCTTCCCTCTGGTGGCAAAATACTGACAGAGCCGTTTCAGATCATCGCTAGAGCTTGCCTCAGAGCAATATAGATAGATACGCTGAGCGGAGCATGTTCCACCCAAAAGCAACCAGAGGCCATATACGAAGGGCGTCTTCTATCCTATCACCTATCACCCAATGACGCATGTCAGGGTGAGCACTGACAAGACTGACAAGACAAAAGACCACAGGCAAGTGGCTTCCCTGGATTCTTTCTCGGAGGATCAGAAAGTCTCGCGACTGGCGCCACTTACGACAATAATTAATTTGGTGGCTCAACACCCTGGCAACTATTGTCGTATGTTGTGTGCCCAGGCTCAAACTCGGCATGACATCAGAAGCTTAGTTAGATCAGGTGTAGATAAGGGAGTGGTGTTATTTGAGCCGGAATTTCAACCATGGGGCCAAACAGGGAGCCTGCGCGCTTTCTCAAGCCATGAGGAGGGAGCTCAGTGCACGGATACAGAAAAATTGCTATCTTGGAAGACACTGATGGGGGAGAACGAACTAAATAGCACTAGACTCCAACGAAATATTATATAGACCTATTGTTGATGAAATATGGAGTTGTAATTTATCAAAATTACTATGGTGTATCGGGTGCGGTGGGCGGGTCGCTTGGCTGGGCGAGTATGCTAGAAAGTAGAATTAGCAAAGGAAGAGTTCATAAGAGCTAGATATCTAAACGTAAACATACATAGATTCTAGAGCGTGGTTAGTTGTTCGTAAGGCTAACCAATAAGCTAAACGATAACTCTAAAACACCATTCGACCTATTCTACTAATATGCTACAACTACTTTAGTAATATCTATGGACATGTATATAATAAATTTTAGTTCGTCTAATACAAGGAGACCTAGGCGTAGGACCCCTATTTCATGAGAGCTATATTATAAGTAATTAGTCTCCTATCTAGGAAGAAAGTTTATACATAAATAATCTACATTTAGACCTTTCAATGATTATTTTATACTTATTTGGCAAAGCCCTAAAAGTTTAAGGGTAAAAAAGACTATTAAGGTAGAGTTAAAGAGAAATACCTTTTGTAGACTGCTAATTAATTCTATTAGTATTTATACTTTTACAACTGATCCTATATCTTTTAAGGGGTTTATACTAAACCTTAATGAGTATATACTATAATAATACTCATATAGGCTATTTTAGAATTTAAATATATAGAAATTTTTCGAATGGTTTATTAAGTATACTTGTAGTATAATATCACTAAATTTTGATGAAATAACATTCCTATTTTAGAACTATAGACCTAAGTTATAGACTATATGTATAGTAGCCTTAAATTACTACTAATTCTATTCTAACTATAGACCAAACTAAATATAGTCTATTACTATGTTACTACTAATAATTTATAATAAGTATATTAATATAATTTTAGTTATTACTAGCTAATATATAAGATATCCCAAAGTATACTTAACGCTACTAGTCAGGCTTATAGAGATTTTCTATGATACTATTAATTCAAGACGTAATTTTTTAGATTAACTAGGGTTGACTTTTTACGTTGTAATTATAGTTATTATACTACCTTATCTACATTTAAAGATTACTATTAATAGCGTTCTATCCCTAGCCCAATAGCTAAATAGAGTACATAAAGTAAATACTGCAATACTATCTTCAATACTTATAGATATGGAATAATTAGCCTAGCTAGAGCTCCTTTTTTTTTGTTTAGCTAAATGTACTTACAATAATTCTAAATATTATTAGTAAATTTGGCTTCTTAACTCTTATAAGTTAATTTTTAACACTGTAACTAAGGTTAGCTTAATCTAGGAGAAATCCTAGCTATAGAAATTTAAAGGATAAAAGATCCTCTTCAAATACTCAAATACGAAAAGGCTACTAATTTATACATGAGAAGTATATATAAACGTAAATCTATTATTACCTTTAAATATAAAGAAAGACCTTTCATTAGACTATTAACCTAGAATATTAAATAAAAATACTTAGTAAAAACCTAGTAATAGGGTTTATTACTCTATTTACGTCCTTAGAGTAAGTAGTTAGATCATAAATATATTATTAAAGGGTCGTAAATCAATATTCTTATGGTAAATCTATATTTTATTTTAAGTATATATAAATCAAATAAAAAGTCCGTGACGATATAGAGGAGAGACTCCTAATACCTGACCTTAATAACAGAAACGATTAAAGAAGTAAAAATATGCTTAATAGCGACTATTATTACTTAGTGAAGTAGAA